CAAAAAAGCCTCAAAAACAAAAACACAAAACAAATAGCAAAAACAAAAGTGCCAAACTTCATCTGTTCCAGAAGTCCGCTTGACTTCCAAAATGTTTGAAAACCAAGGCACAGCTTCTGATTGGTGCAGGTGCCCCAGAAACAGTAGCTGACAGCCGCATCGGGTGTTCGGCTTCTGAAAAATGTTCGAAAACCGGAACACTTACTTCCAGGTTTTCGGTGTTTGAGTAACAGGCATTTGAGAACCAAGGTACCACTGTATTATGACAGAAGGGTACCAATATTTCTAGTGTTGCTGCACAATAATCTTTAGTTCAGACTCTTCAGACTCTCACTGAGGCAAGCTGGAATGGCTCAAGAAGACACCTGTCAATAATAATAATAATAATAATAATAACAATAATAATAATATTTTTATTATTTATACCCCACCCACAATTATTTCTACAGCCACAATGGAGTGTCATGCTGTCAGAGTGCAGCACACAGCGGATATTACCGTATTTTTCGCTCCATAGGACGCACTTTTTCCCCTCCAAAAATGAAGGGGAAATGTGTGTGCGTCCTATGGAGCGAATGCAGGCTTTCGCTGAAGCCTGGAGAGCAAGAGGCATCGGTGCGCACCGACCCCTCTCGCTCTCCAGGCTTCAGGAAGCTATCCGCAAGCCTTGCAAGCCCGGTGGGAGTTCCCGCGGGCTCACAAGGCTTGCAGGCAGCAGCCTGCAGCACCGGCGAGTGTCCGCAAGCCTTGCGCGCCCGGCAGGAGGTCCCGCCGGCGCGCGAGGCTTGGGGCGGCAGCTTGTTGCCCGAAGCACGGGAGCCCTCCGGAGGGCTCCCGTGCTGGCAGCTCTGCAAGCCTTGCGCGCCCGGCAGGAGGTCCCACCGGCGCGCGAGGCTTGGGCGGCAGCTTGTCGCCCGAAGCACGGGAGCCCTCCGGAGGGCTCCCGTGCTCGGGCAGTGTCTGCAAGCCTTGCGCTCCCGGTGGGAGGTCCCGCCGAGCGCGCGAGGCTTGGGGCGGCAGCCTGTCGCCCGAAGCACGGGAGCCCTCCGGAGGGCTCCCGTGCTCGGGCGAGTGTCTGCAAGCCTTGCGCGCCCGGCGGGAGGTCCCGCCGGCGCGCGAGGCTTGGGGCGGCAGCTGTCGCCCGAAGCACGGGGAGCCCTCCGGAGGGCTCCCATGCTTCGGGCGAGTGTCTGCAAGCCTTGCGCGCCCGGCGGGAGGTCCCGCCGAGCGCGCGAGGCTTGGGGCGGCAGCTTGGCGCCCGAAGCACGGGGGGCCCTCCGGAGGGCTCCCTGGTTCGGGCGAGTGTCTGCAAGCCTTGCGCGCCCGGTGGGAGGTCCCGCCGAGCGCGCGAGGCTTGGGGCGGTAGCCTGCAGCCCGAAGCACGCGGAGCCCTCCGGAGGGTGCCCCGTGCTTCTTGCAGGTGTGCACAAGGCTTGGGGCGGCAGCCGCGGCGGGGGGGGAATAATTTTTTTTTATTCATTTCCCCCCCCCAAAAAACGAGGTGCGTCCTATGGGCCGGTGCGCCCTATAGAACGAAAAATATGGTATATTGGATGGGCAGAAAGGTTGGAACAGCAGCAGGTGGAGGTACCTTCAGACGCTAGTCACATCATTTCAAAACAATAAACCATTTCCAGTCTCTAAAGTAAGGTGGGCGGGGTGACCTCAGGCCCAGAGACTGATGGCTTCCCTCCCCAGTCTCTCTACCTGATTTTTAGGACTTTCATCAGGCCACACCTCCTCTACAGAACACACACATCACCGGCCTTCCTCCAGACCCTCTTTAGAGAGGGAAGTTCCTGGCTCAAATGCAATAATTTGGAATTCAGATAAGGTCTCTTGCTCACCTGGATTGAGTAGTCCTGTGTGTATGTGTATGTGCATCCCTGGCTAACACAAGTAAAAAGGTAAAGGTACCCCTGCCCGTAAGGGCCAGTCATGTCCGACTCTAGGGTTGTGCGCCCATCTCACTTAAGAGGCCGGGGGCCAGCGCTGTCCGGAAACACTTCCGGGTTACGTGGCCAGTGTGACGAAGCTGCTCTGGCGAGCCAGCACCAGCGCAGCACACGGAAACGCCGTTTACCTTCCCACTATAAAGCAGTACCTATTTATCTACTTGCACTTGGGGGTGCTTTCGAACTGCTAGGTGGGCAGGAGCTGGGACCGAAAGACGGGAGCTCACCCCGCCGCGGGGATTCAAACCGCCAACCATGCGATCGGCAAGTCCTAGGCACTGAGGTTTTACCCACAGCGCCACCCGCGTCCCTGGCTAACACAAGTAGTCATGTGCAAATAGCCTGAGGCCTTCTCTGAAAGCTGGTTACATAGCTGTAAACACGACAGCAAAGTGCATTAAAAGGTCAACCTAGATAAAGATGCTAAAACGTTCTTTGAAATGTTCAGTGTGGTGGAGCCCATGGGCCCTTGTAAACCAGTGTAATGGAAGGAGAGCAAACTACAAACTGTGTCCCGGCAGGGGAGGCAGTGCAACAGGTCACACACAAAGAGGGGTGGCAGTTGGGACCACCCCACTGTTTTCAAATCCGTGTTGAGACTTCTTGATGGATGAACACTTGTATTTCAAAGAAGTCCTGGTCTATAAAGACGATCTCTTTATAGAGGTCTGGTTCCTCAAATTCTGTCACACGCCTTCACACCAACAAGCGAGAAGCAGAATTGAACTACAATTTGGGGGCAGAGGAGGGGCAGATTTGATTCTCCATTGCTGAAAGCATTGGGGATACCAAAGTTTGGGAGCAGATTCAGCTTCAAACCCAGTGACGTTCTTTCCTATTCTAGTGAAAAGTTGCCATTCCTGTTGTGGTAAGAGTTTACTTCTACACCACTTTGTTTGCTACCCAGGTGAGGGACCACCTTTTAAATAAACCACAGAACCAAGGGAATTAATTGAAGTCCAATATCCAGGAGGCTGGGATGCTGGTGGCGCTGTGGGTTAAACCACAGAGCCTAGGACCTTCCGATCAGAAGGTCAGTGGTTCGAATCCCCACAACTGGGTGAGCTCCCATTGCTCGGTCCCTGCTCCTGCCCACCTAGCAGTTTGAAAGCACATCAAAGTGCAAGTAGATAAATAGGTACCGCTCTGACGGGTGTTTCCGTGCGCTGCTCTGGTTCGCCAGAAGCGGCTTAGTCATGCTGGCCACATGACCCGGAAGCTGTACGCCGGGTCCCTCGGCCAATAAAGCGAGATGAGCGCCGCAATCCCAGAGTCAGTCACAACTGGACCTAATGGTCAGGGGTCCCTTTACCACCTTTATCCAAGAGGCACCCAGCAGTTATTGCAATAGGGCAGAGCTCAACTTAACACGATTGTTGTGGCCGAACCACCAGAGGAAGTCTGCCACAAGGAGAATCTCATGGCACATTTTCCACAATGGGCAACAGTAAAGTTCTGCCCTTGCATACATTGTGTTAGTGAAGGTGCCTGGGCCTCTTTTTTTATTATTTTTTTATGGGGAGCCTCTTTGCCCCTCGTCTCATATGTCCTGAGATATATGAGGGACAAACACAGGGAGCCAGATTCGATTCAGTTCACATTTGCAGGTGAATGTCTCTAATTCAGGCTTTCCTAAGCAAAGTATGAACTAAAGTGCAACCTTTCTTCAAAATGTACACTTCAGATTTTGCAAGGGGGTTGCCCAGCTAAATCATGTACAAATATGCATATACAGTGGTACCTCGGGTTACATACGCTTCAGGTTACAGACGCTTCAGGTTACAGACTCCACTAACCCAGAAATAGTATCTCGGGTTAAGAACTTTGCTTCAGGATGAAAACAGAAATAGTGCTCCGACAGCGTGGCGGCAGCGGGAGGCCCCATTAGCTAAAGTGGTGCTTCAGGTTAACAACAGTTTCAGGTTAACAAATTAAATACGTAACCAGAGGTACCACTGTACTATAGTACAGGGGTCAGCAACCTAAGGCCCATGGGCCGGAAGCAACCCATGGAGGTCATTTAACCAGCCCACGAGCCAGCCCCGAAGCAAGCCACCAGCACAGCATGGCACGGGGACTCACTTCCACGGCACTGGAAATCGCATCTGTGCAGATGCAGAAAATCATGTCTGTGCACATGCAGATGCTGAAAATCGCGGGCGCGCCCAGCTCATGGAAGGAACTCTGTGGGACTGATCTAGCCCAGGCCAGATAAACCTTGCTGACCCCTGCTATAGTATGTATAAAAATGCACACATTAGTGAAGGTAACATACAAAGTGTTTTATATTAAGGGAAGTTGTGAGTATTAAGCAGAACTGCAAACGAAGAAAGGTGTGTTTTAGGAGAAATCTGCTACAAATGCTGATTCATTTTCAATTGAACTATTTTTTCCCCTTTTAATCCACTGACTGATGTGGAAATGTGGAGAACTGAACTTCAGAATGGAGAAAGGAGAAACTGAGAGGAATCAAAATTGGCAGGTACCCCCCCCTCCCTAATGCAGAAAAAATATGGGTCAGCCACTGTTTGATCCAGACAGTGGCACATATATTATTTAATAGATTTAATAGATGTGATAACACAAAGATGCCCTCTTCTCTCCACAATTCCAGGTCAGCAATTGGTGAAAAAAGTGAAGGACTATTATACAGATGCTTACAGATGTGGAACCGAATGGATATTACATTCATTTGCAAATTACAGTCGACTGCTGTGACAATGAAGACAATTGCAACGAAGGTTCTTAGCGTGCGGGTGACATATGGCTAGGGCTGCAACGCTATCCATGCTGACTGTAGAATAAACTCCACTGAACGTAGTGAGATTTCCTTCTAGTAAACATGTTTATGATTCCGCCAGATGAAATGTTGCATCGTTGAGCATGGTTCCTCCTTACGTGCTTTTATTGTATTGGCTAGATTTGAAACTAGATTTTTATATATATATGAAAAGGTGGGGGGAGAAATGGGCAAATTACAGAACGTGTTGATTGATCTATTTAAATTATGTTTTATTGGTTTTCCAAATTAATACAAATCAGTCCCAATTATTTAAATTTAATACAATTTATTTTAAAAAAATAGGTTTCCCGCTCCTGTTGCAAACATATACCCATTACTTCATTCTTCTTTAATCTCCTCTTCATCCTGCTCTTGATGTTAGCCCATTCTCACAACTGACCTTTCTAATTCCCTTACTCAGTACCTCTGTTACTTTTCAAAAATATAAAATCCATTTCACGTGTGTAGTCTTCATAAATGTTTCCCCAGACCTGGTGTGTCGAGATAGGTAATTGCCATCCTTCTTTGTTCAGTTCTCTGTGATGTTTGCAAAGTCACGTTCAATTCCTTTGAGATCATGTTCACCAGCTTGTGTGAAGGCTGCAGCTATAAATAACTCCCCAACGAGGTGACCACTCTCTGTCATTAAATTCCACTCTGGGGTTCTTCCGCAGCACAAAGTTAAACAAAAGCAGAGCCTTTTCACAAATGCAAGCTGTTGCCAAATTTAATTAGCAGCTGTTCAACTTCTTACTCTTAATTGCTCTTTCATACTCCTGGTCCAGTCCAAAGATCATTTAAATAAAGTCCACTTAACCTCAGCCTAGGGGAGAGAGCATAATAAAAACATTGTTAAATCCTTTGTTGAGCATAAATCAAATGCCTTCCCCTTTCTCTTTCCCTTGGTGCCGGACAGAATAGCATAGCCATGACTACACTTGGCTCATTCATTTTGCAGGGGAGGTCAAGAAAGAAACCATTCGGAAACCTTATGAAAGCAGACAGTGTCTTGTCCCCCCTTTATTAATTTGAAAAACAGCTGGTTCTACTGAATGGTCAACATACCTCATTCCTTCCTGGAATACTGCAGCAGTGAGCAGCAGTCCTACTCCAGTGTAAAGCCTCAGATCTGGGCATATAACCTTGATGTCGGCATCTGGCGGTTGATAGGCCAGCTGAGTTGGCCCCAGCTGGATCGTCTCCCTCTCAACATTCGCCGTGGAGATTCATTGACCTCTGGCTCCGATGTAAATCAGTGACTCAAGCTTGCTGACTTGAGCACCCTACTTAGCAAAGTAAACTGCACAACAGAAGAGGCTTGAGGCTGTAGATACATACTAAAACTACGGATTTATTTTACATAAATCAGGACAACGAAACATGTCGTCTCTCCTTGCCGTCTTCCCGGAGAGAGTCTCAAAGCAAAAGCAATACCCAGAGCGGAAGTTCCGCTCACAGGACCCAGCAAACTGTGCTGGAAAGTAAACGGACATGTGACACACAGCAATCCCATGTCTGCAACAAAAGGTGGAATGGAATCTCCCAACAGTTTAGGCAGTGCCATGCCCTGCCCTCCTAAGAATGACATCACCGCCCCTTACCAGGATGGTGCAAGGGTGATGGTAAGGTTGGGCTACACTGTGATTGGTTCTGCTGGTGCATCCTTACTACTGGCTCTTGCACATCCTAGCATCATCTCAACAAGCAGCAGTGATGCTGCTCTCAGGAAGGTGGCGGTGTAGGACCACCGTACTGTGCCAGTTTCTCTTGCTGGTACCGGTATGAAGGTAAAGACTAGAAACAGGGGCTGCTGTGCAGGTCTCTGTGGTGTTAGCAGCTAGGGATGTAAGAAGGGCTCTGTTTTACATCATACCCTGCAGGCATCACCTGCAGCTCTGTTTCTATTCTGCTGCAGTTCGTCTTCTGCCAAAACCAATGTTATCCATTTTTCTGTCCGCCGTGGCAAAATTTAAAAACTTGCCCAATTTATGTAGTTAATGAGGTTTTTTCTAAACATCCTTTTCTTTCCCAGTTTCTGATCTCATTCAAGAAAGTGGCTGGATTTAAACATAAGTATCTGGAACAAGTCTTACAAGCTTTCCATACACTTCTCTTTCTTTATGTTGATGTGGTGAAATAATCCTGTTTCATTTCTGATGTGATGCATCTTAGACTTTATTTCTCTTGCCCTGCAACGTTGTTTAGCTTCCTTGATTTTTATGCCCACCACCACCCCAGAAACTGTGGGAATGTTAAGGATAGTAGGAAAGGATATATTGAATCAGTATTATCCTTACTTCAGTCCTGCTAGTGAGTGATGTAACAGAGGAGATTCCCTCAATATAGTAGGAAGTTAGTTTGCAGATTCGTTTGAATCTCTTTAGTTAAGTAATACAATCTGGCTTGCCCAGATAGCTTATTCCTGGTTTCCCCTTTTATCCCTCTTAAAAGAATAAAGACACACGTGTCTTTCCTTAAAAGTAACAAGAAGTTTACTCACATTTCAGTTCACGATTTGATCCCTGAAAGGCAGGCTTTGCTTCATAGTTACATAACAATCTGTGAGTTCATCTCACATGGAGATTGAGCTCAGGTGCTGCTGGCTGAGAACCAGCAGACAGCAAAATTACATTAGGAGAACAAAATGGCTGCAGGAGAGCAGCAGGGCAGCAAGAGAGGAGAGCAAGAGAGAGAAAATGGCTGCGTGACTCGGCTCTTTTATGGAGTCAGCCAGGGCCAGAGCCAGGGTCACATGCAGGGGGAGAATGCTCCAGACAAGTGGAACAGGAAGTTACGCTGACTGGAGTAACATTCCCCCTGCCTGTGCCCACTCTGGGGAAATAAGGAATCTTGTATTTGACTGTTCCAATGGACTACATCCCACAGAAACGAAGGAAGTTAAACTGTGGTTTACTGCAAGAAAAATAATTGCTTCCACTAGATAGCTGCAATTCTGTAAAAAGTTAAGTATGAGCTTTTTAAACATTATCACCAGTCATGAGGGTGCTGACACACCATGCACTGAAAGCACAATTTAACACAGAGACACCAAAGAAGCCCCAGAATTTTCTGAAACAATATGAGAGCCAAAGCACGGCCCCCTTTCAAAATTCAGACTTGCCCAATTTTTGCAGTGCAGATCTCCCACCAAACCATGTTTACCAAAATGCATATATTAGGCGAAAGCGTGGTTAAAAATGAATACATTAGTGAAAATAACATACAAAGTTGAAATATATTTGGGTAAATTCTTTCCAAAATGTGTACAATTAAGCAAAACTGCATGCAAAGGTGTGTGTTATTCAGGAGGAGTTCACACAAAAATGCTGATAGACTTCTAGGAGGGTGTGAAAAGCGAATAAATGTGCAAATTACTGCAGAAGTGTGGAGAACTAAATTTAAGATTGGGAAGGTGAGAAGCTGAGTACCCAAACTGACAAATCTCCCACGCCTATCTGCAAGGTCCAAGTCTAATTAATCTCTGTGAGGGTGCGACAGAGAGGGAGAAATGGGGACAAGAAGGAAAAGAAAGAGAAATTTAATGCTTACAGGCAAAGTTCATTGGCAAAGCTCAATCTCAGCCCCACTCCTAATCTGAGCATGCTCACACACTTTCGGAGAGCATGCTGCTGTTTCAGCTGGAAATATCTAAGGATATTTCCAAGGGAACCACACTTTGGATTTTGCCTGAGTTTTCTTTAAGCACTAGTGGAGATAACTCATCGAGTGGTTGCACATATCACGCTTGCAGCAAACAGTTTTTATAGAGGTTCCTTTTTGGCCTCTCTTGCTATGCATGCAGTCCCTGTGACTGTTGGTGCAGCCTTGCAAGCGGTACCTCACTTCTTTACCTGCAAAAAGATTGGGAAGGTGAGTAAAAGGAGAGAAGCAAGAACAGATGGGATTACAGCTCACCGGGTTCTCCCCAAGGCCGCAGATGTGAGCTTTGCACCTCTCTCCCTAAGCTGAGCAGAAACTCCCTGGGGTTTGGCAAGGGGTGCCAGGCCTCTGACAGGATGCTGGAGCCTTCTGCCTCCTTCCCAAAGCCGGGTGGGCTGTGGGAAGGTGCAGTCACGAAGGAACCCTCTCTGGCACCCAGGGCAGGATGCCGAGGGGGCGGGATGAACCGCCCGGTGGCGTGTGCATAACGTCCATACGGACTGCACACATGTGGCATCCTGTAGAATCATAGAATCATAGAGTTGGAAGAGACCACAAGGGCCATCGAGTCCAACCCCCTGCCAAGCAGGAAACACCATCAGAGCACTCCTGACATATGGTTGTCAAGCCTCTGCTTAAAGACCTCCAAAGAAGGAGACTCCACCACACTCCTTGGCAGCAAATTCCACTGTCGAACAGCTCTTACTGTCAGGAAGTTCTTCCTAATGTTTAGGTGGAATCTTCTTTCTTGTAGTTTGGATCCATTGCTCCGTGTCCGCTTCTCTGGAGCAGCAGAAAACAACCTTTCTCCCTCCTCTATGTGACATCCTTTTATATATTTGAACATGGCTATCATATCACCCCTTAACCTCCTCTTCTCCAGGCTAAACATGCCCAGCTCCCTTAGCCGTTCCTCATAAGGCATCGTTTCCAGGCCTTTGACCATTTTGGTTGCCCTCCTCTGGACACGTTCCAGTTTGTCAGTGTCCTTCTTGAACTGTGGTGCCCAGAACTGTACAGACTGCGCACACGTGGCAGCCCGTACAGTCACCATGCGAGTGGCAGCCCATACAGATGCTGCGTGTGAGTGGCAATCCATACAGATGCCACACGAGTGGCATCCCATATGGACTATGTACATGCAGCATACCATACGGACTGCACACGCGAGGCAGCCCATACTGTCGCTGTGTGAGTGGCAGCCCGTATGGACGCCCCACACGCAGCGCCCATACTGACTGAGCATGCACCCTTGTCCACTCTACAGCTGGGGGGAGGCAGTGGGCCATCTTGGCACACACACTCCAGGGTGGCACCCGGGGCGACCCACTCCTTCTGCCCCCCCTTTGTACACCCCTGGGAAGGTGGCAGGAGGACTCTTGGACCCCATCTGAGCATCACACCGCCCCGCACCACCCCGCTAATCTGGGCAGAAGCTTCCCAGGCTTTGGGAAGGAGGCACCAGGTTTTCATACTTTAATACTCCAATTCACTGGGAACATTTAGGAAGCTAGGGCTACTGCCCCTAGTCCACTGTCTTGCACATCACTACTTTAAATGAGGATCAGGCAAATTCGTAGAGGAGAGGACTATTGGTGGCTCTTCTGGACTGATCCAGCCTGCGTGCACGGCAAACATTTGAAGCACATTATTTCCCCAAAGATTCTGAGGTCCTGCAGTTGAGGATGCTGGGAACTGTAGCTCTGTGAGGGGCATACTTAATTTCCCAGGGTTATTTGCGGGGAGAGATGTGCTTTCAATGCTGCCCAGGAGGGAATATGTGTGACCTATCCAGACTACGGGAGAGTTCTCTCTGTCCTTTTTTTCCTATCTACATATCTCTTTCTCCCTTCTTCTCCAGCCGTTCCGTTCTCCTTCCCACCTGCTTTTCCCGTTTTATTTTTCAAACAAAACATTCTGTGCCTGTTGAGTATGCTCTGTCCTTCCAACCTTCTTTTATTTTCTCTTCATTTATTACATTTGTGGGTGGGGGGAATTCTCAAGGTTGTTTTGCTGTTGTTGTTCTGCAAACCTTAGGACACGCCCCGCCCTGCCCCAGGTCTGCCAATTCCTCCCTCTTGTACACAGATACTATGTTTAGCTACAAAAGCATGGAAATCGCCCTAACAGTTCAGAAAAAGCATATAACATTGCTCATGGCCACCCGACATGAGTTCAACTTACCCTCATAGAAAGTGATAGAAATACACTGTTCATTAGGCCTTGGGAAACATACGTTTACTTTGTGTTCACAGCCGAAATCAGGGATATCCCGCATACAGTAGCGGCACTTCAGGCTGTAGGCTGCAATGGCAAAATGTTGGAAATGGCATTCAAAACAGTATGACCCCCTACCCTCCAACATTTCTCCAATGAAAATAGGGATGTCCTATTCTGCTGTTGTTGTTGCTGCTGCTGCTGCTGTTGTTGTATTTATACCCCATGCATCTTACTGGGTTGCCAACATACCGTATTTTTCGCCCTATAAGACACACTTTTCCCCCTCCAAAAATGAAGGGGAAATGTGTGTGCGTCCTATGGGGCGAATGCAGGCTCCTTGGCTTCAGCGATAGCAACGCGAAGCCTCCGAAGCCTGCGCTCCGGAGGCTTTGCGTTGCTTCAGCTGAAGCCAGGAGAGTCTGCTCTGAGGCTGGCGGTGGGGGAAAGCAGCGCTTCCCCCATCACCAGCCCCATAGGATGGGGGGGCACAATCTGGGTCGAAAAGCTCGTAGGAGCCGCGCAGCCGTTAAAGAGCGCGCCACTCTTGGGGGCTTTTCCCCAAGGAGGGAGAAGGGACTGACTGGCCGTTTCAGTCCCTTCTCCCTCCTGGTCAAAAAGCCCGCAGGAGTCACGCACGGCTCCTGTGGGCTTTTGCAGGAGGTGGGGGAATTCCGCCACCTCCAGCAAAAGCAGGAAGAAGGTCTTGGAGTAGCGCACAGGCTGCGTGCAGCCTGTCCTCTGCTCCCAGAGCTGCGGGGGGGGGGGGAATCATATTTTTTCCCTTGATTTCCCCCCCTGAAAACTAGGTGTGTCCTATGGGCCGGTGCGTCCTATAGGGCGAAAAATACGGTATATAAAAACATAAAAATACAGTAAACATAAAAAACCTTCCCTATACAGGCTTGCCTTTAGATGTCTTCTAGAGGTTGTATAGTTACTTATCTCCTTGGCTTGGGCCAAACCCTCCAGCATTTCTCCAGTGAAAATAGGGACGTCATAAGGGAAAGCAGGAAAATATTCTGGGATCAAATCAGAAAACGGGGTGGCTTCTGTAACTCTGGGAAAATAGGGACACTTGGAGGGTCTGTGATTTTCACTGAAGACAATCGTAGGGTTGTAGGCTTCTAGATGGGAGGCCTACTGCTAGCATTTCGATTATTTATTTGGATGGCTCAGTTATTCCATACGCAGCTGCATAGTCCGCATCCTTGCTTAACGCTACATGTGAATAACAGCACGGGCGTGCAGCTCAAATATTTGTGTTAGTACTGTTACTAACCAGACTGTACATTTGTTGAATGCGCCATGTGAACACCCCGTGCGAAATGAGTCTACGTGTGTACAACTAGATGCTTGTAAGGCAAGGATGGGGACAATGCAAGTGTTGCTGCTGCCCTGTCCCTGCAGGAGGAATCCTCTTTGGCGCAAAATGGCTCCCAGGGCAAAATAACCATCAGGGACTGGGCAGAGGAGGAATGGTGGAGACCGCCTCCCCAGCCTGACCCTTCCAGAGAAGAGGAAGACGGTTCAGAATTACAACAGTGGTTTGAGGGAGGTCGCAGCTCAGAGGCAGATGAGGGGGAAAGCTGGGAAATAATGGGAGAGGAGAAGGAGGCAGAGCTGGGGCAGCTGGCTGACATGCTATCGCTAGAAAGCATTCCAGGCCCACCATCTCCCAGAACCCAGCGAGCCTTGAAAGTAGGTGAGCAAAGAGCTCAAAGGCAGAGGGCACTTGTCAGCACCCATAGGGATGATGAATGAGGAAGTGGGAGAGATGGGGAGAAGGTGGAGTCACTCGGGACAACGCCATTATCCAAGAGGCTGGGTTCTGTAGCCTCTCTGTGTAAATACCGAATAAAAAGCAGACGGTAAGAACATTCCTTGTCTTTGTACGTTCCTGGGCAACCGGCAGTGGGAGTCACTGGCAACAGCCTGACAATAACACAGGGGGGACCAGAGCATTCACCTTACAACCCTACAAGCGGTAGGTGGTAGGCAAAAGAGAAGGTGTCATGGAACCCATGGTGCAGAAGGCACCAAGACTAGGGGAATGAGACAGAGAGTGTTGTGGGACTGGGCATAGGGGCAGGGTCGATCTGATTTCAGGTGTGCTTGGAAATCAGTTAAGCCCTGTCCCAGTTTTGAGGGACGTGGTTTGTTTTATTTAGTCTGATTCAGCCCAGGTGGGAGTGGGGAGTTGGCCGATTGCGATTTGGAACATACCTGAGAGGGCAAGGCAAAGCAGAACACAGGCTGTGAAGGAGAAACCCCTCATCATGCTGGTCTTCCAGGCTAGATCTCTGGCAGGCAAGACGCTGTGGTGAAGAAAAGGGAGGGTATAAAGGTAGTAAAGTAAAAAAGAAATAATTAACATGTGTGCTCCAGATGCAGGAACGATGACTCCACCCTAGTACCTAGCCAAGGGGTGGAGGAGGGATTCATTACTGGCTTAGCATGGCTGCTTTGACTTTTGGGGATTCAGTCTTCTCCTGGATACTTGTATGTGTATACCCACAGGAAGAGGCCCCCCGAAGTGCATTAATGCCAACTGCATTAAGACCAGTGGTGTAGCATGGGGGCCCCACTGGGAAGGTTGCCCTGGGCGCAAAATTGCTACAGTCACAAAATTTCAACACCTGGTGCTGCCTCAATACAGTTGCATGCTTCCACTGCTGGGCTCCGTTGAAAACTGCTTCTCCATGCGAACCAGGAAGTGACCTCTCCAGACAATGGAACGACTCTTCTTTTCTTATCTCTGCAGCTGCTATCTCCTGAGTAATGCAGACGCCGTTAGGCAGTTGAATGTGCATGTGTACTCTGTCTGTTTCCCTCCCTCCCACCCACTCATCTGCGCAGCCCCGAGGGCTGGCAATGCATGCTATGCCACTGGTTAAGACAAAGGAAGCTGCATCTTCAAAGTCTATGCCTATACTGACCCATGGGGCTACCCCTGGTTTTCTCCTACTGCAAAATGAATTATACCATGCTTCCTTTCCATCAAGCTGCAGTGGTGACCCCTACTTGGAGGCTGGTCCTTAGCCATGAGATACGGCCATCCCAGAAGCGGACAGGCAGTCATTATTTACCCTTTTATTTATTTCAGAATATTTGTAAGCTGCTGTCTACACTTTCTGGTGGTGGCTCTCTGAGGTTTCAGGCAAGGAGGCTTTCCCAGCCCTGTCTGTAGATGCTGGACGTTGAGATTGGGACCTTCTACATGCAAGGCGAAGGGACGCGGGTGGCGCTGTGGGTTAAACCACAGAGCCTAGGACTTGCTGATTAGAAGGTCTGCGGTTCGAATCCCCGCGACAGGGTGAGCTCCCGTTGCTCGGTCCCTGCTCCTGCCAACCTAGCAGTTCAAAAGCACATCAAAGTGCAAGTAGATAAATAGGTACCGCTCTGGTGGGAAGGTAAATGGTGTTTCTGTGCGCTGCTCTGGTTCGCCAGAAGCGGCTTAGTCATGCTGGCCACATGACCTGGAAACTGTACGCCGGCTCCCTCGGCCAATAAAACGAGATGAGCGCCGCAACCCCAGAGTCGGCCACGACTGGACCTAATGGTCAGGGGTCCCTTTACCTTTACCTTACATGCAAGGCAGATGTTCCACCACTGAGCTATGGCTCTTCCCTTAGAATCATAGCAGTGTATTACAACAATAAAAATGCATTTATTATTATTATTATTATTATTATCATCATTATTACTACTACTACTACTACTACTACTACTATTACTGCAAGTCTGCTCAGACATATAGTTTAGATACCTACACTGGTTTTTTAAGTTTTGCTGAGGCTAATGTGTGTTTTAATGACCCCAGTTTAATGACAGCCCTGTGGATTTGGGCTGTGTTTTTTCTACAGCAGTGATTCCCAAATTTGGGTCTCCAGCTGTTTTTGAACTACAGTTCCCATCATCCCTGCTCACTGGGTCTGCTAGCCAGGGATGGTGGGAGTTGTAGTCCAAAAACAGCTGGAGACCCGAGTTTGGGAAACACTGACCTACAGTTTTATTATGTGCACCACTTGGAGAGCTCTTTGATTAAGTGGTTTAGAAAATCTTTCTCAGTAAATAAAGAAATAAGAACAGTGCCTCGAAGAGAATTTTTATTTACACATCACATGTGCCGAATGCAGCTAGAAGTACACAAAGGTTTAACCAGAGCTATCCATAATCTTTTGTGTGACCTCAGTTTCATTTGACGCACCTCGGAGAGGTTTGTTCTTGATGTAGGAGAGGAGCCTTGGAATGGCATTTGAGAAACTATACTTCTGAGCCACCCCCAGCTCTCTGCAGTTCAATCATTTGGAAGCTGCATGTGTACCACACATGCCCTGACTTTGAAATAAACTCAAATTGTTCTGGCAAACTGAGCACCCTTCATAGGCATCGGAGCAACTGAGTGTTCTGTTCTAGTGGTGGGTGAGAATAACTGACTTCTGGGAGATTTCAGTAGTTGCCTCAGGAACATTTGATAAGCATTCCCAGGACCAATGGAACTGATGAGTGGAAGGAGAACAGATCAAAAGGTAGGGAAAGAACAGGAGAGAAGATCCACCAACCACAAGGTGAGAACGCAACATGGGGAGAACTTGTGCTTGAATAACCAATACATTAATTAATCGGGACCAGAAATCTTCAGGAAAACAATGCTAACACTGACAAAATGGTTTTAGACTTCGTTCGGCATCATCCATTCCCCCGTGATGTCTACATCAGCTTGCCTCTCATCCTGATTTCACAGAGATGTATGTTTCCCTGTCCCTGTTCTGGCCATGGGGACACCGTGAATGGCAATAATTCTGGGGCATAGAGAAACTCCTTGTGGAACTACCAATCTTATAAGTCATGTAGACCCCATGGATCTAAGTGGATCCAGCATAATTAATCTGAGCCTTGAAAAGCACATAGAGATGAAAGAGGAAGTGAGAAAGAGTGTCATTCTTCCAACTTCCTCTTTCAGCTCTATGTACGTTCTGCAGATACCCACAGATTCAAATTCCACCCAGATCACAGTGCTCAAGGTATGCAAGGAGGGAGGGACACCACCGGGTTGGAGTTAGCTTCCTTCCCTGCTGTCACACAGTAACATAGTAACAATGAGAAATTAATTGTCCTTTAGCTCCAAGGCACAGCTCCTCAATATATGAGGCTTTGCAAAATTCAGGAAGTGAATTCAGGCTGCCAAATAACCTGTTGCTTGCAGAATAAAGCAAAAGTGATTGAAAAGAAGCCGCTATCATTCATAGCTGCTGGATATGTCATTTTTTCCCTCATAATTAAAATGTGGATGTTGTGGAGGAAAATGGGGTGGCATTCGAAAATGATGGTCCCAATGGCTTATCTTGTTCTAACCCGGCATTAAGTTCCATTTCTCATTCAACATCGTCTCACAATGAAGAGCAAACCATTGTATTTGCAAATGGGCACCAATCCTACAAAGTGAGGGCTTTGTTGAAGTGTTTCTGGGCATGTCTTCACCCTCTCAGTTCCATTCGCACTTGATGTAAGCTATTTTTGCATTCTGCCTTTTTTGTGTTAAGTTCTGGTCTCATTCTTCATATCTTTTTCCAAAATGTATTCAGAAGAGTCTTCTTGGACTTTTTCTGCAAAATGAAAAAAGCAATTGGAAAAATGATGGTCCACAGAGAGCCAAACAACCCTTCATGCAAGAGACTGGGTACAACTCAACTTCCATTTTTAACTGAAATGAATCTACAATGGACAGCCAATCACTTTCAACCAAAAGTTGGGGAGGTACATTCCTTTCCTTCTGCTGCTCCCTCCTTACCCAAGTTTTGATAATTTTAAAAGGGGTATACCTAAGATGACAGGGACGCGGGTGGCGCTGTGGTCTAAACTACAGAGCCTAGGGCTTGCCGATCAGAAGGTTGGTGGTTCGAATCCCCGCGACGGGGTGAGCTCCCATTGTTCAGTCCCAGCTCCTGCCCACCTAGCAGCTCAAAAGCACGTCAAAGTGCAAGTAGATAAATAGGTACTGCTCCGGCAGGAAGGAAAATGGTGTTTCCGTGCACTGCTCTGGTTTCACCAGAAGCAGCTTAGTTGTGCTGGCCACATGACCCGGAAGCTGTCTGCGGACAAATGCTGGCTCCCTCGGCTTATAAAGTGGGTTGAGTGCCGCAACCCCAGAGTTGTCCGCGACTGGACCTAATGGTCAGGGGTACCTTTACCTTTTTATACCTAAGACGGGAAGGTAAGCGGCGTTTCCGTGCGCTGCTCTGGTTCACCTGAAGTGGCTTAGTCATGCTGGCCACATGATCCAGAAGTTGTATGCCGGCTCCCTCAGCCAGTAAAGCAAAATGAGCGCCGCAACCCCAGAGTCGTCCACAACTGGACCTAATGTTGAGGGGTCCCTTTACCTTTACCAAGATGGTTGCATCCCGGTGGGGTAGAGCAAGAGGTCAGCAGGAAGGAGCCAGGGAGAAGCAGGAGGGAGTGGAGGAATAGATAGCGAGAGGTGGCAGTGAAAGGAAGTGCAGGAAGCAGACATAAGCCACTAGGGAGAAGGGCTGCCATTGATACAAAAGAAGGCAATAACTCTAGGGAAGAGAGAAGAACTGGCAAGCCTTTCACCAAAGGAGCCATAAAAAGAGAGCTAGATGAAAGAAAAGGCCGAAGAGATGGACTAGGGATGAATGAATATGTCAATTTCAGTTTCTCCTTTTTTCCAATTCTCACTTCATTTCTCCACATTCCCACACCAGTTTGCATTGCCCCCCTACACACAATAAAACACCAAAAACAAATTCCTCATGGAAATTCATCAACATTGTATTGCAGATTTCTCCTATTGTACGCAATTCTACAATACAATTTGCCCCCAAAACAATGCAATTTTGTAAGTTATTTGCACTAATAGATGCACACTTCCCACTAACGGGAACAGCTGGATAACTGCATTACAAAATTCAAAGAAGTGCAAATTTTGAAGCGTGGCTGTGTTTTGGTCCTCACATGGTTTCAAAAAAATGAGAATTAGGAAGGCTCACCATTCAATGTGAACTTTCTCCCCCATCTCTAGAGGTGAGAGTAACACTACCTTAGCAGGAAAGCTGATTCTGACATAGACAGAGCGGGCAGATCTTGTGTGCCTTGTTGTCCACTGGAAATATTGCCAAAAAATGCTACAAAGAGGAACTGGCATAGGACCCCACTGCAGCAACACTATAAATGTGACAAGACCTAAGTCAGTACTAACTGTTGATGAACTGAGCCCAAACTTCTTCAGCCAAAGGACCTGGACTTACTTGAGAGTGTTGAGTTGAATATATGAGCTGCCAGGAAATCGCAGTGGTGGGCAGGAGACGGCTTCCTGATCTCAGGTGGCCCTGCGCTGATGTGGAAGAAGTTGTCCTCTGTGGCATTGTAGAGCGGCCATTGCACCTCATTGGGCACAGACCCAGTGGGGTTCCTGTGGAGGAAACAAAAAAAAAAAACCACAGTCCAGATCCAAATCTTCTTTTTAAGCCAAAGGCCATTGTGACGTTAACATATGAGAGTGCTGGAGGTGAAATAGTTAAACAAGTTACCCAATCAGAACCCAGGGGGTGCAGTCAGAGGGACTATAAAAGCAGCTCTGGGAGGTGCGAAAGGGGAGTTCGTTGGGAGTTGGGTGGTTGGTTGGAGTGGGAGTGAATTGGGATAGAGTCTGTGGGTAGGTTGAGTTAGTGTAGAGAAATAAGCTGAGTCAGGAACAGTTAGGAGATGGAAAGACAAGTAAATATCTGAGAGGTGGTTTAGTGAGGGAGGGCAGGTAGAGGAAGTTATAGGTCTGGATAGGCACCCTATGATTGTAATTGACCGATACCATTTATGAAACCACACACTTGTTAAACTGCAATAAATAAACAGAAGTTTATGTTCCAATTCTAACCTGACTGGACTCAGTATTGGCCCAGGTAGGGCCTGGGTGGTGGCAGTGAGAAATAAAATGTGGCGCAGGGATCAAAATCTTCTTTTTAAGCCAAAGGCCACCAATAGCACAAAACAAAGAGAGAGAAAATCACTCATAGCATTATAAAAACAAAAATGGCACGTCTACACTGCGATAATAGCATACTACAAAATAAGTGAAACCCTATCATTTGACTCATTTCCTCAGGGCCCCGCTTTCATTGCTTGGAATTGTGCTGGCAGTCAACCCTATGAGATTTGGCCCATTCCTTTTTATTAGATGGCATTAGAGATAGGAGGCCAGCTATATCAAATACGATCCTGTGAGTCTAGCTTCCCAGTAGGTCCTCTTCTGCCCAATCCATTTTGTTCCCCATCCACTGTGCTTTGGAATTCTGTCTCGGCCACTATATTATTTTTATTTCTATCCCACCTTTTCCCCAGATCAGAACCCAATGTGGCTTACACAAATAAAAACAAGCACACAGAGATAAAATACAATATCATATAAAATATAGTTTTTAAAAAGTAATTAAATTCTAATAGAATTAAAACAATACATAAGCAAATCAATTGGATTACAGATAGTAAAAATCTATATGGAATACAAAGCGGTGCAATATGAAATACACTGCAGCTGGTGGTTCACGCTAACATTAGCCCTGCTCCACAGAAATCCCTCTGATTGCCCTAATGTACCTGGAAAAGGAACACTATTCGTTTTTGCCAAGGTAAGTATTCCCCAACACTTTGATTATGTGCTTTTTGTTATATATGGCAGGAGAGAGCTCCTAACATTCAGTCATGGGTAGAAGGTACATGTTCTTGTGTATTAATCTCTGGCAACAGTTCCGGGAAATCTAAATCCAAAAAACTAATCCGAGGCTTTCTTTTCTCCTTCCATCAACCAAAAAATAAAATCAAATCAAATGAGAACCCTGCTATGGTAATCAACTTATGGCCTAGAAATCATGGTCATATTTCATCAGTGCCAAACGTGTCAGCCAAAATAGCTGACATTCCATCTTCAACCATCTTTTGCAAAGGTTAGTTGGTTATTTCAACTCACATCCCACCATAGCCCTGAAATTGCCAGTGGTAATAAAAATATGATATAGCATGTTGCTGTTTTTTAAAGTATCAGTAGGGTTTTTTAAAAAACAGATAAACAAATCAAAAGTGCATATCAGTCACATTAAAACATATCAAGGCCAGCTATTATTATTAATAATAATAATAATTTTTGTACCTCACCCATCTGACTGGGTTGCCAGTTCAGACTGAGCAGGGGGGGAAATCCCTGTCTATTATTATTTTTAATAGCATTTGTTTCTTCAGAAGGTCTCAAGACCCCAAGAGGGTGAAAGAGATGGTTTGGGAAGCTCCTTATACATAACTGGACCCCTATGTCCCTGGAATTGAGCTAGGGGCTTTTTCCAATTAACAGGCAGTTTGTGGTTCGAGGACCCGAACCCCGCGCAGTGGAATGACAAAAAGTGAGGGCTGGAGGCTGGCGCCGCAGCAATTTAGGCTGCTGTACACGCCCCCTTGAAGGCACCTGGTTGGGTGCCTGGCCGAGGGCGTGGGCGCCAGCCAGGTGGGTGGGAGGCAGGGGGCAAACGCCCCCTGCTTGAGGCATAGTCCGGCTCCCGGCCACAACCACTCCCCTCTCTTGCAGGGAAGAGAGTCTTTGCCAGTGAGAAGAAGGGGGGGAAACACCAAAGGAAGATACATGTCTTTTGTTTAAGACAGGGACTGGGAACTGTCCAGCTGTCCAGCTATTTGTTGACGGGAACTCCAGCTCCCATCAGCCCCAGCCAGCATGGCCAATGGTCAAGGATGATAAGAGTTGTAGTCTAGCAACATCTGAAGGGCCACAAGTTCTCCATCCCTGAGTTAGGCATTTGAGCTTTTCTCTAAAACCTGCCCCTCTATACTGAAACTTGATGTGGCAGCGCCCTTGTCAAAGATACCAAGGAAAGGAATGAAAGACCTTGGGAGGTTCAGGCAGAACCTTGGGATGTAGAGTGCCCAGAGCAAGGACTATCAGACTATGTCTAGAACATCCAGGGTCAAGTTGATGGAATGAGTTGTGTTTGAGGCTCTAGAACAAGAGCTGTGAATGCCTTACCCGCTTCTAGCAAACTCCGCCCAATAGCGCATCATCTTGAGGGTCAAAGGGGCGTCAGCTTCCGTGTTTGTTTGATTTACCCTCTGTAGCGACGACAGAGTTCCAAACAGGTAAGGCACCTCAACTCCATGGGCTGCTCCCATCCACTCCTGCCAAATGGAGCCAGAGATGTGGTGGTTGAAGGAGTAGGTGTACACAGGGCTCCCACCTGCTGCCATCTTTTCAGCAGCTTCAGCCAATGGGCACAAAAAGTAATAATCTCTGCACAGTTGGACCATGGCCCCGTGGTACTTTTCTGGCCCATGGCCATCTTCAGCATACTTCAGCGCTACAGTCTTGGCAACATCTTCTTCCAAAGACATTTCGAACAATGTCATTGTTTCTTCCAAGAGCTGCTCCCAAGTTGACGTTCTGTCATCTATGCGATCCGAAAGACCGCTTAGTGCAAAGACAGACCCATCCTCGCCGGTGATGCCTATGAGCAGTGGTTTTGCCTGAAGGAGCCCACTCTGCAGAAGTTTCCTTGGCTCATCCAGAAGGAAGTCCCCATCTGTGGTGGGGTAGAATCGATGCATCAAAAGTTGGAACATTCCCCTATCCATTTCCTTCTCCTGTAGGCACCGCAGCGCCACACTGTGATTCCGATCGTCGCAGCCCAGCCGCTGACTCGCTTTCAAGGAGCGCAACTTGCAATGCTCAGGATCCTTCCAAGCCCAGGGTGCATTGGGAGCTCCACTCTGCACCACAGCGCGAGCAAAAAGGGGTTGGCTTGCAGGTGAGAGGAGGTGAAACCCCACAGAGGCTGCTCCCGCGCTGTGGCCAAAGAGGGTCAGCTGAAGAGGGTCCCCACCAAAGACAGCTGCGTTCTCCTTCACCCACTTCAGAGCTAGCTGTTGGTCCCACAGCCCCATGTTTCCTGGGACCTCAGGCGGGAGGAACAGAAAGCCGAAGAACGCCAGCCGATAATTCATGGAAACCACAATGATGTTCTCAGTAGCAGCCAGATGTGCCCCGTTGTACAAGTCTAAGGAACTGGCACCAACCAGAAATCCCCCGCCGTGGATCCAGACAAGGACAGGAACCGGTGCAGAGGGCCGCGGGTGAGGCATCCAGACATTGAGAAAGAGACAGTCCTCTGAATGTGGCGCGTTGGCAACCCACATTTTGTTGAAAGGCCATTGAAAATCGGTCGTCTGGAAGCAAGCCTTTCCAAAGTTGGTGACCTCCAAGACATGGCTCCATGGCTGGTGGGGAAGGGGCTTTTGGAAGCGCAGCTTCCCCAGGGGGGGTTCAGCATAAGGGATACCGAGGTAGGAAGTGACGGAGGCAGAGCCAACCGGGACTCGCTTGCCTTTGATAGGGCCACTGCTGGTCACCACCACGGTGTCATCTTCAGAGGCAGAGCTGGAATTCAGGAGGGAGAGGAAGAGGAAAAGGCCCAAAGATGCCTGGAGGAGAGTAGGCATTGCAGAAGCTGAAAGAAAGGTGACCCAGGCACAGTTACACCTTGGCTCTGATCCGAAGCGACATACACAAGCCCCCCCCTTTTTTTTAAATAAAAAGCATAGATCCCAGCATATTGACTGTATTGTGTGGGAGAAGACAAGCGAAAACCCTTCTCTCCACCCAATCCCCTTCTGGATACCAGTGGATTATAGATGTGTTAAAAAAAACTTGGCATCAGAGGGACAGCTTCCATGTGAGTACTGGGAATTGCAGGTGGACTGTTGTTGTTATTTACTGAAGTTCTCACCCTGGGCCAGCAGCGGGATACTGTAGATAGTTTTCACTCAGGTCCACATATGCAAATAAGGAATTGAAAGTGACGTTGGATTGGATAGTTACAGAAAGTTGTTACTGTTGCTTTGTAGTTGAGCTCTATATAAGCAGGTTGTCTGAACCCTTCAGTTCAGTTCTGTTCTGGCCTGTGAATAAACAAGCGCTGTTTGAAGAATCGCTGTGTCGTCTGATATGTTCACCCAAAACTTAACAGTTGTGCTCTAGTCCTACTTGTGAGATTCCCATAGGCTTCTGGTTGCTCAGTGTGAGAACAGGACACCAGACTAGATGGGCCATTGGCTTGATCCAACAGTATTTTTATTTGATGGGGAGGGAGGGAGGAAAGGAGCCATGACAGTGGGATCAATGCACACCTCTACCTGGAGCCCACAAAAACCAGCACTGATCCTGAAAGCATAGGAACATTTTAAATGTACAGTTGTACCTTGAAAATCGAACAGGATCCATTCCGGAAGTCCATTCAACTTCCAAAAATTTTGAAAACTAAATTGCTGCTTCTGTTTGGCTGCAGGAAGCTCCTGCAGCCAATCAAAAGCCACGGAAGCCCTGTCAGACGTTCCCCCTCCAAAAATAGTTTGCAAACCGGAACAGTCACTTTGAGACGTTCGGGAGCCAAAGTGTTCGGGAACTAAGCTGTTCTAAAACCAAGGTACGACTCTATCAGCAAGCAAACATTCACAGAAGTCCAATAAGAGAGGTCATATATCTATTGTTTGAGAGGGGTGTTGCTATTGCTTCTGTTGCTGCTGGTGGTTTTTGTTTGTTTGTTTGTTTTTTGAATCATTATTTTAGATCTTGTGATTTATGTGAAAATTGTTCAGTTTGGATGTGTATTTTTTGACATTTTTATTTATTGTTTCTGTCTACTTTTGTTCTGCATTTTTCTCATGTTTCAAGCCACATGGAGCATGGTTTAAATTGTGGCATACAAATAAAATTATTTATGTATGGACGTGCACCAAATGCATGTTTGTATGTCGACAACAATGTTCACCCAAAAAAAGAACATACATGTGCCTTTGCGACAATGTTTTTGATGGTACCAATTTCACCTTACCAATCTTCATACAGAAGGAATATTATTCCAGTAAAGATGAGCAGGTCTAGGGGAATGACAAGGCCGGTTGTGTAATTCCTTGAGCTGGAATCTTCCAACATCTGACTTTCCACTAAAGCTGAAAGTGGGCAGCTCAGACTTTGAGCTCCTTAACAGAGACGTTGCAGTCCCCTCATACCTTGACTTTGTTCACCTCTTTCTCTTTTTTTTCTTTTGAGGGAGCAAGTCCCAATCCGCAGACCCTCACACGCATATGTCCAAGACTTACAGCATGATACAGGGTTAACTTCCCAAATGTTAAACAACTGGAACAAAACAAAGCAAGAAGCTATGGTGCTAGAATGCAGGATTCCTGACTTCCTTTCTTGTGCCACGTTTACTGCCATCTCCCCCACTCCCAGGTTTAGTCCCCACTTCTCATCCCACTCTTGGAGGCATCTAAACCTTCTGCATCCTGAAGACTTACCTCCTTTATCCCCGGTGGGGTTTTGCTGCTCCTTGGTGTCCTCTACAGCTCAATCCAAATGGGAAAGGTGGATACTGAGGCTTATAGGACACTTCCAGCTCTGGCAAATAACACCCAGTGAGAAGGCAGCTGCCAATATGTGTGTATGCAAAGGGCAGTGACCGCCGGGCTCTGCCTTCTCCAGGGGACGAGGCATCTTAGGTAAGAGTACACATCAGAGGGCACAGAGGGAGAGCTGTAGCGTGCAACAACAACAAAATGGGTTTCATGGTTATGCAAAGTCTCTGGCCTTTTGGACATAAGGAAATGCAAGTTATTAAGTACAGTGGTACCTCGGCTTAAGTACTTAATTCGTTCCGGAGGTCCGTTCTTAACCTGAAACTGTTCTTAACCTGAAGCACCATTTTAGCTAATGGGGCCTCATGCTGCGCCGCCAGATCACGATTTCTGTTTTCATCCTTAACCTGAAGCACTATTTCTGGGTGAGCGGAGTCTGTAACCTGAAGCGTATGTAACCTGAAGCGTATGTAACCCGAGGCACCACTGTAGTGGGTTGACAAAGCAGACGACACAGAGATTTCTCCAAGTAGTTCTTTATAAGTAAGCTGGAACTGAACCGAACTGAACACAGCTCAGCCGGCCTGCTTTTATAGGCAGCCGGCTGTCACATTGTAACAACAACAGCCCAGGGTTTCCCGCCTAAATTAACTGGCATGGACCTGAGTGAAAACTACATACACAATCCCCCCTGGTGGCCAGGGTGAGAACTTCAATACATAACACAAGTACTGTATATGTGAAGATAGGCAACCGTGGACAGGCATTGAAGAACATCAAAAGCCAGGTTGAGTTTGAATAGTGAGGGCAGGTGGATCTTTATTTATTGAGCATGCAATGTCACCCCAATGAGATTTCTTGTAGCAGGGCCATATCAAGGCTTGTTGCTGCCTGAGGTAAAGGACAAGATGGCTGAAGCGCTGGGGGTGTTTCCTGTGTCCCCGCAAACTGGTCAGTTGCAATCTTCCTTGAAGCAAGTAAAATCCTCAGTGATACAATGGGTCATAATATAGATATGGAAGCATGGGAACGATTGTGGAATATGGGTATAAAATTTAGAGCATGTTACGATCCAAGAGAAAATTATATGAAAATGATAACCGAACGAAGTTCCAAGTAGCCTTATTGTACAAGGACAATCGAGTTAGGACTAATCTGAGGAGTTGAAGGACCCTTCAACGGTCCTCCTCCAGCCTCAGCAGCTTTTGTTTTTTTTTTTTGGTGTTTTTTTTTTTGGTTTTTTTTCACTTTCTTTAAGTATTCGCCCAGGACGATGTCTACCTCTACCTCCCCACCCCCATTTTATGTTGTTATTTCAATGTATATCATGCTATGGCCACTCGGCTAATGCAATAAATCTACTTTATGATATATCGATGGTAAATTGGCAAAAAAAATTGTATAAATCCAAATCAAATAAGTGTTGGAAATGTAAAGAGAAAGAAGGTTATTTTTATCATATGTGGTGGTCTTGTAGTGAGGTTAAGGGAAGTATTTTGTGACGTTTTTATTTATTGTTTCTGACTACTTTTCTTCTGTATTTTCCTCATGTTTCAAGCCACATGGAGCATGGTTTAAATTGTGGAAAGGTGGCATACAAATAAAATGTATGGACGTGCACCAAATTCATTTTTGTATGTCGACAACAATATTCACAAAATAAAGACCATACATGTGTCTTTGTGACAATGTTTTTGATGGGACCAATTCTCACCTTACCAATCTTCATACAGAAGGAATATTATTCCAGTAAAGATGAGCAGGTCTAGGGGAATGGCAAGGCTGATTCCCCTTTTTTTTTGCAATTACCGCTCACACATCAAGCAGTGGGCGGGGTTTACGACCCGGTGCAGGCTTCCCGTTCCAGGGTGACACCTCTCTGCCGACTGGCTGGCACTCCACCTCCTCCCCCGCTAGCAATGGTCACAACTTTGGCGGTTTTAGACCTTGATCAGTATCCTATAGTTTGGATTTGGATTTGATATTCCGCTTTATCACTACCCTAAGGAGTCTCAAAGAGGCTCACATTCTCCTTTCCCTTCCTCCCCCATAACAAACACTCTGTGAGGTGAGAGGGGCTGAGAGACTTCAGAGAAGTGTGACTGGCCCAAGGTCACCCAGCAGCTGCATGTGGAGGAGCGGAGACGCGAACCTGGTTCACCAGATTACGAGTCTACCGCTCTTAACCACTACACCACACTGCCCCGTTGTACAAGTCTAAGGAACTGGCAAATAGAAGCAGTACATGTGTGTCTGAGTATCGCATTTTATGTCCGTCTTTTTACTTCTTGAAATATGGCAGCCCTACCCCAGTGGCTTGGAGAACCTTTTATCAGTTGGTTTCATTCTGCAGTTGCGAAGAGTTGATCTTCCAGGGTGGCAGAACCCAGACTTTGGAACACCCTGCCTATTAATATTAGTCAGGAAGACTTTGCTGCATTGTTTTTGGCACTCGGGTTAAACCACAGAGCCTAGGGCTTGCCGATCAGAAGGTCTGCAGTTCAAATCCCCACAACGGGGTGAGCTCCCGTCGCTCGGTCCCTGCTCCTGCCAACCTAGCAGTTCAAAAGCACGTCAAAGTGCAAGTAGATAAATAGGAACTGCTCCGGCGGGAAGGTAAACGGCGTTTCCGTGCGCTGTTGTGGTTCGCACATGTGTTGCAGCACTCATCTCGCTTTATTGGCCGAGGGAGCCGGCGTACAGCTTCCGGGTCATGTGGCCAGCATGACTAAGCCGCTTCTGGCGAACCAGAGCAGCACATGGAAACGTCTTTTACCTTCCCTATTTATCTACTTGCACTTTGACTTGCTTTCGAACTGCTAGGTGGGCAGGAGCAGGGACCGAGCAATGGGAGCTCACCCCGTCCCGGGGATTTGAACCGCCAACCTTAATACATCACACTTTTTCCCCCCTTGATAGTTTCTCCAGTACATGCCTTAACCTAGGGTGTGTGTTTTGTTGGAGACTGGCATTGCAAAATCCGGAGAAGGGCTGATTTGGAAGGCTTATCTGTTTCGGTTTGCATGCTTTTCCAGAAAGTGTGAATTAGGTGTGTTTGCCTTTCAATGAAAACTGACTTGAATTTCTCCCCCACTCCTCCCCACTGCGTATTCCCCTCTCTTCAAGATCAGAACTGTGTGTGCACAATTGGCATCCATGTGCAAGAGCCCAAGGTGCATAGAGTTTTCTGGGGATAGGAATCCTGATTAATCAGGATTTCCATTCTCAGGGAGGAAACATGTGTCTTCTAGAGACCCCATCCATGCATTTGGTGCTCAGAGGTATTGAATGCCTGAATAGGGTTTACATTTTCATTCAATTCATATCTCAGCAGCTTGTCTGCTTCTTCACTCAGCTTTGCCCCCCATGAACTACTACATCCTTTGTTTTCTTTTTAACATTTATTTTTAACATTTAGTCAAAAGTTACAATACAGCGAGTGAGGATTGGAGCGACCAATCTGTGATATTGTGACAGTGAACCAAACTGTCTTGAACAGCTACATCCCAAACAGTTGTGTAGTGTTTCGTAACATGGCTACAGGTCCCACAGATTGAGGGCCTAGCTAACCTGTTCCTAAAGTGTGGTTTCCATTGTCTTGGTTCTCATTCTTCGGACCTTTCTCCAAAATGGGTGAAGTGCTGCCTTCTTCAGAGACCTCAGAAAAGGTTTTCTAAAAAATAAAGAAAGAAAGGAGGAGGAAAAGAACTGATCAATAGAAGGTCAACGAAATCTTCATACCCAAGATTTGATTAGTCTCTTGACATATTAATCTACTGGCATACTCTCTTGAGCCAATAAACTTTGTTTGAAACCTGGGAAGATGGAGGCTCTGTGGGTAGGTGGTTCCCATGTTTGAGAAATTGGCAAGATACCTGTTATGGATGGCATTGCACTCCCACTAAAAAAGCAGGTGAGTAGTATAAGGGTGCTCCTAGAGGCCTCTGTAGCTACGAGTGCCTTTTAAAAGCTATGTCTGATTTGCCAACTATGGCCATTCCTGGACAGGGATAGCCAGTCTACTGTAGTCCATGCATTGGTAACCTCAAGGCTGGATTACTGTAATGTGCTGCATTTGGGGCTGCCCTTGGGTCCCGTTCAAAAGCTCCAGCTGAGGCATAATGCTTCTGCCAGACTTTAAAAAAAAAAAAATACTCCTACAGTGATGATAACAGGGCTTTCTGGTTCGCAGTGTTCAGCCACCATGCATCCTGTAGCAGAATGTTGTGGGAACCTAAGAGAAGTTTTATAAAAATTGTTGTTGTTGTTTAGTCATTTAGTCGTGTCCAACTCTTTGTGACCCCATGGACCAGAGCACTCATTATTTTCAGATAATGGAGGCATATAATTTGGACAAGAAAATTGGCTTCCAGGTGGAAAAATCAAAACTAGAAACAGAACTGTTAGAACCCAAAACTAAGATTTTGTCAAAGATGTATAACTTGCTGTTGAAATGAAATACTCAGGATGAAACGGTGAAATCTGCTATGATTAAATGGGCACAAGATGTTGGACATAACATAATGATGGCTGACTGGGAACAGTTATGGACCACAGGTATGAAGTTTACGACATGCAATGCCTTAAGAGAGAATATTATGAAAATGATATACAGGTGGTACATGACCCCAGTCAAGCTTGCAAAAATCTATCATTTGCCCGATAATAAATGTTGGAAATGTAAAGAAACTGAAGGTACATTCTTTCACCTTTGGTGGACATGCCCAAGGATTAAGGCTTTCTGGGAGATGATCTATAACAAAATGAAAAAGGTATTTAAATATACCTTTCTGAAGAAACCAGAGGCCTTTCTCCTGGGCATAGTCGGCCAATTGGTGTTAAAGAAGGATAGAACTTTCTTTATGTATGCCACAACAGCAGCAAGAATACTTATTGCAAAGTATTGGAAGACACAAGATCTACCCACTCTGGAAGAATGGCACATGAAGGTGATGGACTATATGGAATTGGCGGAAATGACTGGCAGAATCCGAGACCAGGGAGAAGAGTCGGTGGAAGAAGATTGGAAGAAATTTAAAGACTATTTACAGAAATATTGCAAAATTAATGAATGTTAGAATGATGTTAGAATGAAGTTAGGTGGTTTAAGCAGTAATGCTATAAAGGTGTATGAAAAAATGGATTGATAACAGGTGAAAATTCAAAGCTATATTATATTAAGTTAAAGGATTAAGAGAAAATAAAGAAGGAAAGAAATTGCTGAATTAACTAACTGAACTGGAATACAAAAAAGGGAGGTATGAGGAGGTCAGGGAAACAAGGATATGAATGTAAGGTATGGAAAGATTGATGTATTTTTTCTTTTAAGTGTTTTTCATTCTTTTATTCTGGATTTTGTATTTTTCTTGTATTTTTACTTCTGTTTATTGTTTTTGGTTTTTTTGGGTTTTTTTCTCCTTTTCTTTATGTAATTCCTCTTTCTGAAATTTCAATAAATATCATTTAAAAAAAGAAAGAAAATGGGATGCCCTATTCCATTATTATTATTATTATGATTCCCTGCCCATCTGACTTGGTTGCCCCAGCCATTCTACACAGCTTCCATTATATATAGAAACACAACAAAACATTTTTAAAAAATTAAAAACTTCCCTATAGGTGTCTTCTAAAGGCTGTGTAGTGACTTATCTCCTTGTCTCGGAGGTCACAACGGGAGCACGGCTGAGCAACTACGTACCCTCCCACTCCCAGAGGAGCCCCAAATTCACCTGCTTCTGTTGCATTTGAAAAAAGAGATGCCAGAAAACCACAGTGTGAGGCAGGTGACCTCCGTTTGGGCTGGGCTGCCTTTCCGCCGATATGAAAGAAGTTCTGCTCTGTGGAATTGTAGACGGGCCACTTCACTTCACTTGCCTCTGACCCAGTGGGATTCCTGTTGGGGCAACAAAGAAACCAGAGAGTAAAGAGCAGGTAATCAATAAATAATACAAGATAGATGGTGGTGGTGATGATGATGGTTTTTTTTAATTTATACCCCACCCATCTGGCTGGGTTTCCCCAGCCACTCTGTGTGGCTCCCAACAGAATATTAAAAACACAATAAAACATCAAACACTAAAAACTTCCCTAAATAGGGCTGCCTTCAGATGTCTTCTAAAAGTCAGATTGTTGTTTATTTCCTTGACATCTGATGGGAGGACAGGGTGGGTGCCACCACCAAGAAGGCCATCTGCCTGGTTCCCTGTAACCTCACTTCTCGCAGTGAGGGAACTGTCAGAAGGCCCTCTGAGCTGAGCGATGGGGGTGAAGATGCTCCTTCAGTTATACTGGGCCGAGGCCGTTTAGGGCTTTAAAGGTCAGCACCGACATTTTGGATTGTGCTGAGAAATGTACTGGGAGCCAATGTAAGTCTTTCAGGACCAGTGTTATGTGGTCCCGGCAGCTACTCCCAGTCACCAGTCTAGCTGCTGCATTCTAGATTAGTTGCAGTTTCTGGGTCACCTTCAAAGGTAGCCCCACATAGAGCGCATAGCAGTAATCCAAGTGGGAGATAACTAGAGCATGCACCACTCTGGCGAGACAGTCTGTGGGCAGGTAGGGTCACAGCCTGCGTACCAGATGGAGCTGGTAGACAGCTGCCCTGGACACAGAATTGACCTGCACCTAATAGGAGGATGATAGACAGACAGACTCCAACAAGTGAGAGATGTGGTCTGGGGTGGAAGGCTCGTGATGGTTGGATAGAGAGGCCTGGAGAATCACCTTTCTGTCCCCCTCGACTGACATTTCCTACCCTGCCTCTACAAAATTTTTGCAACAATAACATGCTGGGAAGTGGGATACCCGCACATTTCAAGCTGAACCACATTCACGACTTGCACAGAGATCAAAGGCAGCCTCTAGGACACAGATAAGCAGGAAGTGTTTGTTTTACGACGTGGAGGGATTAATGCCTTACCCGCTTCTGGCAAAGTCTGCCCAGTATCGCATCACTCGACGGCTCAATTCAGCATCCTCAACCGCCGCCTCTGATTGGTTTGTTTGCAACTCGGATGCCATGATTCCAAACAAGTAAGGCAACTCAGCTCCGTGGGGTGTTCCTGCCCACTTGGGCCAAGCGGGAGAACGGTGGTCGAAGTAGTAAACATAAACTGGGCTCTCGGCTCCTCCGACCTTTGCAGCAAACTCAGCCAGTGGACACACAAAGAAGTAATCTCCTAAAAACTGAGTCAAGGCCATTTGGTACTGTTCTGGCCCATGGCTCTCTTGGACGTACTTCAGTATTGCGGCATTGATGGCATTTTTTTTAGTTCCCTTTTTTACTGTTTGATTCACCCCTTCATAGAGCTGCTCCCTGGTAAGTATTGAATCGTTTCCTATGATGCTTGGAAATAGCATTAATACCATATGTGACCCTTCGTCAGCACTGACACCAGCGAGAATGGGTTTGCCCTGAACGCCACCAGTCTCCAGGAGCTTTTGGGGATCGTCTGGGATGAACTCCCCATCGGTTGTCAAAGCAAACATAGGTCCCAGGTCAGAATATGCCTTGCCTTCCTTTCCCTGTAGGCAGCTAACCATAGCACTGTGGTTAGCTGTAGGACACCCCATGAGGTCACTCACATTTACCGAAACTCTTAGGGCATCTTCAGGATTCCGCCAACCCCAGGGGGCATTGGGAACTCCACTCTGAAGCACAGCACGGGCAAAAAGGGGTTGGCTGGCCGGTGAAAACAGGTGGAAACCAACTGAGGATCCTCCAGCGCTTACACCAAAGAGAGTTATCTGGGCTGCATCACCACCAAACACAGCTGCGTTCTCACTCACCCACTTCAGAGCCAGATGTTGGTCCCACAAGCCAGCGTTTCCTGGGACATCTGGCGGCAGGTACAGGAAACCCAGGGTCCCCACGCGGTAATTCATGGAGGCCACAATGACATTCTCTGTAGCTGCTAACGAGGCCCCATTGTACATATCCAAAGAGGCTGTGCCACTGATAAATCCCCCACCGTAGATCCATAGAAGGATGGGCACTGGTTTGACGGGTTGTGGGTTGGGCACCCAGATGTTGAGAAAGAGACAGTCCTCTGAAAGTGGTGTGTTGGGAAATAATATGGTGGAATTAGGTAGGAAATCAATAATTGCCTGGTGGCAAGAGTTGCCAAAGGAGGTGGCCTCCAAGACCTGGCTCCACGGCTGATGTGGAACCGGCTTCTGGAAGCGCAGTTTGCCTATGGGGGGTTCAGCATAGGGGATGCCCAGGTAGGCGGTCACAGAGCCAGAGCCAGCTGGGAGCCACTTGCCTCTAATAGGACCACTGCTGGTGACCACCACAGTATCGTTTTCAGAGGCAGAGCTGGAAGCCAGAAGGAAGAGAAGGCAGAAGGAGGAGGGTGAAGTCCAGAATCGAGGCATAGCAGCTGCAGGTGAAAGAATAAGAAATGGGGTTAGGGTGGGGAACACAACAATATATTATTATATATTTCTTTTAGAAATGCTGCAGCCACATGGCAGTCTATTCTGTTCTCCAGATGTTTCCCAGACTCTTGTTTTCCACATCGTATTTCAGCTTTCACATGACATACAACCGCATCTGGAAATCTAGTGGGGTATGGTGCATGTTTAGTGCATTTCTACTTTATTTGCAAACTGTTTTTTTTCCCACCCAGAAGCAAACAGCATGAAAAGTGGTGCTAAACTTGCACCATATTCTGCTACATTTCCAGAAGTGCCAGGGATGTGGGTGGCGCTGTGGTCTAAGCCACTGAGCTTCCTGGGCTAGTCGATCAGAAGGTCGGCGGTTCGAATCCCTGCGACGGGGTGAGCTCCTGTTGCTCTGTTTCTGTCAACCTAGCAGTTCAAAAGCACACCAGTGCAAGTAGATAAAGAAGTACTGCTGTGGCGGGAAGGTAAATGCGTTTCCATGCACTCTGGCACACGTCATGGTGTTCCGTTGCACCAGAAGCGGTTTAGTCATGCTGGCCACATGACCTGGAAAGCTGTCTGTGGACAAACGCCAGCTCCCTCAGCCAGCTCCCTCCAACCCCAGTCGCCTTTGACTGGACTTAACCGCCCAGGGGTCCTTCACCTTTATCCTTTTTTACCCAGAAGTGCCCTTCATGTGAAAGCTCAAATGAGGTGCAGAAATTAGCAGGGAAACAGCATGAAAGAAAACTGCAATGTGAATGCAACCCAAGTGAACCATATAAACAAGATGGGGAATCTGTGCCATTCCACGTGCTGTGGGATATCAGTTCCCATCAGCTTCAGCCAACATGGCCAATTGTCAGGTCAGTAATGCAACCCAGGATTGGAGAGAGGGGGAGACCAAGGAACCGATACCAGTTTTTTAAAAGAAAGAAAGAAAGAAATGGCTTGTTGATTTCATCTTCTCAAGAATTCTCAATATACTGGTTGGTGAAGGATACTGTGTGAGAGGCGAGGAAGTGAGGATCTCCCAAGCTGGGAGAAGAATGGGAAACTCCCAAGTGAAATCTGGGAGTCTTCACTTCCTTCTGTTTGGGATAAGGGCTAATACATACCTGTGAGAAAGTACCTTCGTTCTTTCTCCTTCTCTCTTATTTATTTTTGTTCAGATCAGTTTGCTTTTTCATGTAATCTATTATAAAAACTTTTAACGAAACCTTAATTATAAAAGATATTCCCATCTACAACACAACTGCACATTCTCTGCAGTGGTGTACTTACCAAATATCTTTGCTCTGGATGCAAGAAGGGGGCAGTGATGGAGGCTTCAGACTGCTCCTTGGGGGTGCTGCAAGGAAAGCAGTTTCACCTCTGCAGTTCTTACACTCTCTTCACCCTCTTTGAGACTGATGTGTTGGTCGCTGGTGCTCCTTTTGTATTGTAAGGCCCGTGTGGCAACAGCATCTTCCAGGAATTGCAAGGCTCCTGTGTTATGTTTCATGCCCACATCCGGGTGCCCTTAAGCCACCAGGTACAACTGCCCTGAAAAGTGACATTCTTTCTTCTAATGAATGTTGTTTCACCATCACAACCGCCGACATTTTAAGTCACCAAGAATTACGTAACGTTTTAACTACTGGTCATTCAATTGGGTCTTGCGTCAGAGCTAGCATCCGAATTGCATGGGGGTGAGGGGGTCTGAATGATTCTGAATTCCATCCTCTAGTTCCTTTGGGCCTGGTGATGAGGGGGGGAAACTCATATACAGTGGTACCTCAGGTTAAGAACTTAATTCGTTCTGGAGGTCTGTTCTTAACCTGAAACTGTTCTTAACCTGAAGCACCACTTTAGCTAATGGGGCCTCCTGCTGCTGCTGTGCCGCCGGAGCACGATTTCTGTTCTCATCCTGAAGCAAAGTTCTTAACCTGAGGTATTATTTCTGGGTTAGCAGAGTCTGTAACCTGAAGCGTATGTAACCTGAAGCATATGTAATCCGAGGTACCACTGTATGTGTTTGCCTTGTACATTTATGAACGTTCATTTTATATTTGGGACCTTAGAATTCTTATAACACAGGCATACTAAAGTACAGTATCCAGAAGTGGACCTAAAACCTTAGCTCTCACTCCAATGTATGCTCATGGACAGACCGCATAATGGGACAACTGCTTTAATAAACACACCCGTCTGAAAAGCCACATCCACAGACCTGGGAGTCTGTAACCTGAAGTGTCTGTAACCTGAAGCGTCTGTAACCCAAGATACAATCGGAAGAGCACGAGACTCTGAATCTCAGGGTCATGGGTCTGAGTCCCATGTTGGGCATGGCAAAGAGTCTGACTACATGACCCTTGTGGTCCCTTCAAACTCTACAGTTCTATGATTCGATGGCCTAGTATTAAAATTACAAATGTTAAGAACATCAGAGGAGCCTGCTGAATCAGGCCACTGCCCCTTCTAGCCCAACATCCTGTTCTCCCCATGGCCAACCGGATGCCTGTGGGGAAACCCACAAGTGGAATCTGAGCATACGAACCCTCTCTCCCGCCTGTGGTTGTCAGCAACTGGTATTCAGAAGCCTCGCTGCCTAAAACTGTGGATACAGAGCATCTGCATCTGTACCGCGGCCGTTGCGCGATTTCTGTTCTCATCCTGAGGTAAAGTTCTTAACCCGAAGTACTACTTCCAGGTTAGTGGAGTCTGTAACCTGAAGCGTCTGTAACCTGAGGTACCACTGTACAGTGGTACCTCGGGTTACAGACGCTTCAGGTTACATACGCTTCAGGTTACAGACTCCGCTAACCCAGAAATAGTGCTTCAGGTTAAGAACTTTGCTTCAGGATAAGAACAGAAATCGTGCTCCGGCGGCGCAGCAGCAGCAGGAGGCCCCATTAGCTAAAGTGGTGCTTCAGGTTAAGAACAGTTTCAAGTTAAGAACGGACCTCCGGAATGAATTAAGTACTTAACCTGAGGTACCACTGTATAAGTGATTCTTCATGCAGGGGAACTTCCAGCTATCAATACAGTGGTACCTCGGGTTACAGATGCTTCAGGTTACAGACGCTTCAGGTTACAGACTCCGCTAACCCAGAAATAGTACCTCGGGTTAAGAACTTTGATTCAGGATGAGAACAGAAATCGTGCGGCGGCAGCGGGAGGCCCCATTAGCTAAAGTGGTACCTCAGGTTAAGAACAGTTTTAAGTTAAGAACGGACCTCCAGAACGAATTAAGTTCTTAACCCAAGGTACCACTGTACCATAATTGATCTGGGAGGGGGAGGAAAATGAGCACCTGGGATTCTGTTGTATAAGTGTTTGCTAATGCAGGGACCTTTGACACACTTCCAGCGTTGGTCTGGCCAAACATGTTATGCTCCCGCTTTAAGCAATATGGTTGCTTTTCTGTCACTCTCATCAGAAGGCCAAGGTCTCTGTGGGGCCTTCATCAAAAGCAGCAGCAAAAAAATTAAAAAAAATGCACTCAGGTCCCAGCAGCTTCCAGAAGACGCAGACCTGGCACAGTGTCAGGCTTAATCCGATACAGCTACTCTATTGCATGCACAAAACATTCTGTGACTGCTGGGTGTCATCAGTGCTGGATTTACGCATGAGCTAAACAAGCTATAGCTAAGGGCCCCACTCTCTTGGGGGCCCCCAAAATAATTAAAAGAAAAGAAACCTGGATGTACATTTCCAAAATATAAGATAAAAAACATTTCCTTATGTGCAAATGGCTTTAGATACCTATTAGGTCCATAAATTACCATATAGCATATATTCAACACAAAAAACAGCAGCAATTTGTTGTTGACAAAGAACAGCTGGACACACAAAGGGCCCCATTACCTTCAGTAGCTTAGGGCCTCATCGAACCTAAATCCAACCCTGGGTATGTAGGCTTTAGCAGGATCCAGATTAGCAATGTGCAACTCAAAGTCTGTTCCAGCTTTTATGTTCTGTGTGTCTGTTCCAGATTTCATGCTCCGGTTTCTTTAGGGACGTTTTTAATATTTGATGTTTTATCGTGTTTGTAATATTGTGTTGGGAGCTGCCCATAGTGGCTGGGGAAACCCAGACAGATGGGCGAGATATAAATAAATTATTATTATTATTATTATTATTAAGCAAATAATCTGTAGGAAATAATCAGGTCCCAGCAGCTTCCAGAAGACGCAGACCTGGCACAGTGTCAGGCTTAATCCGATACAGCTACTCTATTGCATGCACAAAACATTCTGTGACTGCTGGGTGTCATCAGTGCTGGATTTACGCATGAGCTAAACAAGCTATAGCTAAGGGCCCCACTCTCTTGGGGGCCCCCAAAATAATTAAAAGCAAATAATCTGTAGAAAAATGAGAAACTGAAGCGGACAAATTTGCTTCTGTAGAATGAGAAAAACTCCTGATGGATCTAGGGTCAGCCTTAGCATTAGGGCAGAGAAAGACTATTGCCTTAGAAGGCTGATGCTGGAGTGATGGGGAGTTTCAGCAAGTGTGCGCACGCATGCACACACACACACACACACACACACACACACACCACTCCTCCTGGAAACCATGGAAAAGATGGGCAAATCTGTCCATTTCAGTTTCTCATTTCTTCCCTTCTTAAATTCAGTTCTCCACATTTCCACATCAGTTGGTCATTTTCTAAAAGAACATCCTCGTGAAAATTCACGTGCATTTTAGTGTGAATGTCCCTCCTAATATATACATTTTTATGCAATTTTGCCCAATACTCATATCTCTGCAAACTAATTTCCCCTAATATAACACATTTTTATGTCATTTTCTCCAATATATGCCTTTCTACGCACACTTTACCCTAGTAATATGTGTTTTGGTAAACATTGCTTGACTGGAAAATTGCATTGCAAAATTCAGAGAATTGCACGTTTTGAAGGATGTCTGTGCTTTGGTTGGTATGTTGCAACAGAAAATGTGAATTAGGTAAACTTGCCTTTCAATGCAAACTAAATGGAATTTCCCCCTCATCCCTGTCAGCATTCCCCTCAGTAGGAGATTAGGGCTGTATGTGCCACAAGTTATGCAAACCAGGAAGCTAGGCGCTGCCCTCAAATTGCCAGTGTTGAAAGTAGTGGTCATTGAATTATGGATCAGTCGATTTCTTGTCCAGATAAGTCTTGCGTGCTTCATTTAAGTTTTATTCATCTTGGGTACTTACCTCGGGTTAAGAACTTTGCTTCAGGATGAGAACAGAAAGCGTGCTCCGGCGGCGCGGCGGCAGCAGGAGGCCCCATTAGCCACAGTGGTGCTTCATGTTAAGAACAGTTTCCGGTTAAGAAAGGACCTCCAGAACGAATTAAGTACTTAACCCGAGGTACCACTATATATGGAACAGGGAGACAGTTCCATAGAATCATAGAGCTAGAAGGGATCCTGAGGTGGACGGACGAGAAGGCTCTCGGGTTCCCTTCGAACTCTACAATCCTATGATTCTAACCACCCTGAGGGCTGACATTCTTCTTCCAGTAAATGTTACATCACTGCCTCACCTGCTGATGTTTTAAGATTATTTCAGATAGCCATCAGATAGCTGTCCCTCTTTAGTCATCTTGCCTGGAGACTAGGTTCATTCAAAAAAAATTTCCATTCAGGCAGGCATCATTGTATGTGCAAATTCACAAAACCTTCAGGCTCTTTTTGCAAAATAATAACTGACTAAGATGTGTTACAGTCAGGAGTGACAGGAAGGCCAACCTTCCAGATGTTGGCACAGGCAAACCAAGGGATTTGCATGCAGTATGGCATGCTGCTATTTTATTTAGAAGACAGAAATGTATGCAATATCCCCCATCTTTGGTTGCCCCCAAAATATGGAAATCTGAAATGATGATGATGATGATGGGGGTGGGGATAATTTTCTCTGATTCTCCCAGAATTAGGTTAACCATAGTGACAAGTCCCTAGGGTCTATGAAGTCCCCAAGGATCACATTCAGCAGTCGCCACACCTGAGGTTCACCACACCTTTTACTCTTCCATATTTTGTAGAAAATGGGGTTTTCATATGGGCAGTGAATATCGGCCAACTGACCATACGTTCAGTATGGCCTTAGCAATGGGTCCCATTTGATGAAACTGTTTATTTTTTAATCAATTTCTATTTTGCCCTAAAAGGCTCTCCAGGTTCTTTTAAATGTGGGAAAGATATCACACTTCACCATCACAATGCTGCAATACAATAATACCACACATTTATATTTAAAAACAAAACAAAACAAACCTTTCTCCTCAATGCCATCATTTTTTTTATATATATATAATGTTTATTGGTTTTACAAAAAAATACAAAAATCACAAAAACGAAAAACAACAACCACAAAGAAAGAAAAAAAAAGAAAAATAGTAATAACAATAAAAAATAAAAAATTTAAAATTTATACTTTCATTTAACCTTAATATCCTCTCCTTAATTCTTTGACCTCCTCACACCTCCCCGCTTGTATTCCCATTTAGAAAATCCTTTCAGCAAATCCTTACCCTCTTTCCTTTATCTTAACTCAAAAACTTAACCTATTTGTAAATAAATGTTTTTACATCATTGTCAATCAATATTTCCATACTCTTAAACGCGAGGCTTTTACCAATACCAGTTATTTTGAATCAGACCTCATTTTAACATTCATTAATTTTATAGTATTTCTGCAAGTAATCTTTAAATTTCTTCCAATCTTCTTCCACCGACTCTTCTCCCTGGTCACGGATTCTGCCAGTCATTTATATTTAAAAACAAAACAAACCTTTCTCCTCATTGCCATCATTAACCATAACGTCTGAAACCGGAAACGAATATCTTAATATGGGTGCGAGAGTTTTAATCTGTTTTTAGTTCACTGATAACTTTTTTTTAATAATATTTTTTGTTGTTAATTCTTCTTACTGATACTGTTATTGTTTTATCTTTTTGTAAAACACTTTGAGTGTCTTTTAACAGTCAAATGGCATATACATTATCTGCAAAAAATAAAAAATAGGACATAGAACAACAGCTTTTATAGGACCGTAAACACCCTTTAAGGTGGCAAGGGACTCTTTCCAGCTTTTTCTGATGTTTTGATGGTTTCTAGTCCCTGTAGCATCCTTAGCACGTATAGTTATTCATTACTGTACTATTCATACCTATTTCATTTATTTAGCAGAATTTTTGGTACCTCTAAATTATGAATGCAACAGGTAATCGGATATATCACATCTCTCAATCATGCACATCTATCCTAACAGCTACACCTTAAATGGAGAAATTGAAAGGAGGCTCCTTCTTCCTCAAATCTGCTGGGGCATCCACACCCAGTTACTCAAAGCATCATCAAACTTTACTTCAGCCATTCTATGGGTGAAGTTTATCCAGAATTACTGCTGTACAGTTGGGCAGAAGGGGCTATCATTCAAAACACCCAAGACAAACCCAACCAAAAGAAGGTAAAAAAACAACAACATTGACACTGCTAGAACTCAAGTTTCTGATTTACATTCCTATGGCAGGTCTTCTACCTGTTCTCCAAAGAACATTCCCCCTTTCTCATTCATTTTTAGAGGCACTCTGATTTGTGGTCTAGAGTTGCTGTGCCTCCAGTTTTTGGTAATGTTCTGAGTTAAGCCCCATAGCCAGCTCACATCACATTTCTGTTCCTTACAGAATCACCCTGATGGGGTTCTCCTGCTCCTCAGTATCCCCTGCAGCTCACTCTGAAGAGGAAAGTTAGGTACTGCTGAGGATCCAGACTCTCGTATGAAAAACACCTGGTCAGGGAGCATCTGCCCATCTGTACGTATGCAAAAGTTAATGACCGACTGGCTTTGCTCACCCAGTGGGATGAGGCTTCACCTTGGCAGCATCAGAATGTAGGCCGGGGGTCAAAGAGACCTTGCTTTTACATAAATTGGGAGAAGGTGCAGGGGGAAAGACAAAGGGCTGCCTCCAAAATAAGTCATACTCAGAGGAGATCCACCACAATTAAAGGACATGACTATTATAGGACGATTGATTTCCATGTGTCTACTCTGAGTAGAACTTAAAAGGATTCAGCCCAAGGTTATTGCAATCCTCCTATCCTTTGGCCACAGAGTAATACCAATGTCCACAAATACAACCAATGAGTAGCCTGGCTCTCAGAACAAAATGCAGTGCTTAAGTGAATAATAGTGACTCTTCTGTCAGCACCCAATCCATGGACTGGCTGGACACAGAGAAGTGGTAGAAGGCACCAGGTAGGTAACCCCAAGGGAAGAAGGATCAAAGCCCGGGGATTGGTGGTGGGATGACAATGAGTGGTCAGATGGAGAAGAAGGAGCAGACTGGGAGGAGGAGGTGTTGGAATCTGAAGAGGTAACAAGGTTCAGTAAGCAGGAAGAGTCTGTGGCCAAGGGAAGCCCAGAATCAGAGGCAGAAGCAGAAGCTGGAGAGGAGGGGGGGGGCAATAGGTAGAGAAGAGTCAGGCTGGTGAAGAAGCCAGGGTGTCTTCCACTCCTGCTGGAAGACCAGGGTGTCTTCCACACCAGCTCTCCCGCCCCCTGTTCTCCTAGAACCAGAAGAGTTATGAAGAGGGATGAGTAAAGACAGGCACAATGACAGAGTCTCAGATTGCTTAGGAAGGATTTGGGGGAGGAGGAAACATAAGCATCTATGGCAGCCTTTCTCATCCTGTGGGTCCCCAGATGTTGAACTACAACTCCCATTACCCCTAGCTAGCAAGGCCAGAGCTCAGGGATGATGGGAGTTGTAGTCCAACATCTGGGGACCCACAGGTTGAGAACCGCTGATGGGAAGGTGATTACTGTGATTACTGAATTCAGTGATTACTGAATTGGGGATGAATATATCAGTGGATTTCTTCTCCAGTCTTGCATGTTTCACTTAAGTTTTGTTCATCACTTCAACCCACCCTAAAGTGTAAAAAAAAAAATCACTTTAAAAACTACACAGCATTTGATTTACTTTTGAAAGTGTTTCCCTCCCACGAAATGTGCATTTTGTACATGTTTCGGTGTTCTGTACATATTTAGACTTAATGTATCCGTTTTATATGCATTTTGTTATGTTTTTGAGCTGAGATCTGGACTGCAGTATTTCGTGTACTGTGAAAATCAAATGATAACTGTGTTCTGATCTGCATATCATTTCCAATAGCATTGGCTCAATTTAAAAATGCAGATGGAAAAGAAGTTTCAAGCATCCCTATTATGAATATGTTGTTGTGGAAGCATTAAAATCCTATAAATGGGATGGAGGCAATGGGGTTGATCCAGCTAACCTCTAATAGAATAAGGCTGTCCTCACACCATTCCCTTCAGTTTTTCTGCCAATCAAGCAGTCAATATCCATATATACAAAGTGTGCCAGATTCCCATTGTTCCAGGTCCCCATTTTTCTTGAAGAAACATAAGTATTCTGGAGATACCAAATGCCTGAAGAGGGTTTACATTCTTATTCAATTCATATCACAGTGATTTCTTCCTTCGTTCAGGTTTGTTGCAATGAATAGATATGCTATGTTTTGTACATGGCTCCAGATCCAACAAAGTGTGGGCCTAGCTAAACTGTTCCTGAGGCCTGGTTTTCGCCATCTCGGGCCTCATTCTTCACATCTTTCTCCTGAATGGGTGAAACACAGCCTTCTTCAGATTTCCCTGCAAATGGAAAAAAGAGAGGGTAGGAGGGAAGAACTGATCAACAGAAGATCGCTCCTCATGCAGGAGATCTGATTAGTTTCCTGTTTTAAATCAAAAGCAGGCCGAAATCCTCCCACTCTGAATTGTTATGGTACCCTTTGTGCCCCATTGAAGATAGGGTCCTAAGCTCTTTCAAGGGCAAAGTACTCTGAGGTGGCTGCGGGGAGCAAGTATTCCCTTCCTCTGCTCACTTTTTAAAGAAAAGGTCTCACCGTGGTGAATCCTACACTGATGACAGCAAAGCTTTTTGATCCTCAGGCTCCAGCCATCATGTCTCCTGTACCAGAATGCTGCGGGGACTAAAAATGAATTTTAAAAAATGAAAAAGGAGGATAGGGAACACATGACCCTCCAGATGTTGGCTTGTAATGCTCATCCTTGACCACTAACCACTATGGATGAACAGATCTGCCCATTTTGGTTCTCCCAGGTTCTCATTTCTCCGTTCTTAAATTCAGTTCTCTGCATTTTTCACACAACTGGCGATATATATATATATATATATATATATATATATATATATATATTCATGAAAATTTGTGTAGCAGATAATATGATGTGGTTCAGTTGGTAGCTTAATATTCTCGCTGTATTTTTAATGTTTCATAAACCCAGAGGTTAAGCCAGTGATGGCGTCGGGAGAGGAGCAGGAACCTTGGAGCTCTGAAGGAACAATACTGCCATGGGGAGTTTTTAGAGAACTCACTTGCTTCTAATGCATTTGCTAGATGAGTGGCCAAGAAAGCACATCGTGGACCAGGTGGCATCCATTTGTGCTGGGCTGCCTCTGTGGTGATGTGGAAGATGTTCTGCTCTGTGGCGTTGTAGACAGGCCACTGTTCCTCATTCGGCGCAGACTCAGTGGGATTCCTATAAAGGCAACAAAGAAATCATTGCCACATTACAACTTCAGACTGATTTAAGGCTGAAGCATCCAGCACTTACATGATTGTCAGCATCGAGTTGTCATCCCTAGAATATTTTCAGTCCTGAAATCCCACCAATCAGTTGTCAAACGGAGAGGGGCATTAAACGTATTAAAGGGTATGTCTGTATATATGGGCTGGCATACTTAGTCCTTGGCACAGAAAGGTGAATACCTTACCCGCTTCTGGCAAACTCCGCCCAGTATCTCATCACTCGCCGGCTCAATTCCACCTCCGCCTCCGATGGATCTTTCCGCAATGATACTGCCAAGTTTCCAAACAAGTACGGGATCTCTGCTCCATGGGGGGTCCCTATCCACTCTGGCCAAGGAAATCCAGAACTGCGGTGGCTGAAGGAATAAACATAAACTGGGCTCCCAAGCTCCCTGGCCTTTGCAGCAAACTCCATCACTGGGCATAAAAAGGGATAATCTCCCAAATACTGAATCAAGGCCAAACGGTACCGCTCTGGCCCATGAAAGTATTCAACATACTTCAGGGCTATAGCCCTGGCAACCTCTTCGGTTTTCAGAGTTTCCAGCACCCCCTCAAGAAGCTGTTCCCAGGTCAGGATCCCATCATTTACTTCAGCACTAGGAAGCATAAGGTATGCCAGGAATGAGTCTTCATTAGCCATGACACCAGTAAGAATGGGTTTGCCTTGAATGCCTCTCTCCAGGAGCTTTCTGGGCTCATCGGTGAGAAATTCCCCATCCGTGGTTATTGATCTGATACCACAAAGTTCAGAAAGTGCATGGCTCTCAATTTCCTTCCCCTGTAGGCAGCTGACCATTGCACTGTGGTTAGTTTTAGGACACCCCATGAGCTGACTCACCATCGCTGATTCTCTTTCAGCCTTTTCCGGACTCCTCCAGGCCCAGTGGGCAGTGGGGACTCCACTATGAAAGACACCACGGGCAACAAGGGGTTGGCTTGCTGGTGAAAGTAGGTGGAAACCTGCTAAAGCTCCTCCTTCACCTAAGCCAAGGAGAGTCAACCGAGCTGGATCCCCGCCAAAGACAGCTGCATTCTCACTCACCCACTTCAGAGCCAGATGTTGGTCCCACAATGCAACATTTCCTGGGGCAGCTGGCGGCAGGTACAGGAAACCCAGGGTCCCCATGCGGAAATTTAAGTTGCACACAATGACATTCTCTGTAGCAGCTAATAAGCCTCCATTTAAGACATCTGCTGAGGCTGAGTTCATGCTAAAACCCCCACCATGGATCCATACAAGGATGGGCACTGCTGTGACTGGCCGTGGATGGGGCACCCAGATGTTGAGGAAGAGGCAGTCCTCTGAAAGTGGCGTGTTTGGAGTCCATATGGGTCGATCAGGGAAGGAATCGTTATTAAACTGAAGGCAAGAGTTGCCAAAGCTGGTGGCCTCCAAGACCTGGCTCCACGGCTGATGTGGAACCGGCTTCTGGAAACGCAGTTTGCCTATGGGGGGCTCAGCATAGGGGATGCCCAGGTAGGCGGTCACAGAGCCAGGGCCAGCTGGGAGCCGTTTGCCTCTAATAGGACCGCTGCTGGTCACCACCACAGTATCATCTTCAGAGGCAGAGCTGGAAGCCAGGAGGAAGAGGAGGAGGCACAAGGAGGAGGGTGAAGTCCGGAAACAAGGCATAGCGGCTGCAGCTGAAAGAATCAGAAATAGGAGTGGCATGGGGCAGCAGCGTAGGAAGGGGGGCAGGGGGGGCAGGCCACCCCAGGTGCCATTACGGAGGGTGGTGACAAATTCTCAAGGAACAATTACTGCCCTACTAGGGCGGTTCATAAAAAAACTTTTTTTACAAAAATGCCTGCTCCAAAGGTCTTAACTTACTACACTAGGGATTATATAGCTATACAGTGGTACCTTGGGTTACATACGCTTCAGGTTACATACGCTTCAGGTTACAGACTCCGCTAATGCAGAAATAGTACCTCGGGTAAGAACTTTGCTTCAGGATGAGAACAGAAATTGTGCAGCACGGCAGCAGCATTAGCTAAAGTGGTGCTTCAGGTTAAGAACAGTTTCAGGTTAAGAACGGACCTCCGGAACAAATTAAGTTCTTAACCCGAGGTACCACTGTATATGATATTTCGTGCATATCAGTTAGTATCTTGACCCTCCTCCACAAAAATAGCTGTTTATTCAGCCGTTTTCTTATGTAGTGAAGGCTGAAATTTCAATTCAGTCGAGCAGGGTCAAGATATTAACTGATATTCATGAAATTTCAGATATAGCTATACAATCCCTAGTAAGATCATATATATATAAGTAAGATAAGACCTTTGGAGCAGGCTTTTTTTTAAAAAAAAAAAAAAGGTTTTTTTATGAACCACCCTACTGCCCTAACCTCTGCCCGGCTTCCCGGGTCCCGGAAAGTCGGCCTATGTGAAGAAAATGAGACTAGGCTGAGTAGATTCGGCCTTGCCTTGCCTTCACCCCGCCTCCTGCATGCAGCCGATTGGCCAGCTGGGTTGGGGGCGGGGCGAAGGCAAGGCAAGGCCGAATCTACTCGGCCTAGTCTCATTTTCTTCACATAGGCCGACTTTCTGGGCTGCTGGGAAAGCCTGCCAAGGCCGCTGCCTGTCGTGCGCACCCCCTTCAGGCCCCTATCCCCCTTGGGAAAGCCTCTGCTTCCCCCAAAAGCGGAGCGCATGGGACAGTGACAGTGCCACCGCCCAGTTTTGCCCATGCGTGGCACCAGGAGGAGGAGCTCAATGCCGCCCTGAGCACTCAGCAGGGCAGCCTCCCCTTTGCCCCCAATCTTCCCTGCATGAAGCTAGGACCTCCCAAAAGCAGTTGTGTAATTAAAAGAAGATGAGAAAAATCAGCAAAGCAATTCTGTGGCTAACTGACCAATTCCTTTAAGTAGGGTCTGTTAATGAAGTTCACACTTTTGACAAGCTGTCTGATGCTTTTGCAGAAAAATATTCCTAGACACAAGACTTTTATTTTTTATTTTTTAAGCCCTTTCGGTCTCCCATCTCGAGGCTAAGTACAGCAAACTGTACATTCCCATCCCTCTCCCCAAGGCTGGGTTGTTTACTTCTGTGTTCTTGTGTATCTGTGTCTCCCTTGTATCTATTAGCGACTCACCTTTCTTTGATATCTATGCTACTGATTACTTCTGCCGTTCCAATTTTAGAGAAAGTCTTTAAGTAAAAAAGGATCTGTACGATAGAATAACAGCGGTAACAATACATTGAAGACAAGTAAATATTTTGGGGAGGGTGGTCCCAGAGCCCTAGCACCACCACCCAAAGAGGATAAAATGGGTGGACTTTGGTACTCTTTTGTCCTCCCCTCCCCCAATGTCTCACTATCTGAGCTGGCTCCCTGCCTGTTGCGTTACATGCAGGGAAACCCGTGTGGGGTTCCTCTCTGTGTAAAGTCTTCAAGCTGTGCCTGCGCGTGCCTGACTAATCTGCCCCATTGTCAAAATTTATCTTTTCCCCCACCTCCAGTCTCCGTTGTTGCATGTCATGGCTGAGGGGAAAAACAGAAGAAGGATGGCCATCGGTCAGGGATGGTCTAGTTGAAATTCCTGCATTGCCCCAGGGGTTTGGCTAAATGACCTTCAGGGGTTCCTTCCAACTCTACAGTTCTCTGGGGCAGGCTTGTGCAGAGTTTTAGGCACAAGTTGGATGCAAGGGGTGCATAGGATTGCAGCCCATCTTATGCACCGTGGGCTCGGGAATAAGTCCCACTCATCATGATGAGATTAGATTGCTGCTGTGCAGTCCTGTTTTTTAAATAAATGTTTTCCTTTTCGGATAATACAGAGCATGGTGAAATCACAATAAATAAAACCTCCCCTTCAGTAGTTTCAAGCACTACTACAGGTTCCACATAATATCTGTACCGCATTGTTTACTGTGACAGTACCTGCACTTTGGAACTCCCTGCCTATTGCAACACAGCACGTGCCTTTGCGAGACTCTTTTCGGGCACCTGCTAAAAGCATTCTTCTTTAGGCAAGCATACCTAGATGCTTAGGAAGTTGAAGTAATTTCAATCTTAATATTTTAGCTTTTGTATGTTTTAAAGTAGGATTGTTAATTTTTCTTGATTCTACTGCTTGTGGTTTTTTTGTTTTTTGTTTTGGAAAACCACTTTGCAGGTTTTTAAAAATATTTTTTATTAAATAAATAAACAATAAATATAAATAAAATAACACAAGCCATCTCTCGATCATGCACATCTATCCTAACAACTACACCCTAAATGGAGAAATTGAAGAGAGTCCCCTTCTTGTTCAAATCTGCTGGGGCATCCACACCCAGTTACTCAAAGCATCGCCAAACTGTACTATTGGTGAAGCTTCTCCACAACTACTGCTGTACGGTTGGGCAGAAGGGGTTATCATTCAAATCTCCAAAGACCTCCAAACCTCCCACAAAAAGGGGTATGTGTGGGTAGGTGGGTATATATATATATATATATATATATATATATATATATATACACACACACACACACACTGACACTGCTAGAACTCAAGTTTCTGATTTCCATTCCTATGGCAGATCTTCTACCTATTCTCCCTTTCTCATTCATTTTTTAGAGGCACTCTGATTTGTGGTCTAGAGTTGCTGTGGTTCCAGTTTTTGGTAATTTTCTGAGTCATCCCCCATGGCCAGCTCACATCACATTTCTGTTCCTTACAGACTCACCCTGATGGCGTTCTCCTGCTCCTCAGTATCCTCTGCAGCTCACTCTGAAGAGGAAATTTAGGTACTGCTGAGGATCCAGAGACTCTTATGAAAAACACCTGGGTGTGGGAGCATCTGCCCATCTGTACGTAAGCAAAAGTCAATGACCAACTGGCTTTGCTCACCCAGTGGGAGGAGGCTACACCTTGGCAGCATCCGAATGTATGTCAGGGGTCAGAGAGGCCTTGCTTTTACATAAATTGGGAGAAGGTGCGGGGGGGGGAGACAACGGGCTGCCTCCAAAATAAGTCATATTCAGAGGAGATCCACTACAATTAAAGGACATTACTATGATAGGACCATTGATTTGCGTGTGTCCACTCTGAGTAGAACTTAAAAGGATTCAGCCCAAAGTTATTGCCATCCTCCTGTCCTTTGGCAACGGAGTAATACCAATGTCCACAAATACAACCAAACAGTAGCCTGGCTCTCAGAACAAGATGCAGTGCTTAAGTGAAAACCAGTGTGGTGTAGTGGTTAAGAGCGGTAGTCTCGTAAGCTGGGGAACCGGGTTTGCGTCTCCGCTCCTCCACATGCAGCTGCTGGGTGACCTTGGGCCAGTCACACTTCTCTGAAGTCTCTCAGCCTCACTCACCTCACAGAGTGTTTGCTGTGAGGGAGGAAGGGAAAGGAGAATGTTAGCCGCTTTGAGCCTCCTGAAGGGGAGTGAAAGGCGGGATATCAAATCCAAACTCCTCCTCTTCTTCTTCTTCTTCTTCTTCTTCTTCTTCTTCTTCTTCTGTCAGCACAAAGGGCTTGTCATGGGCCAGGAGTCGGCTTCACCTGCTGAGCAGCAGCCTGAAGGCGCAGAAGGCAGAGTGACTCCAACTGCTGCTGATCAACCTTCTTGCTCGTGAGGAGAACCAGATGGCTCCAGCCTCAGTCAGTTGCTAGAAACAACATCTATCTTTCCTGGCCAGACCTTGCTGCTTTTTGCTTCTTGTGACCCTGGACTCTCAGCTTCCTTGATCCTCTGGACTGTTTGACTATGTGAACTGAGATCCTCCTGACTTTAGGACTGGGGTGAACTTTGCGTACAGACTCTGCCTCCAGGCAAATACCCACCCACCCTGAGACTTGACTGGTTGGCTGGCCACTCCTGCCACTGAGCTCTACCATGGTTGGACAGCATGGGACTACAAGAGGGCTTGGCTCATAGGGGTTATTCTTCTTATACAGTGGTACCTCGGGTTAAGTACTTAATTCGTTCCGGAGCTCCACACTTAACCTGAAACTGTACTTAACCTGAAGCACCACTTTAGGTAGCACCACACCGCTGGAGCACGATTTCTGTTCTCATCCTGAAGCAAAGTTCTTAACCCGAGGTACTATTTCTGGGTTAGCGGAGTCTGTAACCTGAAGCATATGTAACCTGAAGCGTATGTAACCTGAGGTACCACTGTATTGTCTTCTGGATAGGAACCACAACAACCCCTCATTTAAGAAACCTGGAACTCCATTTTGGATTTTTAAGTAGCAGCTTTTGAACAATACGCACCCATTCCTAAGATATCATTACAGGCAATGATATTTATTCATATATCCTAAAAGCACCACTGTCTCCGCTGTCCATCATTCCAAGGAAACTGAATCCTGCATAAGCACTGCGATCCTGTTGGCATGCAACTCTTTCCAACGTGTCAATGTTTGAGGCATGCTGGGTTCAAACCTAGTTTTATCCCTACTTTTTTCCTGCGCTTTATGCTTCCACCACTCTATGAGGTTTATTCTTTTCTATACAGATTTACAACTATACCTGTAATGAATCCCAGTTTTCTCCCTCTGGTTGTACAAAGCCAGGGCTGAAGATCCTGTGGCCCTCCATCTATTGTTCAGCTGCAACTCCCACCAGAAGAGAATGGGTAGAGATAATAGCAAATGTAGTCCAACAAGATAGGAACGTCTACTGGGTCTCTGTTCCAGCATAAGCACTGAGTAGCCTGGTTCTACTGATACACTGGTTAACCAGTAGGTCACTTACATGGAGGTGAAGGAGACTCACTATGATTTCTTTAATTTTAATGCTGCTGAGAAAACATTTCAATTTTAAAAAAGAATGTGGCTGGTAAACTCTTTCCAGGCTATTTAAAATATAGATTATGTAAGTTAAGTTGCATGGGATCAGTTCCAATCTGTTACCCCAAAGGATGTGGACAGGCTGCTTGGACAAGTGAAACCAACCACTTGATCCTTCCCCATCCTGGCTTATAAAAGCTAGCCGGGAAGGGCTGGGCGATGGGCTTCGCGGGGTGGTGAATGCTTCTCTCTGCGAGGGAGCCTTCCCAGACCCACTGAAAGAGGCGGTTCTCAAACCGCTTCTTAAAAAACCATCTTTAGCTGTGGCAGTATGGCCAACTATCACCCAGTCTCAAATCTTCCATTCTTGGGCAAGGTGATTGAGCGAGTGGTTGCTGAACAACTCCAGGCTCACCTTGAAGAAGCAGACCATTTGGATCCCTTCCAGTCGGGATTCAGGCCTCATCATGGGACTGAAACTGCCTTGGTCGCACTGGTCGATGATCTCCGGCGAGCTAGGGACAAAGGTGAGAGCTGTTTCCTAGTTCTGCTGGATCTCTCAGCGGCGTTTGATACCATCGACCATAACATCCTTCTGGACTGTCTAGAGGAGCCGAGGGCACTGTTATACAGTGGTTCCGCTCCTTCCTCCTGGGCCGTGTTCAGAAAGTGGGAGGGGTGAGTGTTCAGACCCCTGTGGGGTGCCTCAGGGTTCTGTCCTTTCCCCATGCTTTTCAACATCTACATGCAGCCGCTGGGAGAGATCATCAGGGGGTTTGGACTGGGTGTCCATCAGTATGCGGATGATACGCAGCTCTACCTCTCTTTCAAATCAGAACCAGTGAAGGCAGTGAAGGTCCTGTGTGAGTGTCTAGAGGCGGTTGGAGGATGGATGGCAGCTAACAGATTGAGGCTGAATCCTGACAAGACAGAAGTACTGGTTTTGGAGGACAGGAGGCGGGCAGGTGTGGAGGACTCCCTGGTCCTGAACGGAGTAACTGTGCCCCTTAAGGATCAGGTGTGCAGCCTGGGAGTAATTTTGGACTCACAGCTGTCCATGGAGGCGCGGGTTAATTCTGTATCCAGGGCAGCTGTCTACCAACTCCACCTGGTACGCAAGCTGAGACCCTACCTGCCCATAGATTGTCTCGCCAGAGTGGTGCATGCTCTAGTTATCTCCCGCTTGGACTAGTGCAATGCGCTCTATGTGGGGCTATCTTTGAAGGTAATCCAGAAACTACAACTAATCCAGAATGCAGCAGCTAGACTGGTGACTAGGAGCAGCCGCCAAGACCACATAACACCAGTCTTGAAAGACCTACATTGGCTCCCAGTACGTTTCCAAGCACAATTCAAAGTGTTGGTGCTGATCTTTAAAGCCCTAAACGGCCTCGGTCCAGTATATCTGAAGGAGCGTCTCCACCCCCATCATTCTGCCCAGACACTAAGGTCCAGCGCCGAGTGCCTTCTGGCAGTTGCTTCACTGCGAGAAGCCAAGTTACAGGGAACCAAGCAGAGGGCCTTCTCAGTAGTGGCACCCGTCCTGTGGAACGCCCTCCCACCAGATGTCAAAGAGAACAAGAACTACCAGACTTTTAAAAGACATCTGAAGGCAGCCCTGCTTAGGGAAGCTTTTAATGTTTGATGCATTACTGTATTTTAATATTTTGTTGGAAGCTGCCCAGAGTGGCTGGGGAAGCCCAGCCAGATGGGTGGGGTATAAATAATTTATTGTTGTTATTATTATTATTAGTATTAAATGGGGTGGTTAATTAGAGGCCAAAGGAACAGTAATGGCAAAGTGAGTGTGTCACACAATAGCATTTGGCTCAGCTGCCAAATATTTTACACTCCCAGCACATCTGGGAACCTCGCTTCTTGGAAAGACCTGCTTCCATTTAACTATCATTCCTGTCATTCCTTTTAACAACAATAACAACAACAAAACACCAAACACTTGCATTATTTTTGAACGTATATATTTCCTCACAAAGTCTGCCTTTAGCTACACATTTCAACTGAGCACATCCCTTTTTAATATGCATTTTGGTATGTATCTGAGCTGAAACCCAGTATGCAATATTTAGTGAACTGTGAAAACCAAAGTCTGCCTGTGTTCTGATCTCCATATTTCTTTCAGGACGGACACATTTACATTTGTTCAATGAAAAATTCAGACGGAACAAAAGCTTCAAGGATCCCTAATCTTGATATCTTCTTGTGGTGGTTGGAAAATCCTATGAATGTGAACGATGACAAAGGGGTAATCCAGCTGCCCTCTGAGAGAACGAGGCTGTACTCACTTCATTCCTTTCAGTTTCAGTCCCACTCAAGCACTCGCTACCTGTTTATACTGAACGTTTGAAGAGCCTCTCTAGAATGCACAGGCTAGGCCTTGCTGCCTAGGGGATGCATGATTGACATCAGCATAAAGGAGTCCTATAGGCCATATGGAAGTGAGAGCTGGACCATAAAGAAGGCTGATCGCTGAAGAATTGATGCTTTTGAATTATGGTGCTGGAGGAGACTCTTGAGAGTCCCATGGACTGCAAGAAGATCAAACCTCTCCATTCTTAAGGAAATCAGCCCTGAGTGCTCACTGGAAGGACAGATCGTGAAGGTGAGGCTCCAATACTTTGGCCAGCTCATGAGAAGAGAAGACTCCCTGGAAAAGACCCTGATGTTGGGAAAGATGGGGGGCACAAGGAGAAGGGGAAGACAGAGGACAAGATGGTTGGACAGTGTTCTCGAAGCTACCAGCATGAGTTTGACCAAACTGCGGGAGGCAGTGGAAGACAGAAGTGCCTGGCGTGCTCTGGTCCATGGGGTCACGAAGAGTCGGACACAACTAAACGACTAAACGACAACAACAACATAGGCCATCTGTCATGGATGCTTTAGCTGAGACTCCTGCATTGCAGAGGGTTGGACTAGATGACCCTTGGGACCCTCCCAACTCTGATTCTATTATTCTATGCAGGTGGCTCCCTCCTTGGGGATGGAAACCCTAAATGAGCCCATGTCTTCTGCAGATCCCATTCATGCACTCAGTTGCCCAGAGTACCAAATGCCTGAGCAGGATTTACATTTTCATCAACTGCCTATCAAACCATTTTTCTTCAGTCAGTTTTGTCCCAATGAACAGCTGCGTTGTGAATAGTTGTGTTAAGGAGCAGGCCTAGCTGAAACTGTTTCTAAGGCATGATTTTTCCCATTTCAGAGCTTCCCGTTTCACTTGCTGCAAGATATTTCCTGTTCTGCCTTTCTAGGTTTCTGTCGCACTGTTCACATCTTTCTCCAAAGTAGATGAAGCAGGAACTTCTGGAGATTTTTCTGCGAAAGACAAAGGTGGGACAGAGGGGGGAAACTGATAAGCAGAAAGTCAAACAACTATCCATGCAGGTGATTGCTCAGTCTCCTGACTTGTTTTTTAAGCAAAAGCAGAATCCACCTCCCCACATTTTTACGGTACCCTTCATGCCCCACTGAAGATGGGGTCTTAAGCTGCTTCAGGGGCAAAGCTCTCAGAGGTGGCTGAGGGGAACAGGTGTTCCTTTCCCCCCTCACTTTACCAATTTATTTAAAAAAAAAAAACCATTGCCGCTACTCCTACAATGACAACAACAAGGTTTCCTTTTCCACAGCATGCAGCCATCATGCCTCCTGTACCAGAATGCTGTGGGAACTGATGAGGCCTTTTTTCAAAAGCAGAGGATGGGGAACCTGTGGCCCTCCAGATGTTGTTGACCTTTGGTGATCATCCCTGACCAGTACCCAATAAAGATAGACAGATCTGCCAATTTTGGTTCTCCCAGTTTCTCATTTCTTCATTCTTAAATTCAGTTCCGCACATTCCTGCAGCTGCCGGCAATTTAGGTGGACAAGGACTCATGAAAATATGTGTGGAAGATAATTTATCTATTCGTGTCGTTTTGTTAGGTTGTTTAATGTTCTTGCTGTTTTAATATGTTTCATTAGGCCAGTTGCCTGGGAAAACAAGGGAAAGAATTGAATTGTAAGCAAGTGAATGCTGAGGGTTTAGGGCAGCCTTGGCACCTGTTGCTAAAGGATTTGGGGTGTTGGGAGAATGACCTTTGGAGGGTGGTTAAGCCAGTGAGGGAAGAGGAGAAGAGGAACCTTGGAGTACTGAGGGAACAATACTGCTGTGGGGAGTTTGTGGAGAACCTTTGATAAAAGAAAACCGCCCTCAATTTCTTGAAGTGGCCATGAGGAGAACTGAACAGGACCGTGATGTGAGAAAGAACAGCTAGATGATGATTCGCTTTCAGCACTGGTGCCTGATATGCTGAGGCAACTCTTTCTTAGAGAGGGACATATTTGGGCCTTGTTCTAGAACATTCTGGGCTCACAGAAGATAGCACTGGTTTCAAATTTCAGAGGGCCCTTGAACAAAGCACACATCATGAGGCCCCTTCTCTTACCGAGTCAACCACCACTCTGGCATTATCACCGGTGGTATTATTCACCTTTCTCCTCATTGCTACCACCGGCTTGTTTGCCAGATGGAGAGGCAAGCAGACAGGGACATCCACTGCTTTGCCTTTTCACCCACCCACCCCTTGTCTGAGCCAGGGTGACAGGCAGGTGTACAAGCAGGTTGCAACGGTAAAGAAGAGAAGCAGGTGGGGACGGATCCTGTCCATGGTCCCTCTCCTGGGGTGTGGGCCCATAACATATGCCCCACAATGCCACCTCTTTGTGCAGCCCTCACAGAAGTGTTGCCTACTCTCAGTGATATCCCTTCTCCTAGTGGTTGCCCTGGGGGCATGGTTCTGATCACGCCAAGGCCACGGGTCTCATTCCCTCACGAGCCACCTGCCTATTCCTGTACTGCAGGGGCTTGCACTAAATGATCCTTGAGGTTTGTTCCAACTCTACAATTCTCTGGTTCTGTTCTGTGATTCTAATCCAGAGCTGGGAACTGCATATGGTTCCTTTCCTAAAAGGGCCCTAATCACACCTGTTTGTGTGGCCTTAGAATGCAAGGAGCTCAGGAAATCGCATTGTGGGCTAGGTGACATCTGTTTGAGCTGGGCTGCCACATCTGTGCCAATGTGGAAGAACTTCTGCTCTGCGGCGTTGTAGACAGGCCACTGTGCCTCATCTCCCATGGACCCAGTGGGATTCCTGTAGAGGAAACAAAGAAATCAGAGCCATATCTCAGCCTCAGATTGGTATGCAGGGTGAAGCTTCCAGTGTTGTATAATGCAATAAATAGATAAGCCACACCAGGATTTAAATGCTGTCTAAACCTTGCTCCCAGTGCTGCTGGGAGTGCTGTGCCACAAATAAAAGTTGCCCCATAGCGGACATCAGAACTGGGCAGCTGTGCAAGGATTCCAGTTGCTGACAGCAGTCCTGTATATGGGCAACAGATTCACGTTAGGAAAAATGGCTGTGTTTCTCAAAATGGTCCCTCCAACCCAGGATCACACATGCTGTGATAGAAGCTTACTCACAGGTGCAGCCAGGCATTGTCCATGATAACTACAGCAGAGGTGGAGAACGCCTTTCAGAGCAGGGGCCAAATTACCTCATACATAAGCTTTAGGGAGCCAAAAGTCGGCCGGTCAATGGATGTGACCCTTGCCTTGTACAATAGGCTACATTCCTGCCATGAAAACATCTATCTCTCCATCGAGGCATGCAAGAAATATTACCTCACTTTAAGGACATATTCCAGTCTGGGAAAAGCCCTCAAGGATGGCACAGAACCGAGCAGGTGAGAGGGGTGAACTGGGGAGGGAGACGCCCAATGACTGGACAGAGAGAATCCCACCCATCCTCCACAAAATGGAAGCCTTTTAGCAAAGGAAACATGCTGGGAGGTAGACAACCCACCACATTCAAGCTGAACCACATTCACAACCTGCGCAAAGGTGCCATCAATGACACAGATGATCCGAAAGTGTTTGATTAATGCCTTACCCGCTTCTGGCAAATTCTGCCCAGTATCGCATCACTTGGCGGCTCAATTCTGCTTCAGCGGCCTTCACCTCCGACCGGTTTGTTTGCAACACTAATTCCACGCTTCCAAACAAGTAAGGTACCTCAGCTCCATGAGGTGTCCCCGCCCATTCAGGCCAAATAGAGTCAGGATTGCGTTGGTCGAAGGAGTAAACATAAACTTGGTTCTTATCTTTCCCCACCTTCTCAGCAAACTCAAGCAGAGGGCACACAAAGAAGTAATCTCCCATATAATGACTCATGGCCAAACGATATTGTTCCGACCCATGGCTACCTTCAGTGTACTTCTGTATCACATCCTGGTCAAGATTTTGTTTGGTTGCTCCTTTCAAAGTTCCATTGACTGCTTTAAGGGCCTGCTCCCGGGTCAGTATTGCATCCTTCACTGTCATGTTAGGAAACATAAAAAATACCATAGTTGACCCTTCATCAGCAGTGACGCCAGTGAGAATGGGTTTGCCGTGAACAAGGCCACTCTCCAGCAGCTTTGAGGGATCATCTGGGAGGAACTCCCCATCCGTTGTCAATGAGAAGAAAGTTTGCAAGGCATCAAATATTTTGCTGTTCATTTCCAACCCCTGTAGGCAGCTTACCATAGCACTGTGGTTAGCTTTAGGGTACCCCACAAGGCCACTCACCATCGCTGAATCTCTTAGGGCATTTTCAGGATTCTTCCAACCCCAGGGGGCATTGGGAACTCCACTCTGAAGCACAGCACGGGCAAAAAGGGGTTGGTTTGCCGGTGAAAGCAGGTGGAAACCAACTGCGGCCCCTCCGGCACTTTCGCCAAAGAGAGTTATCCGGGCTGCATCACCGCCAAACACAGCTGCGTTCTCACTCACCCACTTCAGAGCCAGATGTTGGTCCCACAAGCCAACGTTTCCTGGGGCATCTGGCGGCATGTACAGGAAACCTAGGGTCCCCACGCAGTAATTCATGGAGGCCACAATGACATTCTCTGTAGCTGCTAACAAGGCCCCATTGTACATATCCAAAGAGGCTGTGCCAATGATAAAACCCCCGCCATAGATCCAAAGGAGGATGGGCACTGGTGTGACTGGCCGTGGGTGGGGCACCCAGATGTTGAGAAAGAGACAGTCCTCTGAAAGTGGTGTGTTGGGAAATAATATGGTGGAATTAGGTAGGAAATCAATAATTGCCTGGTGGCAAGAGTTGCCAAAGGAGGTGGCCTCCAAGACCTGGCTCCACGGCTGATGTGGAACCGGCTTCTGGAAGCGCAGTTTGCCTATGGGGGGCTCAGCATAGGGGATGCCCAGGTAGGTGGTCACAGAGCCAGAGCGCACACACACACACACACACACACACACACACACACCACTCCTCCTGGAAACCATGGAAAAGATGGGCAAATCTGTCCATTCTCATTTCTTCCCTTCTTAAATTCAGTTCTCCACATTTCCACATCAGTTGGTCATTTTCTAAAAGAACATCCTCGTGAAAATTCACAGGCATTTTAGTGTGAATGTCCCTCCTAATATATACATTTTTATGCAATTTTGCCCAATACTCATATCTCTGCAAACTAATTTCCCCTAATATAACACATTTTTTATGTCATTTTCTCCAATATATGCCTTTCTACGCACACTTTACCCTAGTAATATGTGTTTTGGTAAACATTGCTTGACTGGAAAATTGCATTGCAAAATTCAGAGAATTGCACATTTTGAAGGATGTCTGTGCTTTGGTTGGTATGTTGCAACAGAAAATGTGAATTAGGTAAACTTGCCTTTCAATGCAAACTAAATGGAATTTCCCCCTCATCCCTGTCAGCATTCCCCTCAGTAGGAGATTAGGGCTGTATGTGCCACAAGTTATGCAAACCAGGAAGCTAGGCGCTGCCCTCAAATTGCCAGTGTTGAAAGTAGTGGTCATTGAATTATGGATCAGTCGATTTATTGTCCAGATAAGTCTTGCGTGCTTCATTTAAGTTTTATTCATCAGTTCTTCCCATCCCAATGTGTGATAAAAGCACTTTAAAAACTATGTGAACATTTGCATTATATTTGAAACAGTTTCCCTCCCACAAAATGTGCATTTTGTACATGCTTTGTGCATTTTATGCATGTTTTGACTTAGCATATCTACCTTATATGCATTTTGTTATGTTTTTGCACTGAGAACCAGATCATAGTATTTAGTGTGCTATCGAAAACCAAATGATACCTATGTTCCATTTCCAGGATGTGCAAATTACATCGGCTCGATTAAAGAATGCAGACTGAGCAAACATTTCAAGGATCTTTATTAGGAATAAGTTGTTGGCAAAGCATTAAAATCCTATAAATGAGATGGAGGCAAAGCTAACCTCGATTAGAACAAGGCTCACACCATTCCCTTCAGTTTTTCTGCCACTCAAGCAGTCAGTATCTATATATACTTAGTGTGTGAAGAGGCTATCCAAAATTCACAGGCCAGTCTCACTGGCCATCCTACCTAGGGAATGTGTGGTTGGCACCGTTCCAGATTCGCATTCTTCTTGAAGAAACCCAAGTACAGTGGTACCTCAGGTTACATACGCTTCAGTTTGCATACACTTCAGGTTACAGACTCTGCTAACCCAGAAAAATTGCTTCAGGTTAAGAACTTTGCTTCAGGATTAGAACAGAAATCATGCTCTGGCGGTGCAGCAGCAGCGGGAGGCCCCATTAGCTAAAGTGGTGCTTCAGGTTAAGAACAGTTTCAGGTTAAGAACGGACCTCCGGAACGAATTAAGTACTTAACCTGAGGTACCACTGTATTCTGGAGATACCAAATGCCTGAAGAGGGTTTACATTTTTATTCAATTCATATCACAGTAATTTATTCCCTCGTTCAGGTTTATTGCAATGAATAGCTATGCTACCGTATGTTTTGTACATTGCTGCAGATCCCTCAGAGTTTGGCCTAGCTAAACAGTTCCTGAGGCATGGTTTTCGCCATCTCGGGCCTCATTCTTCACATCTTTCTCTTGAACAGGTGGTATACAACCTTCTTCAGATTTCCCTGCAAAAGGAAAAATAAACAATGGTTGGGGAAAGTAATTGATCAACAGAAGATCAAACCCCTTTTGCAGGCGATCTGATTAGTCTCCCAGTTTTTGTTTTCCATCAAAAGCAGGCCAAAATCCTTCCACCCTGGATTCTTATGGTACTCCTCATGCCCCATTGAAGATGGGGTCCTAAGCTGCTTCACAGGAAGTTCTCTGAGGCATCCAAGGGGAGCAAGTATTCCCTTCCCCAGCTCACATTTTTGAAAATGCTTTATCGCAGTGGCTTCTGCAGTGAGGCCAGCAAGGCTCCAGCCATCATGCCTCCTGTACCAGAATGCTGCGGGAACTAAAAATGAATTTTAAAAAATGAAAAAGGAGGATGGGGGACACATGGCCCTCCAGATGTTGTTGGCCTGTAATGCTCAACCTTGACCACTAACCACTATGGATGAACAGATCTGCCCATTTTGGTTCTCCCAGCTTCTCATTTCTCTGTTCTTATGATTCAGTTCTCCACATTTCTCCAGCAATTGGCAATTAAAAAAAACAAAACTCATGAAATGTTGGGTTGCAGATAACATAACTATTCATGTGGTGGCTCTTATTTTAATGTTTGATAAAGCCTGAAAAAGCCAGAGGATAAGTTAGTAAGGGAGTGGGGAGGAGAGTAGGGACCCTGGAGCACTGAGGGCACAAGACAGCTGTGGGGAGTTTGTGGAGGACCTCTGATAAGAGAAAAATGCCCCCTTTTAATAAAATCCCTTCTCCATCTTTTCATCTAGCAATTGCACTACTAAGGGCTGAAGGTTCCCAATCCAGAGCTGGGCATCCCCCCTTTCCGAAGAGAGCCCTGAACTCACTTCCTTCTATTTCATTTGCTAGATGAGTGGCCAGGAAAGCACATCGTGGACCAGGTGGCGTCCATTTGTCCTGGGCTGCCTCTGTGGTAATGGGGAAGACGTTCTGCTCTGTAGCATTGTAGACCGGCCACTGTTCCTCATTCGGCGCAGATCCGGTGGGATTCCTGTAGACGCAACAAAGAAATCAGAGCTTTATTACAGCCTCAGACTGATTTCAGGGTGAGGATCCAATGCTTGAAGAAGACAGAGCTGACATCAAAGTCAGAAGCAAGTAGTCATCCCTAGAACATTTTCAGCTCTGAAAACCACAGATCAGTTACTAAATGGGAACATTTAGATTTGTATACACTGAAATGTATGTGCACATGTTGTTGTTTTTTACGATGGTTTAATGATCCAGGTTCCGCCATTTACTTATTTTTATTTAATTAAGTGGATTGTCAGATGTCGAAGCAGTTTGCAGGAACAGAATAGATATTTTAAAATAATAACATTCAGAAGTTTACAAAAAGTAATCCAAAAAATTAAAAAAATTAAAGTATAAATAAAATCAGCAGCTGAAAATATTGTTGTGAGTCTGGGGGAGGGTAGCCTGCATGATCCCAGCATTCCTTGTAATTCTTGGGGTCCAAGACATACTGGGGGGTTAATGCTGTCAGCCTCTCCATCATAGCAGCAGGTTGTATATCTGTGTGTGTGCAAATAAACCATATATCCTAAAGACACAGCAGTCTTCATCCCAAGGAAACCAAACCAAGGTGAAACGCCTGGAACCCTGAAATCTAGCACCCCTCAGATATTGGGATGGTGTGCAACAAGATAATTACTTCATTTATTTTTAAAAACATAGTAAAAGGCATGTTGGCATATATGGGCAGGCATACTTAGTCCTTGGCACAGAAAGGTGAATACCTTACCCGCTTCTGGCAAACTCCGCCCAGTATCGCATCACTCGCCGGCTCAATTCCACCTCCGCCTCCGATGGGTCTTTCCGCAATGATGCTGCCAAGTTTCCAAACAAGTAGGGGATCTCTGCTCCGTGGGGGGTCCCTATCCACTCTGGCCAAGGAAAGCCAGAACTGCGGTGGCTGAAGTAGAAAGCATAAACTGGGCTCCCAACTTCTCTGGCCTTTGCAGCAAACTCCATCATTGGGCATAAAAGGGGATAATCTCCCAAATACTGAATCAAGGCCAAACGGTACCGCTCTGGCCCTTGAAAGTATTCAGCATATTTGAGGGCTATAGCCCTCGCAACCTCTTCTGTTTTCAGAGTTTCCAGCACCCGCTGAAGGAGCTGCTCCCAGGTCAGGATCCCATCATTTACTTCAGCACTAGGAAGCATAAGGTATGCCATGAATGAGTCTTCATTAGCCATGACACCAGTGAGAATAGGTTTGCCTTGAATGCCTCTCTCCAGGAGCTTTCTGGGCTCATCGGTGAGAAATTCCCCATCCGCTGTTATTGATCTGATACCACAGAGTTCAGAAAGTGCATGGCTCTCAATTTCCTTCCCCTGTAGGCAGCTGACCATTGCACTGTGGTTAGTTTTAGGACACCCCATGAGCTGACTCAACATCGCTGATTCTCTTTCAGCCTTTTCAGGATTCCTCCAAATCCAGCGGGCAGTGGGAACTCCACTATGAAGCACACCACGGGCAACAAGGGGTTGGCTTGCCGGTGAAAGCAGGTGGAAACCAACTGAGGCTCCTCCAGAACCGAGGCCAAGGAGAGTCAACTGAGCTGGATCCCCGCCAAAGACAGCTGCGTTCTCACTCACCCACTTCAGAGCCAGATGTTGGTCCCACAATGCAACATTTCCTGGGGCAGCTGGCGGCAAGTACAGGAAACCTAACATTCCTCCACGGTAATTCATGGAGGCCACAATGACATTCTCTGTAGCAGCTAGTAAGCCTCCATTTAAGACATCTGCTGAGGCTGAGTTCATGCTAAAACCCCCACCATAGATCCATAGGAGGATGGGCACTGGTGTGACTGGTCGTGGATGGGGCACCCAGATGTTGAGGAAGAGGCAGTCCTCTGAAAGTGGTGTGTTTGGAGTCCATATGGGTCGATCAGGGAAGGAATCGTTATTAAACTGAAGGCAAGAGTTGCCAAAGGTGGTGGCCTCCAAGACCTGGCTCCACGGCTGATGTGGAACCGGCTTCTGGAAACGCAGTTTGCCTATGGGGGGCTCAGCATAGGGGATGCCCAGATAGGCGGTCACAGAGCCAGGGCCAGCTGGGAGCCGTTTGCCTCTAATAGGACCGCTGCTGGTGACCACCACAGTATCATCTTCAGAAGCAGAGCTGGAAGCCAGGAGGAAGAGGAGGAGGCACAAGGAGGAGGGTGAAGTCCGGAAACAAGGCATAGCAGCTGCAGCTGAAAGAATCAGAATTAGGAGAGGCATGGGGCAGCAGCGTAGGAAGGGGGGCAGGGGGGGCAGGCCACCCCAGGTGCCATCATGGAGGGGGGGTGTGACAAATTATCAAGGAACAATTACTGCCCAACTAGGGCAGTTCATAAAATTTTTTTTTTACAAAAATGCCTGCTCCAAAGGTCTTAACTTACTACACTAGGGATTATATAGCTATACAGTGGTACCTTGGGTTACATACGCTTCAGGTTACATACGCTTCAGGTTACAGACTCCTCTAATGCAGAAATAGTACCTTGGGTAAGAACTTTGCTTCAGGATGAGAACAGAAATTGTGCAGCACGGCAGCAGCAGGAGGACCCATTAGCTAAAGTGGTGCTTCAGGTTAAGAACAGTTTCAGGTTAAGAACGGACCTCCGGAACAAATTAAGTTCTTAACCCGAGGTACCACTGTATATGATATTTCGTGCATATCAGTTAGTATCTTGACCCTCCTCCACAAAAATAGCTGTTTACTCAGCCGTTTTCGTATGTAGTGAAGGCTGAAATTTCAATTCAGTGGAGCAGGGTCAAGATATTAACTGATATTCATGAAATTTCAGATATAGCTATACAATCCCTAGTAAGATCATATATATATAAGTAAGATAAGACCTTTGGAGCAGGCATTTTTTTAAAAAAAGTTTTTTATGAACCACCCTAATGCCCTAACCTCTGCCGGGCTTCCCGGGTCCCGGAAAGTCGGCCTATGTGAAGAAAATGAGACTAGGCTGAGTAGATTAGGCCTTGCCTTGCCTTCACCCCGCCTCCTGCATGCAGCCGATTGGCCAGCTGGGTTGGGGGCGGGGCGAAGGCAAGGCAAGGCCGAATCTACTCGGCCTAGTCTCATTTTCTTCACATAGGCCAACTTTCTGGGCTGCTGGGAAAGCCTGCCAAGGCCGCTGCCTGTCCTGCGCACCCCCTTCAGGCCCCAATCCCCCTCTGAAAAGCCTCTGCTTCCCCCAAAAGCGGAGCTTTTGGGACAGTGGCAGTGCCACCGCCCAGTTTTGCCCATGCGTGGCACCAGGAGGAGGAGCTCAAGCAGGGCAGCCTCCCCTTTGCCCCCAATCTTCCCTGCATGAAGCTAGGACCCCCCAAAAGCAGTTGTGTAATTAAAAGAAGATGAGAAAAATCAGCAAAGCAATTCTGTGGCTAACTGACCAATTCCTTTAAATAGGGTCTACTAATGAAGTTCACACTTTTGACAAGCTGTCTGATGCTTTTGCAGAAAAATATTCCTAGACACAAGACTTTTATTTTTTAAGCCCTTTCAGACTCCCATCTCAAGGCTAAGTACAGCAAACTGTACATTCCCACCCCCTCTCCCCAAGGCTGGGTTGTTTACTTCTGTGTGCTTGTGTATCTGTGTCTCCCTTGTATCTATTAGGGACTCACCTTTCTTTGATATCTATGCTACTGATTACTTCTGCCGTTTCTGATTTCCATTCCTATGGCAGATCTTCTACCTATTCTCCCTTTCTCATTCATTTTTTAGAGGCACTCTGATTTGTGGTCTAGAGTTGCTGTGGTTCCAGTTTTTGGTAATTTTCTGAGTCATCCCCCATGGCCAGCTCACATCACATTTCTGTTCCTTACAGACTCACCCTGATGGGGTTCTCCTGCTCCTCAGTATCCTCTGCAGCTCACTCTGAAGAGGAAATTTAGGTACTGCTGAGGATCCAGAGACTCTTATGAAAAACACCTGGGCGTGGGAGCATCTGCCCATCTGTACGTAAGCAAAAGTCAATGACCAACTGGCTTTGCTCACCCAGTGGGAGGAGGCTACACCTTGGCAGCATCCGAATGTATGTCAGGGGTCAGAGAGGCCTTGCTTTTACATAAATTGGGAGAAGGTGCGGGGGGGGGGAGACAACGGGCTGCCTCCAAAATAAGTCATATTCAGAGGAGATCCACTCCAATTAAAGGACATGACTATGATAGGACCATTGATTTGCGTGTGTCCACTCTGAGTAGAACTTAAAAGGATTCAGCCCAAAGTTATTGCCATCCTCCTGTCCTTTGGCAACGGAGTAATACCAGTGTCCACAAATACAACCAACCAGTAGCCTGGCTCTCAGAACAAGATGCAGTGCTTAAGTGAAAACTTGTGTGATTCTTCTGTCAGCACAAAGGGCTTGTCATGGGCCAGGAGTCGGCTTCACCTGCTGAAGCCCAAAGTTATTTCAATCCTTCTGTCCTTTAGCCATGGAGTGATACAAATGTCCACAGATACAGGGAAAGAGTGACCTGGAACTCCAATTCCAGGGTTTTGGATTTTGAGAAGCAGCTTTCCAAGAATATACACCCATTCCTAAGGCATGTGCAGGCAATGAGATTTATTCCACTAACAACTAGTGGATCAGCAACAGATTAAGAAAATGGGGATTAATACACAAATAGATTCTAATCTAGAATGCTCCAGCTTCTCCAAAGGTCCAGATACGCCAATGGCAGCCTGTCCCATCAGGCTTTTCTCACAGTCAGTTTGGGGATGCAACCAATGAGTAAGGTCCTTCTAGATCCAGCAAAAACGCTTCTGGTTTTGGGGGGAAGGTATATTTTAACTTGACTCTTGCATTGAACCTGAACTCTTGCTGGAGACTGAATCACCATCTGAATGTGACCACCCTCTGGAAGATAATAGCCATTGTGCATTTGAGAAGGACAGTTAATGCCTTACCGGGCAAACTCTGCTCAATATCGCATCACTCTGCCATATATGTTTGTTTATAAATGCTCTACTAAATAAATAAGTAAAGCAGGCAGTGTTCCACTAAAAAATAATAATTATCTAGTACATATCAGTAGAGCATGAAACTCTTGATCTCAAGGTTGTGGGTTCGAACCTCACATTAGGTGGAAGAATCCTGCACTGTAGGGGGTTGGACTAGATGATCCTCATGGTCCTTTCCAACTCTATGATTCTGTTCTATGACTCTCTCTCTCTCTCTCTCTCTCTCTCTCACACACACACACACACACACACACACACCAGCTTAAATAAATGTTCTTGTACCACACCGCCAAATTGTGTGGCACACATATTTGTCTATAACATAGCAACCACATTTATTATAAACTTCCCCTTTTTCAGTTAAGGGCACAGTAGGAGGGCGCTGTCCCCTTGGCCTCTCTCTACTGCCCAACAATTCCCAAAAGAGATTTTTTAAAAAGCTGTTCTGCTAACCAGCACGAAGAGTACAGCTCTCTTTGCTGACCTTGGGGTTCTTTCAGCAAACAAGCTGCAGTCATTCACCTTCCGGACCCTGGCTTTGAACACGTTCTGTGTTTTCTAGGAAAATGTGAGTTGCTGTTTGTTTTTGGGTTCCCTCCCCAGTACGCCCCAGTTCTTTCACACATCTGCCTCAAGGATAGGGAAACCAGCCAGGCTGGATCCATAAAAGACTGTAGGTGAGGCTAAGGTAAGGTAAAGGGACCCCTGACCATTAGGTCCAGTCGTGGCCGACTCTGGGGTTGCGGCGCTCATCTTGCCTTATTGGCCGAGGGAGCCGGTGTACAGCTTCCAGGTCATGTGGCCAGCATGACTAAACCGCTTCTGGCGAACCAGAGCAGTGCATGGAAATGCCATTTACCTTCCCGCCGGAGCAGTACCTATTTATCTGCTTGCATTTTGATGTGCTTTCAAACTGCTAGGTTGGCAGGAGCAGGGACCGAGCAACGGGAGCTCACCCCGTCGTGGGGATTTGAACAGCCGACCTTCCGATTGGGAAGCCCTAGGCTCTGTGGTTTAACCCACAGCGCCACCCACATCCCTGTTGGTGAGGCTACCCAACTCTTAATCACCTGACATCTGACATCGTGGTGGTGGATGTGAAGTGTTTTCCTTTGCCTGCAACCACATGTCTTCTATGCAGACTCCCAATATTAAGCCCAAAAGGATTTCAGGATCTTTTGCTAGAGTTATGGTGTGAATACGTGTTAACCTTTCCCCCGCAAGAAAACTCATACACAAGAGGAGCAAAGAAAGACTGGTTTATTGCATGAAATGAAAGTTTCAGAATATATGGATGCCACTTCAGAGAGCAAAATTACCCTAAAGGCAGGCAGCAGCTCTTGCCACACCAACACACCTTGATTTTAAAGAGCAAAGGAATCCTAACTATTCCCAAAAGTCTACAGAAAGTGTGTGTGACCATATTGCCACAGAACTGACACTGAAAGTAAAGTAAGTAAGGGAAGAAGAGGGGCATCTGTGTCCTGAAGCAAAGCACGTTTTGGTTCCTTGAGGGTGTTGAGTTTATTACTGGAGTTTGGAGAGCTAGCTAACCATTGAAAATCAAGTGGCTTTGTACTCATTTTAGCCAATGCATCCTAAAGGAGAGGAAAGAGGTTGAGCAATTTCTTATAACACCGACATGGATTTGTTCTATTGTCTCTTTCCCACAAGTTCCTGTCTGTTTCCTATGTCATTTACTTTGTTCCGTTGGTTGGTGAAAGAATATAACCCTAGTGAGAAATGGCTAAACTGGTGGTCTTTGTTTTCTGAAGCCTGAAGGTTATCTTACTGTGAAAGAGGCATGGCATTGTGGTATGTATTATGATGATTATTTGGGGGGAACAGGTGGAAGAATGAAGTTGTTAGCTTTGAACTACAGGAATCAAACTATCACTCATCAGGACCAAAGCAAAAGTAACTTAAACTTTGCTAATATCAAAAGGAAATGTATATTAGATGTTTCAGGAATCTACATCTGCCAAAGATATTGAAACCAACATCTCAAAGCAGCAGAACAGTTACTTTGCTAGAAGTTCAAAATTTTGCAGACACATTAAAAGGTGTGTTTTCAATTGGTTGTGAGTGTGTTAAGATCATAGGAAGCAGTGGGTTTTTATCAGCATGGAAGTCCTTGTCAGGTTTTCTTCTAGGTCACTTGGTAATGATGCTTCATAATCGAGGGACACAAAGTCAAGCAACACCTGTTGAAAAGATGAGTGTGGTTTGGTCAGAATGCAATATAGGCATGAATGAGAGAAATGCATTTAGCCAAAAAAAAGTGTGTGTTAGGCAAAATGCAGACAAAAAAAAGTGTATTAGAATAAAGTAGCACTATAATGCGGATGAATTTTCATGAGGAGATATATATATATATATATATATATATATATATATATATATATGGTAAAGGCAAAGGTAAAGGACCCCTGGATGGTTAAGTCCTGTCGAATCAGACTATGGGGTGTGGCGCTCATCAGGACAGGATGGACACCATGACGGAAAGCAGAGCGCACAGAAACGCCGGTTACCTTCCCGCCACAGCGTACCGATTTATCTATTTGCACTAGTGTGCTTTCGAACTACTAGATTGGCAGGAGCTGGGACAGAGCAATGGGAGCTCACTCCATCGTGGGGATTCAAACTGCCGACCTTCTGATCGGCAAGCCCAAGAGGCTTGGTGGTTTAGACCACAGCGCCACCCATATCTCAGCATGTGGAAATGTGGCAAGATGAGGAAGAGGGTAACAGAAGAAAGCACTCGTCTACTTCAGCTCCCTTTGGGCTGCAGCACAAAGCCTTCCTGATGTGGGGAAATGGACAGGTGTTCATGTTCACATTTAAAACATGGTTCCAGGCACAGGTTGCAGAAGGAAGCCATTTTAGCTGTGGGCCATGCAAACCATTAAGCCGGATGACAGAGAGGGGAGAAAATGTCCTCCTCTCAACTGCTCGGTGTGGTCTACCCATTCATTCTCTATTCATTCATTCATCCTTCTATACTCCCCAGCTCCATCATTTCCTCTGTAGTCCTAATGACCTTTCATGGAGATTCCCTCTATTGTGTTGTGGATTCCTTTTTCTCGTCCTCCTCCTTGTGTGAAGCAGCAGAATCCTCTTTCAATTTGTCTGTAGAAGAAGGAGAAGAAGAAAGAAAGAAAGCCAGAGAAAAGTTTGAATCTGGAAATGAGATGTTGAAGACTCTGGAACAAGAGTCGCCGACCTATTTAGGCATATATCCACATCTGGATTTTGGAGTGCGTGCCCAGCTCTGGTTTCTTCTCATAGAAGTGAGAGAGGAAGTGGGAAAGAGTCTCAATCTTCCAGCTTCCTCCTTCAGTTCTTGGCTTTTCACAGGACAAAAGGTAACCTCACTTACCATCTTATGGCCAAAGGATGGAGGGGTAGAGAGTACAGCCATGGGTACCCACACCATTGCATCCATGGTCATCACATTGGCAATCCCTGTTCTAGAAGCCCGGGGCCAGTAGCATCTCATTTCAGCTGTAGGTGATGCCAGCTACAGTACAGTCATTAGAAGCATTTGTCTTATGAGGTCTTAGCCCCACCGCAGTCCACTCACACCCATACTGCAAGGCAAAGAACAGAGCTCACTTATCAGTGTATTGAAGAAAGTGCAGTGTTGCACAGGTGACCTGTCCACAACCTGGGTTGGCTCAGTGCTTAGGTGGAAGAAGTTCTGCTGTGTGGCATTGTAGAGCGGCCACTCTACCTCGCCGGCAGCTGACCCCGTTGGTTTCCTGCAGAGGATGTAAAACAAATATATAGCTCTAAACACCAATATACTGCTCTCCATCTTCCATCCAGGCAGAAGGCATTATCAGAGTTTGGGGAGATATCACAATCAGGCAAAAAAACACTTGAGGAGCGAAACAGAGCCAGTGAGAGCTGGAGAATTCTGAAGGCCAGATATTCACAGGAACACATTTGGACCTCGTCAGATTTGCAGATGACACCAAACCGGGAGGGTTAGCTAATGCCACAGAAGACATGATCAGAATTCAAAATGACCTTGACAGATTGGAGAACTGGGCCCAAGCCAACAAAATGAATTTCAGCAGGGAGAAATGTAAGGTTCTGCACTTAGGCAGGAGGAACCAGATGCGCAAATATAAGATGGGGGACACCTGGCTTACTAGCAGTGCATGTGAAAAGGATCTAGGGGTCTTAGTGGACCACAAGCTCAACATGAGTCAACAGCAGCACACAAAGAAAGGCTAATGCTATTCTAGGCTTTAAAAAGACAGCTTTAAAAAGGCAAAATACACTCAGAATCTATCTTATAGCAAGATAGTCCTTTCCTCCTCTCTTGGCTGAGAGCCAAGAGGGCATCCTTAGATGTTTCCTCATCGAAGGAAGATGGCAGAGAGAGGCAAGAGAGACAAGAGAGAGAATGGCTGCCTGCCCTGTGCTTTTATCATTTACCTGCACAGGTGAGGCCACACCCACCTCTGGTCACATGCGGAGGAAGTCCGTCCCCAGGAAGTTTACCTGCTTGCTGGACAGACATCCTTCCCCATGTTCTAACATGTACACTCTAGGAATGTTGTCATTGACTGCTCCTGTGTTTTACATCCCACAGCTTTAAGGGTTGAAAGGGCTTGCCTTCTGTATAAAGGTGAAGGGCAAGCGAGGAAAAGGTCATGCCTTACCCACTTCTGGAAAACTCTGCCCAGTATCGCATCACCCTGCGGCTCAGATCAGCCTCAGCTTCTGTGTAAGTTTGATTGGTGGCCATAGCTTTCTCGAGGGTTCCAAACAAGTAAGGCAGCTCAGCATCATGGGGTGCCCCAACCCACTCAGGCCAAAAAGAGCCTGAGGTGTGGTGCTTGAAGTAGTAAGCGTACACAGGGCTCCCAACTTCTTCCAGCTTCTTAGAGAATTCATCCATTGGGCACGAAAAGAAGTAATCACGAAAGGACTGTGACAAGGCCCTGTAATACTGGACTGGATCCTGGCCTTCCTTGCTGTACTCCAGGGCCACAGCCTGTGCAACTTCTTCTGTTGCATTTCGTATTGCCATCCGTATCCCTTTCAGAAGTAGCTCGTGAGTGAACTGGTGGCGCTCGATGCCAGGAAAACTAAACAGCCATTCCTGGACAGGGATAGCCAGTCTACTGTAGTCCATGCATTGGTAACCTCAAGGCTGGATTACTGTAATGTGCTGCATTTGGGGCTGCCCTTGGGTCCCGTTCAAAAGCTCCAGCTGAGGCATAATGCTTCTGCCAGACTTTAAATATAAAAAAAATACTCCTACAGTGATGATAACAGGGCTTTCTGGTTCGCAGCGTTCAGCCACCATGCATCCTGTAGCAGAATGTTGTGGGAACCTAAGAGAAGTTTTCTAAAAATTGTTGTTGTTGTTTAGTCATTTAGTCGTGTCCGACTCTTTGTGACCCCATGGACCAGAGCACGCCAGGCACCCCTGTCTTCCACTGCCTCCCGCAGTTTGGTCAAACTCATGTTGGTAGCTTTGAGAACACTGTCCAACCATCTCCTCCTCTGTCGTCCCCTTCTCCTTGTGCCCTCAATCTTTCCCAACATCAGGGTCTTTTCCAGGGAGTCTTCTCTTCTCATGAGGTGACCAAAGTATTGGAGCCTCAGCTTCACAATCTGTCCTTCGAGTGAGCACTCAGGGCTAATTTCCTTAAGAATTGATGCGTTTGATCTTCTTGCAGTCCATGGGACTCTCAAGAGCATCCATTCTTCGGTGATCAGCCTTCTTTATGGTCCAGCTTTCACTTCCATACATCACTACTGGGAAAACCATGGCTTTAACTAAAAATAGGGAGAGGAAATGGATGGGAAACTTATGATCATGCAGTTGTTGTTGGTCTGGAGTGATAATCCCAATTTGCCTCTCCCGGTTTCTCATTTCTCCATTCTTAAAAACTCCCGCAAAATGTGTGTGGCAGATAACATAACTATCTGTGTGGTTTTGTTTGGGTGCTTCATATTCTTGCTGTTGTTTTCATGTTTTGTAACTGTTCCTAAGGGATTTGGGATGTTGGGAGAGTGACCACTGGAGGGCAGGTAAGCCAGTGTGGGAGGCAGAAAGGAGGAGCCTTGAAGCAGTGAATGAAACATACTGCTATGGGGAGTTTCACACTTCCCCTTCTATCCAGGACAGCAAAAGGCATTACAGTGGTACCTCGGGTTACATACGCTTCAAGTAACATACACTTCAGGTTACAGACTCCGCTAACCCAGAAATTGTACCTCAGCTTAAGAACTTTGCTTCAGGATGAGAACAGAAATCGTGCTCCAGCGGCGCGGCAGCAGCAGGAGGCCCCATTAGCTAAAGTGGTGCTTCAGGTGAAGAACAGTTTGAAGTTAAGAACGGACCTCCGGAATGAATTAAGTACTTAACCTGAGGTACCACTGTATAAGTGATTCTTCATGCAGGGGCACTTCCAGCTATCAATACAGTGGTACCTTGGGTTACAGATGCTTCAGGTTACAGACTCTTCAGGTTACGGACTCCGCTAACCCAGAAATAGTACCTCGGGTTAAGAACTTTGATTCAGGATGAGAACAGAAATCGCGCGGCGGCAGCGGGAGGCCCCATTAGCTAAAGTGGTACCTCAGGTTAAGAACAGTTTTAGGTTAAGAACGGACCTCCAGAACGAATTAAGTTCTTAACCCAAGGTACCACTGTACCATAATTGATCTGAGAGGGGGAGGAAAATGAGCACCTGGGATCCTGTTGTATAAGTGTTTGCTAATGCAGGGACCTTTGACACACTTCCAGCGTTGGTCTGGCCAAACATGTTATGCTCCCGCTTTAAGCAATAGGGTTGCTTTTCTGTCACTCTCATCGGAAGGCCAAGGTCTCTGTGGGGCCTTCATCAAAAGCAGCAGCAAAAAAATAAAAAAAATGCACTCAGGTCCCAGCAGCTTCCAGAAGACGCAGACCTGGCACAGTGTCAGGCTTAATCCGATACAGCTACTCTATTGCATGCACAAAACATTCTGTGACTGCTGGGTGTCATCAGTGCTGGATTTACGCATGAGCTAAACAAGCTATAGCTAACGGCCCCACTCTCTTGGGGGCCCCCAAAATAATTAAAAGAAAAGAAACCTGGATGTACATTTCCAAAATATAAGATAAAAAACATTTCCTTATGTGCAAATGGCTTTAGATACCTATTAGATCCATAAATTACCATATAGCATATATTCAACACAAAAAACAGCGGCAATTTGTTGTTGACAAAGAACAGCTGGACACACAAAGGGCCCCATTACCTTCAGTAGCTTAGGGCCTCATCGAACCTAAATCCAACCCTGGGTACGTAGGCTTTAGCAGGATCCAGATTAGCAATGTGCAACTCAAAGTCTGTTCCAGCTTTTATGTTCTGTGTGTCTGTTCCAGATTTCATGCTCCGGTTTCTTTAGGGACGTTTTTAATATTTGATGTTTTATCGTGTTTGTAATATTGTGTTGGGAGCTGCCCATAGTGGCTGGGGAAACCCAGACAGATGGGCGGGATATAAATAAATTATTATTATTATTATTATTATTATTATTAAGCAAATAATCTGTAGGAAAATGAGAAACTGAAGCGGACAAATTTGCTTCTGTAGAATGAGAAAAACTCCTGATGGATCTAGGGTCAGCCTTAGCATTAGGGCAGAGAAAGACTATTGCCTTAGAAGGCTGATCATAGAATCATAGAATCATAGAGTTGGAAGAGACCACAAGGGCCATCGAGTCCAACCCCCTGCCAAGCAGGAAACACCATCAGAGCACTCCTGACATATGGTTGTCAAGCCTCTGCTTAAAGACCTCCAAAGAAGGAGACTCCACCACACCCCTTGGCAGCAAATTCCACTGTCGAACAGCTCTTACTGTCAGGAAGTTCTTCCTAATGTTTAGGTGGAATCTTCTTTCTTGTAGTTTGGATCCATTGCTCCGTGTCCGCTTCTCTGGAGCAGCAGAAAACAACCTTTCTCCCTCCTCTATGTGACATCCTTTTATATATTTGAACATGGCTATCATATCACCCCTTAACCTCCTCTTCTCCAGGCTAAACATGCCCAGCTCTCTTAGCCGTTCCTCATAAAGCATCGTTTCTAGGCCTTTGACCATTTTGGTTGCCCTCCTCTGGACACGTTCCACTTTGTCAATGTCCTTCTTGAAGCTGGAGTGATGGGGAGTTTCAGCAAGTGTGCGCACGCACGCGCACACACACACACACCACTCCTCCTGGAAACCATGGAAAAGATGGGCAAATCTGTCCATTTCAGTTTCTCATTTCTTCCCTTCTTAAATTCAGTTCCCCACATTTCCACATCAGTTGGTCATTTTCTAAAAGAACATCCTCGTGAAAATTCACAGGCATTTTAGTGTGAATGTCCCTCCTAATATATACATTTTTATGCAATTTTGCCCAATACTCATATCTCTGCAAACTAATTCCCCTAATATAACACATTTTTTATGTCATTTTCTCCAATATATGCCTTTCTACGCACACTTTACCCTAGTAATATGTGTTTTGGTAAACATTGCTTGACTGGAAAATTGCATTGCAAAATTCAGAGAATTGCACATTTTGAAGGATGTCTGTGCTTTGGTTGGTATGTTGCAACAGAAAGTGTGAATTAGGTAAACTTGCCTTTCAATGCAAACTAAATGGAATTTCCCCCTCATCCCTGTCAGCATTCCCCTCAGTAGGAGATTAGGGCTGTATGTGCCACAAGTTATGCAAACCAGGAAGCTAGGCGCTGCCCTCAAATTGCCAGTGTTGAAAGTAGTGGTCATTGAATTATGGATCAGTCGATTTCTTGTCCAGATAAATCTTGCGTGCTTCATTTAAGTTTTATTCATCAGTTCTTCCCATCCCAATGTGTGATAAAAGCACTTTAAAAACTACGTGAACATTTGCATTATATTTGAAACAGTTTCCCTCCCACAAAATGTGCATTTTGTACATGCTTTGTGCATTTTATGCATGTTTTGACTTAGCATATCTACCTTATATGCATTTTGTTATGTTTTTGCACTGAGATCCGGATCATAGTATTTAGTGTGCTGTCGAAAACCAAATGATACCTATGTTCCATTTCCAGGATGTGCAAATTACATCGGCTCGATTAAAAGAATGCAGACTGAGCAAACATTTCAAGGATCTTTATTAGGAATAAGTTGTTGGCAAAGCATTAAAATCCTATAAATGAGATGGAGGCAAAGGGGGTGACCCAGCTAACCTCGATTAGAACAAGGCTCACTCCATTTCCTTCAGTTTTTCTGCCACTCAAGCAGTCAGTATCTATATATATTTTGTGTGTGAAGAGGCTATCCAAAATTCACAGGCCAGTCTCACTGGCCATCCTACCTAAGGAATGTGTGGTTGGCACCGTTCCAGATCCCCATTCTTCTTGAAGAAACCCAAGTACAGTGGTACCTCAGGTTACATACGCTTCAGGTTGCATACACTTCAGGTTACAGACTCCGCTAACCCAGAAATTGTACCTCAGCTTAAGAACTTTGCTTCAGGATGAGAACAGAAATCGTGCTCCAGCGGCGCGGCAGCAGCAGGAGGCCCCATTAGCTAAAGTGGTGCTTCAGGTGAAGAACAGTTTGAAGTTAAGAACGGACCTCCGGAATGAATTAAGTACTTAACCTGAGGTACCACTGTATAAGTGATTCTTCATGCAGGGGAACTTCCAGCTATCAATACAGTGGTACCTTGGGTTACAGATGCTTCAGGTTACAGACTCTTCAGGTTACAGACTCCGCTAACCCAGAAATAGTACCTCGGGTTAAGAACTTTGATTCAGGATGAGAACAGAAATCGCGCGGCGGCAGCGGGAGGCCCCATTAGCTAAAGTGGTACCTCAGGTTAAGAACAGTTTTAGGTTAAGAACGGACCTCCAGAACGAATTAAGTTCTTAACCCAAGGTACCACTGTACCATAATTGATCTGAGAGGGGGGAAAATGAGCACCTGGGATCCTGTTGTATAAGTGTTTGCTAATGCAGGGACCTTTGACACACTTCCAGCGTTGGTCTGGCCAAACATGTTATGCTCCCGCTTTAAGCAATAGGGTTGCTTTTCTGTCACTCTCATCGGAAGGCCAAGGTCTCTGTGGGGCCTTCATCAAAAGCAGCAGCAAAAAAAATGCACTCAGGTCCCAGCAGCTTCCAGAAGACGCAGACCTGGCACAGTGTCAGGCTTAATCCGATACAGCTACTCTATTGCATGCACAAAACATTCTGTGACTGCTGGGTGTCATCAGTGCTGGATTTACGCATGAGCTAAACAAGCTATAGCTAAGGGCTAACCCAGAAAAATTGCTTCAGGTTAAGAACTTTGCTTCAGGATGAGAACAGAAATCATGCTCCGGCGGCGCAGCAGCAGCGGGAGGCCCCATTAGCTAAAGTGGTGCTTCAGGTTAAGAACAGTTTCAGGTTAAGAACAGACCTCCGGAACGAATTAAGTACTTAACCTGAGGTACCACTGTATTCTGGAGATACCAAATGCCTGAAGAGGGTTTACATTTTTATTCAATTCATATCACAGTAATTTATTCCCTCGTTCAGGTTTATTGCAATGAATAGCTATGCTACCGTATGTTTTGTACATGGCTGCAGATCCCTCAGAGTTTGGCCTAGCTAGGACTTCCGGAGGTGGCGCCATCGGTTAATGGCGGATTCCCTCTAATTCAGAGGGAACCACTCCACGGAAATAGGGTCGGATCCCGCTTCGGCGTAGTGGGGGACCCTTGAAATCACAGGCGGGTGAAGCCTGTGAGCCTGGGACTCGGCGGGCACGTTTTGCGCCCCCCCCATCCGCGAAGGGACCCGGCAACGGGCTCCGGAACGGAACGGGGGAAGTAGCGCTGTGCTGTGAGTCGTCTGCTTCTTCTGTGGAGTGAAGCCGCGCAGCTGTTACCGGAGAGAGCTGCCTTTCTATCTTGAAAATTTGGCTTTGAAAACAACGATCCGTGAGTAGGATTTTTACGCAATTAAGGAACTGTACAAATTTGAAAAGAATTTGGCCGAAGCGGAGAGGTATAAAAAGGAAGTCTGCCTCCCGCTTTTGTAGTTAAAACAAAGCATTGAACTTGAAAGCGGAAGCTTTAAAAAGACGCATAAAAGGACTTCAATCCAATCATCTAACCAGGACTTTTCCCCCTCAACTTGAGGGAAGGGGGGGGAGCTTTGAATGTTATTTATTTAAGAAGAAGTGAGGAAAAGAAGATAAAAACCACCGCTCAATCCCCCGGGAACAGGTTCCCAGAGACAATAAAAAGCTGGAGAAAAGGTACTGTCTTTGAACATATTTTGACAGCTAGCCCTGCACTTGAAATACAATTTGGATACAATATTGTGGATAGGTATCTCCTGGTCTTAAAGTAACTGTTTAAGATAGACTGTTATCTTTCTGATGAATTGGGGGGACTTAAAGAAGAAGTAAAGTATTTAAGAACTTTATGACTGTTACAGTGTCCCCCTAGTGGAATTTGGAACTTGTTACAACTAGTTACAATTGCAGCTGGCCTGAGGATTTTCCCACGCTGTCTTCTTGGAACTTTCCACTTCAAAACAATTCTGAATTCAACTGTGTGACTGACCTTGAGTTTTATCTAGAGGGGGATGGCAGATGGGAAAGAGAAATTAGAGTCGCTACAAGCAACAAGGTCGGGCAATGTATTGCGAACAGACGGTGGACTACAAAGAAGAGCTTTGACCCCTGGTCCCTCTGGAGTTCCAACAGCAGCCCCATCGGCACAACCCAAAACTAAAGGTATGGCAAGTGATGACGCCTTTGCTCAGGTTTTGGCTAAAATTAATGAATCTTTGGACAAAATAAGCAAACAAGTAGCAGAGGCATCAGACAAGACTGATCAAAATACAAGAAGTATTAATCAAAATACAAGTATTAATCAAAATACAGTAAGTTTAAATAATTTGGGCCAGAAAGTAAATACTAATACAGAGACTATTCAGAAACTATTAGAGGAATCGGCCTCAACACGTCAGATTGCCGAAGAGGCTAAAGAACTTGCTACAGCGTCTGTTGCAGAGGTTCAAGAGAAGATACCACCGTTACATAAACAACTTGAAGACCATAAGTTAACCCTGTCTATGATTGAGTTGAAAGAGAAACAAGTGAATTTAAGGGTCAGAGCAGTACCTGAAGTGGAGAAAGACAATTTAGTTGATTTTCTTACGCAGGAATTCTTAGAATTTTGGAATCCAGAATTGGCAAAAGACAGTTTCAAAATAGTGAATGCTTTTAGACTTGGAAAAGGAGGAGGAAAGAAGGTGAGAGACTGTTTGATTACTCTCCGAACAAAAGAAGAGAGGGACAAGATCTTGGGTTTGCATTTCCAGAAGACACTGGAAATACATCAGACAAGAGTGGAGATATTTAAGGACATTCCGAAACACCTTCTGGATCTCAGATCTAACTATAAAGACCTGGTCATTTTGTTGAAAAGTAATAGAATTAACTTCAGGTGGGAATTTCCTCAAGGCCTATCCTTTAGTTACAAAGGAAAGAAGAGGAAAATAAGGTCGGAAGACGACAAAGACAAATTTTGGAGAGACCACGGAGAAGACCTACAAAAGAAAGTCACAGGAGAGTTAAGAACAATTGCAAGAGAAACTTTAGACATACCAGGACTATCTCTGGAACTAAAAGACCGCCTGAAAAACGTGATACCACCGACGGAACAGGAACAGGCACAAGGTGCCGTTGGAGGAGAACCAAAATAATTACATCATGGCCCTGCAACTACTAACCTGGAACTGTCATGGTTTGAATTCCCCTCAGAAAAGGAAATCAGTGTTTCACTTATTAAAAAAGGAACAATTGGATTTGATCTGTCTACAAGAAACACACATAACAAGATTACACAGGAAATTGTTGATAAATAAAAGACTTGGTCAGGAGTTTATTTCATCGGACAAAGTTAAAAAAAGAGGGTAGTGATTTATGCAAAGGACAGACTATCACCGAAATTTATTTTTAAAGATGACCAAGGAAGATTTGTGGCAATTGAAATTCAAACACAAGGAGAAAAATTTTTGATAGTAGGAATCTACGAACCAAATGATGGGAAATCTGAATTTTTTAAGAAGTTGCATGAGACCCTGATGGACTATTTGGATTACAACATGATTTTGATGGGAGACATGAATGGAGTGGTATCTACATATATGGAAAAGGCACAAAGACAGGTAGTCACCAAGGATGGTAGACTACCGAAAACCTTTTTTGACATGACAGACAACTTGGACTTAGTTGATATCTGGAGAATAAGAAACCCCATGGCTAAAGAGGGAACCTTCTTTTCTGAAGCCAAAATGACATGGACAAGAATTGACCAAATTTGGATAACTAGAGGAATGGCACCAAAGACAAGAAAGGTGGAAATCTGCCCGAAAACTTGCTCCGACCACAATGCTGTCAAGATGGAAATGAGATTAACACCAACTGGCTCCTTTAGATGGAAGATGAATGACACCTTATTTAGAGATGAAGAAGTGCTTAAGAAGGCCCAAAAAACCTTGAGAGACTATTTTGAGATAAATTTGAGCACCAATGTGGAGAAAAGAGTAATCTGGGACGCAAGTAAAGCGGTTATGAGAGGGTTCCTAATACAACAGAACGCAGTAAAGAAGAGAATTCAAAATGAGAAGAAGGATAAGATATTGGACAAAATAAAGGAAAGTGAAAAAAGACTGAGAGTAAACCCAAAATCTCAAGAGATTTTGAGAGAGTTAAAGTTATATCAAGTACAATATATGAAAATGATGAATCAGGAAATAGAATGGAAAATTAAACAATTGAGACAAAAGACATTTGAGTCGGCTAACAAATGTGGCAAATTGTTGGCATGGCAAATGAAAAAGAGACAAAAACTAAATACAGTTACAAATTTAGAAGTGGAAGGAAGGAATATACAGAACCCAGGTGAGATTAGAAATTGTTTCCAGAGGTACTTTAAACAACTATATACACAAGGGCCATTGAAAGAAACAGATTTAGATCAATTTTTGAAAACAAATGGATTACAAAAAATATCTCAAGAAAATAAACTAATTTTGAACTACAAAATAACTGAACAGGAAATAGAAGGTGCCATTCAAAATATGCAATTGGGTAAATCTCCAGGACCAGATGGTTTGACTTCTAGATACTATAGATCCTTGAAAGAATGGTTAATACAACCTTTGAAAGAGGTCTGCAATGAAATAATGGAGGGAAAAGAGCACCAGAGTCGTGGAAAGAAGCATATATTACACTTGTACCGAAAACAGAGACTGAAAAGACACAGCTTAAGAACTACCGCCCTATATCATTACTTAAGGTGGATTACAAAATTTTTGCTGACATTTTGGCCTAGAGATTTTAAAAAAGTGTTGATGGAAGAGATTCATAAAGACCAAGCGGGCTTTCTCCCAGGAAGACATCTGTCTGACAATTTGAGGAATATAATTGATATTCTGGAAAAACTAGAAGTGAACATAAACACTAAAGCAGTTTTGATATTTGTCGATGCGGAGAAAGCCTTTGACAACATTTCTTGGAACTTTATGAAGAAGAATCTGCAGGGCATGGGGGTAGGCCAAGGCTTTGAGAATGGTATAAGTGCAATTTATTCACAACAAAAGGCTAAATTAATTGTAAATAATGTGGTGACGGAAGAACTTAAAATTGAAAAAGGGACACAACAAGGTTGCCCAATGTAATGAGTATGAGTTACTCGTGCGTAAACTGGTGCCTCTCTAGGCTAATTTGCCTTGTTAAACCTTTCTGACTGCACAGCCCTTTCTCATCATGACTGTCTCAGTCACTAGCAGAATCCGTCAGTGGGCGTTTCTTGAATCTCTTCCAACATAAGAGTTGTTTGACACCCAATCTCCTCCGCCTCTCACTGCGCGGGAGCCTTCTGCGCAGGGTGGGCGTGGGTAGTGGGGGACCTGTCCCCTCCTCACTGAGTTCCAGTGAAGAGTCCGTGAGCCCTCTCTCCGATTTTCCCATCTGCTCACTTTTGTTCCTGGTGTTGCGCTTAAATGCTTCCCCCTCCACTGAGTCGCCTCCCCCTGCTGCTGGGTCCTTCTCCAGCATCATCCAGGAGCCTCCCCTTCGCCTCCCGCTCTGATGTCAGTTCCCTGACATCCACCTCCCCCCCCAGAATCCCCTCCACCCCTGGGCCGACCTGTGGGACCAACTTCGTCCCCTTCGTCGGCCGAGGAGGCGGGGAAACCCCGGAAGGAACTGTCACCATCTTCTGTGGGTTCGAAATCCGCTTCCCAATCGCTCTTCCACCTACCAACGGGGTGGTCTTCCCCGTCTGATGTTTCTTCCTCCGAAACCTCTCCTCCCTCCTCGGAGTCAGAAAATCCCTCAAAAACCTCTTCCTCATCTGTGGTTCCAAATTGCTCCTCCCAGAATCTCTCCAGGGGTTTGGGTTTGTCCGGGAACCGGCGGTGGAATACCTCCACCAGATACCAGTCCTCGACGGCTTCCGTGGGTACCCACGTGTTTTCGGACCTGGGTTCCCCTTCCCACGCTACCAAATACTCCACCCGGCGCCCTTGCCACCTTGAGTCCAGTATTTCCGTGGCCCTGTGGTGGTGTTCCCTTTCTTCTACCTGCGGGTGTGTGGTGACTTCTCCCTCTTGCCCCTGGAATTCCCGCCCTTCCCTATGCGGTGAAAGCAGGGACCTATGGAAAACCGGGTGTATTTTCATGCTATCAGGCAACTTGAGCTTAAATGCCACGGGATTAACTTGCTGTGTTACCTCAAAAGGTCCCAGCCGTCTGGGCTGCAACTTCTTGCACCCCCCTTTGAAAGGTAGCCCTTGGGTGGACAACCACACCCGGTCCCCCACCCGTATGGTCTCCCCTTCCCTGCGGTGCTTGTCTGCCTGCCTCTTGTAAGTTTCCTTGGCCCGCTCCAAGTTCATCTTAAGTTGCTGGTGTAGGGCCTCCATTTCTTCCACAAACTGCTCTGCGGCAGGTACGCTCCAGCTTTCCTCCCCACTCCCCGGGAAGGCCCTGGGATGACACCCATGGTTGGCCATGAATGGGCTCATTCCCGTGGACACGTGTTCCGCGTTGTTGTACGCGAATTCAGCCAGCGCTAGTTTTTCTACCCAATCGTTCTGCCTCTCGCTGACATAGCAGCGTAGGTATTGCTGGAATATACTGTTCGCTCTTTCTGCTTGCCCGTTGGTCTCTGGGTGTCTCGCCGTCGAGAAGCCCACCTCCACCTGCAGTAAGCTCATGAGTTTCCTCCAGAACCGGGAAGTAAATTGTTTTCCGCGGTCGGAGATAACCCTCAAGGGGGGCGCCATGCAGCCGGAATATGTGCTCCACAAACAACCGGGCTGTTTCCTCTGCCGTTACAGCATGTGAGCAAGCTATAAAATGGCACATTTTTGTCAGGAGGTCGACCACTACCATGACTGCTGTCTTTCCCCGGGACTTGGGCAAATCTGTCATAAAATCAATGGATACCACCTCCCAGGGTTTCCCCGGCGTGGGTAAGGGTTCCAGCAATCCTGTGGGGGCAGCCCGATTGCCCTTTGGCAGCGGTCGCACCCCCGTACATATTCCCGTACATCCTCCCTCACCCTGGGCCACCAGAACTGCCTGGTCACAAGCATCATGGTTTTGTGCTGTCCAAAGTGCCCTGCTGTGGGGTTGTCGTGGAGTTGTTTGAGTACCTTTCCCCTCAGGGTCTCCCCCGGTACGTACAGCGCTCACCTATAGTACAGTACCCCTTCCTTCTCCTCAAACCCTTCTTGAGTCCCTCTTCCGTCTCGTAGTTCCCGGATTTTAGTTTGCGCGAACACGTCGTTTCTGGTCAGCCCGGCTAGTTCTCGTTTCCCCACCAAAGTTCCCCCACACACCCATCGGTCCTTGGGGATCACGTGTCGTTTCTCCGGCGGCCCCTCTCCTTCCAGGTACTCCGGTTTACGCGAGAGAGCGTCTGCTCTTACGTTTTCTTCTCCGGGCACGTAGCGGATTTCAAAGAAGAACTTGGAGAACTCCTGTGCCCATCGAATCTGTCTCTGGTTGAGTACTCGTGCGGTTCTCCAGTACTCCAAGTTCTTGTGATCTGTGCAAACCTGGATCTGTTGTTGCGCCCCTATCAGTAGATGACGCCAACAACGAAAGGCCGCGTAGATTGCCAGCAGTTCGCGGTCATACACTGTATAGTTTTGCTCCGACTTGCTCAGTTTTCTGGAGAAAAAGGCACACGGTTTCCATTCCTGCTTTCCCTTCCCTGGCTGCAAAAGGACCGCCCCTACGGCTCTGTCGGACGCGTCGGTCTCTAGCCTCAGGGGTTTCTCCAGATCTACGTGCAGGAGTTGCTCTTCCGATGCGAACGCCTTCTTCAGTTTTTCGAAGGATTGCTGGGCCTCTTCTGTCCACACAAACTTCTTTTGCTACTGAGACAATCCGTGATGGGCGCTGTCAAGTGGGCGAAGTTCTTGATGAACTTCCTGTAGAAGTTGCTGAACCCTAGGAACCTCTGTACGTCCTTCCGTGTTTTGGGAGCCTTCCACTCCAGCACTGCCTGCACCTTGCTTGGGTCCATCGCTAAGCCTTTGTCAGACAACTTGTACCCCAGAAACTCGACTTCTCTGGCGTGAAACTGACATTTTTCCAGCTTGACCCACAACTGGTGCTTCTGCAGTCGTTGTAACACTTCCCTGACGTCTCTAACATGTTGTTCTTCATTGTCTGAATAAATTAAGACGTCGTCCAAGAAGGCTACGCAGTTCTTGTACAGCAGAGACCCCAACACGTGGTGCATGAAAGCTTGAAAACAGGCGGAGCCCGACTGTAATCCAAAAGGCATAACTAAGTACTCAAAGGCACCTAGGGGTGTGAACATTGTGGTCTTCCATTCGTCCCCCTCCCTCATCCTGATCAAATTGTATGCGCCCCTGAGGTCCAGCTTGGTAAAAATTTTGCCTTTCCTCACTCGCGTTAAAATGTCGTCAATCCTGGGCATTGGGAAGGTCACGTGTTCTGACACCAAATTGACAGCTCTATAGTCCACTACGAGCCTGGGTTTATTTGTGTCCTTTTTGTCCACAAAGAACACCGGACTGCCCCCTACTGCCTTAGATTCTCTTATGAAGCCTCTTTTCAGGTTCTTGTCGATAAATTCTCGCAACTCCTTCATCTCCCTGTCTGACATGGCGTACAGCTTACCCACTGGCAGCTGAGCCCCGGAAGCAAGTTGATCTGGCAGTCAAAGGGCCTATGGGGGGGGCAGTCTATCTGCCTCTTTTTCGCTGAAGACCTCCCGCAGATCTGCGTATTGTGGCGGCACCTCCCCTTTCCGCTCCACCGCCATCCCAGCCACCCTGGCCACGGTCATTCTTGGGGCTTCCCCCCCTAGACAGTGTTCCAGGCAGTAAGCTGACCCAAAGGTGACTGTCCTCTGATGCCACGCCACCACTGGATCATGTTGTGTTAGCCAGCTCATCCCTAATATTATTGGGGGTCCTGCTAGCGAGGCGACGTGAAAGGCGATGGTCTCCAAGTGCCTGGACACCCTCATTCTCATTGGCGGGGTTTGGTGTGTCACTTCCCCTCCTAGAAGCTCCCTGCCATCAATGGTGGTCACTTGCAAGGGGAAATCCAAAGGCAGTAAGTGGAGCTGGTGCTCTAATGCAAAGTCCTTGCTGAAGAAATTACATGAGCTGCCTGAATCCAGCATGCCTTTCACCTTGACTGGGTGCCCGTTCGGGAGTTCTAGCACCACTTCGATGGCTATTGACGCCTTGGGGGGGTCTGGTTGGGGCACTTTTACTGGTGGCTGGCTTGGCTGTTGTGCCCTTTGATTGGCAGCCAAGCGTTCCCGTTTCCCTGTTCCTGTTCCTTTACCACCTCCTCCTCACCCCCTGCGGTTCCCACCATTCCTTGCCAAGCCTTTCTTTGAGGGCAGGCTCTGGCAAAATGGCCTGGCCGCTGGCAAAGGTAACACTTTTTGGAGGTTTTCCAATCCTTTCCCTCCTTCTTGCGCCCTTCGCTGGTGCTTGAAACTTCCGCGCGCGCGCCCATCTATTTCCATTGGCTCTGCTGGCGGGGAGGGCTGCCTTGGTATTTCAGGAATGCGGTAGTCATGGCAACGTTGCTCTCTCCCTTCCCGCCTCTCCTGGGCGCGCGCTTCCTGGCGCACGCCAATCGCAAGCACAGCCTTGGTCAGCTGATCCATCCCCTGTGGGCGGGGTGCGCGGGAAAGTTCATCCTTAACCGTTGGGGACAACCCCTCCTCGAATAACATCTGTATGGGTTCGGAGCCCAGTTCCCACCCGAGGCGGTGAACTATCATGGCAAAGCGCGACCAGTAGTCCCTAACTGACTGGCTCCCCTGTTTACAGTTCATCAATTCCCGCTTTGTCACACTTTTTTGAACATCAGTGGAAAACATCGCGTCCATTGCTTGGAAGAATTTCCTCAGGTCCTGCATGGCGGAATTCTGCGTCGCCATAAGGGGTCTGACCCATTCCCTGGCCCCGTCCTGCAGGTGACCCACAACATATGCCACCCGCGCCGCGTCGTCTTCAAAATCGTTATGCTGCAATTCCAATGCGTACTCTATTTCCGTTCTAAACGCACTGTATTCTTGCGGCTTCCCCCCAAACTTGTGCACCAGTCCCGGTACCTTCCTTGCTATGGGGGTGGGTCTGACCTGTGCATCTTGAGACCGCCTTTCGTCCAGCCGTGCCGTCAGAATGGCCACATGCTGCTCCAAATCTCGGTTCCTCTCCTCCAGCGTTTGCCCTCCAGCTGCTCCCCCTTGGGTGCCTGCTTCTCCGGGCTTGCTCATGATGCTGCCTGCCTGCTGCTGCGCACGAGCAACTTTTCAGGGACTGACGGATTGCTGTAATGAGTATGAGTTACTCGTGCGTAAACTGGTGCCTCTCTAGGCTAATTTGCCTTGTTAAACCTTTCTGACTGCACAGCCCTTTCTCATCATGACTGTCTCAGTCACTAGCAGAATCCGTCAGTGGGCGTTTCTTGAATCTCTTCCAACATAAGAGTTGTTTGACACCCAATCTCCTCCGCCTCTCACTGCGCGGGAGCCTTCTGCGCAGGGTGGGCGTGGGTAGTGGGGACCTGTCCCCTCCTCACTGAGTTCCAGTGAAGAGTCCGTGAGCCCTCTCTCCGGGTTGCCCATCTGCTCACTTTTGTTCCTGGTGTTGCGCTTAAATGCTTCCCCCTCCACTGAGTCGCCTCTCCCCCTGCTGCTGGGTCCTTCTCCAGCATCATCCAGGAGCCTCCCCTTCGCCTCCCGCTCTGATGTCAGTTCCCTGACACCCAATTTCCCCACTTCTTTTTATTTCGGTCCTGGAGGTTTTGCTGAACATGATTAGAAGGGACCAGTTGGTTAAAGGTATACAGGTCGGAGCTAAACAGTACAAATTGATAGCATTTGCAGATGATTTAGTATTGACGTTACAGGAGCCAGAATCTAGTACTAAAAGGGTTTTAGAATTGATTCAAGAATTTGGTCAAGTTGCAGGATTTAAATTGAACAAGCTAAAAACCAAGGTTTTAGAGAAAAACTTAACACCGATTGAGAGAGAGAGGTTTCAGAATGAGACAGGCTTAACAGTGGTTAAGAAAGTTAAATATCTGGGGATTAACATGACAGCAAAAAATGGGAATTTATTTAAAGATAATTATGAAAAATGTAGATCCATAGGAGGATGGGCACTGGTGTGACTGGTCGTGGATGGGGCACCCAGATGTTGAGGAAGAGGCAGTCCTCTGAAAGTGGTGTGTTTGGAGTCCATATGGGTCGATCAGGGAAGGAATCGTTATTAAACTGAAGGCAAGAGTCGCCAAAGGTGGTGGCCTCCAAGACCTGGCTCCACGGCTGATGTGGAACCGGCTTCTGGAAACGCAGTTTGCCTATGGGGGGCTCAGCATAGGGGATGCCCAGGTAAGCGGTCACAGAGCCAGGACCAGCTGGGAGCCGTTTGCCTCTAATAGGACCGCTGCTGGTGACCACCACAGTATCATCTTCAGAGGCAGAGCTGGAAGCCAGGAGGAAGAGGAGGAGGCACAAGGAGGAGGGTGAAGTCCGGAAACAAGGCATAGCGGCTGCAGCTGAAAGAATCAGAAATAGGAGTGGCATGGGGCAGCAGCGTAGGAAGGGGGGCAGGGGGGGCAGGCCACCCCAGGTGCCATTACGGAGGGTGGTGACAAATTATCAAGGAACAATTACTGCCCTACTAGGGCGGTTCATAAAAAACTTTTTTTAAAAAAATGCCTGCTCCAAAGGTCTTATCTTACTACACTAGGGATTATATAGCTATACAGTGGTACCTTGGGTTACATACGCTTCAGGTTACATACGCTTCAGGTTACAGACTCCGCTAACGCAGAAATAGTACCTTGGGTAAGAACTTTACTTCAGGATGAGAACAGAAATTGGGCAGCACGGCAGCAGCAGGAGGACCCATTAGCTAAAGTGGTGCTTCAGGTTAAGAACAGTTTCAGGTTAAGAACGGACCTCCGGAACAAATTAAGTTCTTAACCCGAGGTACCACTATATATGATATTTCGTGCATATCAGTTAGTATCTTGACCCTCCTCCACAAAAATAGCTGTTTACTCAGCCGTTTTCGTATGTAGTGAAGGCTGAAATTTCAATTCAGTGGAGCAGGGTCAAGATATTAACTGATATTCATGAAATTTCAGATATAGCTATACAATCCCTAGTAAGATCATATATATATAAGTAAGATAAGACCTTTGGAGCAGGCATTTTTTTTTAAAAAAAAGGTTTTTTTATGAACCGCCCTACTGCCCTAACCTCTGCCGGGCTTCCCGGGTCCCGGAAAGTCGGCCTATGTGAAGAAAATGAGACTAGGCTGAGTAGATTAGGCCTTGCCTTGCCTTCACCCCGCCTCCTGCATGCAGCCGATTGGCCAGCTGGGTTGGGGGCGGGGCGAAGGCAAGGCAAGGCCGAATCTACTCGGCCTAGTCTCATTTTCTTCACATAGGCCGACTTTCTGGGCTGCTGGGAAAGCCTGCCAAGGCCGCTGCCTGTCCTGCGCACCCCCTTCAGGCCCCAATCCCCCTCTGAAAAGCCTCTGCTTCCCCCAAAAGCGGAGCTTTTGGGACAGTGGCAGTGCCACCGCCCAGTTTTGCCCATGCGTGGCACCAGGAGGAGGAGCTCAAGCAGGGCAGCCTCCCCTTTGCCCCCAATCTTCCCTGCATGAAGCTAGGACCCCCCAAAAGCAGTTGTGTAATTAAAAGAAGATGAGAAAAATCAGCAAAGCAATTCTGTGGCTAACTGACCAATTCCTTTAAATAGGGTCTACTAATGAAGTTCACACTTTTGACAAGCTGTCTGATGCTTTTGCAGAAAAATATTCCTAGACACAAGACTTTTATTTTTTAAGCCCTTTCAGACTCCCATCTCAAGGCTAAGTACAGCAAACTGTACATTCCCACCCCCTCTCCCCAAGGCTGGGGTTTGGCTAAATGACCTTCAGGGGTTCCTTCCAACTCTACAATTCTCTGGTGCAGGCTTGTGCAGAGTTTTAGGCACAAGTTGGATGCAAGGGGTGCATAGGATTGCAGCCCATCTTATGCACCGTGGGCTCGGGAATAAGTCCCACTCATCATGATGAGACTAGATTGCTGCTGTGCAGTCCTGTTTTTTTAAATAAATGTTTTCCTTTTCGGATAATACAGAGCATGGTGAAATCACAATAAATAAAACCTCCCCTTCAGTAGTTTCAAGCACTACTACAGGTTCCACATAATATCTGTACCGCATTGTTTACTGTGACAGTACCTGCACTTTGGAACTCCCCGCCTATTGCAACAAAGCACGTGCCTTTGCGAGACTCTTTTCGGGCACCTGCTAAAAGCATTCTTCTTTAGGCAAGCATACCTAGATGCTTAGGAAGTTGAAGTAATTTCAGTCTTAATATTTTAGCTTTTGTATGTTTTAAAGTAGGATTGTTAATTTTTCTTGATTCTACTGCTTGTGGTTTTTTTGTTTTTTGTTTTGGAAAACCACTTTGCAGGTTTTTAAAAATATTTTTTATTAAATAAATAAACAATAAATATAAATAAAATAACACAAGCCATCCCTCGATCATGCACATCTATCCTAACAGCTACACCCTAAATGGAGAAATTGAAGAGAGTCCCCTTCTTGTTCAAATCTGCTGGGGCATCCACACCCAGTTACTCAAAGCATCGCCAAACTGTACTATTGGTGAAGCTTCTCCACAACTACTGCTGTACGGTTGGGCAGAAGGGGTTATCATTCAAATCTCCAAAGACCTCCAAACCTCCCACAAAAAGGGGTATGTGTGGGTAGGTGGGTATATATATATATATATATATATACTGACACTGCTAGAACTCAAGTTTCTGATTTCCATTCCTATGGCAGATCTTCTACCTATTCTCCCTTTCTCATTCATTTTTTAGAGGCACTCTGATTTGTGGTCTAGAGTTGCTGTGGTTCCAGTTTTTGGTAATTTTCTGAGTCATCCCCCATGGCCAGCTCACATCACATTTCTGTTCCTTACAGACTCACCCTGATGGGGTTCTCCTGCTCCTCAGTATCCTCTGCAGCTCACTCTGAAGAGGAAATTTAGGTACTGCTGAGGATCCAGAGACTCTTATGAAAAACACCTGGGCGTGGGAGCATCTGCCCATCTGTACGTAAGCAAAAGTCAATGACCAACTGGCTTTGCTCACCCAGTGGGAGGAGGCTACACCTTGGCAGCATCCGAATGTATGTCAGGGGTCAGAGAGGCCTTGCTTTTACATAAATTGGGAGAAGGTGCGGGGGAGACAACGGGCTGCCTCCAAAATAAGTCATATTCAGAGGAGATCCACTACAATTAAAGGACATGACTATGATAGGACCATTGATTTGCGTGTGTCCACTCTGAGTAGAACTTAAAAGGATTCAGCCCAAAGTTATTGCCATCCTTCTGTCCTTTGGCAACGGAGTAATACCAATGTCCACAAATACAACCAAACAGTAGCCTGGCTCTCAGAACAAGATGCAGTGCTTAAGTGAAAACCAGTGTGGTGTAGTGGTTAAGAGCGGTAGTCTCGTAATCTGGGGAACTGGGTTCGTGTCTCCGCTCCACCACATGCAGCTGCTGGGTGACCTTGGGCTAGTCACACTTCTCTGAAGTCTCTCAGCCTCACTGACCTCACAGAGTGTTTGCTGTGAGGGAGGAAGGGAAAGGAGAATGTTAGCCGCTTTGAGACTCCTGAAGGGGAGTGAAAGGCGGGATATCAAATCCAAACTCCTCCTCCTCTTCTTCTTCTTCTTCTTCTTCTTCTTCTTCTGTCAGCACAAAGGGCTTGTCATGGGCCAGGAGTCGGCTTCACCTGCTGAGCAGCAGCCTGAAGGAGCAGAAGGCAGAGTGACTCCAACTGCTGCTGATCAACCTTCTTGCTCGTGAGGAGAACCAGATGGCTCCAGCCTCAGTCCGTTGCTAGAAACAACATCTATCTTTCCTGGCCAGACCTTGCTGCTTTTTGCTTCTTGTGACCCTGGACTCTCAGCTTCCTTGATCCTCTGGACTGTTTGACTTTGTGAACTGAGATCCTCCTGACTTTAGGACTGGGGTGAACTTTGCGTACAGACTCTGCTTCCAGGCAAATACCCACCCACCCTGAGACTTGACTGGTTGGCTGGCCACTCCTGCCACTGAGCTCTGCCATGGTTGGACAGCATGGGACTTGATTTGTTTACAAGAAACACATATAACAAGGGCACATAGGAAGTTACTGATTAATAAAAGATTAGGACAGGAGTTTGTTTCATCTGACAAAGTAAAAAAAAGAGGAGTTGTGATATATGCAAAGGAGAGACTATCACCGAAATTTATCTTTAAAGACGACCAAGGAAGATTTTTGGCAATTGAAATTCAAGTACAAGGAGAGAAATTTTTGATTGTAGGAATCTATGCACCGAATGAGGGGAAATCTGAATTCTATAAAAAGTTGCATCAGATTTTACTGGATTATTTGGACTACAATTTGATCTTGATGGGGGATATGAATGGAGTAGTATCTACAAATATGGACAAGGCACAAAGACAGGTAGTTACCAAGGATGGTAGATTACCGAAAACATTCTTTGAGATGACAGACAACATGGACTTAGTGGACATTTGGAGAGTAAAGAACCCCCTGGGAAGAGAGGGAACTTTCTTTTCTGAAGCCAAGATGACATCCAAATATGGATAACTAGAGGAATGGCACCAAAGATAAAGAAAGTAGAAATCTGCCCAAAAACCTGCTCTGACCATAACGCCGTAAGGATGGAGATGAAACAAACAACAACCGGATCCTTCAGATGGAGGATGAATGACACCTGATTTAGAGATGAAGAAGTGTACAAAAAGGCCCAAAAAACTTTGAGGAACTACTTTGAAATAAACATGAATACCAACGTAGAAAAAAGAGTAATCTGGGACGCAAGCAAAGCTGTTATGAGAGGGTTTCTGATACAACAGAATGCAATAAAGAAGAGAAGTCAAAATGAGAAGAAAGATAAAATTTTGGAGAAAATAAAAGAAGGGGAGAAGAAATTGAGAGCAAAACCAAAGTCCCAGGAGATTTTGAGAGAAATAAAATTGTATCAAGTACAATATATGGAAATGATGAATCAGGAAATAGAATGGAAAATTAAACAAATGAGACAAAAACATTTGAATCAGCTAACAAATGTGGGAAATTGTTGGCCTGGCAAATGAAAAAAGACAAAAATTAAATACTATTACAAACCTAGAAGTGGAAGGAAAGAGTATACATAACCCAATTGAGATTAGAAATTGCTTCCAGAGGTACTTTAAACAATTATATACACAAGGGCCACAGAAAGAAATGGACATAGACCAATTTTTGAAGACAAATGGATTACAAAAAATCTCTCAAGAAAGTAAATTAATGTTGAACTATAAAATATCTGAACAGGAAGTAGAAGGTGCCATACAAAATATGCAACTGGGCAAATCTCCAGGACCGGATGGGCTGACTTCTAGATACTACAGATCTTTGAAAGAGTGGTTACTGCAACCTTTGAAGGAAGTCTGCAATGAAATATTGGAAGGGAAAAGGGCGCCAGAGTCGTGGAAAGAGGCATATATTACACTTATACCGAAAACAGAGACTGAAAAGACCCAGCTTAAGAACTACCGCCCTATATCGTTACTTAATGTGGATTACAAAATTTTTGCAGATATTTTGGCCAAGAGATTGAAAAAAGTATTGATGGTAGAGATCCATAAAGATCAAGCGGGCTTTCTCCCGGGAAGACACTTGTCTGACAATTTGAGGAATATAATTGATATCTTGGAAAAATTAGAAGTGAATATAAACACTAAAGCAGTTTTGATATTTGTGGACGCGGAGAAAGCTTTTGATAATATCTCTTGGAGTTTTATGAAGAAGAACCTACATGGGATGGGGGTAGGCCAAGGTTTTGAAAATGGTATAGGTGCAATATATTCTGAACAAAAGGCTAAATTAATTGTAAATAATGTGGTCACGGAAGAATTTAAGATAGAAAAAGGGACACGACAGGGGTGCCCAATCTCCCCACTGCTTTTTATATCGGTCCTGGAGGTTTTGCTAAACATGATTAGAAGGGACCTGTTGGTTAAAGGTATACAGGTCGGAGCCAAACAGTACAAACTGAGAGCATTTGCAGATGACTTAGTATTGACGTTACAGGAGCCAGAATCTAGTACCAAAAGAGTTTTAGAATTAATTCAAGAATTTGGTCAAGTGGCAGGTTTTAAATTGAACAAGTTAAAAACTAAGGTTTTAGAGAAAATTTTAACACCGATTGAAAGAGATAGGTTTCAGAATGAGACAGGATTGACGGTGGTAAAGAAAGTGAAATATTTGGGAATTAATATGACAGCCAAAAATGGGAACTTATTTAAAGATAATTATGAAAAATGTTGGACGGAAGTGAAAAAAGATTTAGAAATCTGGTCAAATTTGAAGCTTTCACTGTTGGGTCGTATTGCTGTGATAAAAATGAATGTATTGCCTAGAATGCTGTTTTTGTTTCAAACATTGCAAATTGTGGACAAGATGGACTGTTTCAAGAAGTGGCAGAGAGAGATTTCTAGATTTGTCTGGCAGGGCAAGAAGCCCAGAATAAAATTTAAGATATTAACTGATGCAAAGGAAAGGGGTGGATTTGCCCTGCCAGACTTTAAACTTTACTATGAATCAGCAGCTTTTTGCTGGTTGAAAGAATGGCTACTTCTTGAAAACACAGACATTTTGGATTTAGAAGGTTTTAACAACGTATTTGGATGGCATGCATATTTATGGTATGATAAGGTCAAAGCACACAAAGCATTCAAAAATCATATTGTCAGGAAAGCATTGTTTAATGTCTGGATAAGATATAAAGATTTATTGGAAAATAAAACCCCAAGGTGGCTGTCACCAATGGAAGCAAAAGCTCTGAAAAGGCTCAATATGGAGGCCAAATGGAAAAAGGTATGAAAAAGGTTTATAAATGGGTAAAAGTTTAATGGTAAGGATTTGCTGAACTAACAAACTGAACTGGAATACAAAAAGGGAGGTATGAGGAGGTCCGGGGAAATAAGTGTAAGGAAGATATGCTATGGAAAATTAATGTGTTTTTAACTGTTTTTATTTTGTTTGTTTCTTTCTATTTTTCATTGCTTTGTTATATCTTAATAAGGGTTTTTTTTATTCTTCTTGCTGTATTTTGTATTTTTCTGTATTTTTATTTTTTGTTTTTGTGTAATCCTTGTATTTTTTTGAAATTTTAATAAATACCATTTTTTTTATTAAAAAAAGCATGGGACTACAAGAGGGCTTGGCTCATAGGGGTTATTCTTCTTATACAGTGGTACCTCGGGTTAAGTACTTAATTCGTTCCGGAGCTCCACACTTAACCTGAAACTGTACTTAACCTGAAGCACCACTTTAGGTAGCACCACACCGCTGGAGCACGATTTCTGTTCTCATCCTGAAGCAAAGTTCTTAACCCGAGGTACTATTTCTGGGTTAGCGGAGTCTGTAACCTGAAGCATATGTAACCTGAAGCGTATGTAACCTGAGGTACCACAGTATTGTCTTCTGGATAGGAACCACAACAACCCCTCATTTAAGAAACCTGGAACTCCATTTTGGATTTTTAAGTAGCAGCTTTTGAACAATACGTGTTGGGTGTAGTGAAGGGTTAACCTTCTGTGTCTCGAGGCTGAGAGGAGGCGCTTACAAGGGAAGTAAGCCAGGACGTGACGAAAGCAGCTTGGAATGCTGTGAGCTGAGTGAAAAGTGAAAGCAGCTTTGCTACGCAGCTGCACACTGAGAGAGAAGGACGCAGAGAAAAATGCAGCTTGAATCAGATGGAATTTCTTGCTTGTAAATATGCTACTTTTGAGCAAATAAAGTGCTACTAGGACAGAAGAAACGTGTGGGACTTCTTTTACTGCCCTTTCAACACGGACGCTGTGCAATTCTGCTAATTGCTTTACGACCTGCAGAGGCGTGCAGGGGAAGCGTGCCGGACGCCGAACAATAAAGCAATAAATCTACCTAACATGGTTATGGGTCAACGTGAAGCGTGTGAGAAAGGGCTTTGAAGCTTTATTTGCTGATCGTCAGCTTGATCGACTGCCAAGCAAGACTTCAAAGGGCAGATCGGAGGAGGCTGATGGAGAGGGAGCTGAGAGCCACGTCATCCGGAGTTCCCAGTTTGGCTGAGTGAGTGAGTACCCTTTGGAAAAAGCCAACAGAAGGGAGGCAATGGCTCAGCCCTGTGAACATGGCTTTGAGCTTAAACTGCCATGTCAGAAACTGACTAGCCAAAATTGGCTGCAGTGGAGCTTTCAAGTGGAGCTTTTGCTGGTGGGGGAGCAGCTGTGGAATGTAATTCACCCCCCACAGAATGCAGCTGGGAAAGCAGAGGCTACGAGGGCTGCAGAGCAAAGTGAAGTTGAGAAGCGTGTGCTTGCTTTTTTGGCAGAAAGTGTGGATGCTCATCTGGTGCCTGTTGTCCTGGGTGCAAGAAAGCCAGAGGCCGCTTGGCTAGCACTCCAAGAAGCTTGTGGAGCTGGAGTGGGAAGCAAGGGCCGAGAAGTGGCTGCATCCGAAAGGGAGAGGCAAGATGGCGCCGGCCACATTCTTGAGAGCCGATACACAGCTGGGAGGAGCTGGGAGCCCCCACAGGGGGGCGAAGGGACTGTTGCTGTTGCTGTTGCTGTTAATGCTGCTTGTGCTTTTGCTGAGCCTGGGAGCTGTGTGGATGCTGCAACGTGTCTGTGTGAGGAGCCTGGAGAGAGGCCAAGTGTTGGGAGCCCTTCACCCATCAGAGGGGGTGCAGGAAAACGTCCTGGAGACCCCGTGAGCAGTGGGGGGGCAGTGAGCAGTGAAAGCTCAGAGACGCCTCTTTCTCCAAAAGCTGCCAAGAGTTGTTTACGTCGTGAGTCGGAGCCTGGGAAGCTGAAAAGAGCTAGAGGCTTCAAGGTCAGCCACCTGCAGCAAGTAGAGATAAGAGCTTCAGAGTTGTGTGGGAACGCCGAGACAAGTCCAGTCTCCATGGCAACTGAGAGAGTTGCATCTACGGAAGCTGTGAAGGTCGTGGGCAAGTCTTCCTGCCAGGGGGAGTCTGTTGCCGTGACAACCAGAGAGGACATCTGCAGAAGCCCCAAGGAGGGGGGTAGTGAGGAGATTGTTGCCCTGGCGACCCAGAAATGTAAACAACAAGACTTTCTCACTGTAATAATAGACTCTGGTGCCTCAAATTCGTTGGTGCCATCTCCTGATCTTTTGAGGAATTGCAGGACAGTAAAAACTGAGAAGTATGTTACGTTTGCAGATGGGAGCAGAAAAAGGCTAACAGAGACAGGACTGTTCTTCTGTCCTTTCCTTAAGCATGAAGTCAAAGCTTATGCAGTGCCCGGTTTAACTAACTGTTTGTTAAGTGTGCATGATCTACTGATCAATGGTTTTCAAATTTCTTTTGCAGGTGACAAATGTGAATTCTCCAAGGATGGGAAACACGTGTACACAGTGCAGTCTAAAGATAATTTGTTTGCTGTAAATGTGCCTTTTCCACAGGAGAAGATGACACCGAAGATGCGAAGGGCCAATGTGTGAATGTAGCACCCCACAATGGTTGTTCACATATTTGGCACCGACGCTTCGCCCATTTGAATTGGAAATATCTCCAGAAAGCACCAGAGCTGACACAAGGGTGCAAATTTAATGTTTGTGACAAATTTCTAGATTGCAATGCATGTAAACAGGCGAAAGTTGTGACATGCTCATATCCAAAATCAGAGAGGCAGACCACACAACCCTTTGAATTAATTCATGCAGATTTGTGTGGACCCATGTCTGTTGAGTCACTGGGAGGTTCGAAGTATTCTCTGCTTTTGATTGATGATTTTTCGAGGTCTGCTTGGACCTGTTGGTTTCTGCTTTCCTTCACTGTGCAGCAACTGCAGTCACAAGACAGGTGTTTGCATTCCACAGTCAGAGTTACTGTTGGAGTTTCTCACGGGAAAGGGAGACTGGATGTGACGTACACTGGTTTCCTGTTTTTCACTGTGTGATTCTCTCCGAGCTGTTGAGGAGAGCGGATGCATTTTTCTGCTTCGACAGAGGCAAGATGTCTTTCTGTAATATACCAGCTTTGAACTGTAAATAAAGCAATATAGAGTATGTAACACATTTTCCTCATCCTTCCGCTGGGCACGACAGACTCTGCTTTAAATCAACACGTGGTTATGGGCTCCAGAGGTCGAATCGGAGTGCCGGCAAAGGATCGGAATGCAGAGGGACGGATCGGAAAGGAATCTGCTCTGCGCGTAGAAGTGATTGATGAGGTATGTGCTACTGCTCCGGGCAGCCTGCCAGCTTCAAGTTAATGGCTTTATGGCTGGACTTTGAACTTTTAAAGCCGGTTTTGCCGGGAATAGGCAAAGGCTCCCAGGCACAAGTCACTATGCTGGGGAAATCGAAAGTAACTTTTAAGTGCGCCTTTGGATAAGGCAGCTGCAGCAGTGACGCAGCAAGATTTAAAGCAGCATATGACGCTGAAGGCTAATGCCAGAGTCATGATGGCCCTTCAGGATGCTTGTGGGATTCCTAAGCTCAACAAGAAAAATTATAGCGACTGGGTTCAGTATGCAGAGGCAATTCTGCGGAAAGAGGGTTTGTTTGAGGTGATTACAGAAACCCCCCCAGTTCCAGTTACAGATGCATGGGAAGCTAAGGATTCCAAAGCAAGGGGGAACTCTTACATTGATAGTATCCCCAGAAGAGCTCTGTCTATTGCGTGATAAGACCTCAGCCAGAGAAATTTGGGACGCTCTGAAAGAGGCTCACTTAAGGACAGAAGCGGGATCCACTATGTTTTATTTTAACAAGCTGCATAATATGGCTCTTGCTGAAGGTGGAGATGTACGTTTACATCTGATGGAGATGCAAAATCTGAGACATGAGCTGCAACAGAGAGGACTCAACTTTCCAGAGGCTGTGTATTCTTTCATGATACTACAATCTTTGGGTTCAGGTTGGGAGTCTGTTGCAACCCAGATTGCTGTGCAACCAACTGCTCAGCTGACAGTGGACTTTGTTACTGCCGTGATTTTAAATGAAGCAGATCGCCGGGGTGCTAGCTGCATGGGCAAGGGGGAGTCTTCACAGACGTCATCCCATAGTGCAGTGGAACCACCAGATGGCGCCAAAGCTTTGAAGGCAGTCAAATGCTACTCGTGTGGACGTCTAGGCCATATGAAGAGGGAATGCAGACATCCCAGGGCCAAGACAGAGCAGCGCAGCGAAAGCTCATCGCGCGGAAAAGGCCGAGGCAAAGGCAAAGGTCCGGTGTCTAGGACAACGCAGCACAAGGCTATGGTTTCACGCTTCACTCCAAAGGTTGCAGAGGTCCAGAAGACGTCTAGATCTTTCTTCGTTGTAGATTCAGCGGCCACCCACCACATGTGCAACGATAAGAAACTGTTTGTGTCTTTTACACCGCAGGAAGGTGCGATTCACCAGGCGGATGACCACACTATTCCCAGTAAAGGCTACGGAACTGTTGTTCTTCACAGTTTGGACTTATCGATACAGAATGTGCTTTACGTGCCAGACGCCAAACATAATCTGCTCAGCGTTGGACAGCTGAATGAGCGGAACATTGACGTTTCCTTCAAGAACAAGAAGTGCATCATCACCAAGAAAAATGATTATGTATTGCATGCAGAATATGTTGATCGTTTGTTTGTTTTGTATTATGATGATGTGGTGCAGGATGACACTTGTTGCATTGCAGGTTCTAACAAAAGTTTGCATGCAGAATGTATTCACGATTTTCATCGCAAATTTGGTCATTTGCATTTTGAGGCAGTATCTAAAATGCCTGCCTTGGTTGAAGGTATGACTATTAAACCCTGCAGGTACCACATGAAGTGCAAAGCATGCGCAGCAAACAAGGTGAAAATGGCTGCGAAAGGTAAGGTGTCTAGTAGGAAAGCTACAGAACCATACCAGGTTGTTCATGCTGATTTGGTTGGACCACTAGCGCCCTCTTTAGGTAGAAATAGATACTTCATGGTTCTCATTGATGCATTTTCTAGATATATTTTTGTGTACAATCTCAAGCAGAAATCGGAGGCTTTTCCTAGGTTCAAGGAATTCTGTGCTTGGTTGGAAAATGTGCATGGTAAGAAGATAAAGACTCTTTTCAGTGATCGCGGGGAATTCACTTCTCAGCAGTTTGAAGCTTTTCTGACTGAGAAAGGAATTCAACACGATTTGTCTAGTCCTCGCTCGCCATGGCAGAATGGACTTGCGGACCGGGCAAATCAGACTTTGCTTCAAGGGTTAAAAACCTTGCTGCATGATGCCAATCTTCCAGAGAGTTATTGGGCCGAATCTCTCTCGTGTTTTGTTTACAGTTACAATCGCAGATTATCTTCAGCGATTGGTTGTACCCCCTATGAGAAGATGTTTGGCAAGAAGCCATACATCAAACACATGAAGATTTTGGTTCTGACATGTGGGTTCGCTCACCACAAAACTCCAAGTTAGACAAGCGTGGATTGCATGGTATCTTTCTAGGTTATCAGAAAGGGTCTTACAGAATAATGATGACTGACTCTAAGACAATTAAGCTCACGAGAAGTGTTGAGTACAATGCAAAGTGGGGGGAGAATGTGGGAATTTTCCGATGTTATCCTGATGACGGTGATGAGACTGAGGATAGTCAAAAGCAACCACAACAGCCCACACCCACTGATGAAGGTTCTGAGTCTGAATCTGAAACTGAATCGGGTGATTCAGAGGATTTCAGAGTGCGAAAGCCTCTATGCGACCCTCTGAAAGCTCTGATCAAGAATTGGAGGAACCATTGTTCACAATAGGTCGTTTTTCTCCTAAGAAGGAAGAGGAGAGTGTTGAAGACTTAAGGCTAATTCGTAGGTCACAGAGAGCCACAAAAGGCAAACCTCCAAAGAGATTTGCTGATGAGTTTGCTAAGATAGCAGTAACAGCTGTTAAAAGCTCCAAGAAGGTATTTGAACCTTCAAGTTTCCAAGAAATCCAGGGTTTGGATTCAAAGGAAGCTAAGCCATGGTTAAATGCCATGAAGGCTGAGCTTGATTCCTTAGAAAGGAACAAAACATGGGAGCTAGTTCCAGTAGTTCCAGGAATGAAACTGCTTGGAAGCAAATGGGTCTTCAAAGCGAAGACAGATCAAAATGGCAAGATAGTCAGACACAAAGCCAGATTGGTAGCCAGAGGTTTTGCACAGGTACCAGGTGAAGACTATCACGAGACCTATTCACCCACAGTGAGATATGAAAGCATTAGGCTTATGCTTAAGCTAGCTGCAGAGGAAAATCTGCACATTAGTCACCATGATATTAATACAGCTTTTCTGTACGGATCTCTAGATGAATCACTTTATATGCTTCCACCTGATGGCGTACAGGTAAAACAGGGATTTGTTTGTGCTCTGAAGAAATCCCTTTATGGTCTCAAACAAAGTGCACGGTGTTGGCACACAAAACTCACTGAAGTATTGTTTTCTCTAGGTTTTCAGCAAGGGAAAGCTGATCCATGTGTATTTGTCAAAGAGGAGGGGCAAAAGAAACTGTACTGTTTGTTTTATGTTGATGATTTATTATTCTTTTGGAAAGATGTTGCAATGTACAATAGCGCCCTAGCTCAACTGAAAGAGCACTTTGACATGAAAGATCTTGGTGAGGTAAACAACTACCTATCTCTGGAAATGAGAGAGATCAAGATGGTAACATTCTAGTACACCAGTCACGGAAAATTGCTGATGTGTTAAGCAAACTAAATCTGATGGATGCTAACCCTGTAGACACACCGATGACAACAGGTTATCAGGTAGATGACACTGAAGAAGCATTTTCTGACACTACACTGTACAGGAGTGTGCTAGGCAAGCTAAACTTCATTGCCAGATGTTCAAGACCAGACATTGCTGTTAGCTGTAATTTGCTAAGCAGACAAGTCAACAATCCTAGTGTCAAGGATTGGAAAGCTCTGAAACGCATAGCGCGGTATTTGAAAGGCACTATGCATTACAGACTGAGATTTAACAATCAGAAGTCTGGTGGTCTTGAGATATTTGCAGATGCAAGTTTTGGAAGTGACGCTACAGACAGGAAAAGTACGTCTGGAGTTTGCTACATGTACAATCAGAGTCTGTTTGATTGGTCATGCAAGAAGCAAACAACAGTTAGCTTAAGTACTTGTGAAGCCGAACTGAATGCACTGTCTTATTCACTTAAGGATTGTGAATGGTTAGTACAATTGTGCAAAGATATGAAAATTCCTGTCAAATGTCCAATCCAGGTTTACCAGGACAACAAAGCATGTTTGGCTTTGCTGAAGTCTGAAGGTTGTAAGCTAAGCACAAAGCACTTGCAATTAAAATTGCAGCATGCAAGGGAATGTATTCAGAAGGGACTCGTAACGGTGTCCTATATGCCAGGTAATGAAATTCCTGCTGATGTATTGTCCAAGATTGTATCAAGGGATCAACACTGTACCTATGTGCAGAAGTTGGGTTTGTACTGATATTGTACGAACACGCTGCCCAGTGATGTTCACAGAAAGGGGGAGGATGTTGGTTTCTGCTTTCCTTCACTGTGCAGCAACTGCAGTCACAAGACAGGTGTTTGCATTCCACAGTCAGAGTTACTGTTGGAGTTTCTCACGGGAAAGGGAGACTGGATGTGACGTACACTGGTTTCCTGTTTTTCACTGTGTGATTCTCTCCGAGCTGTTGAGGAGAGAGGATGCATTTTTCTGCTTCGACAGAGGCAAGATGTCTTTCTGTAATATACCAGCTTTGAACTGTAAATAAAGCAATATAGAGTATGTAACACATTTTCCTCATCCTTCCGCTGGGCACGACAGACTCTGCTTTAAATCAACACGTCCTTCTCTCTGAAAACGAAAGGGGAGGCGGCTAAAATGATCAGGGATTGGATCACCACAGTTGAGGTAACCTTTTCCACCAAAGTTTGTGGTTTTCAAAGTGACAGAGGTGCTGAATTCACTGGTTCTGCTTTACAGGATTTCTTTAGGGAGAAGGGGATTAGCCACAGACTGACCGCTCCTTACTCTCCGCAACAGAATGGGCTGGCAGAGAGAAAGAACAGGACGGTGCAGGAAGCTGTGTCTGCGATCCTGTGGGACGCAGGGCTACCCCAGAAATATTGGTCTGAGGCCTGGCGCTATGTGGTCCATACGGAGAATAGAGTGTACAACTCTAGTGTAGGAAATACACCGTATTTCTTACTTCATGGAAGGAAGCCCAAGGTACACTACCTTCGTGTGTTTGGTTGTGAGGCTTGGGTGCTTATTCCAAAGGCTCTACGCAAAAAAGGTGAGCCAAGATCTAAAAGAATGATCTTTGGAGGGTATGAGCCTGGCTCAAAGGCCTGGCGGTTTGAGTACCCAAGTGGAGACCAGTCTAGGTTGGTTATTAGCAATAGCGCTGAGTTCTGTGAGCAAGCCGGTTGGAAGCGTCTGCATGCTAATCCAGACATGCTTCCACAGCAGTTCTATGACTCAGACGTTGAGGAGGAAGAGGAACTTGTTGCTGGGGACCACGGTCCAGAGCGACAGAGTCCAAGGCAGGGACAACTCAGGATCCCTCAGAGGGGGGAACCTAGAACACCTCCTCAGGCAAGTGTTAAGTTTGAGCCAAAGAGTGAGCCTTCCTCACCTGCTGGACCAGCTGTAAGGCCCAAGAGGCGCAGCAGGTCAGAGGGGGAAGACACTGAAGTTGAGGATGATTTAGCTGGACCCAGTGAAGCGGCAGGGTCACCAGGATTCACACTGAGGAGATCAGCGAGGACAAGGAGGCCTCCTGATCGGTACGACGCTTCAGGCGTCTGGGTAGGTTCTGCAAGATGTGAACCTGAATCCTTCGAGGATATTCAGAGTTTACCTGAGGAAGAAGCAGGCAAGTGGCACAGGGCAATGGACAAAGAGATGAAGTCCATGAAAGATCTAGGTGTGTTCTCACTCACAGAGTTGCCACCAGGCAAGCAGGCTGTGAGTTCCAGGTGGGTTTACCGCTTGAAACCCACTGGTGCAGGAGAGCCGCAGTATAAAGCCAGGTTAGTTGCTCGAGGATTTACTCAGAGGAAGGGAATACACTTCACGGAGGTGTATTCGCCAACGTCACGAGCAGAGACTCTGAGAACGCTTTTAGCTTGTGCAGCACAGAGAGGCTGGAAAGTAAACCACTTTGATGTGGATGTTGCCTACCTTAACTCAGATCTCCAGGAGGAGCTGTACATGATTCCTCCTCCAGGGTTTGAGAACTTAAGGCAGGATGTTGTGTGGAGATTGCACAAATCCATCTATGGATTACGTCAATCTGCTAGAAACTGGAACATGTGCCTGAATGAAGCCTTAGAAGAGCTAGGTTTCAGGAGAAGTGTTGCTGATAGTTGCTTTTATTTGAGAGGTTCAGGAGCAACACAAGAGTGTTTGCTGATTTTTGTTGATGACGTGCTTTTCTTCTCAGAAACAGATGAACAGGCGGAGAAGTTTTCCAAAGAGCTAGGTAAACGGTTCAAGCTTAAACAGCTTGGTGCTGTCAAAACCTATCTAGGTGTCAATGTTGAGCGTGCACAGGATGGAAGTTTTTTGCTCAGCCAGAGAGGTAAAATTAAGCAATTGCTTCAGAAAATGAGGATGAGTGATTGTGCAGGAGTGAGTAGTCCTATGGAGACTAGTTTTGTGAAGGACAGCCAGCAAGTAGAACGCGCTGCGTTCGAAAATACTGAAGTGTTTCAGTCAGCCCTAGGGAGTTTGTTGTACTTGTCCCAGTGGAGCAGACCTGATATAGCGTTTGCTGTCAATCTGCTCAGCAGGGAGGCATCAAACCCTAGTGTGCAAGCCTGGAATGGCATCAAGAGAGTTCTGAGGTATTTGCAGGAGACCAAAGACTTTTGTCTTAGGTTGCCAGCACAAGGAGAAGTCAAACTGACTTGCTATGTGGACTCGGATTGGGCTAATCTTGAGGATCGCAAGTCTGTGTCTGGCCTAGTGGTGAAGTTTGGGAACTCAGTAGTTGGATGGAGGTCCAAGAAGCAAAGTCTTATAGCGCTCTCATCCACTGAGGCTGAGTTTAGTGCTCTTTCAGAGATGTGCAGAGAAGTAGAGTTCTATGCTTGTTTAGTGCAGGAACTCTGCGAAGTGGATTGTCTGCCGATACGTGTTTTCGAGGACAATCAACCATGCCTGCGTTTGGCAGAGTCAGGTCAGTTCAAGGCCAGAACTAAACACCTAGACATTCGCTTTGGAATGTGTGCCAGAGTGTTCAGGAGGGATTAGTTGCGCTGAAGTATTGTCCCTCTGCCAAGAACCTAGCTGATGGGTTCACGAAGCCACTCACCTTCCAAAGACATGGGGAGTTTTGTGAAGGTCTGGGTTTGGGACAACCCAGGGTCGATTCTCCCCTCAGGCGCGAGACAAGAGGGGGTGTTGGGTGTAGTGAAGGGTTAACCTTCTGTGTCTCGAGGCTGAGAGGAGGCGCTTACAAGGGAAGTAAGCCAGGACGTGACGAAAGCAGCTTGGAATGCTGTGAGCTGAGTGAAAAGTGAAAGCAGCTTTGCTACGCAGCTGCACACTGAGAGAGAAGGACGCAGAGAAAAATGCAGCTTGAATCAGATGGAATTTCTTGCTTGTAAATATGCTACTTTTGAGCAAATAAAGTGCTACTAGGACAGAAGAAACGTGTGGGACTTCTTTTACTGCCCTTTCAACACGGACGCTGTGCAATTCTGCTAATTGCTTTACGACCTGCAGAGGCGTGCAGGGGAAGTGTGCCGGACGCCGGACAATAAAGCAATAAATCTACCTAACAATACGCACCCATTCCTAAGATATCATTGCAGGCAATGATATTTATTCATATATCCTAAAAGCACCACTGTCTCCGCTGTCCATCATTCCAAGGAAACTGAATCCTGCATAAGCACTGCGATCCTGTTGGCATGCAACTCTTTCCAACGTGTCAATGTTTGAGGCATGCTGGGTTCAAACCTAGTTTTATCCCTACTTTTTTTTCCTGAGCTTTATGCTTCCACCACTCTATGAGGTTTATTCTTTTCTATACAGATTTACAACTATACCTGTAATGAATCCCAGTTTTCTCCCTCTGGTTGTACAAAGCCAGGGCTGAAGATCCTGTGGCCCTCCATCTATTGTTCAGCTGCAACTCCCACCAGAAGAGAATGGGTAGAGATAATAGCAAATGTAGTCCAACAAGATAGGAACGTCTACTGGGTCTCTGTTCCAGCATAAGCACTGGGTAGCCTGGTTCTACTGATACACTGGTTAACCAGTAGGTCACTTACATGGAGGTGAAGGAGACTCACTATGATTTCTTTAATTTTAATGCTGCTGAGAAAACATTTCAATTTTAAAAAAGAATGTGGCTGGTAAACTCTTTCCAGGCTATTTAAAATATAGATTATGTAAGTTAAGTTGCATGGGATCAGTTCCAATCTGTTACCCCAAAGGATGTGGACAGGCTGCTTGGACAAGTGAAACCAACCACTTGTCTCCTTGATCCTTCCTCATCCTGGCTTATAAAAGCTAGCCGGGAAGGGCTGGGCGATGGGCTTCGCGGGGTGGTGAATGCTTCTCTCTGCGAGGGAGCCTTCCCAGACCCACTGAAAGAGGCAGTTCTCAAACTGCTTCTTAAAAAACCATCTTTAGCTGTGGCAGTATGGCCAACTATCACCCAGTCTCAAATCTTCCATTCTTGGGCAAGGTGATTGAGCGAGTGGTTGCTGAACAACTCCAGGCTCACCTTGAAGAAGCAGACCATTTGGATCCCTTCCAGTTGGGATTCAGGCCTCATCATGGGACTGAAACTGCCTTGGTCGCACTGGTCGATGATCTCCGGCGAGCTAGGGACAAAGGTGAGAGCTGTTTTCTAGTTCCGCTGGATCTCTCAGCGGCGTTTGATACCATCGACCATAACATCCTTCTGGACTGTCTAGAGGAGCCGAGGGCACTGTTATACAGTGGTTCCGCTCCTTCCTCCTGGGCCGTGTTCAGAAAGTGGGAGGGGTGAGTGTTCAGACCCCTGTGAGGTGCCTCAGGGTTCTGTCCTTTCCCCATGCTTTTCAACATCTACATGCAGCCGCTGAGAGAGATCATCAGGGGGTTTGGACTGGGTGTCCATCAGTATGCGGATGATACGCAGCTCTACCTCTCTTTCAAATCAGAACCAGTGAAGGCGGTGAAGGTCCTGTGTGAGTGTCTAGAGGCGGTTGGAGAATGGATGGCAGCTAACAGATTGAGGCTGAATCCTGACAAGACAGAAGTACTGGTTTTGGAGGACAGGAGGCGGGCAGGTGTGGAAGACTCCCTGGTCCTGAACGGAGTAACTGTGCCCCTTAAGGATCAGGTGTGCAGCCTGGGAGTCATTTTGGACTCACAGCTGTCCACGGAGGCGCGGGTTAATTCTGTATCCAGGGCAGCTGTCTACCAACTCCACCTGGTACGCAAGCTGAGACCCTACCTGCCCGTAGATTGTCTTGCCAGAGTGGTGCATGCTCTAGTTATCTCCCGCTTGGACTAGTGCAATGCGCTCTATGTGGGGCTATCTTTGAAGGTAACCCAGAAACTACAACTAATCCAGAATGCAGCAGCTAGACTGGTGACTGGGAGCAGCCGCCAAGACCACATAACACCAGTCTTGAAAGACCTACATTGGCTCCCAGTACGTTTCCGAGCACAATTCAAAGTGTTGGTGCTGATCTTTAAAGCCCTAAACGGCCTCGGTCCAGTATATCTGAAGGAGCGTCTCCACCCCCATCATTCTGCCCAGACACTAAGGTCCAGCGCCAAGTGCCTTCTGGCAGTTCCTTCACTGCGAGAAGCCAAGTTACAGGGAAGCAGGCAGAGGGCCTTCTCAGTAGTGGCACCCGTCCTGTGGAACGCCCTCCCACCAGATGTCAAAGAGAACAAGAACTACCAGACTTTTAAAAGACATCTGAAGGCAGCCCTGCTTAGGGGAGCTTTTAATGTTTGATGCATTACTGTATTTTAATATTTTGTTGGAAGCTGCCCAGAGTGGCTGGGGAAGCCCAGCCAGATGGGTGGGGTATAAATAATTTATTGTTGTTATTATTATTATTATTATTATTATTATTATTATTATTATTAAATGGGGTGGTTAATTAGAGGCCAAAGGAACAGTAATGGCAAAGTGAGTGTGTCACACAATAGCATTTGGCTCAGCTGCCAAATATTTTACACTCCCAGAACATCTGGGAACCTCACTTCTTGGAAAGACCTGCATAGATTTAGCTATCATTCCTGTCATTCCTTTTAACAACAACAACAACAACAACAACAAAACACCAAACACTTGCATTATTTTCGAACGTATATATTTCCTCACAAAGTCTGCCTTTATCTACACATTTCAACTAAGCACATCCCTTTTTAATATGCATTTTGGTATGTATCTGAGCTGAAACCCAGTATGCAATATTTAGTGAACTGTGAAAACCAAAGTCTGCCTGTGTTCTGATCTGCATATTTCTTTCAGGACGGACACATTTACATTTGTTCAATGAAAAATTCAGACGGAACAAAAGCTTCAAGGATCCCTAATCTTGATATCTTCTTGTGGTGGTTGGGAAATCCTATGAATGTGAACGATGACAAAGGGGTAATCCAGCTGCCCTCTGAGAGCTGTACTCACTTCATTCCTTTCAGTTTCAGTCCCACTCAAGCACTCGCTACCTGTTTATACTGAACGTTTGAAGAGCCTCTCTAGAATGCACAGGCTAGGCCTTGCTGCCTAGGGGATGCATGACTGACATCAGCATAAAGGAGTCCTATAGGCCATATGGAAGTGAGAGCTGGACCATAAAGAAGGCTGATCGCTGAAGAAGTGATGCTTTTGAATTATGGTGCTGGAGGAGACTCTTGAGAGTCCCATGGACTGCAAGAAGATCAAACCTCTCCATTCTTAAGGAAATCAGCCCTGAGTGCTCACTGGAAGGACAGATCGTGAAGGTGAGGCTCCAATACTTTGGCCACCTCATGAGAAGAGAAGACTCCCAGGAAAAGACCCTGATGTTGGGAAAGATGGGGGGCACAAGGAGAAGGGGAAGACAGAGGACAAGATGGTTGGACAGTGTTCTCGAAGCTACCAGCATGAGTTTGACCAAACTGCGGGAGGCAGTGGAAGACAGAAGTGCCTGGCGTGCTCTGGTCCATGGGGTCACGAAGAGTCGGACACGACTAAATGACTAAACGACGACAACAACATAGGCCATCTGTCATGGATGCTTTAGCTGAGACTCCTGCATTGCAGAGGGTTGGACTAGATGACCCTTGGGACCCTCCCAACTCTGATTCTATTATTCTATGCAGGTGGCTCCCTCCTTGGGGATGGAAACCCTAAATGAGCCCATGTCTTCTGCAGATCCCATTCATGCACTCAGTTGCCCAGAGTACCAAATGCCTGAGCAGGATTTACATTTTCATCAACTGCCTATCAAACCATTTGTTTTTTTCTTCAGTCAGTTTTGTCCCAATGAACAGCTGCGTTGTGAATAGTTGTGTTAAGGAGCAGGCCTAGCTGAAACTGTTTCTAAGGCATGATTTTTCCCATTTCAGAGCTTCCCGTTTCACTTGCTGCAAGATATTTCCTGTTCTGCCTTTCTAGGTTTCTGTCGCACTGTTCACATCTTTCTCCAAAGTAGATGAAGCAGGAACTTCTGGAGATTTTTCTGCGAAAGACAAAGGTGGGACAGAGGGGGAAAACTGATAAGCAGAAAGTCAAACAACTATCCATGCAGGTGATAGCTCAGTCTCCTGACTTGTTTTTTAAGCAAAAGCAGAATCCACCTCCCCACATTTTTACGGTACCCTTCATGCCCCACTGAAGATGGGGTATTAGCTGCTTCAGGGGCAAAGCTCTCAGAGGTGGCTGAGGGGAACAGGTGTTCCTTTCCCCCCTCACTTTACCAATTTATTTAAAAAAAAAAAACCATTGCCGCTACTCCTACAATGACAACAACAAGGTTTCCTTTTCCACAGCATGCAGCCATCATGCCTCCTGTACCAGAATGCTGTGGGAACTGATGAGGCCTTTTTCAAAAGCAGAGGATGGGGAACCTGTGGCCCTCCAGATGTTGTTGACCTTTGGTGATCATCCCTGACCAGTACCCAATAAAGATAGACAGATCTGCCAATTTTGGTTCTCCCAGTTTCTCATTTCTTCATTCTTAAATTCAGTTCCGCACATTCCTGCAGCTGCCGGCAATTTAGGTGGACAAGGACTCATGAAAATATGTGTGGAAGATAATTTATCTATTCGTGTCGTTTTGTTAGGTTGTTTAATGTTCTTGCTGTTTTAATATGTTTCATTAGGCCAGTTGCCTGGGAAAACAAGGGAAAGAATTGAATTGTAAGCAAGTAAATGCTGAGGGTTTGGGGCAGCCTTGGCACCTGTTGCTAAGGGATTTGGGGTGTTGGGAGAATGACCTTTGGAGGGTGGTTAAGCCAGTGAGGGAAGAGGAGAAGAGGAACCTTGGAGTACTGAGGGAACAATACTGCTGTGGGGAGTTTGTGGAGAACCTTTGATAAAAGAAAACCGCCCTCAATTTCTTGAAGTGGCCATGAGGAGAACTGAACAGGACCGTGATGTGAGAAAGAACAGCTAGATGATGATTCGCTTTCAGCACTGGTGCCTGATATGCTGAGGCAACTCTTTCTTAGAGAGGGACATATTTGGGCCTTGTTCTAGAACATTCTGGGCTCACAGAAGATAGCACTGGTTTCAAATTTTGGAGGGCCCTTGAACAAAGCACACATCATGAGGCCCCTTCTCTTACCGAGTCAACCGCCACTCTGGCATTATCACCAGCTGGTATTATTCACCTTTCTCCTCATTGCTACCACCGGCTTGTTTGCCAGATGGAGAGGCAAGCAGACAGGGACATCCACTGCTTTGCCTTTTCACCCACCCACCCCTTGTCTGAGCCAGGGTGACAGGCAGGTGTACAAGCAGGTTGCAATGGTAAAGAAGAGAAGCAGGTGGGGACGGATCCTGTCCATGGTCCCTCTCCTGGGGTGTGGGCCCATAACATATGCCCCACAATGCCACCTCTTTGTGCAGCCCTCACAGAAGTGTTGCCTACTCTCAGTGATATCCCTTCTCCTAGTGGTTGCACTGGGGACATGGTTCTGATCACGCCAAGGCCACGGGTCTCATTCCCTCATGAGCCACCTGCCTATTCCTGTACTGCAGGGGCTTGCACTAAATGATCCTTGAGGTTTGTTCCAACTCTACAATTCTCTGATTCTGTTCTGTGATTCTAATCCAGAGCTGGGAACTGCATATGGTTCCTTTCCTAAAAGGGCCCTAATCACACCTGTTTGTGTGGCCTTAGAATGCAAGGAGCTCAGGAAATCGCATTGTGGGCTAGGTGACATCTGTTTGAGCTGGGCTGCCACATCTGTGCCAATGTGGAAGAACTTCTGCTCTGCGGCGTTGTAGACAGGCCACTGTGCCTCATCTCCCGTGGACCCAGTGGGATTCCTGTAGAGGAAACAAAGAAATCAGAGCCATATCTCAGCCTCAGATTGGTTTGCAGGGTGAAGCTTCCAGTGTTGTATAATGCAATAAATAGATAAGCCACACCAGGATTTAAACGCTGTCTAAACCTTGCTCCCAGTGCTGCTGGGAGTGCTGTGCCACAAATAAAAGTTGCCCCATAGCGGACATCAGAAGTGGGCAGCTGTGCAAGGATTCCAGTTGCTGACAGCAGTCCTGTATATGGGCAACAGATTCACTTTAGGAAAAATGGCTGTGTTTCTCAAAATGGTGCCCTCCAACCCAGGATCACACATGCTGTGATAGAAGCTTGCTCACAGGTGCAGCCAGGCATTGTCCATGATAACTACAGCAGAGGTGGAGAACGCCTTTCAGAGCAGGGGCCACATTACCTCATACATAAGCTTTAGGGAGCCAAAAGTCGGCCGGTCAATGGATGTGACCCTTGCCTTGTACAATAGGCTACATTCCTGCCATGAAAACATCTCTCTCTCCATCGAGGCATGCAAGAAATATTACCTCACTTTAAGGACATATTCCAGTCTGGGAAAAGCCCTCAAGGATGGCACAGAACCGAGCAGGTGAGAGGGGTGAACTGGGGAGGGAGACGCCCAATGACTGGACAGAGAGAATCCCACCCGTCCTCCACAAAATGGAAGCCTTTCAGCAAAGGAAACATGCTGGGAGGTAGACAACCCACAACATTCAAGCTGAACCACATTCACAAACTGTGCAAAGGTGCCATCAATGACACAGATGATCCGAAAGTGTTTGATTAATGCCTTACCCGCTTCTGGCAAATTCTGCCCAGTATCGCATCACTTGGCGGCTCAATTCTGCTTCAGCGGCCTTCACCTCCGACCGGTTTGTTTGCAACACTAATTCCACGCTTCCAAACAAGTAAGGTACCTCAGCTCCATGAGGTGTCCCCGCCCATTCAGGCCAAATAGAGTCAGGATTGCGGTGGTCAAAGGAGTAAACATAAACTTGGTTCTTATCTTTCCCCACCTTCTCAGCAAACTCTAGCAGAGGGCACACAAAGAAGTAATCTCCCATATAATGACTCATGGCCAAACGATATTGTTCCGACCCATGGCTACCTTCAGTGTACTTCTGTATCACATCCTGGTCAAGATTTTGTTTGGTTGCTCCTTTCAAAGTTCCATTGACTGCTTTAAGGGCCTGCTCCCGAGTCAGTATTGCATCCTTCACTGTCATGTTAGGAAACATAAAAAATACCATAGTTGACCCTTCATCAGCAGTGACGCCAGTGAGAATGGGTTTGCCGTGAACAAGGCCACTCTCCAGCAGCTTTGAGGGATCATCTGGGAGGAACTCCCCATCCGTTGTCAATGAGAAGAAAGTTTGCAAGGCATCAAACATTGTGCTGTTCATTTCCAACCCCTGTAGGCAGTTTACCATAGCACTGTGGTTAGCTTTAGGGCACCCCACAAGGCCACTCACCTTCGCTGAATCTCTTAGGGCATTTTCAGGATTCTTCCAACCCCAGGGGGCATTGGGAACTCCACTCTGAAGCACAGCACGGGCAAAAAGGGGTTGGCTTGCAGGTGAAAGCAGGTGGAAACCAACTGCGGCCCCTCCAGCACTTTCGCCAAAGAGAGTTATCCGGGCTGCATCACCGCCAAACACAGCTGCGTTCTCACTCACCCACTTCAGAGCCAGATGTTGGTCCCACAAGCCAACGTTTCCTGGGGCATCTGGCGGCATGTACAGGAAACCTAGGGTCCCCACGCGGTAATTCATGGAGGCCACAATGACATTCTCTGTAGCTGCTAACAAGGCCCCACTGTACATATCCAAAGAGGCTGTGCCAATGATAAAACCCCCGCCATAGATCCAAAGGAGGATGGGCACTGGTGTGACTGGCCGTGGGTGGGGCACCCAGATGTTAAGGAAGAGGCAGTCCTCTGAAAGTGGTGTGTTAGCAGCAAATAGCTCTGCAAATGGCATTTTTTCAATGTTTACCTGAAGGCAAGAATTGCCAAAGCTGGTGGCCTCCAAGACCTGGCTCCACGGCTGATGTGGAACTGGCTTCTGGAAACGCAGTTTGCCTATGGGGGGCTCAGCATAGGGGATGCCCAGATAGGCGGTCACAGAGCCAGAGCCAGCTGGGAGTATTTTGCCTTTAATGGGACCGCTGCTGGTGACCACCACAGTATCATCTTCAGAGGCAGAGCTAGAAGCCAGGAGGAAGAGGAGGATGCACAAGGAGGAGGGTGAAGTCCGGAAACAAGGCATAGCGGCTGCAGCTGAATGAATCAGAAATAAGGGTGGGGTGGGAAACATTAGAATATGGGACATTTGAATAATGCAACCAAGCCTGAATACAAGAAGAAACCCAAATGGAAGGGTCAGTATCAAACAAATCTGCTTTTGTATGTTCCTTCCTACAAAAGAACATATACCACAATAAAAACTCTTTAAGATGCCAGGGGACACTGTCCAGTTTTCCCTGGTATTTTGGTGGTTTCTAGTCCTTGTACCATCCTAAGCACATATAGTTATTAATTCCTATTTTATTTAACAGAAGTTTTGGTTCCTCTAAATTATGAATGCAACAGGTAACTGGTTATATCACATCTCTCGATCATGTACATCTGTCCTAACAGCTACAGTACACCTTAAATGGAGACATTGAGAAGTATCTTCAACTTGCTCAAATCTCCTGGGGAATCAACACCTGGATACTCAAAGCATCTCCAAACTGTACTTCAGCTATTCCACGAATGAGGTTTCTCCAGATCTATTGTTGTACAGTTTGACAGAAGGGGTTATCATTGAAATCACCAAAGACAAACCCAACCCCAAAAAAGGTAAAAACAGCAACAACATTGACACTGCTAGAACACAAGTTTCTGATTTCCTTTCCTATGGCAGGTCTTCTACCTGTTCTACAGAGAACATTTCCCCATTCTCATCCATTTTAAGAGACACTCTGATTTGTGATCTAGAGTTGCTGTGGTTCCAGTTTTTGGTAATGTTCTGAGTTATCCCCCATGGCCAGCTCACATCACATTTCTGTTCCTTACAGACTCACCCTGATGGGGTTCTCCTGCTCCTCAGTATCCCCTGCAGCCCACTCCAAAGAGGAAAGTTAGGTACTGCTGAGGATCCAGAGACTCTTATGAAAAACACCTGGGCGTGGGAGCATCTGCCCATCTGTACGTAAGCAAAAGTCAATGACCAACTGGCTTTGCTCACCCAGTGTCAGGGGTCAGAGAGACTTTGCTTTTACATAAATTGGGGGAAGGTGCAGGGGGAAAGACAAAGGGCTGCCTCCAAAATAAGTCATACTCAGAGGAGACCCACTACAATTAAAGGACATGACTATGATAGGACCATTGATTTCCATGTGTCCACTCTGAGTAGAACTTAAAAGGATTCAGCCCAAAGTTATTGCCATCCTCCTGTCCTTTGGCAACGGAGTAATACCAGTGTCCACAAATACAACCAACCAGTAGCCTGGCTCTCAGAACAAGATGCAGTGCTTAAGTGAAAACTTGTGTGATTCTTCTGTCAGCACAAAGGGCTTGTCATGGGCCAGGAGTCGGCTTCATCTGCTGAAGCCCAAAGTTATTTCAATCCTTCTGTCCTTTAGCCATGGAGTGATACAAATGTCCACAGATACAGGGAAAGAGTGACCTGGAACTCCAATTCCAGGATTTTGGATTTTGAGAAGCAGCTTTCCAAGAATATACACCCATTCCTAAGGCATGTGCAGGCAATGAGATTTATTCCACTAACAACTAGTGGATCAGCAACAGATTAAGAAAATGGGGATTAATACACAAATAGATTCTAATCTAGAATGCTCCAGCTTCTCCAAAGGTCCAGATGCGCCAATGGCAGCCTGTCCCATCAGGCTTTTCTCACAGTCAGTTTGGGGATGCAACCAATGAGTAAGGTCCTTCTAGATCCAGCAGAGATGTTGCAATAGCAACTGGGGGTGCGTTGCAAGAGGGAGCTCCAGCTAGGGTTGCCAAACTTCAAAAAGTAAAATTCATGACACCTGGGAGTTCCTAACAGCTTTTTGAGCTGTTACCACTGCTTTGCCCATCTGATGCCATTTTTAAACCCAAAAACCAGGACATGTCAGGAATTTTCCTGACCTATGGCAAGCCTAGAATTGCAACACTGGGAGCGGTTTACTTCAGTGCCCAGAATTGTTTGAGGGAAGAAATGTGCTTTGAATGAGCTCCAAATGAATCTTTTATACGCACCTTGACTATGTGTGTGGGTCCCTATCCTGAACTTCCTGGGTCTGCCAGGAACCTTGACTCTCTCTTTTTTCATATAATTTTTATTATTTTCATTAATAAAATAAAAACATAAAATATAACAACATTATAATAGCCATTTCTAAAACATTTGCTCCGCCGAGCTCGTGACTTCTCTCCCTCCCTTCAACTGATTTCTAATTTCCTGATAAATTATATACACATTTCTGCTGTCAGTTTCTGTCCTTCAATACATCTCAAGTCCTCCATGGTCAGATACTATTTTTATATTATGTTGCAGGATTCATATCAATCCTGCTAGTGTCTTCACAATTTGCTCCAATCTCTCTGGAATTTTGGATCGCCTTGGTTCCGGATCCTCACAGTCCGTTTGGCTAACTCCGCATAGTCCATCATCTTCATCTGCCACTCCCTGATCAATGGTAATTCTTGCAATTTCCATCTTTGGGCTAAAAGAATTCTTGCTGCAGTGGTGGCATACATAAATAGTCTTTGGTCTGCTTTTGTAGTCTCTTCTCTCATCAACCCAAGCAAAAACGCTTCTGGTTTTGGGGGGAAGGTATATTTTAACTTGACTCTTGCATTGAACCTGAACTCTTGCTGGAGACTGAATCACCATCTGAATGTGACCACCCTCTGGAAGATAATAGCCATTGTGCATTTGAGAAGGACAGTTAATGCCTTACCGGGCAAACTCTGCTCAATATCGCATCACTCTGCCATATATGTTTGTTTATAAATGCTCTACTAAATAAATAAGTAAAGCAGGCAGTGTTCCACTAAAAAATAATAATTATCTAGTACATATCAGTAGAGCATGAAACTCTTGATCTCAAGGTTGTGGGTTCGAACCTCACATTAGGTGGAAGAATCCTGCACTGTAGGGGGTTGGACTAGATGATCCTCATGGTCCTTTCCAACTCTATGATTCTGTTCTATGACTCTCTCTCTCTCTCTCTCTCTCTCTCTCACACACACACACACACACACACGCACCAGCTTAAATAAATGTTCTTGCACCACACTGCCAAATTGTGTGGCACACATATTTGTCTATAACATAGCAACCACATTTATTATAAACTTCCCCTTTTTCAGTTAAGGGCACAGTAGGAGGGCGCTGTCCCCTTGGCCTCTCTCTACTGCCCAACAATTCCCAAAAGAGATTTTTTAAAAAGCTGTTCTGCTAACCAGCACGAAGAGTACAGCTCTCTTTGCTGACCTTGGGGTTCTTTCAGCAAACAAGCTGCAGTCATTCACCTTCCGGACCCTGGCTTTGAACACGTTCTGTGTTTTCTAGGAAAATGTGAGTTGCTGTTTGTTTTTGGGTTCCCTCCCCAGTACGCCCCAGTTCTTTCACACATCTGCCTCAAGGATAGGGAAACCAGCCAGGCTGGATCCATAAAAGACTGTAGGTGAGGCTAAGGTAAAGGTAAAGGGACCCCTGACCATTAGGTCCAGTCGTGGCCGACTCTGGGGTTGCGGCGCTCATCTTGCCTTATTGGCCGAGGGAGCCGGTGTACAGCTTCCAGGTCATGTGGCCAGCATGACTAAACCGCTTCTGGCGAACCAGAGCAGTGCATGGAAATGCCATTTACCTTCCCGCCGGAGCAGTACCTATTTATCTGCTTGCATTTTGATGTGCTTTCAAACTGCTAGGTTGGCAGGAGCAGGGACCGAGCAACGGGAGCTCACCCCGTCGTGGGGATTTGAACAGCCGACCTTCCGATTGGGAAGCCCTAGGCTCTGTGGTTTAACCCACAGCGCCACCCACGTCCCTGTTGGTGAGGCTACCCAACTCTTAATCACCTGACATCTGACATCGTGGTGGTGGATGTGAAGTGTTTTCCTTTGCCTGCAACCACATGTCTTCTATGCAGACTCCCAATATTAAGCCCAAAAGGATTTCAGGATCTTTTTGCTAGAGTTATGGTGTGAATACGTGTTAACCTTTCCCCCGCAAGAAAACTCATACACAAGAGGAGCAAAGAAAGACTGGTTTATTGCATGAAATGAAAGTTTCAGAATATATGGATGCCACTTCAGACAGCAAAATTACCCTAAAGGCAGGCAGCAGCTCTTGCCACACCAACACACCTTGATTTTAAAGAGCAAAGGAATCCCTAACTATTCCCAAAAGTCTACAGAAAGTGTGTGTGACCATATTGCCACAGAACTGACACTGAAAGTAAAGTAAGTAAGGGAAGAAGAGGGGCATCTGTGTCCTGAAGCAAAGCACGTTTTGGTTCCTTGAGGGTGTTGAGTTTATTACTGGAGTTTGGAGAGCTAGCTAACCATTGAAAATCAAGTGGCTTTGTACTCATTTTAGCCAATGCATCCTAAAGGAGAGGAAAGAGGTTGAGCAATTTCTTATAACACCGACATGGATTTGTTCTATTGTCTCTTTCCCACAAGTTCCTGTCTGTTTCCTATGTCATTTACTTTGTTCCGTTGGTTGGTGAAAGAATATAACCCTAGTGAGAAATGGCTAAACTGGTGGTCTTTGTTTTCTGAAGCCTGAAGGTTATCTTACTGTGAAAGAGGCATGGCATTGTGGTATGTATTATGATGATTATTTGGGGGGAACAGGTGGAAGAATGAAGTTGTTAGCTTTGAACTACAGGAATCAAACTATCACTCATCAGGACCAAAGCAAAAGTAACTTAAACTTTGCTAATATCAAAAGGAAATGTATATTAGATGTTTCAGGAATCTACATCTGCCAAAGATATTGAAACCAACATCTCAAAGCAGCAGAACAGTTACTTTGCTAGAAGTTCAAAATTTTGCAGACACATTAAAAGGTGTGTTTTCAATTGGTTGTGAGTATGTTAAGATCATAGGAAGCAGTGGGTTTTTATCAGCATGGAAGTCCTTGTCAGGTTTTCTTCTAGGTCACTTGGTAATGATGCTTTATAATCGAGGGACACAAAGTCAAGCAACACCTGTTGAAAAGATGAGTGTGGTTTGGTCAGAATGCAATATAGGCATGAATGAGAGAAATGCATTTAGCCAAAAAAAAGTGTGTGTTAGGCAAAATGCAGACAAAAAAAAGTGTATTAGAATAAATTAGCACTATAATGCGGATGAATTTTCATGAGGAGATATAGATATATATATATATATATATATATATATATATGGTAAAGGCAAAGGTAAAGGACCCCTGGATGGTTAAGTCCTGTCGAATCAGACTATGGGGTGTGGCGCTCATCTCCGCTTTCAGGCCAAGGGAACCGGCATTTGTCTGCAGACAGCTTTTCTGGATCCTGTGGCCAGCAGGGCTAAACTACTTCTGATGCAACAGGACACCATGACGGAAAGCAGAGCGCACAGAAATGCCGGTTACCTTCCCGCCACAGCGTACCTATTTATCTATTTGCACTAGTGTGCTTTCGAACTACTAGATTGGCAGGAGCTGGGACAGAGCAATGGGAGCTCACTCCATCGTGGGGATTCAAACTGCCGACCTTCTGATCGGCAAGCCCAAGAGGCTTGGTGGTTTAGACCACAGCGCCACCCATATCTCAGCATGTGGAAATGTGGCGAGATGAGGAAGAGGGTAACAGAAGAAAGCACTCGTCTACTTCAGCTCCCTTTGGGCTGCAGCACAAAGCCTTCCTGATGTGGGGAAATGGACAGGTGTTCATGTTCACATTTAAAACATGGTTCCAGGCACAGGTTGCAGAAGGAAGCCATTTTAGCTGTGGGCCATGCAAACCATTAAGCCGGATGACAGAGAGGGGAGAAAATGTCCTCCTCTCAACTGCTCGGTGTGGTCTACCCATTCATTCTCTATTCATTCATTCATCCTTCTATACTCCCCAGCTCCATCATTTCCTCTGTAGTCCTAATGACCTTTCATGGAGATTCCCTCTATTGTGTTGTGGATTCCTTTTTCTCGTCCTCCTCCTTGTGTGAAGCAGCAGAATCCTCTTTCAATTTGTCTGTAGAAGAAGGAGAAGAAGAAAGAAAGAAAGCCAGAGAAAAGTTTGAATCTGGAAATGAGATGTTGAAGACTCTGGAACAAGAGTCGCCGACCTATTTAGGCATATATCCACATCTGGATTTTGGAGTGCGTGCCCAGCTCTGGTTTCTTCTCATAGAAGTGAGAGAGGAAGTGGGAAAGAGTCTCAATCTTCCAGCTTCCTCCTTCAGTTCTTGGCTTTTCACAGGACAAAAGGTAACCTCACTTACCATCTTATGGCCAAAGGATGGAGGGGTAGAGAGTACAGCCATGGGTACCCACACCATTGCATCCATGGTCATCACATTGGCAATCCCTGTTCTAGAAGCCCGGGGCCAGTAGCATCTCATTTCAGCTGTAGGTGATGCCAGCTACAGTACAGTCATTAGAAGCATTTGTCTTATGAGGTCTTAGCCCCCACCGCAGTCCACTCACACCCATACTGCAAGGCAAAGAACAGAGCTCACTTATCAGTGTATTGAAGAAAGTGCAGTGTTGCACAGGTGACCTGTCCACAACCTGGGTTGGCTCAGTGCTTAGGTGGAAGAAGTTCTGCTGTGTGGCATTGTAGAGCGGCCACTCTACCTCGCCGGCAGCTGACCCCGTTGGTTTCCTGCAGAGGATGTAAAACAAATATATAGCTCTAAACACCAATATACTGCTCTCCATCTTCCATCCAGGCAGAAGGCATTATCAGAGTTTGGGGAGATATCACAATCAGGCAAAAAAACACTTGAGGAGCGAAACAGAGCCAGTGAGAGCTGGAGAATTCTGAAGGCCAGATATTCACAGGAACACATTTGGACCTCGTCAGATTTGCAGATGACACCAAACCGGGAGGGTTAGCTAATGCCACAGAAGACATGATCAGAATTCAAAATGACCTTGACAGATTGGAGAACTGGGCCCAAGCCAACAAAATGAATTTCAGCAGGGAGAAATGTAAGGTTCTGCACTTAGGCAGGAGGAACCAGATGCGCAAATATAAGATGGGGGACACCTGGCTTACTAGCAGTGCATGTGAAAAGGATCTAGGGGTCTTAGTGGACCACAAGCTCAACATGAGTCAACAGCAGCACACAAAGAAAGGCTAATGCTATTCTAGGCTTTAAAAAGACAGCTTTAAAAAGGCAAAATACACTCAGAATCTATCTTATAGCAAGATAGTCCTTTCCTCCTCTCTTGGCTGAGAGCCAAGAGGGCATCCTTAGATGTTTCCTGAAATATACTCCAAGTCGCAAAGTGATTTCATGCTCTTTATTCAGCTCATAGTGGTGAGGAGGAATGAATGAATGTCCCCTCACAGTATCTGCTTTATATACATTATTTACACAATGGGCTGCACATGATTGGCTAATTCTGGAATTCTACTGTAAGCCAATCAGGTTGTGGATTCACTTCTATCTGGAGCAGGATTGGGTGGTTCCTGCCAACCAATCATACTGCTGCATTGTTCTAGGACCAATCAGACTGCTGCATTCTGAATCCTACTGTTCTAGGACCAATCAGACTGCTGCCTTTTGGATCCTATTGTTCTAGGACCAATCAGACTGCTACAGTTTGGATCCTATTCAACTCAGTACATAACATTTCCTGATCGAAGGAAGATGGCAGAGAGAGGCAAGAGAGACAAGAGAGAGAATGGCTGCCTGCCCTGTGCTTTTATCATTTACCTGCACAGGTGAGGCCACACCCACCTCTGGTCACATGCGGAGGAAGTCCGTCCCCAGGAAGTTTACCTGCTTGCTGGACAGACATCCTTCCCCATGTTCTAACATGTACACTCTAGGAATGTTGTCATTGACTGCTCCTGTGTTTTACATCCCACAGCTTTAAGGGTTGAAAGGGCTTGCCTTCTGTATAAAGGTGAAGGGCAAGCGAGGAAAAGGTCATGCCTTACCCACTTCTGGAAAACTCTGCCCAGTATCGCATCACCCTGCGGCTCAGATCAGCCTCAGCTTCTGTGTAAGTTTGATTGGTGGCCATAGCTTTCTCGAGGGTTCCAAACAAGTAAGGCAGCTCAGCATCATGGGGTGCCCCAACCCACTCAGGCCAAAAAGAGCCTGAGGTGTGGTGCTTGAAGTAGTAAGCGTACACAGGGCTCCCAACTTCTTCCAGCTTCTTAGAGAATTCATCCATTGGGCACGAAAAGAAGTAATCACGAAAGGACTGTGACAAGGCCCTGTAATACTGGACTGGATCCTGGCCTTCCTTGCTGTACTCCAGGGCCACAGCCTGTGCAACCTCTTCCGTTGCATTTCGTATTGCCATCCGTATCCCTTTCAGAAGTAGCTCGTGAGTGAACTGGTGGCGCTCGATGCCAGGAAAACTAAACGGCATAAAGGTGTTCCCTTCGTCAGAGGTAAAACCAATGAGAACTGGCTTGAGTTTGATGTGCCCAGGCTCCAGAAGCTTCTGAGGGTCATGAGGCAGGAAATCTCCATCTGTTGTTGGTATCACAGGAAGATCGATAAGATATTTGCCTTTCTCAAAGAGGAGCATTTCCTGTGGAGAGAATTCTGTGGCATTTTTCGCCTGTAGGCAGCTCATCACAGCGCTGTCATCGCCATCAGCACAGCCCACCAGCTGGGCGATAGCGAGGGATTTTTGCTTGGCTTCCTCAGGACTCCCCCAAGCCCAGATGGCACTGGGAGATCCACTCTGAATCACAGCTTGGGCAAAAAGGGGCTGGCTGCCTGGTGAAAGGAGGTGGAAACCCACTGCTGCTGCTCCAGCGCTGTGGCCAAATATGGTCACCCGAGTCGGATCTCCTCCAAAGGCGGCGGCATTCTCATTGACCCATCTCAGAGCCAGCTGTTGGTCTAGCAAGCCCAAATTTCCTGCAGCTGCTGGTGGCATGGTGAGGAAGCCTAGCATCCCCAGGCGATAATTCAGGTTGACAACTATCACTCTCTCGGTAGAGGCTAAGGATTCTCCTTTGTACATGTCCAGGGAAGATGTCCCAGTGAAAAACCCCCCTCCGTGAATGAAAACAAGGACAGGGGTTGGTGTAGAGGGACGCGGGTGGGGAACCCAGATGTTGAGAAAGAGGCAGTCTTCTGACAGTGGCGTATTGGGTGCCCACACGTCTGCATCAGGGATGCCAGAAATAATAGACTGGTGGCAAGAGTTGCCATAGCTGGTGGCTTCCAAGACTTGGCTCCATGGCTGGTGTGGAAGGGCCTTCTGGAAACGCAATTTCCCCACAGGGGGCTCAGCATAGGGGATACCCAGGTAAGCCGTCACAGAGCCGGAGCCAGCTGAAACATGCTTGCCCTTGATGGGGCCACTTTTGGTGACCACCACGGTGTCATCGCCAGGGGCAGAGCCAGAGGCAGGTGAAAAGAGGAGGAGAATGAAGATGTAGGGGAGCGAAGAGAGGATACCAGGCATTGCAGCAGCTAGAAGGAGATTTTAAAAGTTACATTCAATAAAAGGCAGGTCATTTCTCTCTCAGTGATCCGCTGCTCTGGCCTGCTCACATCAAGCCCTGCTCTGTGGTTCTTCCCCAAGGTCCCACAAGGGCAACACAGATCATGGACCTTGGATGCCTTCTGCAAACAAGCCATGAGCTCCCTCACTTAGCAACCTGGGCTGACTCAGCACCGGGCTCCGTTTACATTGTTAGAAAGGTGGAAAATCAAACAAATTTAACACATTTTCTCCAGGTTTATGTGTTCCAATGCTCAGCTATTCAGGAGGTTTGGGAGACCAGTTACTCTAGCCACTTCCTGCCCTATAGTCCATTTTTCTGTCTAGGAATCAAATTTAACCACCCATTTCTACATTCTTTATGTATGTCGATGTTCCTTTTTCCCCCCTAAATTGCAGCAGGGATGCAAATATGCTTGGAAGTGCATCAGGTGGCGGTCATTAATTTAATCCTTTCACTGCAGATCAAGAGACCAATGAATATTGCAAGGTTTCAACTCCCCTTTTGGAAATGTCCTTTGGATTCCAGAAGTCTTAATATAACTTGTTTATATTGATAAAAGCTCCATTGAACGCAGTGAAACTTATCTCTGAGTAAGCATGCACAGGGATTGCCTTGTACATCTATCCACAAGTTTGAGTTCTGACTCTGTGTGTTCCCTTGATGCAGTTGCTGTTTTGCTTTCTCCAGTGTTCCCAATGTTTCTTAAAGCAACAATTCTTTTTCCAGAACAAGGCTCTTTCCAGAAACAGAGGCTGATGGTGGATAGGTAATAAGAGAGCCTTCATTAACATTTTTCATCCAGGACTTATGTCACAGGGACATACTAGGCTGTCTGATGGCAAAATGCCCCCGGAAACTCAGCTGGACTTTTGAGTAAACATACATAGATGAAAGCTGTACCTGTGCATAAGCCACATTAATTCAATAGGACTTACTCCTGACTAGACATGGTTAGGATTGCAGCCTTTGCCATATCACAGGGATGTTGTTGGGACCCATTTCTTAGGAATGGAGGAGAAATTCTGTCTATCCAGTATGCATTTAAAGTTGAAACACAGCTATTCTGAATTTTGTGTCTGAATTTTGTGATACAGTTATCTAACCCAACAATGCTTACATAAATGGATGTATTAATGGAAAGTGGAAGGAAGAGTGAGGATCTTAGTGAAAATAGCATAAAAATGCATTCTATTAGGCAAATTGTTTCCCCAAAAAAATGCTAATCAGTCAAAACTGCTTATAAATATATTTATATATTATGAGAAATTCTTACTATGCTGCTACTTAATTTCCATGGCAATGTCTTTATAAATGCAAATGGATGCAAAATGTGGAGAGCCGAATTTATGGTTGGAAAAATGAGAACCAGAGAGAGACTGATATGGACAGACTCACCATCCCTATTCAGAAGTAAGATCTTCTGGGATTGATGACCCTTCCTAGTAAGTATGACTGGGAGTGCAACCTAAATCACCCACCTGAAGCAAAATAATTCAAGAGCAAGTCACTAGACCTTTGGAAAACCTGCAAAGAGGGGAGGGCTTCTGGGTCCTAAATGACAGAATGGGCATCACATCCCGCTTTCCCCTCTTTCTCACACCCACACCCCAAAGGCTTGGGTTAAAGCTATGTGTAGCTGTTGTAGTTCAGAGAAATAGCAGTCCAAGGAAAAGATCAGCCAGGGTTGCCTTAAATACAGGAATTGCATAGATTCCTGCAACAGACTTGAACAGTCAACCTTGACATTGTTTCAGAATTAGATGCATGCAAGCCTAGGAAGTCTAAATCCAAATCAATTCTTCAAAAGCAAATGGGTTTTCCTAATTGTAAGGACTCACCTCCCGTCTCCTTCATGAGTTGTTTTCCACTCCTGATCCCAGCTCAGGCCAAAGGGGAGAACAAATTGCAGAAGGGACCAGTGTGTTCCCTGCAATGTTCACAAACAACCAGCAGCGACAGAGGGTAACTGTGCTAACTGAAAAGAGCATTGACCTCTCGGGCTCTGTCCAAAGAGTGGGAGGATGCTATAGATTGACAAGGTGGAAGTTCATGTCTTGGATCAAGCATATGGGGAAAGGGAGGCTTTGCTTTGCTACGGAGTGATAGAGCAGATTCCCAATCCTTGATATGCAACCTTGTGGCTTTGGGAGAAGAAGAGTCCCTGTCTAAGGCTATCAGGGGAATGGTGACTATGCTGTCCCCCACATACACACACTAATGGGGGCAGTGGGACTCTGAATACCAGTTGGGGGGAGCATTATTGTGCTCAGGTCCTACTTCGGGGCAACTGGTTGGCCACAGTGAGAACAGGATGCTGGACTAAATGGGCCTGGGGCTTGATCTGAAAGACTCGTGTGTTCATAAGAGTGTGTCTTAATTTATTTTAAATATTGTTGCATGCCACCCCAGTCTTGAAGCAATGCAAGATTCCAGGGGTTTCAGGCACCGACCCAGAGTTTGTGTTTCCTTTTGGAAGTGAGGTCAAGCAGGGACTGTGGTGTCTTTATGATGTATGGTTTATTTACATGTACAGTGGTACCTCGGGTTAAGAACTTAATTCGTTCCAGAGGTCCGTTCTTAACCTGAAACGGTTCTTAACCTGAGGTGCGCTTTCGTTAATGGGGCCTCCTGCTGCCACTGCACCGCTGGTGCACAATTTCTGTTCTTATCCTGGGGCAAAGTTCTTAACCTGGAGCAACCACTTCCTGGTTAGCGGAGTTTGTAACCCGAAGCATCTGTAACCTGAGGTACCACCGTATCATTAGAATCTTAGAATCGTAGAACTGGAGAGTTAGAAGGGACACAACCTGAGCCTACGATGGAGGGGTTCACAGCATCAGCCGCCCAAGACAGTCTTGATTCTCCCATATCCACAGCCTTGTACTGACAAGGTGGAAATCCAGTGCTAGGATCAAAGGCATTGGGAAACAGAGACTTACTTTGATGTGGAGTTTGAAGGGAGATCTGCAACCTCACAGCGCTCAGAAGAGAAGGGTTCCTGAACATATTTTGGTTCTTTATTTTAAATATTTTTATTCCACCTTTCCTATTGGCTTTTGGCGGTGTGTTAAGTAACATTAAAGCAAGCAATTGGCTGCTGGCCCCTAGGCTTGCTGGCCTTCCACCAAGTTGTGTCACAAGTTTATTTGTACTTACACTCTCACTTTTAAGAAAAAGAAGCAATGAGACCTGGGTAAATAAATGCTACTGCCCTGCTATCCATTGGATAGCTCAGTTGGTTACAGCGTGGTGCTGATAATGCCAAGGTCGTAGGTTCGATCCTCGCATGGGACAATTGCGTATTCCTGCATTGCAGGGGGTGGGACTAAGATGACCCTCAGGCTCCCTTCCAACTCTGCAACTCCATGATTCTATGAATCTGGGAAAGGCAATGATGGAGCTTCAGGAAGCCTCACTTCTGGTAACTCCATGGCACACAGCGAGAATTGATGGGAGGAAATAGGGTTACAGTGGTACCTCAGGTTAAGTCCTTAATTCGTTCTGGAGGTCCGTACTTAACCTGAAACTGTTCTTAACCTGAAGCACCACTTTAGCTAATGGGGCCTCCTGTTGCGGCCGCGCCGCCGCAGCACAATTTCTGTTCTCATCCTGAAGCAAAGTTCTTAACCTGAAGCACTATTTCTGGGTTAGTGGAGTGTGTAACCTGAAGCATATGTAACCTGAAGCGTATGTAACCTGAGGTACCACTGTATATCTGATTCAAGAGAGAGAAGCAGCTGAGGGAGGCTTGGCAGGAATTGCTCAGGGGGGACCAGGGAGTGCCTGGGTGCAAGAAGAATTCTGACACAGCCCTGAATGATCAAAAGGCATCATGTGAAGTAAGAGGGAGAGTCTCCCAGCAGAGAGCAGGAGGAAATCCAAGCTGAGGAACAGGGAAGCAAGAGGCAGAAGTATTTGCAGAGAGTGAGTGAAGGGCAGGAGAAATCCCTGCATGAATCGGAGTGAAGATGTGGCCTGTAAATGGAGGGTTGTTTGTTTTGGAGTGTCTGTCTGAAAGAGGAACTGAGAAACAGGAAGATTAGGTGCAGGAATTGTAACTTCACTTCGCAATTTACTTTTTTCCCATTTTAACTGGAAAAATTGTTGGTGGAGGGATAATAAAAAGGAAATAATCACCAAACTCCAAAAGTTCTCAAAAGTTGCTGTTGGCTTCTTTTATTTGTTTGTGGCTGTGGAATCTTAGAGCAAAGGCTGAAATCATATTTTAAAGCTGTTGTTAATGACTGAATGCATCTGAAAACACTTCTTTCTCTCTCGTTTTTCTTTGAAAAGTGAGATCCTCAAGATATTCACACACAAAGTAAAATCGACCTGCATGAATCCACATTGCTTGGCTGAGATTCGGGATAGTTGAAGAACGAGGATAGTTGCATTTTTAAGTGAAATCTACATCACCCATTTCCAGATACTTTTACCAATCAGAGTCACTTTCTTCATCCATCAGCTCAGAGTCTGGAAAACAGGAAGGCATGTTTGGGTAAAGGAAGCTGCAGTAGGAAAAATGCTGGGATTGCAAATTGCATTCCCATTTGCATTGCAGGGTCAGTTATTCCTGATATAGAGCCATTCTGAAACTAATGGAAAATTGTGGGGCACCTCTCCCCATACCAACCTGAGATTGATAGGAGGGGGCGGGCTCCGCTTGTGCCTCCACCAATGAATGTTGCTCATTCTGCGGGGATGAAAATGAGAGCCTTTTCTGTGGTGGCACCTTAGTTATGGACACACACACACCCTCCCCTTGGAAGCATAACAACACTAACAGGCTTCTTGCGTCTGGTGAAAACCCATTTCTGACCTCTCTGCTTGGAGGACTAGAGGGTTGTCTTAGGCTGTGTACATAGACATACAATGTCAGGAAGTCTGCCCCAATAGGAGGTGACCTTAGAAAGCACCATCTGCATATGCAGGCAGACAGAAATGAGAATGATATTTATATGACGCCCATCTGACTGGGTTGCCCCAGCCACTCTGGGCGGCTCCCAGAAAAATATTAAAAACACAATAAAACATCAACCATCAAAAACTTCCCTGAACAGGGATGCCTTCAGGTGTCTTCTAAAAGTCAAATAGTTCTTTATTTCCTTGACATCTGCTGGGATAGCATTTCATAGGGTGGGCGCCACTACCAAGAAGGCCTTCTGTCTGGTTCCCTGTAACCTCACTTCTCTCAATGAGGGAACCGCCAGAAGGCCCTCGGCACTGGACCTCAGTGTTTGGGCTGAACGATGGGGGTGGAGATGCTCCTTCAAGTATGCTGGGCTGAGGTCGTTGAGGGCTTTAAAGGTCAGCACCAACACTTGTTGTGCTTGGAAGCGCAGCCTCGGCATAAAACAGATTATAAATTTTCCAGAAGAATACGCTTTAGATCGGCAAATACGACAGGGGTGGCATATGGATGAGGCTATGTGTAAAGGTAAAGGGACCCCTGACCATTAGGTCCAGTCATGACCGACTCTGGGGTTGCGGCGCTCATCTTGCTTTACTGGCCAAGGGAGCCGGCATACAGCTTCTGGGTCATGTGGCCAGCATGACTAAGCCGCTTCTGGCGAACCAGAGCAGCACACAGAAACGCTGTTTACCTTCCCGCCTATTTATCTACTTGCACTTTGACGTGCTTTGGAACTGCTAGGTTGGCAGAAGCAGGGACCGAGCAACAGGAGCTCACCCCTTCGCGGGGATTCGAACCACCGACTTTCTGATCGGCAATAATAATAATAATAATAATAATAAATTTTATTTATACCCCGCCCTCCCCAGCTGAAGCTGGGCTCAGGGCGGCTAACAACAATCAAAATAATCCAACATTCTAAAAACCTTTCATTATAAAAATTAATTAAAATCAAATTGATGGCAACCATTAAGCAAAATTCTGTGCAGATTGCCAGTGGAGGGGGTCAGGCTGCGCCCTGACCAAAGGCCTGGTGGAATAGCTCTGTCTTACAGGCCCTGCGGAAAGATGTCAGGTCCCGCAGGGCCCTAGTCTCTTGTGACAGAGCGTTCCACCAGATTGGAGCCGCGGCCGAGAAAGCCCTGGCTCTAGTTGAGGCCAGCCTAACCTCTCTGTGGCCTGGGATCTTCAGGATGTTTTTATTTGCAGACCGTAAGTTCTTCTGTGGGACATACCAGGAGAGGCGGTCCCGTAGGTACGAGGGTCCTAGGCCGTATAGGCCTTTAAAGGTTAAAACCAGCACCTTAAACCTGATCCTGTACTCCACCGGGAGCCAGTGCAGCTGGTATAGTACCGGGTGAATGTGATCTCGCAGCGAAGACCCCATAAGGAGTCTCACTGTGGCATTCTGCACCCGCTGGAGTTTCTGGGTCAGTCTCAAGGGCAGCCCCACGTAGAGCGAGTTACAATAATCCAGTCTGGAGGTGACCGTCGCGTGGATCACAGTGGCTAGGTCAGGGCGAGAGAGATAAGGAGCCAACTGCTTAGTCTGGCGGAGATGAAAAAATGCCGCCTTTGTTATAGCTGTAATCTGCGCCTCCATAGAGAGGGAGGTATCAAAGATTACACCCAAACTCTTAACGGACGATGCTGGCACTAATTGCACCCCCACAAGAGATGGGAGTTGCCCCCTCAATCCCATATCGCCCCGTCCCAGGCAGAGGACCTCTGTCTTCAAAGGATTTAACTTCAACCGGCTCCCACGTAACCATCCAGCCACAGCTTCCAGACATCTGGTCAGTGTGTCTGGGGCCGAGTCAGGATGGGCATCCATCAACAGATAGAGTTGGGTGTCATCGGCATACTGATGGCAACCCAGCCCAAAACTCCGGACAAGCTGGGCGAGGGGGCGCATAAAGATGTTAAAAAGCATCGGGGAATCGCACCCTGAGGCACTCCACACACCAAGGAGTGGCGCGATGACAATTCCCCCCCAAGCACCACCCTCTGTCCCCGACCAGAGAGAAACGAGTGCAGCCATTGAAGGACTGTGCCCTGGATCCCCACATCGGCAAGGTGGTGGTCCAGGAGTTCGTGATCGACCATGTCGAAGGCTGCTGACAGGTCTAGAAGAATCAGCAGCCCCGACCCGCCTCGATCCAGCTGCCTGCGGAGATCATCTGTTAGGGCGACCAGAGCTGTCTTGGTCCCATGACCAGCGTGGAAGCCGGACTGGAATGGATTGAGAGCCGATGTTTCATCCAGAAACCTACCAAGCTGTTCAGCAACCGCTCTCTCAATCACCTTACCCAGGAATGGAAGATTCGAAACCAGGCGGTAATTGGATAGATCTAAGGGATCTAATGATGTTTTCTTTAAGAGCGGGCGCACCACTGCCTCCTTCAGTTCCCCTGGGAATATCCCTTTGCCAAGGGACAAATTGATGATATCACCCAGGGGGGCCCGCACCTCGTCTGGACACGCTCTAATCAGCCAAGACGGGCACGGGTCAAGAGGACAGGTGGTGGGCTTTCCAGCTCAGAGGAGTCTGTCCACATCGGCTGGGGATATCCAGTCAAAGTGGTCCAATACTGGACCTGAGGACAGTCGAGGGGCCTCCAGTTCCTTTATTGTATCCAAATTGGCAGGGAGGTCATGGCGGAGCAACAGGACCTTCTCCGCAAAGAAGCTCGCAAATGTCTCACAGCTGTGTGTCAAATTGTTATTTAAATTTGGCTGTCCTTCAAGGGACGTTAAAGACCTAATTATACTAAATAATTGCGCCGGGCGAGAGCTAGCAGAGGCAATGGAGGCCGAGAAGTAGGACTTCTTAGCGGCCTTCACTGCCATCTCGTAGGTTTTCATAAAAACCCTATAAGATGTTCTTGAGGCTCCGTCACGGGCACCCCACTATACTCGCTCTAGCCGTCTGAGGTTCTGCTTCATTTTTCGAAGCTCCTCGGTAAACCAGGGAGCCCGGTTTCTGCGGGGTCGCAGAGGGCGCCTAGGTGCGATCTCATCGATGGCTGCTAGGAGCTGGATATTCCAGCCCTCAACAAGCTCAGTCAATGAGTCGCCAGGGGGAGCAAGGTCCCGCAAGGCCTGACGGAATCTATCAGGGTCCATCAGCCTCTGCGGGCGAGCCCAAATTGGCTTTCCACCTAAGCAGGGTGGGGATGGAAAATCAATCCTGGCTTTCAGAGCGTAGTGATCAGACCATGGCACCTTCATCAAAGGAGACATGATCACATCTATACCGACGCCAAATATCAAATCCAGCGTGTGGCCTGCTTGATGTGTGGGGCCCGAAACAAACTGGGAGAGCCCTATTGTTGCCATGGAAGACACCAGGTCCAGAGCCTGTGAGGAGGGAGTGGCATCAGCATGGATGTTGAAGTCCCCCAAAACCAATAGGTTAGGGAACTCCAAGGCCCAGCCGGCCACCGCCTCCAGCAGGCCTGACAGGGTGGCTGCTGGAGCGCTAGGTGGCCGGTACACCAGCCAGACAGCCAAGCTCACCTCGGAGCCCCACACTAGGCCAACACATTCAATGCCGGGGATCGATGGCAATGGTAGAGCCCTGAAAGAGCAATCTTCCCGGATTAATAATGCCACCCCTCCCCCCCGGCCCACAGTCCGCGACTGGTGGAGGGCGGAGAAACCCGGGGGTGCCATCTCTCGTAAGGTAACAGTTTCCCCTTCGCGCACCCAGGTCTCCGTCACACAAGCCAGGTCAACCCCCTGCGAGGTGAAGAAATTTCGCAGGGTGGCGGTTTTGTTGCCTATAGACCTGGCATTGCACAACACCAGTGACGGAGGTGAGTAATCCTTGCTCACCCTACCCTCGTCCCTCGGGATGGGGCGCAGATTGGAAGGGGTACGAGCAAGTCCTAGGCTCTGTGGTTTAACCCACAGCGCCACCCACATCCCTCATCATGGATGAGGCCATGTGTACAGCACCCCAAAGCAGCACTTGCACCCAACACTTGGTCACATTATCACGGAGTGTGCTGGTGCCCATCAAGTAACTGGCTGGCATGGGCGGGGCAAGGCAGTGTCACAGACAGATGCTCCCAAATTACATTAGACAGGAGGGTTATCTGACTGGGCTGTGGTATCTTCCAACTCCCCCCACCCGCCGGCCCGAAACCCTGCTCTTCCTGACCCTTAAATCCTTCCATGGCTAGCCACACCCAGAAGCCACAGTAATGGGTGGGTGACACCTCCTCGGCTTGAGCTGGCTCTGTGGTAATGCGGAAGAAATTCTCTCCTGTGTAGACAGGCCATGCTCCATCATCAGGAGACCTGTGAGGGGAAGCAAACGTCGCCAATCAGTAAAAGGAATAAGAATGAGATAAAAATCAAGTGCAGAAATGTAATAAAATTCCACTAGTTAAGCGCCACAATCAGCACAACCATGGAAGTTGCTCTGTGACAAAGTGCAAATGGGCGGGTGTTTCCTCAACCCCCTGTCACTCAGCTGCCGGGTAGGACGACGGTAGCCAGAGCTGTGTTTGAGGAGGTTGGAAACAGGCTGGAAGCTGTAGACACAGGACTCAGCTACACAGCTGCAAATATAACGTTTTAAGTGCGTTTTAAGCACATTATACAAATGTGCCACTAGATGGCAATGGTGAGCTTTAGGCAAATGCCATATATTTTTCAAGACGCCTTTTAAAAAAGGTATTTTCACAGCGTTTTTTATATGTTTCTAGGGTCCACCACCAAGTCGTGTTTGCTCTGTGCCTGCGAAGAATGGAGAAGCATGATCTTTTGAGGGGTGAATGCTGCAAGCCCCTCCATCTTGTGCTCGGGTTGTATAGGTTTATCCTAAAAACGCCACAGTCGCTGCTGACCTTCACTCCAAAGAAACTGAACGCCACCATCTAAATCAACATGCACTGCTGCTCAAAAGCAAGGTCATGTTTAACTTTTTGCCAGTTTGCTTTTCCTGGCCTTGATAAGATAACATCGGATGTTTCAAAGAACATAACAAACCCGTTTACGATCCGGCGATACTCTCAATACAACAACTCACAATAGTAAGTCCAGAGCTTTTCAAAAATACGTAAATAAAACAATGACCCTTCCTTCCTCCTTATTTTCTGTTTTTAGAAGAAATGTTGATTCCCCCCCGCCCCACTTCTTTACTGTTGTAAGCCACTTTGGGTAAGCTTTGCCTGGAAAAGTGGCGTATAAAATGTGGGGAGGGGAAAGCAAAGATTGTTGCTGTTCTGCCAATTCAGGCCATCACTGATTATGGTAAGCAAAGCCAAGAAATTTGGGCTGCATGCACACTCTACATTTAGAGCACATCTCCTCCCCAACCCCAAAGAATCCTGGGAACTCTAGTTTGTTCAGGGCGCTGAGAACTGTAGCTTAAGTGAAGAGTAATCTGCGGTTCCCAGGATTCCTTGTGGGGGGGTGCTTTGAATGTTCAGTACGTACGAAGTCTTGTTCTCAAAATGGGGAAGAGGAAGAGTGCCCAAATGGCGAGCTTGGTATTCAAAGAGAACAAGGACCACCTCTTCTGTTGGTGGTGCTAAAGACTGGAGGGATCACTTACCCGGTCCTTATAAACTGTCCCCAGTAGCTCATAACCCTTTGGCTCAGAGTCCTCTCAGCGTCTGTGTATCCCGACGTAGACAGTGGGTCACCAAACAGAAAGGGCAGCTCAGCGCAATGGGGCACTCCAACCCAGTCGGAGACGGTTACAAAGGAGGGCTGGTGAGTGAAGGAGTAGGCAAATGCCAGGCTTTGGGCTTCTGCCACACGGGTGGCCACCACAGCCACAGGGCACAAGAAAAAGTAGTCTCCAGAAGCTTTGATCAAGGCGTTTCGATATCGTTCTTCCCCCTGCTCCTCCTGACTGTAGATGGTTGCTGCGGCTTTGATGATCACCTCAGGTGCCTCTGGGACCATCAAACGGAGGCCCTCCAAGAGTTGCTCGTAGTTAATCAGGCTGTCGTTGTATAGGCTGAAACCAGGGGCATTTCCTGCGAGGAAGATGGTGCCTTCATCACGGGTGAAGCCGGTCAGGATGGGTTTGTCCAAGAATTGCCCAGCTTCCAGAAGTTTAGAAGGGGCATCCGGAAGGAATTCCCCATCGGTCGTGGGCACGAAAGGCAAACCCAACAAAGTTTTATGACTGAGGATAGGCAAGTCCTTCATCATCTCCCCTGGGTCTTTCTTCTGCAGGCATCGCACCACAGCCCTGTCATCACCCTCGGCGCAGCCCAAAATCCGGCCCAGGGTTCGCCCTCTGTTCGCAGCCTCCTCAGGCCTCACCCAAGCCCAGGAGGAAATGGCGGCACCGCTTTGTAAAGTGGCCTGGTCAAATAGAGCCTGACTCGCCGGCGAGAGAAGGTGGAAACCAACCGAGGCGGCCCCGGCACTCTGACCGCCCAGGGTGAGCCGGGTTGGATCCCCTCCAAAGGCGGCCATGTTTTCCCTCAGCCAACTCAACGCCAGGTGTTGGTCCCACAAACCAGCGTTCCCCGGAGCCTCTGGGGGTAGCGAGAGGAATCCCAAGGCACCTAGGCGGTAGTTCATAGAAGCCACGATGATATTCTCAGTGGCAGCTAGGAAGCTCCTATCGACGGAGCCAGACCCGTTGAGAAAACCCCCTCCATGGATCCAGACGAAGGCAGGAGCTGGCGCAGAGGGTCGGGGATGAGGCACCCAGACATTGAGGAAGAGGCAGTCTTCAGAGAGGGTGGATTCCGAGTTTTGTTTCGCACGATAGCCGGGAAGTTCTATACCCCCTTGGTGGCAGGTATTGCCAAAGCTGGTGGCGCTCAGGGTGTGGTTCCAAGGCTGGTGAGGACGGGTTTTTTGAAAACGCAGCTTCCCCACAGGAGGTTCAGCATAGGGGATTCCCAAGAAAGCTGTCACCGCGCCAGAATCTGTCATGAGGCGTTTGCCACGGATGGGACCGCTGCTTGTGATCACCAGAACATCTTCCTCAGAGGCGGAACTGAGGCCCAGCAGGAACAGGCATGAAAATACTTGGCACAACATCATGGCAACTGAAAGGAATTAGTTTTTTTTTATGTAACTATTTTTTTAATGACTGCTTTAGACTGTTTATTTTTACAGCTTAGAGGCCTTTTGTTCTAGTAAAGAGTATATAAATATTTTATTTTTATTTGGACATGAAAAGCAACAATAACATACAGTGGCACCTTGGTTCTCAAACTTAATCCGTTCTGGAAGTCTGTTCCAAAACCAAAGCGTTCCAAAACCAAGGTGTGCTTTCCCATAGAAAGTAATGCTAAATGGATTAATCCATTCCACACTTTGAAAAACAGCCCCTAAAACAGCAATTTAACATGAATTTTACTAACGAGACCATTGATCCATAAAATGAAAGCAATAAACAATGTTCTGCAGTCAATCAATCAATCAATCAATCAGTAGCTGAACTGGGTTCCACACTGTCACACACAAAAAGAGCCGCAAAAACAAAAATGCAAAATAAATAGCAAAACCAGACAGACCCAGCGTAACACTCTAAACAGAAGTGTGGCACTCAAAACGGAGCACATTCGACTTCCAAAAATTTAGCAAATCAGAACACTTACTTCTGGGTTTGCAGTGTTTGGGTTCCAACTTGTTTGAGTACTGAGAACTAAGGTACCACTGTATTGCAGGAAAATAACTTTCATCGAAGCAACAGACACAAACCAGCAAGGAGGCCGTTTGAAGAAGGAAACACAGAGCAATGAGCAGAAAAGGAACCAGATTATGCATCCTGAGAGCCATAAAGACAAGAAGGCATGAAGAGCTTAAATGCAGAGGTGGCAGCAGGCAAAAGGAACGTCTATGAGAAAATTAACGAATATTTCCAAATGAAACAAGGATAGCCAAATTGGTGGAGCATGTGACTCTGAATCTCAGTCTCGTGGGTTCGAGCCCCACATTCGGCAAAAGATTCCTGCTTTGCTGCTGGTTGGATTAGATGACCCTCATAGTCCCTTCGAATTCTACAAGTCTATGTTTCTATGAAGTCCTACTTAACTGGAATGAGGACTGTACTGTAGCCTCAAATGTTACTTAATCCTTTTGCCAGCAGGTGACAGCAAAGTCCATCTGTTTAGCAGTACCGAGGGTGAGCTTTCTCAGGATGCTGCTGGCATCTGTCTGTCTCTCCTCTCCTCTAAAGATAAAGGTAAAGAGACCCCTGACCATTAGGTCCAGTCGTGGCCGACTCTGGGGTTGCGGCGCTCATCTCGCTTTATCGGCCGAGGGAGACGGCGTACAGCTTCCAGGTCATGTGACCAGCATGACTAAGCCGCTGCTGGCGAACCAGAGCAGTGCATGGAAACGCCGTTTACCTTTCCGCCGGAGTGGTACCTATTTATCTACTTGCACTTCATGCTTTTGAACTGCTGGGTTGGCAGGAGCAGGGACCAAGCAACAGGAGCTCACCGCGTCGCAGGGATTCGAACCACCGACCTTCTGATCGGCAAGTCCTAGGCTCTGTGGTTTAACCCACAGCGCCACCCACGTCCATCCTCTCCTCTAAAGGACTACCCAAATGTTACAGCTGTAGCTTCTGAAAGCACATAGCAGTTGCCTTGGCTCCCTGCCCCACCTACCCAACTTTTAAAAACAGATTATCAGTGCATGCAAACTATCTATTCTGTTCAGAAGTTCTGCTGAAGGAGAGAGCCGGTGTTGTGTTGTGATTAGAGAGTCAGACAAGGACCTGGGAAACCAGGGTTCAAATCCCTACCTGGCTATGAAACTCACTGGGTGACCTTGGGCCAGTCACAGTCTCCCAGCCTAAATGGCCTCACAGGGTTGTGGAGAGGATAGAAAGCACTGGGGAAAGACGTTGCCCTCCAAAGAGCTGCTATTTGCCCCAAGGACCAAATAAATTAAAACAAAACAAAATAAATCCCTACATAACCTTTTTTTTCAGCTGCCAGGGTGGGCAAGAAAAACATTGCAGGAGTGAGGGTTAAATCCCCCACTTCCTGAGTGGCTGCATGGAGCCTTTAAAACAGGAGATCCAGTGATGGAGATCCAGTCACGAATCTCCATCATCACCTCCCTTGTTTGGCCCTCAGCATTTAACCCTTCCTTGGGTGGTGGAGCAGAGCAGAGACTCACCTCTTTGCGCCATGATGAAGTTGTGGGTTTGTGGTTCTGAGCCAAATTCCCGGTTCGGTTTGGAAGCAGCCGGATTAGCAACAGGTCAGCTATTGTTGACTCGGGAACAAGCGGGGAGTCTGTGGTTATGATCCTAGTGTCTCTTTGCCTCTTAGCCAGATGGCATATCTCTGTGGAGATACCATATCAGCTGTGCCCCAGTGGAACCCCAGAACGAAGGTCAAAAGCTTAGGAAAACATTCCCCTCCTCTGATTAAGGTCTCTGGCAATATCTTGAGATGAAAGATCTTCATCTGACCTATGATCGCTGCACGCACACGGCACGCCGAAAGCACATCATTTCCCACAAAGAATCCTGGGGATCTCACGCAGCTACAATTCCCAGCACTCTTAGAAAACTACAGTTCCCAAGATTCTTTGGGAGAAACAATGTGCTTTAAATATATGGTAATTGCCCCATTATTAGGCTGCTAACACTGAGCACAAAGGCCCGTATAGTTAAAGCTATGGTTTTCCCAGTAGTGATGTATGAAAGTGAGAGCTGGACCATAAAGAAGGCTGATCGCCGAAGAATTGATGCTTTTGAATTATGGTGCTGGAGGAGACTCTTGAGAGTCCCATGGATTGCAAGAAGATCAAACCTATCCATTCTGAAGGAAATCAGCCCTGAGTGCTCACTAGAAGGACAGATCCTGAAGCTGAGGCTCCAATACTTTGGCCAGCTCATGAGAAGAGAAGACTCCCTGGAAAAGACCCTGATGTTGGGAAAGATGGAGGGCACAAGGAGAAGGGGACGACAGAGGACTAGATGGTTGGACAGTGTTCTCGAAGCTACCAGCTTGAGTTTGACCAAACAGCGGGAGGCAGTGGAAGACAAGAGTGCCTGGCGTGCTCTGGTCCATGGGGTCACGAAGAGTTGGACTCGACTAAATGACTAAACAACACCAACACTGAGCACAGAGTGCATTCCTCAGAACACATTGGAGTTTGGTTTGGTGTCCTTAGGTATGGAGCTTGCTTGACAGTAAGGGACAAGTGTCCTATGGGGGCAGGTTCTGTACATCTTTTGAAGTTGCTTTGCAACTTTTCTGGTCCAATGTTTACAACATTAACATCTGGAGGGCCCTGGCTCCAATAGTCAGAGTTCTCAGACAGCGATCGAATTGCGACATCCTTTTCAGGGGGACGTCACTTGAGCCTGGCTTAGCCATCCCACCTGCTTCTTCCTCCCACTCTGAAACCATTCCCTCCCATTTTGGCACTGGATTATGATGGCGTTCCTTGTCAGGATTCCAGAAGATCGGGGGGGGTGCGGATAAACCACATCTGGCTTTGTCCTGAATCCATCCATCACCCGATCTTGTCCCACTCCAAGAATACTTCCCATGGGAAAGTCTCTGAGCAGCGTCCCTTAGCTGTTTAAAACTTTTCAATGGTGCCTGCTGTTTCTGAGGGACCCTGTGCACACCTGGCGCCTCGACTCCCTTTTGGTGTTTCGATGTTTGTTTGCATTAATCCACACTAGACTGAGAGCGGACTACATTTCCCAGATGCCTTTGCTGCATCAAACCAGGAAGAGGATGCACGCGGACGGCTTGGTTGGAGAAAGCGATTGATCCGAAGGCGCCTCTTTGTCTTTGCGTAAGTTGTGCTAGTGGGGTAACAATCGGGGGTGCAAAAGGTAGGATCTTTTTAGGTAAGTCCAGGAGAGAGAGAGCTGATTTCCACATAAAGGGGATTTAATGGCTTAGCACGCTGCGGGAGAGCTATCGGGATCTAACTCACTCTGCGTTTCATGGCGCTTCCTGCAATTTATTTGCAGCAAGGCTCAGTCCTGCCATCTGTTTTCATTGCTAGGGAATTTTCCTTGCACGTTGTGGCATCGAGAAAGAACTTGTTTTAAAATAAGAGCAGGGTGATTTTCCTTAACTGCTTGCTTTAAATAAGAAGAATGCAAAAATAAATATACTCTCGCTTCTCCGAGTTTTTCCACATTCACCACTCATATTTTTATTTTTACACATTTTCTCAGGTTACAATAAAGTATATTGGGTTCACAGTTTCACCCACTGATGCAATTGTTTTGATTTTTGGCCTACGAAGAAATAGATCATACAATTAAGATCCCTCAAAAATAGAAGCTGAAGACATTGGAATAGCCCTGTGAGATTGCATGACGTAGGTTGCCGTTTGCTACAATTGCTGCCTTTTTTCCTTGATTTTTAAATCCCTGTTTACTGCAGGTTTCTCTTCTGTTGTGTCAGCACCATCACTAAAAAAAAAATTGTAAAGATTCCCTGTGTCAGCCATGATAAAAGACAAAGAAGCATTTCAGAGGCTCAGCTTCCTCTACCAGGTAAGGGAGAGTGTTCCTTGTACACCAGTCGTATTTGCTAGCTACCACGTTGTTCACAAAATACTGTACTTGCAGAATCCTCATCCGTTCTCTGGCACAACTGAAAGCCTCTACCCTAAACTGGCTTTCTTGTGCTTTTGGCTTCGCTTTTATGATTTTCCCGCCTGCCTCTATACCTGCCTTTTGCATCACTGGCGGAGGAAGAGGCGTGCAAGGGGAGCACACTGCCCCCGGCAGCGCGATCTCAGCGGGGTGCCATTGCGGCTGGGCCCCCGCCCCGGCCTGCACTGGCCGCCACGCCCCTATGGGCGACACCACACCCCCAGGATGCATGCCACACCCCTACGGGCAGCACACCACGCTCCCAGGACACACACCAGCCCTGCCCCCCCCCCCCGGTGCCGGAGAATGAAGCTCCACCACTGTTTTGCATGTGTGTCTGGCTCTGTACTTAAAAAACAACACCCCGTTTTGCAGCACTTGCAAAGGCAGAGCGATGTATAAATGGCATAAAGTGTTCAGTATTCCGTCTGATCAGATGCATGGTTATCCTCAGCTGGCAAGTAATAGATGCAGTGCATGCAAGTGGTGGTGGGAACTGTGAGCGGAGTTTATATAATAACAAAATGCAAACAGACTCCCTGGAAAAGACCCTGTTGTTGGGAAAGATGGAGGGCACAAGGAGAAGAGGACGACAGAGGACGAGATGGTTGGACAGTGTTACAGTGTTCTCGAAGCTACCAGCATGAGTTTGACCAAACTGCGGGAGGCAGTGGAAGACAGGAGTGCCTGGCATGCTCTGGTCCATGGGGTCACGAAGAGTCGGACACGACTAAACGACTAAACAACAACAAACAGTGTAGTTTGCAATGATTCAGTTAATTCTCAAATGTATGCCAGACAAGCGCAATGCCCATCAATAACCGCTGCAGTCGGTGAAAATAGCACTATAGTTTTCACATAGCTAAGTAAATTAAAACCTGGAGTGGGACAAACTGCCTAACTATTTTATCCTTCTGCCACTGTAAGCTCTGGTCCATAGAAGCTTATGCTATGGTATGTTTGGCCTATAAACCGCTGCAGGACTGTGTTGTTTTTTCCATAAGAGACTTAATAAGTTATGGGTGCTGCCACTGGCAAGGATATGTTGTGCAGGACAACTGTGCATTTATGGAATCTGCATGGTTTCTTGGTGGGGTGGGAGGTGATGCCGAGGATGTTCAACTTACTTCCATTCCCCCGCAACAGGCTGCGCATTGTGTCCTTCGGCAGAACCCAGAGAACCAGGAACTGGCTCGCTTTTATTGCCACACGCAGAACAGCATCAGCCGGCGGCTCGTGTTAAGACAGTGAGTGCCAGGACAGTGGTTAGGGGACCCAGATGCCCATGAACCCCAGCCACTGACATTCACAGGCATCCTTCATCTGATACAGGGACGCGGGTGGCGCTGTGGTCTAAACCACTGAGCCTCTTGGGCTTGCCAATCAGAAGGTCAGCAATTCGAATCCCCACGATGGGGTGAGCTCCCGTTGCTCCGTCCCAGCTCCTGCCAACCTAGCAGTTCAAAAGCACACCAGTGCAAGCAGATAAATAGGTACTGCTGTGGTGGGAAGGTAAACAGCATTTCTGGGTGCTCTGGTTTCCGTCACGGTGTCCTGTTGCACCAGAAGTGGTTTAGTCATACTGGCCACACGACCCGGAAAGCTGTCTGCGGACAAATGCTGGCTCCCTCAGCCTGAAAGCGAGATGAGCGCCGCAACCCCATAGTAGCCTTTGACTGGACTTTACCACCCAGGGGTCCTTTACCTTTACTCAGTTGTCCGACACGACATTTGCTACTTAACCTTCATTTCCCTTTGTCTTGCAGGGATCCATCTGTGAAAAGAACCATCTGCAAATCTTGCTTCTCGCCTCTCGTCCCTGGAGTTAGCTCCACTGTGCGCCAGAGAAGTGAGTGGCCCTATCTCTTCCTCCTCCTCCTCTTCTGTGGGCTCTGTGCCCTGGAGAGGCCCCTGGGTCTGGTGCAGAGGTTCCCCTCTTCACAAACAAAGCCGAGAGTGGGCTGCACCAAGTTGGGAAGGCAGGAAGGACAAAACAAGGGAGTGTCTTTCCCCTTGAAAGATGTACGGGTGGCACTGTCTACAAACTAAATTACCCTGAGCATTCCCCCAGAATGGTGGCGAACCAGTTCACACATTCCTATTTGAAAGTGTAGTGTGGCCTGCCCCTGGGAATGTGGGTCATATGCTGCATAGGGGCTAGGTGCCCATGTCTTTGGATGGCCAGGCAAAAGCACCCGAGGGGGTGTGGCAGCAGGGTTGGTAAGGGGCGGGGCCAGATGGAGATTCGTGGAGGGCCACATTCAGCCCCCAAGACTTGGGTTCCCTATAGCTGCTCTACAGGGAACCAGTGGCCCTCCAGATGTGGCTGAGGTCCATCTTCCATTATCCCTGTCCATTGGCCATGTCAACTGGGACTGGTGGGATTCAACAACATCTGCAGGGTTCCTCATCCCTTCTATGTTGGGATCTTCCTTAGAGACCACTGGAGAATTAATATTTCTTCGTAACTTCCCATTATGTACAGATTATTAGATTGAGAGATGGATTATTGTGGTTGTGAGCGCAGAAACAAGTGAGGCTGGGCAAAGAAAAAGTGAGGGAACTGCTAATGTAGTTGAAAGTTTGGGAGGAAAGCTGGAAATATCAGGGCAGGGAAGCAGTCTGACCCACTGTTTTCCAGGCTTCCCTGACTCATTTGCTCCTCGCCTCTCTCACCAGAGCGCCGTCATCAGCGGTGGACCATTGTGCGTTGTCTCACCTGTGGCCGCACCAAGCGTTTCCTCAGCAACCCTGACTACAAGTTGTGGTCGGAGCAACCTGAGGCGTTGCTGGAGAAGCAGACGCCCCCTAGTGAAGGAGCAAAAGGTGAGCGAAGAAGTTAAGTGTTTTAATATAATCAATGCTGTTGTTGTTGTTTTTGTTGTTGTTGTTATCATCATATTATAAACATATATATATATATATATATATATATATATATATATATATATATCCCTCCCCTTCAAGCTGAAGATTTCCAGGGTGGAAATCTTTCCCAGCTGATCTTAAGCCAGTGCCTAAGCCCCAATGCCTTCTCATAATTCTCTTGAATAAAGGGCTTGAGTTGTTGGGAAAATATGATAGGGAAACATTTAGAAAGTTTCCATACAAAGGGAAGGAATTTTGCACAGGCAAAGAGGGGTCAATTGTTGCAGTGGCGGCCATTTTAAGGGTCTTGGTAAAGTTGAAGGGGAGTAAAGATGTGGGCAGCAAAGGTTTGGAGGCCCAAACTAGGTGTGGAGAACGTAGCTGTGGAAAACATTTTTAGGAAGAAGCTTCAACGGAATCACCTTGGGCTGTTTTTCTTTCCTTGTGTCCAGCTTCAGGCCAGACCCCCAGCTCAGTGCAACAGCCCCACAAGGCCTCCGGAGCAGAAAAGGCAACACCACCTGCAAGTTCTGGACCTCACAGCCGTGCCTCTGAGGAGACGACAGCAGGCACCAAATCTAAAGGGAAGAAGGGGCAACAAACTCTTCCCAGTCAGGCAGGCAACTGTGGCTTGGTAGCAAACGCATAAGCCCCAAGTCGGGGCAGAAGAGTCAAATGTGCTTAATACGATTCTTGGCTGTGGAGAAAGGACCCTGGATTGTTTGGAAACTGAAACCTAACTGGCTAACCCGTGGGACTTGAATGGCTGAGGTGATTTGAGTTGAGTGATAACGGCCCTCTTTTATAGCGCAACTAGCTTTGAGGCACCCACAAGAGAGGGGCTGGAGCCCATAGCGGCCTAGTGAATACCACGGCCTGCAATTCTTTTCTCCCGCCATCTCCATAGCTTGAGCTTCATTTTCCACCTGGAGGGGTGTCTCCACTTAGGAGCTGTTGGAGACCAGGAGATTTTGTTGAACTCCTTCCTAATGGAACTTGAGGTGAAGCGATGATGGGGAAATAGCTTCCCATCCAGTCTCATGTACTAGGCTATGTAAAAACTTGGAAATAAAATTTTGTTTCAACAGGATCATTCTTGCGTTGTGTTCTGAGTCATGCAGAGTAATAGAGCGACTTTACCCTCAAAGACCTAGTGATGAAGTAGACGCCACACATAAGACTTTGAAGATAGCTCTTTAATTGCAGGATGGCAACTATGACCAGCAGTATCATACATATACAGTGGTACCTCGGGTTAAGTACTTAATTTGTTCCAGAGGTCCATTCTTAACCTGAAACTGTTCTTAACCTGAAGCACCACTTTAGCTAATGGGGCCTCCTGCTGCCGCTGCACCGCTGCTGCGCGATTTCTGTTCTCATCCTGAAGCAAAGTTCTTAACCCGAGGTACTATTTCTGGGTTAGCGGAGTCTTTAACCTGAAGCGTATGTAACCTGAGGTACCAGGTTACATACGCTTAAGTCCAGTGCAATGTGTTTCACTCTCTTGAGCCCAAGAGAGGGTCTTCTTGCTTCTAAAACTGCTTTGAAGCAGCCCATAAATTATACCATCGACCATTCTGGAGCAACTCTCCGAACTAGGAGTAGGTGGCACCGCTTTGCGGTGGTTCCAGTCCTACTTGGATGGTCGTTCCAAGAGGGTATTGCTTGGGGAATGCTTTTCAGCCCCATGGAACCTTCAATTTGGGGTTCCGCAGGGCTCAATCCTATCCCCCCATGTTGTTTAACATCTACGTGACACCACTGGGTGGGGTTATCTGGAGGTTTGGAGTATGTTGTCAGCAGTATGCTGATGACACTCAGCTCGTATTTCTCCTTTGCATCTGCAGGTGAGGTAGTGAAAGTACTGGACCAGTGCCTTGCCTCGGTAACGGACTGGATGAGAGCCAACAAACTGAAGCTCAATCCAGATAAGACTGAGGCACTGTTAGTGGGTGGTTCCCTAGACCAGATGGGTGGGAGATCGCCTGTTCTTGATGGGGTTACACTTCCTTTGAAGGAGCAGGTTTGTAGCCTGGGGGTCCTCCTGGATCCTTTGCTGTCGCTTGGGGCTCAGGTAGCCTCAGTAGCCCAGAGTGCCTTCCTTCAGCTTCAGATCATAGCTGTCAACATTTCCCTTTTTTGAAGGGAAATTCCCTTATTCCGAATAGGATTCCTCACAAGAAAAGGGAAAAGTTGACAGCTATGCTTCGGATGGTGACCCAGCTACGCCCCTATCTGGACAGGGATAGCTTAACTACTGTTGTCTATGCTCTGGTAACCTCAAGGTTCGATTACTGCAATGTGTTATGCCTAGGACTGCCTCTGAAGACGGTTCAGAAACTTCAGCTAATGCAGAATTCAGCGACCAGGTTGCTCATCAGAGCAGAACAGTTTGAGGATATTACACTGATCCTGGTATGACTGCACAAGCTACCAATTCGTTTCCGGGCCTAATTCAAAGTGCTGGTTTTGACCTATAAATAGCTCAGGACTGCAATACCTTGAGGATCACCTTTTTCCATATGAACCTACCCGGACCCTGAGATCAACTTCTGAGGCCCTTCTCTGTGTGCCTCCTCCTCAAGAGGTCCAGAGGGTGGCAACAAAAGAACGAGCCTTCTCTGCAATGGCTCCCCGTCTATGGAGTGCTCTCCTCAGCGAAGTTAACCTGGTACCTTCATTATACAGTATACCTTTAGGCGCCAGGCAGAAACTTTACTTTTTAACCACACTTGGTTGGTTTGATTGACATCCTATGTCCTTTGAAAATGTGTGTGGTTTTTTGGGGGGGCGGGGTTGCGTTGTTTTTATTTTGATTATGTATTTTGTGGTTTTATATTTGGATTTTATTTTGTAAACCGCCCTGAGACCTCCAGGTATAGGGCGGTATATAAATTCAATAAATAAGTAAACTAGTGTCCGCCTCTCTGCCATCTGCTCTACTGGTCCCAATTCTGGGGGATTTCTGTTGACATTGCTAACTATCCTCTACAGTTTTCTTTGCATTTGAGTTGGGAGATTTTCGTTTAAATTTGGAGTCTTCAAGCTGGCGTTCAACTTAACTGCTTTGCGGAATCAATGAACCCAAGTTGATTAGGTCTATTAATTTCAGTAGGTTTATTCAGAGTAGAATTAGCATTGAATACTGCCCCCACTTATGCCAGAATACTTCGTGTGTTGATAATTGTGGAGGAGGAGAAATAATTCTGGAGAAATGGTAGGGTGTGTGTGTCTTGCTCAATGTTTCTTCTGTTCTCTCCCTTTGCACAATCTCCCTTTCCTTGGAAAGAGATGTTTTTACCAAAATCATCATCATCATTGTGGTCATCTTTGTAGTAGTGAGGATTAGGATTGCAGCCTAAATGTGTGTGTGTGTGTGTGTTGCTCAATTCCCCATTTACCATATTTTTCCGTGTATTAGATGCCCCCATGTATAAGATGAACTCCTATTTTTGGAGACAAAAAATTAAGAAAATGGGAGGAGATTGCCAAGATTTTTTTTTGCGGAGGAAGCCCAGAGCTTTTGGGGGGGGATCACAAACATTTCTATAGCTTCTTTGGGAGGCAGTTAGCAAAAAAACACTCATCCTACAGAGCGCCGCTTTCAATCACGCGTCACTAAAGCAACCTACCGTCTGCTCAATCAGTGAAAGCAGACTCAAGGCACTCCCGATTGACGCAGCGCCAGCCAATACACTGCGGACGTTGCCGCAATCACCAGTCACCTGCCCAATCACTACTGACACTCTCCTGCTCGCTGCAACAACCAGTCACACGTCAAAAAAAAGGCACTACCCATGTATAAGGCGACACCCCACCCCGATTTTATACTTTATTTTTGGGTGAAAAAGGTTGTCTTATACACAGAAAAGTGCGGTAATTTGGAGCAGGTGGTGTTAGCAACAACATCACCATCATCGTAGTAGAAGCAGTGGAATTAATATTGCAACCTGTGCGTGTTGCTGGATGCTTTTGTTGTTGCATCATCATCACCCTAGCACGATGTCCTCTTTCAACTCAGCGTTGTCGAATGAACGTGTTGTTATCATTATCATCATTCTTCTTATGATCACAGCACAGTCTAATGGCCCTAACTTAGCCATGGGTCTTAACTCTGAACAAAATTTACTTGAATAACACCCTTTAAAGTGCATGTGGGTTTTTATTTATTTCATAGCTATTGTCATAGCACCAGGACAGGACAGAATCCCAGCAGAAGCGCTGACAGAAGGCCTCAATTCCTCCCTCAAAACACACCTGTACACCCTCCTCTTGCGGTGTCGGGAACAAGGATCTGTGCCACGAGACATGTGCAACCCCAGCTTTGTGACCTTCTACCAGAACAAAGGTGACCACCATGACTGACAACCAGTGTTCAAAACTCCCATTGTTCTAGGTGCGTTTGGCGACATGGAATTTCATTAGCGCGAGCAGTTTCTGAGCTCTGGGCACAGTACTGCGCCTAAGAATTCAGATTAAAACTGCAGAGTGGAAGGAAGGGAGGGCCTTTTTATGCCTCGCCACTTCCAGCTACTCTCTGAAAACTGGAGAAGAAGCCCTCTTAAAGGGGGGTGGGCAGGGGAAGGACTAGATCATGTGAAAACTGAACATAATAGCTGCAGTTCATTTTCAGCTTTGTATTCTTGTTATTTTAAAAGCGTGCCTAGACATTCTGTTCTTGCTCCCACAACCTCTATGGTGTCATTTAGCTCCTAGCTTTCAAATCTCAGTCTCTAACACTGCTGAGATCTCCCTGTTGAGCACTGTAAGGGAAAGCCTTTGCCTGTGTAGTTATCAACAGACTACAGTCACTGACAGCATCTGTTCTAAGCCACAGTGTGGCATTAGAGCTGGGAGGTCAACAATCAACATGATTTTCTCACGATGCCAGCTGCAGGAGAAATGCTGAGAGCAGAGACAATCCTGGTACATTGTCTTCCTGGACCTTACAAAGGCCTTTGATCTTGTCAGCTGAAAAGGTCTCTCTGTTCTCGCCTCATCTCTCTTTGGCACATTCTTCTCCCTATTGCTCTCAGATGCCTTCGGCTCAACTGAAGATGGTGTGTTCATCCATTCAAGGAGTGATGGGAATCTGCCCAACCCGGCACGTCTCCACTCCAAGACCAAGGTGTGGCAGGTCCTCATCTGAGAGAGGTTGTTTGCAGAAGACGCAGCCTTGCGCACACCGAGGAAACTCTACAGAGACTCATCAGCCATTTTGTCCACACCTGCAGGGAGTTCGGCCTACCACCAGCCTGGTGAAGACCAACATTTTGAGTCAGGACATCACCAGCATCACCACTGGTGATCACATGCTGGAGGTGGTAGACGATTTTGTCTACCTGGGTTCCACCATAACCAGCAATCTCTCCCTTGAGGCTGAGCTGGACAAGCCTATTGGCAAGGCAGCTATGGCAATGGCTCACCTCTCCAAAAGGGTTTGGGGGAATGTGATGCCAGCATCCAATACCAAGATGAAGCTCTGCCAGGCTTGTGTGCTGAGCATGTTGCTCTATGGAAGTGAGTCGTGAACTTATAACCATCAGGAGTGACACTTCAGTGCCTTCCACATGTGCTGCGTCAGGAAGATTTTGAATTGTCGCTGGACAGGAAATAATAATAATAATAATAATAATAATAATAATAATAAATTTTATTTATACCCCGCCCTCCCCAGCCAAGACCGGGCTCAGGGTAGCTAACATCAGATATAAAAACAATTGATTGAAATACAACTTAAAAAACAAGATTAAAATACAACATTAAAATGCAGCCTCATTTCAGTAGAAACTCAAATCAAAAACTTTTTTGGTGATGAAAACTTTTTTTGAACTGACTGACAATATGGATTTGATTGACACTTGGAGAACTAGGAATCCCCTTGGTAGAGAGGGAACCTTTTTCTCTGAAGCCCAAAAGACATGGACAAGAATTGACCAAATCTGGATCACTAGAGGACTGGCACCTAAGGTTAGGAAGGTAGAGATCTGCCCTAAGACGTGCTCCGACCATAATGCCGTGAGAATGGAGATGAAACTAACATCTACTGGTTCCTTCAGATGGAGGATGAATGACACCTTGTTTAGAGATCAAGAGGTGATTAAGAAGGCCCAAAAAACTTTGAGAGATTACTTTGAGATAAATTTGAATACAACTGTGGAAAAAAGAATAATCTGGGATGCAAGTAAAGCGGTTATGAGGGGGTTCCTGATTCAACAGAACTCAGTAAAGAAGAGGGCCCAAAATGCGAAAAAAGAAATTTTTTTGGAAAAAATAAAAGAGGGCGAGAAAAAACTGAGAGCGAAGCCCAATTCACAAGAGATTCTGAGGGAAATAAAATTGTATCAAGTGCAGTATATGAAAATGATAAACCAGGAAGTGGAATGGAAAATTAAACAAATGAGACAAAGGACTTTTGAATCGGCAAATAAATGTGGGAAACTGCTAGCTTGGCAGATGACGAAACGACAAAAACTTAATACCATCACTAATTTGGAAGTGGAAGGGAAAAATATCCAGAATCCAGTGGAAATTAGGAAATGTTTCCAGAGGTATTTTAAACAACTATACACACAAGGGCCCCAGAAAGAGTTTGAAATAGACCAATTTTTGAAAACTAATGGATTACAAAAAAATCTCTCAAGAAAACAAGACATTGTTGAACTACAAAATTATGGAAGAGGAGGTAGAAGGTGCCATCCAGAATATGCAATTGGGAAAATCTCCAGGACCGGACGGCTTAACCTCAAGATACTATAGAACTCTGAAAGATTGGATAATTCGACCATTAAAGGAGGTGTGTAATGAAATTTTAGAGGGGAAAAGAGCGCCAGAGTCGTGGAAAGAAGCATACATTACACTTATACCGAAAACTGAGACTGAAAAGACACAACTCAAGAACTACCGCCCCATATCCCTGTTAAATGTGGATTACAAAATTTTTGCTGACATTTTGGCTAAGAGGCTAAAAAAAGTGTTGAAAGAAGAGATTCATAAGGACCAAGCTGGCTTTCTTCCAGATAGACATCTTTCTGATAACACGAGGAATATAATTAATATTCTGGAGAAGTTGCAAGAGGATATTAATACTAAAGCAGTTTTGATCTTTGTGGATGCAGAGAAAGCCTTTGACAATATTTCTTGGAGTTTTATGAAGAAAAATCTTCAGGGGATGGGGGTAGGTCAAGAGTTTGAAAATGGTATAAGTGCAATTTATTCAGAACAAAAGGCCAAATTAATAGTTAATAATGTGGTAACAGAGGAATTTAAGATAGAGAAAGGGACACGACAAGGCTGCCCAATTTCCCCACTACTTTTCATTTCTGTTCTGGAGGTTTTGTTAAATATGATTAGAAGGGACCATTTGATCAAAGGCATAACGGTCGGAGCAAAACAATATAAACTGAAAGCCTTTGCAGATGACCTAGTACTGACATTACAGGAGCCAGAATCTAGCACTAAAAGAGTACTAGAATTGATCCAAGAGTTTGGTCATGTGGCAGGATTTAAGTTGAATAAGCTAAAAACTAAAGTTCTTGAGAAAAATCTAACAATGACTGAAAGAGAGAGGTTTCAGAATGAGACAGGCTTAACAGTGGTAAAGAAAGTGAAGTACTTGGGGATTAATATGACAGCTAAAAATGGGAACTTATTTAAGGACAACTATGAAAAGTGTTGGTCGGACATTAAAAAGGATTTAGAAATATGGACAAATTTGAAGCTTTCCTTGTTAGGCCGAATTGCTGTTATTAAGATGAATGTATTGCCAAGAATGTTGTTTTTGTTTCAATCGCTACAAATAATAGATAAAATGGACTGTTTTAAGAAGTGGCAGAGAGACATCTCTAAATTCGTCTGGCAGGGCAAGAAGCCCAGAATAAAATTTAAAATATTAACCGATGCAAAGGATAGAGGTGGATTTGCCCTGCCAGACCTTAAACTTTATTACGAATCAGCAGCTTTTTGCTGGCTGAAGGACTGGCTGCTTCTTGAGAACACAGACATTTTGGATTTAGAAGGTTTTAACAATGTTTTCGGGTGGCATGCATATTTGTGGTATGACAAGGTTAAAGCTCACAAAACATTCAAAAACCATATTGTCAGGAAAGCATTGTTCAATGTCTGGATAAGATACAAGGACTTACTTGAAAGCAAAACCCCAAGGTGGTTATCACCAATGGAGGCAAAGGCCCTGAAAAAGCTCAATATGGAGGCCAAGTGGCCAAAATATTGGGAGATCTTGGAACAAGAAGGAGATAAACTGAAATTGCAGAGTTTTGAGAAACTAAAAGATAGAGTGCGAGACTGGTTTCACTATTATCAAATAAGAGAGGTTTACAATTTGGACAGAAAAATTGGCTTCCAGGTGGAAAAATCAAAGTTAGAAACAGAACTGTTAGATCCCAAAACGAAAATACTTTCAAGAATGTATAACTTGCTGTTAAAATGGAACACTCAAGATGAAACGGTAAAATCTGCCATGATTAAATGGGCACAGGATGTTGGACATAACATCATGTTTGCTGACTGGGAACAGTTATGGACCACAGGTATGAAGTTTACAGCATGTAATGCTTTAAGAGAGAACATAATGAAAATGGTATACAGATGGTACATGACCCCAGTCAAGCTTGCAAAAATCTATCATTTGCCCGATAACAAATGTTGGAAATGTAAAGAAACTGAAGGTACATTCTTTCACCTTTGGTGGACGTGCCCAAAGATTAAGGCCTTCTGGGAAATGATATATAATGAATTGAAAAAGGTATTTAAATATACCTTCTTGAAGAAACCAGAGGCCTTTCTCCTGGGCATTGTCGGCCAATTGGTGCCAAAGAAGGATAGAACTTTCTTTATGTACGCAACAACAGCAGCAAGAATACTCATCGCGAAGTATTGGAAGACACCAGATTTACCCACCTTGCAAGAATGGCAGATGAAGGTGATTGACTACATGGAATTAGCAGAAATGACCGGCAGAATCCGTGACCAGGGAGAAGAGTTGGTGGAAGAAGATTGGAAGAAATTTAAAGACTATTTGCAGAAATACTGTAAAATTAAGGAATGCTAAAATGATGTCTGATGTAAAATAAGTGGTATTGGTAAAAAGTTTTGCTTTTAAGAGTATGTAAGTATGGATCGATAATGGTTAAAAATATATATTTATAATAGGTTAAGTTATTGAGTTAAGATAAAGGACAGAGGGTAAGGATTTGCTGAAAGGATTTTTTAAACGGGAATACAAGCGGGGAGGTGTGAGGAGGTCAAAGAACCAAGGAAAGGAGACTGAGGACAAGAGATGGATTTAATTCTAAATTCTTTTTTATTTTTTATTCTTTATCTTTATTTTCTTTTTTAGTGTGATAATTTTCCCTTTTTTCTCTTTTATGCTTATGATTTTTGTATGTTTCTGTATTTTTATGTTATGAAACTTAATAAATATTATTTAAAAAAAAAAAAGAAAACGTCAAGTCTTCACCAAGGCTAACTATCCAGACTGGTCCTACATGGGCCAGAAAAAAGCCAGGGAAGTCCCCAAATAGGAGTTCCATCACAGAAGGAGAAAGGAAAAAAAGAAAAAGGGCTAGGGGATCAAGTTGATTCCAAGCCAAAGGCCAGGTGGAACAACTCTGTCTTATAGGCCCTGCGGAAAGAGATCAGATCCCACAGGGCCCTGGTCTCATGAGACAGAGCATTCCACCAGGTCGGCGCTAGTGTAGAAAAGGCCCTGGCTCTGGTTGAGGCTAATCTGACTTCCTTAGGGCCCGGGACCTCTAGGGTGTTGCTATTTATGGACCTTAAGGTCCTCCATGGGACATACCAGGAGAGGCGGTCCCATAGGTGCAAGGATCCTACCAGGAAAGAGTTTCAAACAAACGTGCTCTCCCAAGTCCACATTCCCAACATGTTTGCACTCCTGTGTCAGAGACGTCTATGCTGGCTTGGTCATGGCTACACAATGGAAGATGGCAGGATCCCCAAGGATATTCTCTATGGGGCTTCAGGTACCAGGACCATTGGCAGACCGACTGTGTTACAAAGATGTCTGCAAATGGCAACGTCAACCCTGACATGTGGGAATCCCTTGCAGATGACCGCAGTGCTTGGAGGCAGACAGGCAGGTCATGTATTCATAGCAATGGCCAGAGGAGAAATGACCTCTGGGAGGAGGGCAGAGAGAAGAAAGGTCATGGTGCATCTGCAGGAGCATAATGGGACGCCTTTGTCTTCTCCAGCTGCAACAAATGTGTATCTCCCCTATTAGTCTCTGCAGCCACAGTAGGTGCTGCAACCTTCAAACAGTTTGACTTCACCCCAGAGGCTCACTCCTCCATCTTCTCCTGAGACTGACAGGTACCAATTTAGTGCATCATGGATCCTACCCATCTGGATACGCAGGAGTAAGTGGGTAGGTACTGGCAGCAACTGCCAGAGAGTAAGACAGAGTGGCAGCCCTGCAGGGCTCTTGTATTGCAGTTGGGCAACAAAGGGGTATAAGAGACTCTCTTGAGCTTCTCCCTGCCCTTCGTTCCAGGGTGGACCTAACAATGGCAGCAGTTCAAATGTTGTGAAAGAGGCAGTTCTTAACTGAAAACAGTATGGAATAAAAGCAGCTTATGGACTCCCATCAAATCTGGCATGGTGCTCAGTAATCATCATCATCACCCCTCTGGTCAGTTCCAACACATATAAAAACACAATAAAACACCAGAGGAATGGCTTACGAAACCAATGGACTATGTTGAAATGGCTAAATTAATTGCCAAACTAAGAACTGCCAAACTACATGTATCACCCATACATGTAGTTGCAGGCAGGATTTGAAATAAAAGCAGTTACTGGAAGATTTAATGATAGTGAAGTTTAGATAATAAATACATATGAATTGTAAAACAGCTAATAAAAAGAAGTAAAGTACAAACTTCAGGAAAGGAGGAGTAAATATCGCCAGATAGGAATATCGCCAGACAGGGGACACACACACACACACACACACACACACACACACTAAAACATCAGACATTAAAAACTTCCCAATACACTCTTGCATCTTTGCACTTGTGTACAAAAGGATCTCAAACCTTGTGGCAGAGAACTCTTGCACACGAATTATTATTATTATTATTATTATTATTATTATCATTATCATTATCAATATTATTATTATTATTATTATTATTATTAATTTGTACACCACCCATCTGGCTGGGTTTCCCCAGCCACTCTGGGCGGCTTCCAACAAAGATTAAAAATACATTAAAATGTTACACATTAAAAACTTCCCTTTCACAACCGCCCCACTTCACCGCCCCACAACCCTTTCCCAACATTTCATTTGTTCTGTAGTCTCCTCCCACTCTGTGTACATAACTTGATGAATCACTGTTCTTGAAATCATTGCAACCAGTCTCTCGAATCCCTTTCCAGGGGAGCAAGGGAGACACCGAACACGCTGAGAACGATAAAAAAATAAAACCCACCAGGAAAAAGAGAGAGAGGTGAGTCTGTGCTGTCTTGGGAGATGCACACATGCCTCAGGTGATGGGAGAAATCTTGCCTAGAGGATGTGGCACGGTTGGTCCATTTAGCTTAGTCTTGCCTAAGCTACACTGACAGGCAACAGCTGCCCAGGGTCTCTAACAGGAGTCCTACCCAGGTCTACCTGAAGATGCTGGCGATTGAACCTTGGACCTCCTGCATGCAACGCAGATGCTCTTATCATTAAGCTACAGCCCTTCCCTTAGTGTGGGTGGCAAGGAGAGGAAGCAGGGTTGGGGAGAAATAAAAGGGGATTGCAGAAAGGGAGATGGAGAGACACCCTGCTTACTTTTGGCTCCAGCCCTGATCACTGCTGGTGGCCCCTAGAAGATTGAGGTAAAGGGGACCCCTGACCATTAGGTCCAGTCGTGACCGACTCTGGGGTTGTGGCACTCATCTCGCTTTATTGGCCAAGGGAGCCGGTGTACAGCTTCCGGGTCATGTGGCCAGCATGACTAAGCCGTTTCTGGCGAACCAGAGCAGCGCACGTAAACGCCGTTTACCTTCCCGCCGGTGCGGTACCTATTTATCTACTTGCACTTTGACGTGCTTTCAAACTGCTACGTTGGCAGGAGCAGGGACTGAGCAACGGGAGCTCACCGCATCGCGGGGATTTGAACCGCCGACCTTCTGATCGGCAAGTCCTAGGCTCTATGGTTTAACCCACAGCACCACCCGTGTCCCCCCTAGAAGATTACCACTGAGGGAATGCGCCCCTCCAGAGGAAGAATAGGTTACAACTCCCCTGCTCTTAACTTTCGAGCTAGCTGTCCTTCAAAACCAAAACTAGGCTTTAAAATAAGAAATTCCACCTCGGCTATTCAGAGGTGTTATGGGAACCACAAGGAGGAAGAGTGCTGTTGTGCTCATGTCTTGTTTTTGAGCTTCCCATGGGCATCCTGATCTAGATGGGCCAATCGACTGATCCAACAGGACTCTTCTTCTGAAATAGCGTGTTCTGTGTATTCTACAATTTCTGGGACGTTTCCCTTTCAGCTGCTGCAATGGCCCCCCATCTCCTTCCTTGGCTCTTGTGCCTCATCCTTTCGCTGGTGGGACCCAGTTCAACTGCTGAAGATGACTTGGTGGTGGTGACCAGCAGTGGCTCAGTCCAGGGGAAGCATCTCTCGTCTGGCTTTGGCAACGTCACGGCCTTTTTAGGCATCCCCTATGCTGAGCCCCCTGTAGGCAAGCTGCGCTTCCAGAAGCCCGTTCCTCATCAGCCATGGAGCAAGGTCTTGGAGGCCACCAACTTCAGCAATTCCTGCCCCCAGATAGTTATTTCCGGCACTCCAGATGCCGAAACATGGGCGGCCAACACGCCCCTCTCAGAGGACTGTCTCTACCTCAACGTCTGGGTGCCCCATCCTCGGCCCTCCAAGCCAGCCGCTGTCCTTGTCTGGATCTATGGCGGGGCCTATTTTATTGGCACAACCTCCCTAGTGATATACAATGCGGAATTCCTCGCTGCTGCCGAGAATGTCATTGTGGTCTCCATGAATTACCGCCTGGGGCCTCTAGGTTTCCTTTCGTTGCCACCAGCTGTCCCAGGGAACATGGGCCTGATGGACCAGCAGCTAGCCATGTCTTGGGTGAAGCAAAATGCAGCTGCCTTTGGTGGAGACCCTACTCGGATAACCATTTTTGGCGTGAGTGCTGGGGGAGCCTCTGTTGCATTTCACCTCCTCTCACCAGGGAGCCAGCCTCTTTTCCATCGTGCTGTGCTAGAGAGTGGAGCTTCCGTCGCGGCCTGGGCTTGGCTGAATCCTGAGGAGGCCAGGAGAAGAAGTCAGAAGCTGGCCAAAGAGATGGGCTGTGCTCAAGAAGAGGTCCCTGCTTTGGTGAGTTGCTTGCAGGGAAAGAACGCATCAGAGTTCCAAACCGCCCAGTTCCTTGTTGTGGACCCCACGGTGGTTCTGAATCCACCCTTTGCACCGACAACGGATGGGGAATTCCTCACCGATGAGCCGCGGAAGCTTCTAGAATCCAAGAACTTCACGGCTAAGTCTATCGTGATTGGTACCACCTCCGACGAAGGGTCTATCTTCGTCTTATATGCAAGCGCTTTTTTGAACACGACCAAAGACTGCCTTTTGACCCGGGAGCAACTGTTGAAGGGGCTGCAGATCACCGTCCGCAACGCAACCAGTGACTTCATCAAAGCTGCAGCTGAGAGGTACAGTCAGGCAGAACCTGAAGGCCCAGCAAGGTACCGTTCAGCCATGGGGAAAGCCTGCAGCGATTACCTTTTCGTCTGCCCAGTCACGGATGTCGCCACAGCAGTGACAGAGGCTGGAAGCCCCGTGTACGTCTATACATTCCGCCACCGCAGCACTGGCTCTGTTTGGCCTGAATGGCTGGGGGCCATCCACGGAGCTGAGGTCCCGTATGTTTTCGGAACTTTGACGCTGTTGAAAGGAACCAAGGAAAAGCACACAAAGGCAGAGTTGGAGCTTATCTCCCGTGTCATGCGATACTGGGCGGAGTTTGCCCGAAGCGGGTAAGAGAACTTTTTGGTTTCTCCTTTCAGTCACCCTTGCCTCAACAGCACAAAGACAGTCGCTTCTCTATGAGTACGACAACTTAGCCAAAAGACTTGTTTATTGCTTTGAGATTGAAAACATGAAACTTATGGGTAACCCACAACTTGTGCGTATTCCATACCCTCCAACATTTCTCCGATGAAAATAGGGGCTTCCTATTCCATAATAATAACGTATTATTATTTAGATCCCGCCCATCTGGCTGGGTTGCCCCAGACACTCTGGCAGGCTTCCAACATACAGTGGTACCTCGGGTTAAGTACTTAATTCATTCCGGAGGTCCATTCTTAACCTGAAACTGTTCTTAGCCTGAAGCACCACTTTAGCTAATGGGGCCTCCCACTGCCGCCACGCCGCTGGAGCATGATTTCTGTTCTCATCCTGAAGCAAAGTTCTTAACCCGAGGTAATATTTCTGAGTTAGCGGAGTCTGTAACCTGAAGCATATGTAACCTGAAGCGTATGTAACCCGAGTTACCACTGTATATAAAAAACGTAGTAAACCATTAAGCATTTAAAATCTTCCCTACGCAGGGATGCCTTTAGATGTCTTCTAAAGGTTGTATAGTTCAGGGGTCAGCAACCTTTTTCAGCCATGGGCCGGTCCACCGTCCCTCAGACCATGTGGTGGGCCGGACTATATTTTGAAGGGGGGAAATGAACAAATTCCTATGCCCCACAAATAACCCAGAGATGCATTTTAAATAAAAGGACACATTCTACTCATGTAAAAACACACTGACTCCCAGACAGTTCGCGGGCCGGATTGAGAAAGCGATTGGGCCTCATCCAGCCTCCGGTCCTTAGGTTGCCTACCCCTGGTATAGTTACTTATCTCCTTGGCTTGAGGGGGTCACATAACTCCACACCCTCCAAAATTTCTCCCATGAAAATAGGGACGTCGTAAGGAAAAGCAGGACATTCTGGGGTTACATCAGAAACCAGGACGGCCTCTGTAAATCCAGGACTCTCCCTAGAAAACAGGGACACTAATGCCAGAGAGTCTCACATTCAGCTTTACACTTTTGGCAAACCCCGCCCCCCCAAATTAAAAGGGGGTGGAAAATGGGTGGGTGTCCAGGAAAAAATACTTGGTCAATCCTGCCTGTCACTGAACCCAATGTGTTTTGGCTATGGTTTTGGCAATGGTAAGTTGAGGGTGGCCTGTATAAAAGCCAAGCTCAAACTAAGATTAGGAAGCATTTCTGATATTCTCAGTGTTCAAAATTTTAGCTGATATCATAATTTGTGTGCATACTAATTATAAATAATGTCATTATCTCAACCTCTCCGGATCTAGCTTGCATTTCTCTATACAGTGGTACCTCAGGTTAAGTACTTAATTCGTTCCAGAGGTCTGTTCTTAAGCTGAAACTGTTCTTAACCTGAAGCACCACTTTAGCTAATGGGGCCTCCTGCTGCTGCCGCGCCGCTGGAGCACAATTTCTGTTCTCATCCTGAAGCAAAGTTCTGGGTTAGCGGAGGCTGTAACCTGAAGCGTATGTAACCTGAAGCATATGTAACCCGAGGTACCACTGTACCAAGGTAGTTATTCTGCTTATTCTATAACCCCACACTTCTTTCTCCTGTGGGTTGAGGCAGGTGGCTGCTAATAGCTAATCACGATGAGCAGGCAAAACTGCCAAAAGCTGCTATGCACTGATAACACTGATTGCAAGAAGGGTTGTTTCTGCAAGTGCAGAGTTGCACAATTAACAGGCACTGCATTGCGTTATTGTTGGGGATAGTGAGCAACCGATTAGTGTGAAAGCAGAGCACACTTGTTAGCTATAATGCAATTGCATTACAGTGGTACCTCAGTTTTCGAACAGCTTAGTTCACGAACAACTTGGAATGCAAACGCTGCAAAACTGGAAGTAGGTGTTCCGGTTTTCGAACTTCTTTTTTTGGGGAAGCCGAATGTGCTCTGTTTTGAGTCCCCCTATGTTTCCTGTTGCGCTGCTAATTTGCGTCCCCCCATTGTAATTCAAGCCTTCTGTTTCCAATTGTTAAACGGTGTTTCCATGCGCTGCTCTGGTTCACCAGAAGCAGCTTAGTCATGCTGGCCACATGACCTGGAAGCTGTACACCGGCTCCCTCGGCCAATAAAGCGAGATGAGCACCGCAACCCCAGAGTCGGTCACGACTGGACCTAATGGTCAGGGATCCCTTTACCTTTTTTACATTGTTTATTACTTTCATCTTATGGATCAATAGTCTCGTAAAATAGTAAAATTCATGTTAAATTGCTGTTTTAGGGATTGTTTTTAAAAGTCTGGAGCAGATTAATCTGTTTTGCCTTACTTTCTATTGGAAAACACGTCTTGGTTTAGGAACGTTTTGGTTTGGGAACCAACTTCCAGAATGGATTAAGTTTGAGAACCAAGGTACCACTGTATAGTTTTGAGATCTGGTTCTCACAAATCTGGAAATTAATATTTTAATGGACAAGATGACAACTCATGTACGAGAGAGTCAAACGGACAAGAAAATCACTACTTCTCAATCTACCAGTTTTATTACATACGTGACATCGACAGAACATAGTTACAGGCCTCCAAAACCACATGGCGATTGGTGGGAACTTTGCTTAACTGAAATGACTAAAAAGTTAAATGTAATTAAATAGACATTTGGTGCTTTGCAGGGGCGGGGGTGGTAAAATCAACTGTATGAACCACTGTTTATGACTGCAAATAAAGAAAAACAATGAGGGGGGAATGCATGCAAGTCCATGAAATAAGACTGCAATAAAGAAAATGCACCTTGAAAGAAAGAAAAATAGTATATGTTACATTATAGTAATTCTGGGGACGCTGGTTAAACTCTGTGGGTTAAACCACAGAGCCTAGGGCTTGCTGATCGGAAGGTCGGCGATTCGATTCCCTGTGACGCGGTGAGCTCCCGTTGCTCGGTCCCAGCTACTACAAACCTAGCAGTTCAAAAGCACGAAGTGCAAGTAGATAAATAGGTACCACTCTGGCGGGAAGGTAAACAGCGTTTCCGTGTGCTGCTTTGGTTCGCCAGAAGCGGCTTAGTCATGCTGGCCACATGACCTGGAAGCTATATGCCGGCTCCCTCGGCCAATAAAGCGAGATGAGCGCCGCAACCCCAGAGTCGGCCACGACTGGACCTAATGGTCACGGGTCCCCTTTACCCTTTACCTATAGTAATTCAACAAATTTAATTACTGCCTGGTTAGTCTAAAATAATTTTTTTAAAAAAGGAGATTGGATTAACAGTATCAGAAATAGTACTCCCATCTAGTATCAAAAATAGCCAATATTTTGGACTTTCTGAAATATTAGGAATGCCGTCCCATCTTGAGTTTCACAGCATACTCTTTGCATATACCAGATTTCTCAGAAAGTGCACAAATCTGTCTCTTATTATAGAATCACAGATCCATTGGTCTGTGCGGTCTGTAAAAAGGAAACGGTTGCTCTTTTAACTGGAAATCCTCTTTCTTCCTCCTCTACATGCTTTTGTGAAATCACAGCCTCGTTAGTCTTTGGCTCAATGAGCTCTAACCCAAGTTTAGAATATATAGCTGACGATGATGAAAATGGGAGGCATGTTATCCCTCCCCCAAAAAAGGGCAACATTACACTAGCTTAATTATGAACACGAGTCAAGTATTTCACTGATACTCAACATGGTTGTTTCGGAAACTCTGTCAGATGGGCAGGGTACAAGTAATAAATTATATTATTATTGTTATTATTATTATTAGAACGCCACACATGTCTAACACTGTTTTAAGAAAGCAGAGTGGTGTATCGTGTGCCTCACACAGGACCAGTGCTATTTGAACAATGATTTATTTGCTTCCCACTCAGCAACCCGAATCCTTCCGATGTCAACGAAACAAAATGGCCCGTCTACGACCCGGCACAGCAGAACTTCTTCGTCCTCAGCACGGACCCACCCCGTGTGATGGAGCCATCGCCGGCTCAGCAGTGCAGTTTTTGGAAAACACTCCCATCAGGGGCATCAAAGCCAGGTAAGTGGAAAGGGGGAACAGACAGGGCCAAATGCTTTCCTTGCAATGGTCACCTGTCATGGATTCTTTAGCTGAGATTCCTGCATTGCAGGGGGTTGGACTAGATGACCCTCAGATCCCTTCCAACTCTGTGATAGTAATAAATGTCCCCCACCACCATTCAGGCATGGCTTTTTCCAGTTAAAACACAATGATCTGGGTTTTACATGAACAAATTTCTCACTCGCGCACATATTCGCTTGGGGAGCTCATTCTCACCTCAGATATCTCTTGAAGGTCTTTTGTTTATGCTGACAGGCTTATTCAATTGCTTGCTGTCGTTTTTATATTTATTTTGCATTGCTTTATGTGCATTTTATTGTATTTCATCATCATCATCATCATCATTTATACCCCACCCATCTGGCTGGGTTTCCCCAGCCACTCTGGGTGTCTTCCAACAAAATATTAAAAAAAGGATAAAACATCAGACATTAAAAACTTCCCTAAACAGGGCTGCCTTCAGATGTCTTCTAAAAGTCAGAGAGTTGTTTATTTCCTTGACATCTGATGGGAGGACGTTCCACAGGCTAGGCGCCACTACCGAGAAGGCCCTCTGCCTGGTTCCCTGTAACCACACTTCTCGCAGTGAGGGAACCGCCAGAAGGCCCTCAGAGCTGAACCTCACTGTCCGAACTCATATGGGTGAGTGAAATCCAAATATTTTTGTAAATAAAATAAAAAATAGATCAGAAGCTCAGTGTGGTGGTGGTAGCCCAGGAGAAGGGAAATTCTCTGAGGCAGCCCTAAGTTTGCATCTGGCACCTTCATTGCCTAGTTTTTTGTCATGTGCTGAAGACGTAACTTTTTATGCTGGTCTTAGACACCTGGGAGATATATTCTTATGTCCTTATTTTTAGCATCCACCATATACTTACGACTTTAATGGTTGAAAGCATTTTTATATTTCATTGCTGTAACCCACCCTGGGATCTTACAGGGAAGGGTTGGTAAGAAATCAAAATACTACTACTAATAATAATAATAAGTTCATTTCCTCCTTCATTTGCCATTAAAAAAAAATCCAAGAAGATGTCTTATCCACACAGGAATATGAAAGGAAGGAGGAGCTGTGAATTAAGAGAAAGGCTTTTTTTTCACAGGTAAGTATCAGTAAGGATGGAGAGAAAGAAAGGATCTGGTTGGGAGTTGGGAGAAAGTAGTCCAATGGGACCAGTATAATTTTTTGGGTGGAATACAATTTTCTCCAGTCAAAATTAAGCGTTTAAAAGATCCATTTGATAATATTTCATTGGGGAGCAATTTAAGCATCTGCTCCTGGAAATAATGGGGATTAAAAACTGGTTAATTTGGGTTGGATTGTGGTTTATATTTACTTCAGTTTATGCCACCACACTGTCCCATTTGATTCAAGGGACTCGATACTATTTTTACATTGGCAGTTAGTTCAGAAGAGAAGAGAAGACCTGTTGAAATGAATGGAAATTACAAACTTAGGTTCCTTAAACTTCAACGGGCCTACCCTGAGGAAGACTTGGTTGAATACAACTAAGTCAACATAACAGGGCCTACACCCTCCCAGTCCTTACTGAAGATTACTGCACCAACTAGCACCTGGGCATCCCTTGGAGACGACAGGCAGGTTATAAATGTGAAATAATCACAATACATTGTGAACTGAAATAGGAGTGTAGCGCAAAGGAGAAAATTTTTCTTCCATAATTCCTTTTTTTATATATATGGAGAAATCGTCATTTTCTTGACTGAAAATATTTGGACCCTCTCAGTCACCAGGATTTCCTCTTTTCAAACATTATAAAAATATGAAATCGTTGATATGAAACACACCAACATTTAAACCTAGGATGGAGAACATGTGACCTGTTACCCCCAGTGAGCATAGTCAATAGTCAGGATTGACTCTAGTTCAGCAACATATGGAGGGCCACATGTTCCCCACCCCTGATTTAGGCCCCATCTGTGGTCTAAACCACTGAGCTTAGGGCTTGCCGATCGGAAGGTCGGCGGTTCAAATCCCCGCGATGGGGTGAGCTCCCGTTGTTCGGTCCCAGCTCCTGCCAACCTAGCAGTTCTAAAGCACGTCAAAGTGCAAGTAGATAAATAGGCACCACTCCGGCGGGAAGGTAAATGGCGTATCCGTGCGCTGCTCTTGTTTCGCCAGAAGTGGCTTAGTCATGCTGACCACATGACCCGGAAAAACTCTGTGGACAAACATCGGCTCCATCGGCCAATAAAGCGAGATGAGCGCCGCAACCCCAGAGTCGTTCGCGACTGGACTTAACTGTCAGGGGTCCTTTACCTTTACACAAGACATGTAATGCAGTATCTGATACCACTTCAAACAGCCATGGCTCCCCCCCCCAAAGAATCCTGGGCGATGTAGTTTGCGAAGGACGTTGAGAGTTATTAAGAGACCCCTATTCCCCTCTCAAAGCGACACTTCCCAGAGTTCCCTGGGAAGGGAGCAGGATTGTTAAATGACTTTGAGAAGTGTAGCCCTGTGAGGGAATATGGGGTCTCCTCTCACAACCCGTAACAGACGGCATTTCCCAGGATTCCCTGTATATCCATGACTGTATAAAGTGATATGATCCTGCTTTCAATGTATATTGCAGATGGGGCCTTATGCAGATAAAAGAGTCGGCAGTTGGGTTGAGGAACAAAACTTAGGAAAATATCCCGTCGATAGCTAAAGGGGAGGAGAAACCCAGCTGTTCATGTAAAATCTCCAAGGGAACTAGCAACTACAAACAAGGGAGAGAGTTCTAGACATGAGGCACCCTGACTAAAAAGGCCCTGTCTCTTGTTGGCTTGCCACCCACCTTCAAAAGTAGGGACATTGAATGGAGCCTCTGAAGAAGGTTTTAACAACTGGGCAGGTACGTATGGAAGCAGGCCGTTAGAAACCCAGTTCCAAGTGGTTTAAGCAGGGGTCAGCAAACTTTTTCAGCAGTCACTGTCCCTCAGACCTTGTGGGGGGCCGGACTATATTTTGAAGGGGGGGAAATGAACGAATTCCTATGCCCCACAAATAATCCAGAGATGCATTTTAAATAAAAGGGCACATTCTACTCATGTAAAAACACGCTGATTCCTGGACCGTCCGTGGGCTGAATTTAGAAGGCAATTGGGCAGGATCCAGCCCCCGGGCCTTAGTTTGCCTACCCATGTGTTTAGGCCAGGAGTAGAAAACCTATGGCCCTCCAGATGTTGCTGAATTACAGGTCCCATACACTCTGACCATTGGCCATGTTGGCTGAGGCTCATGGGAGTTTTGTAGTCCAACAACCTCAGGAGAACCACAGGTTCTCAACCACTGGTTGGCGGGGTCAGACCAAAACCAGTACACCCTCAGAAATGTCATTACCTGCACATGTGGTTTTGGGGAAGGTCTTCCAGGACACCCATTCACAACCACACTGAGCTATCCTCCACCAGTAAAAAGAGCTCCCGCTAACACCAAATGCTTTGTGTCCCGCAGAGATGTCTGAAAAGATGCAGAAGAACCTATTATGTGGAATTATAAAGCTTCGTTTTCACAGAAAGGGCTTGCTACTGCCTTGCAAAGACCTGCTGAAAGCCAAGGTTGATTCTCCAAGGGCTGCAACTCTTCGAGATGAAGCAGAAGTATAGTGAAAATGGATACCTTTGTTTTCTTTTTGTGAACCACTAGGCATCCACAAACTCAGCCCTCCAGATGTTTTGGGACTACAACTCCCATCATCCCTAGCTAACAGGACCAGTGGTCAGGGATGATGGGGACTGTAGTCCCAAAACAACTGGAGGGCTGAGTTTGGGGATGCCTGACTTAGAGGTTTGCTTGCTTTTTTTTACAATCAAGCGGGATGTAACTTTTATGCAATAAATAAATCTTTTGAAAGCATTTTCCCAGCTTCCTATTCCTGCCTCTGCATTACAGCAACAAAGGTCAGCAATATAAAGTGAAATTTTGTGTGGAAACGGGTGTGAAAAGTTTAACTTTAGTGGGGATATTCATGTTCTGCACAAAGGCCAAAGTTCAGATCCTCATATAGAGTTTGAGCTCAACAACACCTGGAGGGCCATACAGTCCCCTTTCCACATTTATAATTACATTTTTACCAGCTAGATTTATTATGACATTTATATCCCGTTTTCCGCCAAAAATTTCAAAGTGATGTGCATGGTTCTCCCCTTCCTCATATTTTCCCCTTAACAACCCTGTGAGGCTGAGAAGTTGTGACTGGCCCAAGGTCACTCAGTAAGCTTTATGGCCAAGTGGGGTCTTGAACTCTGGTCTACTGGGTCTTGGATTGCATTAAATGCAGCCAGTACAAGCATGGTATGTGTCGGTTATTTGGCTATTATAAAAGAAGAATTCATTGGATCCCTAAAAGAGAGCCCCAGCAGAAGTTTCGAAACACAAAACATGCAGCAAAGAAAAGTGTGGGAATATGGGCTACTAAATATCCTGTTTTAAGTCATTTACAACACTTCCCCTTTCTACCCTCTTAGCATAGAATAGACCACAGAGTTGGGTATGTTAAAATGGTTTTTACTTACAAACTTTCCAAAGGTCAGATTCATGCGTTTTTCCGTGCCGCAGCAAGAAAACACAGGCAGACATTTTGGGTTACAAAATATAGCAAAACATTTCTGAACAAGTGGTCTGAGCTTGGAGCGATCAAGCTCACACACATCCTATCTGGCCAAGTTCACATGTTGGAAGAAGACAAACAGTAGAAAGAAAGAGAACAAAGAACCTTCCTAACCGTTTGCCACCACAGGTGAGAGGGCAGAACCTGGTTGAGTCTAGGGAAAAAGCTTACTCTATGGTCTTAACCCTTTCATCCATTAGCAACAGCTAAGCATGCTGTTTTATATGAGGCTGCAATTATATCCCACAGCTTTAGTAAGAGAGGCCAGGGGCAAGCCATCAGCAATATCCCCTCCTTCAAAATGAATGGGGTGGTGTGAGAGTGGTACCACAGCCTTGAGTGTGCACACTTATCCCAGTATTGTCCATGCTCAGAATTTTTGTAGAGTTAAAAAAAAAAAAAGTGGGACAAACTGATGTGCAGAGTACAGTGGTAACTTGGTTCTCAAACTTAATTCATTCCAGAAGTCTGTTCCCAAACCAAAGCGTTTCAAACCAAGGCATGCTTTCCCATAGAAAGTAATGCAAAATGGATTAATCCGTCCCAGACTTTTAAAAACAACACCTAAAACAGCAATTTAACATGAATTTTACTATCTAAGGAGACCATTGATCCATAAAATGAAAGCAATAAACAATGTACAGTACTGCAGTCACACAATCAATCAATCAATCAATCAGTAGCTGAACTGGATTCCACACAGTCACAAAAACAAAACAAAAAGAGCCGCAAAAACAAATATGCAAAAACAAAATAGCAAAAACAGACAGACCTCAGTGTAACACTCAAAATGGGAGCGTGGCACTCAAAACGCAGCACGTTCGGCTTCCAAAAAAAGTTTGCAAACCAGAACACTTACTTCCGGGTTTGTAGTGTTTGGGTTCCAAGTTGTTTGATTACCAAGGTGTTTGAGAACCAAGACACCACTGTACCTGAAATAGTCTCCTATCACACCAAACCCTCTTTGCAAAGGAATCCCGAGGAGGCAGTAATATTGGGCAGACACTAGGTGGCACCATAATGCTAAGCATCAAGAGCTGAGACTTTTAACCCCAAATGAAATAGCTGGCCACAAAGATAGGTATACTGACACCCTGCAGCTGGTGTGTATATTTCCCTCTGAAGTTAGTACAGTAAGAAATTGTTCTTGTCAGGAACAAGAAAGAGTATTCTGGCCCCTTAAAAAATAAACAGATTTATTCTGTGAGCTAGAGGAGCTTTTCTTTTTCCCCAGTAGTGATATATGGAAGTGAGAGCTGGACCATAAAGAAGGCTGATCGCCGAAGAATTGATGCTTTTGAATTATGGTTCTGGAGGAGACTCTTGAGAGTCCCATGGATTGCAAGAAGATCAAACCTCTCCATTCTTAAGGAAATCAGCCCTGAGTGTTCACTGGAAGGACAGATCCTGAAGCTGAGAAGAGAAGACTCCCTGGAAAAGACCCATATGTTGGGAAAGATGGAGGGCACAAGGAGAAGGGGACGACAGAGGACAAGATGGTTGGACAGTGTTCTCGAAGCTACCAGCATGAGTCTGACCAAACTGCGGGAGGCAGTGGAAGACAGGAGTGCCTGGCATGCTCTGGTCCACGGGGTCACGAGGAGTCGGACACGACTAAACGACTAAACAGCAACAACAACAAGAGGAGCTTGCTCATGCCAGTGTATTGTCTGTAGCAGACAGTTACACACAACACTGGGGCCAAAAGGCAGCACTGGGTCTTTGGAAACCAGAGTCATAGTAGAGGCTTGTTCACACAACACACTCTACACAGGTATACTTGTGCAAGTGCTTATGTGAAAAAGGTATACTCTTGTTGATTTGTACACCTCAACTATTGTCTGCACAGACTGTCCACATGTGAAGCTCTGCGTGTAAATAACTATGAGTGTACAGCTATTTGTGTACACAGGCACACAGATTTTACACTTGCTGAATGGAATGGGTGAACACCCTTAAGAAAACTCCAGCTTCCAAAACTCCAAGGTGGCTGTCACCGATGGAAGCGAAAGACTACTGCGATGCATTCTGTGTGGGGCTACCCTTTGGCTTGGTGCACAGGCTGCAGCTGGTGCAAAACACTGCAGGTAGACGGTTGTTTATCACCAGCCCACAACTCCAGTGCTCAAAAGTCTGCAAAGCCTGACTTGACAACTACTGGGCCAGGTTCAAGGTTCCTGTATTAATTTAGGTAAAGGTAAAGGGACCCCTGACCATTAGGTCCAGTCGTGACCGACTCTGGGGTTGCGGCACTCATCTCGCTTTATTGGCCGAGGGAGCTGGCGTACAGCTTCCGGGTCATGTGGCCAGCATGACTAAGCCACTTCTGGCAAACCAGAGCAGCGCACAAACACACCATTTACCTTCCCGCCAGAGCAGCACCTATTTATCTACTTGCACTTTGACGTGCTTTTGAACTGCTAGGTTGGCAGGAGCAGGGACCGAGCAACGGGAGCTCACCCTGTCGCGGGGATTCGAACCGCTGACCTTCTGATCAGCAAGTCCTAGGCTCTGTGGTTTAACCCACAGTGCCACCCGCGTCCCTTTGTATTAATTTACAAGGCCCTTAACAATTTGGTCCTTGAGGATACATCAAGGACCACCTAATGCCTTATATCCCAGCCCGATTACTGAGGTATTTGTAACTGTTAGCGGTCCCCAATGTCTGGGATGCATGGCTCATATTCTCCCCGAGCTGCGGGTGCAGTACTGTGGACCCAGTTTCATGAAACTTCCTTCCGGCTGAGGTCAGACAAGCCGCCAACCCTGTCGAACATCTGGCACCTACTCAATACTTTTTTAAAATTCCAGCAGGCATGTTAATTGAAGCTTGGTTTTATAATTTTAACTGATTTTTACATTGTATCTTTGTAAACCGCTTGCTTAGAGACCGTGGTAGTTGAGCAGTATATAAATTCCTTAAGTTAATAAGTTAAGTATATATAGTTGAGCACTTATAACTTAAATTCCTTAAGTTATAAATTCGATAAGTTAATAAACAAATGGTAGTTTCTGCAGAGCTATGCCAATGTTTCCCAAACTTGGGTCACCAGCTGTTTTCGGACTACAATTCCCACCATCCCTGACCATTGGTCTTGCTAGCTAGGGATGATGGGAGTTGTAGTCCGAAAACAGCTGGGAAACGCTGACCTACGCAGATGAGTTAACTCACAGCTGACCCAGCAGGCTTGAACTCTGCACCCATCAGCTATGGGGCTGTGACTTCAACTCCGCCTTCTCCAGGGGCTGGCTGCACGAGGGAGTTATCTGGATCCAGTCCAGCAACATCTGTACACACCTGACAGCTGTGGGGTATGTGGGCACCATTTGCAGGAAAGAACTTTGCAGGCCTAACTTGGGACCCGAATCTAACCCACAAGCTGGAGGTTCCCTACTGGTTACAAGCAATTTATTATTATTATTATTATTATTATTATTATTATTATTATTATTATTATTATATTTGTACCCCACCACTCTGTGTGGCTTCCAACAAAAGATTAAAAATACATTAAAATATCAGACATTAAAAACTTCCCTAAACCGGGCTGCCTTCAGATGTCTTCTAAAAGTCAGAGAGTTCTTTATTTCCTTGACATCTGATGGGAGGGCGTTCCACAGGGTGGGTGCCACTACCGAGAAGGCCCTCTGCCTGGTTCCCTGTAACCTCACTTTTCACAGTGAGGGAATTGCCAGAAGGCCCTTGGCACTGGACCTCAGTGTCTGGGCTGAACGATGGTGGCGGAGACGCTACTTCAGGTATACTGGACCGAAACCGCTTAGGGCTTTAAAGGTCAGCACCAACACTTTGAATTGTGATCGGAAACATACTGGGAGCCAATGTAGGTCTTTCAAGACTGGCGTTACGTGGTCTCGGCGGCAAGTAGCAGCGCTGACAGCTTACGGACTGCACCGTGTAACAGGTGTCTGGCCCAACAGCCTAAGGCGGACAAGCCACTGAAACAGGCATTCAGAATCCATTCATTTCATAAACCCTGCAGGGCTCAATCTCTGTGTTTGTGTATGTGTGTGTTTCTGTTTGGCCCAAGGGTCTGGGAGTGGGAGAGAGCTCTTTAGCATGATGCTTTTAAAATAATTAAATTATCAACAAACAAACTTGATGCTACGAATAGCAACGGGGGTCTACTCGGAAGTAAATACTGCGTCCAGGCGCAATTAGCGCCGATTGTGCACCACACTAATCTAAAAACCTCACCAAAGAAACGCTTCGTTGCAGAGGGAAGAGTTTGTGCACCGTGGAGGCTGGAGGGCTTCTATTCTACATGCGGGCGTGGGGGGGGGGCCGAGGAAAATGTGCTCCGTGGGGGGGCGGGGAAGGCAAGGAAAGGAGCTGAGCTCTAACTATAGGCTCCCACGCTTGAGCAGGCCCGACTCCGTGGGGCGGACCACCCTCTCTCCTGGAGGAGGAGGTTCCCATCCACGGCGTGTCCTCCCGCGCTCCTGAACGGGAAATCTCTGCAGCCCAAGACTCTCCGCGAGGCAGCTCCTCCCTTCCTGCCTTGAGCCGCCGCCAGCCGCGCCCCCCTCCCCAGTTATCTGCTGCCTGCCAAGCCCCGCCCCTCTTCATTGTCCTCCCCTTTCTGTTTATACACAAAGACCCCCATCTTCTTCCCCCTTCCCCTTCCTCCATCCCTCGCTTTTTTCCTCTCTTTCCTTTTTTTTAAAAAAAAATCTTTTCTCTTCCCCTTCTTTTTTTCCACCCTTTCTTTTCTCTCTCTTTCTCCCCCCCCCCATCCCCGCCCTCCTGCCTTCCTGGGTTAAAGGATTTGAGCAATGGGTCTGGAGGTGGAGCTCGTCGGAGGATTAGAAGAAGCGGATGTGAGAAGAGATTGAGAGGGATTTTTCTCTCTCTCTCTCTCTTCTCTGCCTCGCTCTGTCGCTCCGATCCCGAAAACTTCTCGGAAAGAAGCAGAGGGAGGAGGAAAGAGGGAGGGTTTGCTGTTTTTTTAAAAAGGGAACTAACCAAACCCCCTTCCTGCCCTCCACCCAGCAACAATCCTGACTCAGACCCGCTTGGATCTGCCCTCCCTTCCCCTCGGCTTGGGGAAAAGAGGAAAAAAAGATCTGCTGCTGAAATCTACCGCCAAGCAGAGGACCAGCTCCGCCCGCGCCCAGCCACGCTCCCGGGGATCATGGGCCAAGCGAGGGATCCAGCCTGCCGCCTGCCCCACACCTCCAGGACCTAGCTGGATTGAGACTCTCCTCGCGTGTTTTTGCGTGTCGTCGGAATACCCTTTCCCCTCCGGGTCCTCCGAGCACTGGAGGTGGCTTTTTCCCCCCTCTTGGCGTCTTGAAGACAAGCCGCCTCTCCGGATCTGGGTTCTGATTTCGGAGTGGACGACCCTCCTGCCTTCTCGGACGCCTGGGTTCTAACGGAGCCGTGAAGAAATTCGGCGGATGGTGGAGCGGGGGAGAAGAAGAAGAAGAAAGGATTCTTTTGATCTCGAAATTCACTGCTTTTCCCCTTCCAATTCTCGGGCACTCTGATTCTCTCCAGATACTGAAATATATTATCTCTACTGCTGGCTTTAAAAAATAGGACTCCTTTGATCTCTTGGTTTCTCTCCGGACTCCTGGGTTCTGTCGACTTATTGGAACGCTCCACCATTTTAATTATTTATTTTTGATGTCTATAATCCTCTTTCCTCCCGAGCTCCGGGACTGCAGAATTCTCGGGATTTTCTGAATATTAAGAAATTCTTGTTCTACAGACATCCAGGCACCTCTCTCCATCCTTTTGGGTTTCCAGCTTGAGATTTTAGCCCATCTCTCCCCCCCCCCCCACCGCCTTGGGCTTTGTGCTGATTTCCTCATCAGGGATCCTGACTTCCTGACCCAGTTAAGAACTTTTAAGAGGAGGAGTTAGGTACCAAAGTCAACTCGGCATCTCCATCGTTGCTGGATTTAAACTCCTGGAATCGCTTGAAATCCTCGCATTCGGACTCTGGTAAATTTGATATTTAATTTTACCTCATTTGCACACCGCCTTTTGCAGCCCCACAAACCCACTTTTCCTTTTCAGTCATCCACTGGGGGGCATCCTGATCAGTTTCTGCCAACAGGCAGGAGAAATCGGAGCCATTCGGGATTTATTTTATCCCAGTTATTTAATTACAGCTTACTTCCTGTCAGTAATATTAATCTCCCCCCTACCCCCGTTGCCAATCGCATGGGTCCTTGGTGACCTTCTGAACCCGAACCATTCCCCTCCTCAGGTTCAGATGAAAAGAATTCCCTCCCCCACCCCCAAATTGGGAGCCAAAAAAATTGCCCCCCAAACTATATCCCTGTTATCCGAGATTAGTTTCCACTTCTCAGTACGGAAACCACAAGACCTGCATGTTTTAATTTAGATCAAGTAAGGAGGATGGCCTGTCAGCCTGTGCACACACTTGCCTCTTCAGATTAGTCTGTGCCACTGTTTCAATCTGGATTAAACAGCCTGGAATAATTTCACCACCCCTGGGTTATTACTCCCTGTCACCAATAAGAATTCAAAAGCACACCTGCAGCATTAATAGCCACTGAGTGGGTTTTCAGAACAGTGGTACATAGGGAGCTACCTTATTATGAATCAGGCTCTCCAGGGTGGAGGGGTGGGCATCCTCTTCCCCATCTCTTTAACCACTCTGGCCTCGTCTACAAAACTATGGCTGCAGCATGCCACACTGCCCACCCCCTTTCTCCTCGGCTCCTTCCTTCAGTGGTGTGGCGCCTGAGCTCCTTGCGTGAAGAGATCCACGTGGAGAGCTGTCACCGCCCCAAGGCAGGGGAGGCAGCATATGGTGTGCGGTGTGTGTCTGGGTGTGAGCCGGAAAAAAGATGAGTGGATTGCGTGCAGGGAAAGAAGGCAACTCCCAGGTGGAGCTCCTCGAAAAAGGGCTTTTCATCTCCATGCCCCTTCCTGAACGGACCCTCACAGTTATCTTTCCTTCCCAAGTTCCTCCATTTTCTTCTTCATCGTCTTCCTTCCCGGAATCTGTCTTGCTCCCTCTTCCTTCTTTCCCAACCCTCTTTCCTCCCGGCAATTCCAACTCCTTCCTGCCTTGCTAACCCCTTTCCCTTCATGCCTTCCCCCCTCCCTCCCTCAATCACATCCCTGTTTCTTTTCTCTCCCTCTCACAAGCCTTTTCCCATCTACTCCCATTTTGCTATTCGCCTTCCTTCCTTCTCCCCCCTCCTCTTTTTCCCCTTCCCTCTTTATTCCTCTTTATCGCTCTTCCTTCTCCTCCTCCTCCTCCTCCAGAGTCTTTCACTTTTCCCAACTTGCTCTCCCTCCCTCTTCCTCCTCTTCTTTCTCATCCCTGGATTTCCCCTTCTTCTTCTCACGTTCCCTCCTTCTTTCCCAGGTTTCCCTCCCCGAGCTCCTCAGGCGAAGATGTCTTCTTCGGCTTCGGCTCTGCCGGAGTGGAAGCTCCAGCTCCTGGAGCGCCGGCGCAAGGAGGAGGAGGAGGCCCGCCGGCGGGAGCGAGAGCAGCAAGACCGCATGGCCAAAATGCCCGCCTGGAAGCGGGAGATCATCGAAAGGCGCCGGGCCAAGCAGGGCTCCGGCACCTCTTTCTCTGAGTCTGGGGGGCCAGGAGGGACCGAGAGCGGCGCAGCTCCGGCTTCTAGCGCTCCGCAGCCCTGCCAAGAGGGGGAGCCGGAGAGTTCGGTGCTGCAGGAGAAGATCGGCCCCATCCACCAAAACCCGTTCATCCAGCTGGAGAAGCGGCGCTACAAGGAGTCGGAGAGCGACCTCGCCAACGCCAAAGCCAAGCAGATCGTCGACCTCTACGGGCAGATCCCGGGCGTCCGCACCTTGCGTGCCGACAACGTCATCATCATCGAGACGGTCCCGGGGGCACCGCCGGCGCAGCTGGCCAGCAGCCGGCAAACGGGCGAAGCCAAATCGGGGAGCGTGGAATCTCTCAACGAGCTGCTGGCTCGGCGCGGGGGTAGCGTGACCGAGATCCGCGCCGGGGAGGTCTTCATCGTCAAGTCGGCCTTGAGCCGCAGCGTGGAAGATCTCAATTCAGTCGGCCGGGCCGAAAGCCGGGGCTCTCTGCCCGAGCAGCACCGAGGGAGGGTCAGCAAACTGCTGAGCCACTTCAGCCAGGAGGGCGGCAACATTGGGTCGGTGTCTCCGCGCCCGGTGCGGTCACTGAGTACCGAGAACCTAATGGAAAGCAGCTACATGGCAAGGAGGCCGGCCCGGGTGGCAGCGGACCCCAGCCCGACCCGGAAGCACTTTGACAGCAGCCCTCCGCGCGACCTTCCCGGATTGAGCCCGCCTGTTCCCTACACTGTGGCATCCTATCGCAGCCAGTTTGAATCTAAATCGAGCAGCGGCGAAGGCTGGCCGGACAGCCCTCCCAGGCGCTCCCCGACCGGGAGGAGCTGGGGGCGGGAGGCTGCGTCGCCAGAGAGAAGCCCCAGGAAGGACAGTGTAGATTCGGAGGTTGCTTTTGAGATCCAGCCGGCCCCCCCGCCGGCTCCGGTGGCTGAGGACGATGTCCAGGGCAAAGCCTTGGCCAACCTGCGCCTGCACTCTCGGAACTCCTTTGTGGTCGTTCCGCGCCGGGCCCCGTCCTCCCCACCCCCAGAACTCAAGCAGGAAGCCAGCCCTTCTCTGTCTGCTGTCAAGCCCCCAGCCCCCACTTCCTGCTCCTCGCTTCTCCCAGACGCAGAGGAAGAGCCGCCCGAGGCTGCAGAGGCCATGAGGCGTGGTGTGGGGAGCGGTGTCGCCAAGGAGGATGTCCGGGTGGGGGGCTTGGCCCGCGCCTCGTCCCCCCACCCAGCCGTGCAGCGCCGCAGCGGCAACACCATCACCATCAACCCTCGCAAGGCCCCGGCTGCACCTGTGTCCGTGGTGGAGAACGGCATCGAGAGCGACACTTCCCCGGCTGCAGCGCCCATGAAGAAACGCTACCCTACGGCCGAGGAGATCCAGGTGATCGGAGGCTACCTGTCCCTGCAGAGGTCCTGCCTTGCCAAGAACGACCCACACCGGAAAAAGGTACACACACCTGGTTGGCTGGGCCGGGCCTGGCTCAGTTTTGCAGGACCTCCTTTGCTTCTCTCGCCACTGCCCCCTTTTGAGTTTGCTTCTTGCTGCCTTAGTTGGCCCTGCCTGCTTTCTAACTTAGGTGTTACTCTTTCATCTTCTTCCTTCTCTCCCAAATTATCCTCCAATTCCTTTTGTTTTCTTTTTCCTGCTTCCCTCCCTTCTTTCATTACTTCGTCCTCTTTACTCACAGCTCTGACGCAACTGGAAATAGTCATGTAAGGAATTGTACCGAGGCAACTTAGCTGGTTGAAGGGTGTGGGATTTGAAAGCAGGAGCCAGAACCTAACCTGGTGAGCTAGGCTCCGTTTATGATTGAGCCTTCCAGCAGCTTTTCTTTTTACAAAGTGCAGAATGCTTCGCTATTCCCGCCGGTTAGGTCACTGCTATTCCCATTTTACAGATGGAAAAATGAGGCCAAGGAGATGCAGCTTGCTCGAGGGTAGACGTATGTCTGAAGGGATTTGATCCACCTAGCTATGTTTTGGCTACACTGACTGGCAGCCGCTCTGCCGGGGATCAGACAGGGTGCAGGGCTCCCATCCCTTTCTGAGGATGGCAGGGATTGAACCTGGGTCGCATCTTTTGCAGGCAAAAGTGTTGGCTCCACCCACTGAGCTTCACAGCCTTGCAGGCCCTGGGCTCTAGCCCTGAAACACCCTAGATTTCTTTCAGCTACTTCCTCTTGGTCTTGAGCATTCCTTTCACATTAGGCATAGTGATGTGAAGGCCTTTTTTTGTTTTGTATATTAAAAGGCGCACTGTATACGCAGTAATTTTACTCATTCCCTTGTAAGGCAAAACGTTTAGCAGGATCAGCTGTCTGCTGGAGCACTTAGTCCTTTTTTCCTGTGCTTTTTTTGTCCCCCTTTCACTCTTTCTTTATCTCTTCCCTCCACCCCTTCTCTGAATTTCCTCCTCACCTTCTGCCCTCAGCCTTGCTCAGACAAACTGCTGCATCCTGAGAATTGCAGTCGCCTTCCCCTGCCTTCCCCGTGCATAATTTTACACAGGAGCTGTGGCTGTGGTTTGATGTTGACCAACAAACTCTGGACAAAAGCTTGGAGTGTTTGCACACTAAAAAAGCACTTTTGAGCTTCTGTTTCTACTGGTGCCATGCCTGGGTGTTCTTAATGGAGGACAGAATGCAGAACACTGTCTGCAATGTGTAGGGTTATTGTTGTTGTATTTTTACACTTGTTTGCAGTTGTTTTTGGTTTTACAGATGGATTTAAGACTCTCATTTGTAAATTACCTTTGGCTATTTATAGACGAGGACCCCGGGAGAGCCCCAGTTACAGGCTAGGTCCCCTGTTGGGCTGGCTGGGCTTCACAAGCTGCAGACCCGAAATGCAAATCTTCTCCCGGTTCAAAGGGGGATCAATATCACAGTTGTAGTTAACATGCAATTGCTTGTTCATCTGAAATTTCATCAGGAGTTGGCTGTGATCACTTGAATGCAACCACTGCCAAAGGGAGAAAAGCTTCCCCTGTGAAGGAGTGGGGCATCCTTTTCTCAGTAAACACATTTCTACAAGACACTTGCTTCTCTGTTTCTTCACACGGTGGTCTGGATTATGGGTTGTGTGCTGTGTGTGTGTGTGCTCAAATGTGTCTGCGTGTGTGCAGATTGTTGTGACTCATAGCAAGAGATGTTCCCATTTCCAGTCATTCTTAATATCCGAAGAGCAAAACGCCAGCAATTTCTGACTTTTGCCAGTAAATGTGGAACCCGTCAGGGTATCCAAATGTCATGCTTGTTTTCCCATCGTTTAGTTGTTCAAAGGACGCTTCTCATGCCATGGATACGAATGTCAAAAAAACACAAGCTGCGCACCCACAGATGTTTCTGGTGTTTCCAGTTGGGCCGTTAAAAATCTTAAGAGTTACTGGTTAATGCCAGCATTTACCAAATTCTGACATTGACCACAACACACACATAAGTCCTTGTTTGCATGTAACAATAAGCTAGACTCTATGGCATATCGTGTTTTCAGAGAATCAGAGAATCAAAGAAGGGAAGATTACAGTCAACGTAAAGAGCTACGGAAATGACTATAGTAGCAGCAGCAGCAGCATACTTGCATGCTGTAAATGGAGCAAGATAGGACATGTCAAATCCAGAGGAGAATCTTCTGCACAGCTTCTAGGTAGAGCTTAATGCAGCCTAAAGTTTCAGCTGTGATTTGGGCCTCTGAGGAACAGGGTGCTTTGTGAATTACGGAGGTGACTAGTTGTCTTGAGCCATATCCTGGGGCCTGCTCTCTGCTTGGACTAAAACACACACAGAAACCAAGCTGTGGAAAAGGAAAAGAATCAGGTTGGAAGGGACATTGTCACCTACTAAAGCAAGAAGGTCCCATAGCCATGATTTACTCTTTCACCAGGGACAAGACTCAACACTAATGTTTTCTAGCGTGCCAACACCTGAAACATTAGAGTCCCCAGCTGCCAGTGGTGCATCGTTTTCTAATATGTGATACATATATGAAATAGGTCTATTTATTTGCAGAATGGTCACTTTCCTGCTCAGCTGAAAAAGACTGCGCAGAGCAGCTCAACGAATGTCAGTGGCAGGACAGTCCCTACCCCTAGTCTTAAAAGTCTCCGGGGCATGACACAAAAGGAAAAAAGGACTGGGATGGAGGAGGAAAAACCTAAGTTCATGTCTGTGTCTTAGGTACAAAGTTCTTGCAATGAGCAGCTGGAATGCAAAGAGTTCGAGGAGAGGAGGAACCAAAAGTTGCTGACCTTTGAGCTGGTGGAGAGGATCTGTAGTCCCCCTGCTCTTTCTTTCTTTCTTTCTCTCTCTCTCTCTCTCTCTCTCTCTCTCTCTCTTTCTCTCTGTCCTAGGATAGAATGTCTGGTGATAGTTGGCAGTTGAGAGGATCCTGTTGGAGCTGCTCTGTGAGATCTATCTTTGAAAGAGGGGGCATATTCACAGCAATAATTCCTTGGTGGAGGGCAGGTCCTCCAGAGCTAAGCGGCAACAACTTTCTCCTCAGGGCCTCCCCTGTCTAGTCACCCTCCTGTGTGTCTATGGAGAGGAACCTATGAGCATCCAGGTGTTACAAGACCTACCTGGAGGACCACAGGTTCACCATGCCTGCTCTATGGCATCTGCACTGCGGCAGAAGCTTCTCTTTGAGTGGCTGCAGCTTACACAAGATGGCGTCGCCTTAGGCTCTACGGTGTGTGACCTTGGGTTTGTGGTGTGTGTATCTGTGGAAGTGCAGTGTTCAAAATTCGCCAGGCGCATTTTGCACCCGGTTGTCGGCCACTTGCGACCAAGTGAAGGTGCCAGGATGGCACCTGACGTCTCCACCATCCGGAGGTGCGTCTCTGGAGATCCTTGGATCTTGACTGTTTTCACACGCTAGCAACACATCCTGTAGAATTCTACGTGTTATATTTTATCTGCGCAATTTCAGGAAACAAAAAGCCGTATTGAAAAATACGACCTTCGAACCGTCTGCCCCCAAAATAGGAACTAGGCATTCTGTTTTGGCTATTGCAACCCTGGTTTAAGGAACTGTTTGGTGCTCAGCTTATATATCTGAGTTTCTAACACTGGTAGCCACACTTACTTCATTACACCAGTATTTTCGACCTTGTGCAGCCCTGGTTTGTGGCCCTTGAGAGGTTACCACAGGGCAATCTGGCCCTTGGGCATAAAAGCTTTAGCTGCCTGTGCCATAGAAGAAACACTTCAGGCATAATACAGTGGTACCTCGGGTTGCATACGCTTCAGGTTACAGACGCTTCAGGTTACAGACTCTGCTAACCCAGAAATAGTGCTTCAGGTTAAGAACTTTGCTTCAGGACGAGAACAGAAATCGTGCTCCGGCGGCATGGCAGCAGCAGGAAGCCCCATTAGCTAAAGTGGTGCTTCAGGTTAAGAACAGTTTCAGGTTAAGAACGGACCTCCAGAACGAATTAAGTACTTAACCACTGTAAATGCCTCCCTTGCTGCCATGGAGATAACTTCCTGCTCCTCTCGCCATGTCAGTGGAAGAGTCCAAAATGTGCTGCCCTCAAACGGCACCCAAAGTTCACCACTTGAGACGGAGTCTTTGTGAGTCGGTTGGCCTCGAAAGCATCTAGCTCATGCTGGAAGACATTACACCCAGAAGCCTTAAGTTCCCTCCCACAAGAGCCCTTTCATGCTAGTCGCCCTATACTACGCTTCTGGGGTCATTGGATGGGCCCCGAACAAATGTAGTAGCCTGTCTCTTCAGTGCATCATGAGGGAGTTATTTAGCCAAATTGCCAGCTACGTGCAAGGCATCCAGGCTACGTCTTTGTTGCCGGGTGCCAGCGGCATTTTCTGCAGCCAGCTTCAGAAATGCTACCCAGTTCCTAGCCACCCATAAGCACAGACATCTGCCTCCCGGCTTATTAATGCTGTCCTGCCATTTCCAACGTCTTGCACAACATTCCCCCAACGTGGGAATCAGCGACTAAATAGCAGCTTTAAGTCTCGAGCAACTTAGCTAAATACACCCTTTACGGGGATCCTTTGTCAGCCTTTAATTATCACTCATTAAGAAAATTCCTCAGTTCTTCTGTTACTCAACTCCAAGCCATTAGTGCTGGTGTCCGTAAGGAACATGGGCTTTTGAACCACATCTGCCCCACGTTATACTACATTAAGTCAAACGAGGTTTAAATTGACTTAACATTCTTGGTTTCTCAAAAGGAACTCTGGGAATTATATGTTGTATTCAAGGGCTGAGAATTCTGCTTCAGTCACCAGCCCCATTGCGGAATGGAGTTTCTTTGAGAGGGAGACTTGGCGGTTTAAAAGGGGTAATTACTTTTTAATTAACCGTGATTTAGTTTGTTAAGGTTTTCACAATGGAAGACTGCAGTCCCTTGTTCTGCTTACCAACTTCCCTTCTTCCCAGCCTAGCCTGCTCTTGCGCATTGATGTGCAGAAATCCACCTCCAGTGCATGGAGACAGACATTGTCAGCAGCTAATGTCAGCTACAGTGACTGGTTGAAACTTTGACAATGCTGTGGACTTTTTGAGCTTCAGGTACCATCTCAAAACAGACATAAACCAGCAGCTGAGATCCACACACAGTGCCACACACAGTCATGAGAAGGGGAAGTCAGTAAGCTTTGTCTCCTCCCCACCCCAGTGTGCATGGAAGCATTTTGTGGCCATGCGTGCGGGAGCTTCTCTGAATTCTGCCCAGTGTTTGCTTGAAGAAACTTGCAGACTCGCATTCCAGAGGTCATTATGGCTTCCAGGTCTGTGAAGGCTACATGGCCACTTTCAGCTCCTGCAGATGTTGTTTCCGTAGGCAGGGCCTGGAAAAAAAACACAGAAACTTACAAAGAAGCAAAAAGTTCAAGAATTAAAGCCAACTCAGGTTTATCCTTGCCTGCTCTGTGAACTAGTAAATGGAGCATTCCTCTGCTATTATCACCCAAGCCTTCTTGTTCATCTCCATAACAGAATAACCTATGTCTGTGCATTGTTTTTTAAAAAGCATTTTTATTTGATTTTACAAATACAAGGTTATTAAAATCCAAATATAAAGCCATGTACAGAGATTCCTCTGAATCTCGTGACTCCCCACCCCCACCCCCTCCATGGGGTCCAATTTTGAACATTTACAACTGCATATTCTTCCATACTATTTTATATCAATCCATATTGTCCGTGATATTTATTAGACTACAAGTGAAATCAAAATCCTGCCAGTGTTTCCATCTGCTTACAGTGGTCTCCTAAATAACTTATACATTTTCCCATTGTTTTATAAAGGTTTTGTCCTCTTGGTTTCTGAGTTTTCCAGTCAGTTTTGCCATTTTGGCACAGTCCATCAGCTTGGTTTGCCATTCCTCTCTGGTAGGGACCTTGTCTTCTTTCCATCTCTGAGCTAGTAGCATCCGGGCGGCTGTTGTTCCATACATAAAAAGTCTTTTCTGCTCCTTTGGAATGCCGGTGCCTATAATTCATAATAAAAAAAAGCTTCTGGTTTCATGATGATATATAGTGTTTGTGCGTTTTATATCCCCTCATGCAATGCTCTGCACCTTGACTGAACCTTCTTCATTCTGATGGTCTGGCTAGCTTGGGTGAGTTTGGCATATAGATAGCCTACCTCTGGTTTTACCGCCATGCAACATCTCTCACTCCCAATTTCTATGGTGTTCAGAATTTCAAAATATTGCATGCCGGTGGTGGGGAATCTGTGGCTCTCCTGATATTGCCAAGCACCAATCCTGTCATTCCTGGTCATTAGCCATGTTGGCCGAGGCTCCCAACTCCAGCAACATCTATAGGACCAGAGCCTTCCCATCCCTGTCGTACTGTTTAGGAAACAAAGTGATCCCCATAAAGGCAGACAGTATTTCTAGGAACCAGAGCTGACTCTATAAAGTTACAGTGTCATTCTACTCAAGGCAACTGGCACATGTAGGTGCAAATTCTATTTTTTGCCGTTAAATGGGCACAAGGTATCCTGATCGCAATCTCCCCTTCTAACCTGTGTGTTTTGATCCTCTCCCTCGCCATCCGACATACTTGTTTGCATTTCACCCAAGCCTGTTCACGACATCCCTCAGGGGGGAAATTCCAACCCTGCCTTTTCATCCATTGCTGGACTCTTCTTTTCCTTGTCTTCCTTCACAAAAAGGCCTTTTATCGAGTCTGATTTGCTGGAAGCAGCTAAGCCTGACTGGAGTCCTCCCCACCCCACCCCGCCGCTTCATTTCTTTGGCCTGAGCTATTGCTGTTGGGCTCCGGTCCAGGGCTGACACAACGGCCTCTGAGAGGAAGCGAGGCCGGCTGACATCAGCTGAAAGCAGCGACTGGCTTGCCCTCAGCCTCCTCCTTCCTCTTCTGAGCGAGCAAATCTGTGAGAACGAGCTCCCAACTCTTGCTTCCTTGACTGGGCCAAAGCCCCAGTCAGAAAAGGGAGCTGGGCTACAGGGCTAATCTGATTTCTGGTGGGGGAAAGGGCAAAGATGTTACAAATCACCCGACAGAAACTTTGCTGGGAAAAACAGCCATCCGAAAGATGGCGTCCTGTGGTACCTCAGAAGGCGACGAGCTTCTTGTGGCATTAATAGACAACGGCTTATTTCAACACACATGTTTATTCGGATTTTTAAAAATCCACATTCACCCACTCGCAGAACTTCCACTGTGAGGGTCACAGTTTGCTAAACTTTTAACTTGTTTTTTAAACTGTCTGACATGGCTGTGGGGATGATTCAGTCCCACCACAAGTCCAGCAGATGAAGATTCCTGTTTCTCTCTCATTTGTCTTGCACAGAGAAGGAGAGTAGGATGGGGACATGGGGAGCTCCTGCAGCCTCCCCACCTGCCACCATAGCGATCTGTCATGCTGCCTTGATGAGTGGAGGGGAAGGAAAGAGAAACTGTTGAGCCTCTGCACCTGTGGCAGAGTTGGATCATGCCTCAAATATTTGCTTAGAGTGAAGAAACGTTGCTAAGGGGGCATGCGGGCAGTTCCAAAGAGGGCTACATACTTCACAAATGGAGCCAGTGTCTTGAAGAATTGAGGACCATGGGGAGGTGTCAGCAAATGCAGCGTTTTCCCTCATGGCACTGCAGGGATGGGAGAAGCACCGTTCTGCACCATTCAGAAGTTGCTAATGTGCAACGGCACCTGTCAGCAGCATTCAGTCTTTCCAGACCCATAAAGTACTGATATAATCCCTATCTGCGACTTGTGACACAGATTTAATTCTGTGGGTTAGATGTGTGTGTGTGTTTTGCCTCTACCAGCCCTAAGCCTATTTCTTATCCCCCCCCTTTCCCCCTTCCTTTTGCTCACCTCTCTCTCTGCCTTTGTCTTCAGCATATACTTGTAGCACTGCTGATTTGGAGGAGAAACACAAACACATTAGGCTAGCAACTCATCCACAAGAAAGCTCCATGATCCCATTGGTGGAGCGTGTGTGTTTTCCATTGGTGGCGCATATATATATTCTCGAGTCATCAGATGTCTCTTTTTACTCAAGAGTCACCCAGACCTATAGATTACTTTTTGCCCTAGCGTCACAGGGCCACAAAGAACAGTGTAATGGGCAACCTGATCACAGAAATCCTGTCAATATTCATTTCTCAGGAAGTGTTTATAGGACCACAGCTCTGACCTGCAACTGTATTCATGCTTTCCTGAGAGTAAGTCCCATTGAGCTTAGCGAGGCTTACTTCTGAGCAAACATGTGTAGGATTGCACTGGTTTTGTCCCTTCCTCTTTAATTCTTTTATTCCTAAAGCGCCATTTGTTAATCACTGCCATCCACTTTGTGGCTCAATCCCAAACTTTTTGGCTTAAAACTTATAGCCTGGTGAGTTCAGTAAGACCTATGTCCCAGTCAGCATGCTGGTAGATGGGGCATATTATTTGTACCTACAACCCCCCCAAGTCCATATTCCAGCCTGTTAGCCTAAAACCATTATATATAAAGAGAAAAGCATTTTGTTGACTCTTGGAACAGGAAAGCTCAATCGTTTTTCATCTCCCTTTTCAGACGTGATCCAATCATCCTTATCCTCACACTGCTGTCCTATGCACAGAATAGTCTCAGTTAGTACATTGGGGCTTATTCCTATATAATCGTACATAGGATTTCAGCTTCAATTTCTCTTTTCTCACTGCTGCCCATCCCTGACTGACAGTCAAGTGCAATTCCGTGGATATCTATTTAGAAAGGCCCCATTCAGTTCAGTACAGTTTATCCCCAGGTAATTCGGTACAATGTAGATCTCTCTTTTCTTCTCTCTCTGGGACTGCCCTTCTCCTGGTTCCAGCTGCCTCTTTGACAGATGCAACCCACATTGTGAGCAAGAACACAGACAATACACAATTTTCCACACCCTGCCTCTGTAGTGGCCCCTGCCAGCATAGGATTCTGGGGATATTTTGTTGAGTCCCCTCCTCCTAGGCCCTGCGGTTTTGGCTGCATCTCAAAACCCCTTTTGTCTCGTTCTGGCTCTAACGTCCTGCCAGCTGTAGCTGGCCAAGGGGCTGCTGGGTGAGCACAGAGAGGATGCCAGGGTGAGCGATGACAACACTCAGGAAGTTAGGAGTGGTGGAATTCCTTGCTGTTGCTAACAGAGACGTGGGTTTTCCCCAGGGCCTTTTGCAACACCGAGGATCTTTATGTACAGAGGGCATGTACTCATGCAGGAATCACATACCCACCCACTCACATGCTCTCCCTATTGCAAAGCACTTTGAGAAGGAGTTACAGGGGCCTAACAGAAGAGAAGAAGAGGGTGAAGAAGGGATCTCTGGGTTTACCGTAATTCCCACTTCTGGAAAGGGAGTGATGTTTTGTGGGCTAGAACAGAATAGGACAAAAATAAGTGCCACCATGATCAGAAGAAAGAAAAAGCCCGGGCAGCTCTTGCATCTTTCAGAGCAACTTTATGTGCATAAATTAGCACAGGCATGGGAAACCTCTGGTCCACTGGCCAAATTAGGACCCGCCCAAAGTGGCCCGCAGGGTGTTGGAGGAGCTCAGGATCCAGTCTGCTGGCTGGATCCTGAAATGAAGCCTTGCAGAGCGTGATGGTGGCATATATTGCTGCCGACCAATTATGTCCAGCTATATGGGCCAGTTCAGAAGCTGGCAACCTTAATTCTATCACCAGATCTGGACAAAAAATAGTAGTTAACGCAGGGGAAATGGCTAGACTTCCTGTCTTCTGCCAAGAGGCTGATGAGGGAATTGGCAGTGTCCTGAGTCCTGTGGCATCTTAGAAAGTTTTCTGGGCATTTGACAGAGAAAAAAACCCCTAGCAATTCTTGGTTTATTGGTTTCCGGCTTTGTGACGAGTCAATGGTGGAGGTTCAGGCAGGGGAAAGCCAGGATTTATGAGGCAAAAATCTTGGCAGTGTTCCCCAGTGGGCTCTGGGGAGCTCACGCCAACCTGAAAGGCAGAGCGGGTGCGACCTAGGAGTGTGTCCCTGCCATGGATGAGCCTCCATCTCCAGCATGGTTTGTGCTTGGTTTCTCCGTAATTCGGACAATTGGTATTAATCAAGAGGTGCTCCTGGATTGACATGTGCCAAAGGGCTGCAATCTATCAGCTGCCAAAAGGATTGGGCTTGGCTCTTTGGAGTTTATTGTGGCTTTATTTTGCTAATTCGTTAGTTGCCTAATACAGGGCAGTCTCTAAGGAGACTTACGATCAAGCATAAAATACATACAAAATAGTTAAAAATAACCATCAACAATTAATGAACATCAAAATTAAATCAATACTTTAAAAAAACACACAAAAACTCCAGCCTCCGCAGGAAACAAGGAAACAGAAATACTTTCAGCAACTGGCACAAACTAATCCAAATGATGAACTAGGCTCTTGCCCAGGAAAGCTCATACTACAATAAATGTTGTAGCCTTTAAGATGCAAGAGGGTTCATTGATGTATTTGCTGCAAGAGTCTAATAGGCTTCTTAGCCCCTCTTAGCTTTTCAGTGTTTCCAAATTAGGTTATAATAAAGATGAGTGGCCTGGAGAAATAGAGTGAGGCACTTAATACCACATGTACAAGATTACGTTTTGTGTTTAATCCAGAGCTATCACCAGGGTGACCAGCTGCAAGAAAGGACAGGGTTCCTGTACCTTTCATAGCTGTGTCAATTTCCCTCTTCCATTTAGCTACTAAAGGCACAGGAGCCCTGCCCTTTTCAGTATCTGGCAACACCAGGTTCAGTAGTCAATTAATACAGATTATAATCCTCACTTTTACCCAAAGGCAGGTGAGAAAAGGGTGGGAACGGCCCACCCTTTCTCTGTTTAAAAGAGCATTAACGGGTAACTAATACACACTGGATGATCTGTTGGGCACACCCTTAAGAGTAATAATTTCTACTATGAAATAAGCAGAGAAAAGTGACAGCAGCAGCACAGAACTACAGGCCTAACAAAACAGTGAGAGAGTGACAAAAGGAAATGTCTCTACCAAAGAATTGGTAGGTGTCACGATTGCCAGATGTGGTGATGGTGACTAGCTTAGGTGGCTTTCGTTTTTATTTTCAAACGGCTGTTAAGCAAATTCATGTTGGATGAATCCCTCAATGGCTATTCGTTGTGGTAATTAAATAGACCCCCCATATTACAGAGGCAGTATACCCAGAGGAATTTTGAACGAAATGGCTCTCCTTGTACAACAAGATGGCGGGGAGCCTGTGGCCCTCTGGATATTGTTGGACTCTGTTAAAAAGAATAGCTAAGGGGGCTCTCAAAAAAGGTAATGAGAGTGGGGCAGAACCCCTCTTCCCTCCCTGTAATTCAGTCCCCGAACATAGCTGGTTTTGGATGGGCAGCCTGAGGGCCAGACCAGCGGTGACTTTCGCTTATGTGGGTTGGTCTTAACATGGCTGATTTCCTAGTTTTTCAACAAATAGGTGTGGGTGGGCCTGAGGCCAATAAGGGACCATTTCCACACACCACAGGCCTGATCCGGGCAGGAAACCTCAAATCGGCTATTTATTTTGTTTTGGTTTTTTTAATCAGTCACAAACGGCCAGACTCTCTGCATAGTTTGATCCTCAGTAAACAAAGCAGCACAAGCCTGGAAATTATGGGGGGGGGGGGGAGGAATAAGGGTCCTTTATGAAATCCACAAACCCCACCTCCCTGTTCCTCCCAGATTCAGCCAAATCATGTCCCCCTGCAGCCTTCGAAGGCAGGAGAAAACAGGGATTTTCAAAAAAGTTGGCCTTTGTGTAGTTCAAGAAGTAAGTTTTTCAGCATCTGCCGTTTGCACTTTTTGAGGAGACCTCCCTGAGAATCTGTCTGTGGCAGATGATACACATGAGGCACCGAGGACATTTTTGCGTATGCAACTGGCAGAAGGTCCAGGGAGGCATCATGGAAGATTAAATACAGAGGGGAGCAGGAGTGGGAGCAGCAGACCAGGGCTCCTCCTGGCAGAAGCCGCCCGCTGTGTTTTTCCAAAGGAAGTCATTAAAAATATACTGAAGTCAGTGTTTATGAAGTTGCCACAGTTACCATGGAAGGCCCCTTTTACCTCCTCACTTCTTTGCGGCAGATGCCCTTAAGAAACCTCCCACCCAAGCCCTGTCGCTTTTTGGCACACACTCAACCCATCCCCTCTGCAGTTGCCTCAGGCCATCGCTGAGAAACATTCCTGGCATTGCGTTGAACTTGATTCCACTGGTTTCAGCTCAGCGCTTCCTAAAGGATGCTTGTGCTAAGGAAGCACTGGTGGAGTTATTGGGAGTGGCACCGCTGAGAGTCGAGAGCGATATGCAGGGGTGTCTGTTGCTGGGATTATGGAGACAGAACAGTAACATCCAAGACCAGGGCTGGCTCCATGATTAAGTAGAGTGGCAGCTCATTTGGAGTGTCTCGAAGGGGCAGCAAACTGTGAATTTATTATTGTTGGATCTTCACTGTCAGGGAGTGTTGGTGCTTGGGGGATTCTCCTCTTCAAATGCCAAAGGCTGGAGAACGGTAGATACTTACATGGGAGATATGTCCCAGTGAACCCAGCTGGGCTTGCTTCCGAGTAAATAGGAATAGGATTGGACTGAAATTAACTGGGGCATTATGCGCCTTGACTTGTGTGGTTTCGGGTGACACCATTTTCCTGTTCTGTTCTTTATGTGGCAAAATTCCACAGGCAGGCCCTAACAATGGCTGAATTGCATTACCCTTGCTTCTCCACCATGAGGGTGGGGTGGATGTTTATTGTATCTCTCCCCCCTTTTACTATTATTATAGTCTTAATAATTTTGTGTTGCAAACCACTCTTGATGAAGGGCGATATATAAATCTAATAAATATATAATAATTCTGGTTTGTGACAGCTTGGGTTCTGCCATTTTGTCTACAGTGGTACCTCAGGTTAAGTACTTAATTCGTTCCGGAGGTCTGTTCTTAACCTGAAACTGTTCTTAACCTGAAGCACCACTTTAGCTAATGGGACCTCCCGCTGCTGCTGCTGCTGCTGCTGCTGCTCCACCGCCGGAGCACGATTTCTGTTCTCATCTTGAAGCAAAGTTCTTAACCTGAAGCACTATTTCTGGGTTAGTGGAGTCTGTAACCTGAAGCGTATGTAACCCGAGGTACCACTATATTTCACTTTTAGAGCCACAGTTGCTGCTGCAGGCAACAGGGGTCCCTTGGATCTGTGTTGCCAGCTTTTGTCGCAGCCTTGCTCCTGTGTCACTGAGAGCAGCGTAACACATCGATGTTATGCAAGTGACACTTTCTCCCCCACACCCACTGTAGCCATGCAGCACAATTCTGAGCATGTTTACTCAGAATTACTCACAGGTAAGTGTGCATAGGACTGTGGCCAGCAGAACTGTACTGGACCAGATGAAGGGATGGGGAACCCATGGCCCTCCAGAAGTTGATTGGGATAAATGGGAGTTGCTGCCCAACATCTGAAAGGCCGCAGCTTCCCCATCCAGCATCCTGAAGTAGCCAGTACTATTTCCCTCAAGGAAGTGCACAAACAGGGAATGAATGCAACAGCTCTCCCATGGTGTTGCCCCCGCCCCCCGCCAGCCAGCCACTGGAATCCAGTGGGCATGCAGGCTCTAAACACAGAGGCTCCATTTAGACAACTTGGCTAATAGGCTGCTGATAGAGTTATTCTTCCCCACCCCTCGGAATGTGTCTAATCCCCTTTTAAAGCCATCTAAGCCTGAGGCCATCACCATACAGTCCGACAGCGAATTCCATAGATTAACTGTGCATTGCATGCAGCGGCTGGGGGCGCGCGGGGGGGGGGAATCCTTTCTTTTGCCTGGCAGTAGACTGTGGGAATATTATGGGAGTTAGGGACAGAATGTCCTCTCTATTCGACTTTCTCTGCAACAGGCCTGGGGAAGCCATGGTCCTCTATAGTCTAGAGCGGGCATAGGCAACCTCGGCCCTCCAGATGTTTTGAGACTACACTTCCCATCATCCGTGACCACTAGTCCTGTTACCTAGGGATGATGGGAGTTGTAGTCTCAAAGCATCTGGAGGGCCAGGTTTGCCTATGCCTGGTCTAGAGGCTCTTAGGCTTCAACTCCCCATCAGGCCCAGCCACCCTGGCCAGTAATCAGGGGTGCATGGGAGGGCCACAGCTTCCCCACCCCCCTGCGCTACATTCTGCATATTTTTTTTAATAAAGCTCTGTCACGTAGAGCATGAGACGTTTAATCTCAGGGGCTCATGTTGGGCAAAAAAAATTCCTGCATTGCAAGGGTTGGACTAGATTCTCCGTCCCCACCCTACAGTTGGATTCTCCGCCCTAAACTAAAAAGCCCCCAGTGCGTCAACTTTTCCTTGATCGTTCATCCAATCCCTTGGATCGTTTTGGTGGTTCTTTTCTTCTCTTCATTAATAAATGTGTTTTATTCATTTTGCATCCGATGATAGACAACAGTAAAGAGGACAACAATGAGTAGTATCAGACCCTAAACCTTCTGAACATGTGGCGGTTCTGTGTTAACAGAGAATTCTTAATTTCCAGAGGGCTTTGCAATATTTACTTGTGTTTTCCCTCAGGACATCTCTTTAGAGGTAGGTCACTGTTATTCCCCAATTAGGCGATGGAAGAAGCAAGGCTGAGGAATAGCACTTAAGAGTCTACGGCAGAGACACAAAGTCTTGTAGAAGGGTCAGAGTTCAGTTCTCAATCTGTTTGTGACAGCGTTGTCTCTCCAGATGCATTTGACCCTCTCAGCGTCTCTTGTTTTTCTTGGTTCTCTCCTAGAACTACCTGGAGATGTCAGGGAACGAATCTGGGACATAAAGCTTGCAGAGCAGAAGCCCTTTGCCAGTTAGGCCAGACTTTTTATTTGTTCCATGGCAGATGAGGCAAAGGAGTGAGAAGCAAAGGAGCCAAGAGAGAAAACTGAGGTGGGAGGAGCTACAGCAGCAGCATTTGGCAACCCTTTTGCAGGGTGGCATTACATTCACTAGTATCATAGTGTCTGGGTGACTCTGAGGTCATCCAGTCCATCCCCTGCAATGCAGGAATCTTATCTTAAGCACAGAGCCTTACGTTTACATCTGGCTGGTTGCTCCTTTCCAGACATACCGTCTTGCAGCCCATTGCATACAACCAAATGTGGTAGGGGCTGCTGTTTCTAGAGCTTGACTGGCTGTGGTTTCCGGCTTCCGTCATCCCCTTTGATGCCCTCTAGAAAAAAATTTCTGGTAAAGATTGCCCAACCTCACCTTCTGGGTAGCCACCACTCTTGCTGCTGTTTTGGCAGGTTGCCTTATCTCGTCACAGAGCCTGCTAGGGCTGAGCATGCACAATTGCGCAAAGCGTGATGAAGAAAAATGGAAACAGCTGCAATTTTTTGAGGGAGGGGGAAAGAGAACTGCACAATTGCACATTCCGGGTCGGTTCCACCCATTTGTTTCCTGTGTTATTTCTCCTTGTGACAAATTGCCGAAACTGAATCGTCCAATCGCACAATTGTTTCTGAACCACTGTACGTGGACAAGTTTGACATGCCTTAAAGTTAAGATTTCAGTATTACAGGTTCATGGAGGATGGGTCTCTCAGCTGCTATAAGTCGTACAAACTATGCCTCCATGTTCAGAGTACCTCTGAATAATAATCAATCAGTCATAAGCACACACAGGCCTGGTTCTCACATAACACTAAACCATGGTTTATTAAACTAGTTTCTTAAACCATGGCTTAGCGCTATGTGAAAACCAGCTCAGCAGCTTACCTGTGGTTTATTAACTATAGTAAAAGGTTGCTCATTAACCAAGGTTTGTACTTGGTTTATAAACCTTACTTAATGTTAACCATAGCTTAGCATTATGTGCAAGTCCAGACCTTAACTATGGTTAAGGAAGTGTCACTGCCCCAAAGCTGAGAGTGAAGAGCAGTTCTTCCTGGCTTGTGTGTCCTTTAGTGGGGGGAAAGGGGGAGGAATGTAAGAAACCAAAGTTTAAATTATTGTCTCCCAGATGCCTCAGTTTTACCTATGGCTTGCTGTTACATGCAAACCGTGCCACAGACACATTTAATTATTTAATTATTGAGAATAAAACACCCATCAGCAAAAATCCACCCCATAAAAGGACAAAACAGAGGGTCAGTTAAACAGGGCTTTACATATACTAGAATAACACCATTTACACCTGGCATCTAAATGCGGTAAGGAAGGAAGCCTCCTACTACATACTCAGGGGTGAGGAATTCCCAAAGGGGACGCCACTACCAAGAAATCCCACTTTTCCAGCTGCTATACCTCAACCAGCAATAAGATGCAGCCTCATCCAGGAAGTCAGTCCTTAATGAGGCTTGGAATGCCTCCATGGAGGCTTAGAAAAAAGCTAGAAAATAGTTACAGCAGGGATGGGGAGCTGGTGGTCCTCCAGACATTGTTGCGCTACAGCTCCCATCATCCCTGACCGTCCTCCATGCTGCCTGGGGCTGATGGAAGATGGAGTCCAACAATACCTGGAGAGCAGCAGGTTCCCCATCCCAGGATTGCAATATCTCAGTTTCTCATTCTGGTATCATAGCAAGCTGGTGAGGTGGGCCTGTTCTGAGAGATAGTGGCTTGCTCAAAGCCCACTCATAGCAGACCGACTGCATCTTCTCACCATCTATTTCTTCACTGTTTGAAGTCACTTCCGCCTCGCCAACCCCAGCCGGCATCACAGTTCTTCCGAAAACAGGAAGCAGTGAATGTGTGGGGCGGAAACCAGAGGCGGCAAGAGGCCTTTGCCGTGCACCGAGTGCACCCTGGCTAGCTCCACTCAGGAAGTGGGTTGTTGCACTTACTAAAGATGGAAAGCAGGCAGGCACGAGGCAGGCATGGGGAGGAGGCTGGAGGCTATGAACAGGCCAGAGGTTTGTCTATGGTTCCTGGCTATGCTCAGTGAATTCTGAACAGATTGTAGGATCGGATGTAAAACCCAGGCTCCCCTCCTCTTAAAAACATTTCTCTGGTGGGGGAAATAATCCAGGCAGTATATCTGTGCCAAAATCTTCCTTGTTCAAGAAATGCAGCTGCAATTTCTCCACCCTGACTACCAATTTTAACTTCTTCTCACGGTTTCCGGTCACAGTCGTTCACGTGCACTAGAGCTGCTTTTGCTTCTGAGCGTGCTTTTGGAACCCCTGCCAGGGCAGAGAGTCGTGGTTTGGGATGGGGTGTTGTGCTAGCTGCGATAACCTGTGTGCTGTGCTGTGTTGTAAAGGCGATTAAAACCAGCCGTAGATAGAAAGAAAACACATGTAAGATGTCTGGTACAGACCTGCCTAAACTAGCCCTGCCATATGTCTGGATATTCTCAAACATTACCAGGATTTCAAAGGTGGAAGTCCGGAAGGTGGGCCTTTAAAAAAAGAAAGCTCAACAGGGTGTCCTGGCTTTTATTTTTTAAAATGCTACCTAAACAGAATTGTTTTAAGCATGTGCCAAAAGCAGTATGGTGAAGGCACCTGCAGTGAGTTCCAAAGATTGTGCGCTGCGACACTAAAATACTGATTTCTTGCAAGTATTGTGTTGCACTGTAACGGTGGCAGTTCCACAGGTGAAAGTGCTTGATAAGGCATATATAAAGCAAGGTGATCCTGTAAAATATTACGGTTGTGGGTTTGAGCCCCATATTGGGCAAAAGATTCCCCGCATTGCGGGAGGTTGGACAAAATTATCCTTGAGGGTCCCTTCCAACTATGATTCAATAGTAGCACCTTGAACTGGGCCCAGTAGCAAATCGGCGACCGGGGCAGATCTCTGAGCAGTGGTGGCAGATGCTGACAAGCTCTCACTCCTGACAGCAACTGTTCTGCAGCATTCTACGCTAACTACAACTTTCCGATGAAGTGCAAGGGAAGCTCCACATGGAGTGCCTTGCAGTAATACAGTGGAGCCTCGCAAGACGAAATTAATTCGTTCCGCGAGATTTGTCGTCTTGCGATTTTTTCCATCTTGCGAAGCACGGTGTCGGGAAAGTTTTGGAAAAGCTTCAAAAATCACCAAAGTCTTTAAAAACCTCAAAAAAGGCTACCACACCGCGTTCTATGAGTTGCTCCTCGAAGTCAAGTCGCAACTGTATTAACGGTGTTAAGAAAAAGGAAACAAACTTGCAAGACGTTTCCATCTTGCGAAGCAAGCCCATAGGGAAAATCGTCTTGCGAAGCAGCTCAAAAAACAAAAAACCCTTTCGTCTAGCGAGTTTTTTGTCTTGCGAGGCATTCGTCTTGCCAGGTACCACTGTACAATCTCCAAGTCACCAGCGTCTGAACTGCTTTCACGCTTTTCATGAAAGTCACGAATATGTACAATGTTGGGGGGGGGGGGGCAAAGGGTGTTTAAGGAGATAACAGAAATCACTGGGTTAAAGCTGACCGAAAGTCCAGAGGTAGCATTGTTATCAATTTACGATGGGGTAGAAGGTTCGCAGGGGACGCGGGTGGCGCTGTGGGTTAAACCACAGAGCCTAGGGCTTGCCGATCAGAAGGTCGGTGGTTCGAATCCCTGCGACGGGGTGAGCTCCCATTGTTCAGTCCCTGCTCCTGGCAACCTAGCAGTTCAAAATCACGAAGTGCAAGTAGATAAATAGGTACCGCTCCAGCGGGAAGGTAAACGGCATTTCCATGCGCTGCTCTGGTTCGCCAGAAGCGGCTTAGTCATGCTGGCCACATGACCCGGAAGCTGTACGCCGGCTCCCTCGGCCAGTAAAGCGAGATGAGCGCCGCAACCCCAGAGTCGTCCGCGACTGGACCTAACGGTCAGGGGTCCCTTTACCCTTTACCTTTAGAAGGTTTGCAGGCTATGAAGGACTTGCTCACAAATTTATTGACAGCTGCACGAATTATGATAGCTAGGAAGTGGAAGGGGCAAGCAGAATATAAAATGGAAGAATAGTATAAAGAGGTATGGGATATAGCTAATAATGATAAATTAGCATGTGCCATTAATGTAAGATGGGGAATATGCAGGAGAATGATTTTGAGGAGATATAGAGGGTTGTTTGCAGAAATTGTACTGTTAAAACGGAAATGGGTCAAACCATTGCTAGAGGTGTTGAAATTTTGGGAGGTTGGATATTTACAATGGAATGGCCTCAGTGGTGGGGTGCACATTTTTATTCTTATTCGTTTATGATTATTACTTTCTCAAAATTATAAAGAAAAATTTTATAAAAGGAAAGAAATAAATTCAGGAAAAGGAAAAGTCACAAATGTGCTTCCTCCCCCTCTTTCACCCTTGCAAGGTAGGTTTGGCCAAGAGGTTGTCACCGGCTAATCTGTGGCCCTTCAGACATTGGATTCCAACTCCCATCAGCTCAGAGAGATTTCTGCCTGAAGAGCTGCTGAGCTCTGTAGACCAAATGTTCTGACTTGGTATACGGCAGCAGTCACAGGGTGTTTGTTACACGCATGCAGTTTCGGTTCAAATCATTAACGGTTGAGCTTGCAGGTGATTCTCTTATTTTAAGGCACTTCCTCCAGAACCGCAGAGGTCTTTGTTGTAGGCCACTTCGCTTCTGCTTGCAGCAGTCTTATCGGTTGGGATAAATGTGGGTTAATCTGCAGGGAATTAATGTGGGTTAGAGATAAGAAGATCCTGTCTCGGCAGGGTAGAGGGCAGGATTAGAGCCAGTAAATCCTAAATGGTACACCACAGCACGCTGGTGTCCCAGAAGAGTACTGCTATGAGAAATAAACTAATGACATAATTAAAAGTTCCTGTGAGCCCAGAGGATTTACCGGTAAAGGAGGTAGCCTGTTGTATCTCTTTGTGTTACATCGTTCTCTGCCCTGCGTGGGAGGCAGGAAATTATTTCCAGCACTGGATGCCAGCGTCACTCCTAATTAGTTGACATCCGTCCGTCTTAGGAGACAATGGAGTGCACCTTGCGGGGTGAGATCAAGCTGTTGAGCGGTTGCAGCGCCTGCTGTGGCTGTAGATGCGGGAGAGACATGTTTTGTTGCAGCTGGGGCAGATGAAGGCGGCCAGTTGTGCTGCTGCAGATGCACTCCTAATAAAGCAACAAAAGAACTACTCATTCTTAGAGGAGGCTGCCTGTTCATCTCTACATGAGTCATGGACTGGGGTTGCAGGGTCTGGAGTAGGGATTGCCCTTTCCTTACCACCTTCTTGGTACGAGAGTATTTTCCTGTTTTAATCCAGAGGAGGTGGCTGGAGGGCAAGGTGGGGTTGTGGAGAAGAAATGTGACTCATCTACCAGTCTGGAAGTGTTTCTGGTCGTATTTGTGCCTAAGATAACCTTTCATATGAGATCATAATAAAGCAAAACCCGGTAGTAGGGTTGCATGCTCTGCACATCTTGAGAAAGCTGATGGTTCCTTTTAACCTGCTTATTCCTGTACATAAGAGGATTCCACACTCGTAAAATGAGTTTGCTACCCATTTCTTGCATATAGGAGTTCGTAGAATGGGCCCTCCGCCCCACACAATAGCATTCATGTGTTGTAGCTGCCTATCCTTTCTTCCCCAGCTAATAGCAGCTTTTAGGGATGGGGAATTAAGATCAGAACAAGGACTAGAGGAGTAGATGTTGAGCAAGGGCTCAACCCCCAGCGTCTCCAGGCCGGACTGGGCGAGAACCTACTCTGAAATCTTGGAAAGCCCCTGCCAGCCAGTGTAAGACAGTACTGAACTAGATGAACCAATGATCTGACTAAGTAGAAGACAGCTTCCTACGTTCAGGCCTCTCCCATAGGCAAATTCCCCGATCTTCAAAGCCGCCGTACGGAGGTGGCAATTAAAAAAAAGAAGCCCAACAGTAATTGCAAGATATCCTAATCCTAGATCTCTCGTGCCACTTCCAGACTGGCAAGAAGTATCCTGGCTCACCAGTCGAGACAACCTGCTTTGCATGCAGACGATATCAGATTCATTCCCTGGTATCTCCAGTTAAATGGCTCGGGCAGCAGGTAACAGGAGAGACATTTAACCAAGACCTTGCCAGTCAGAGCAGACAATATTGAGTTACAGGAACTAATAGTTTGACCCCAATATAAGGCGACCTCCCGTGTTTGGTCCTCAGTGAAGGTGCAAGAAAAATATCTCCTTTCCTGCTCTGCTTCCTGTTGTGAAATTTACGCTCTCTCTGACGGCATCATTACAAAGCACAACTGGGTTTATTTAATAATTTTTTTAAGGGGTGTGTCATCAGAGCAGCAGCACACAAGGTTGAATTCTTCCTTCCCCTTGCAATTAAAAGCTCCTATAGGTGTGAAAGGGGGGGGCTGATTTTCATCAAGATTGCAGCTGGGGACGGGCGGATTATATCTCCTCGTGCATTGCCTTCTCTGAAAAAATGGCGTACACTCCTTACCTTTTGTTAGATAAACAAAACGAAAACTTCTACTTGTTGTTTTTTTAGTTCATGTCTCTCGTATCAAGTGTAGTTTGGCCCTGAGGGGGACGGTCTCAGTACTCTGGGAAGAAGAAAGAGCAGGCCTTGTTCGTGTACTGCTGCAAACCGCTCTTTAAAGAGAAGTCCATTTTCCTCACTTGACTTACTTCTGGTGTACAGGAGTTGCAGAGCATTCAGGACTTAAATGGGTACTTGTTAAAGCAGAAGTTAACTGTGTGGATGTGGCTGAGATCAGAGTCTGAGCTAGTTAAGCTTTAAATGCCCGTTAACCGCTCTTCTGTACTTGCAGTCAGAGTGGATTTTCGTGCTTGCAGTGAAGTGGTTGCTCATTGGGCGGGCCTGAAACAGTCGCCGTTTCTCAATCTATATATAAGCCAAAGAGACATTTCTTTCCCAGCCTGCATTGATTGGTGCAGAGAACAAGGTTGTAGCCTTGTGTATGTTAGTCTTGTGGTGGGCTTAAACCAGAGACGCCTGCCTTCAAATGTTTCCACAAAGCTCACTGGGTGACTGTGGGCTTTTCATCATTCTCATAGCCTGATCTCCCCTGCAGGGTCGCTGTGAAGATAAAGGATGGCACGTGAGACACTCTAAGCTCCTCAGGAAAAGGGTGCGAAAGATCTATGGAGTACAATCCCGTTTCTTTACTCCCCTACTCCGGAAAGCCTCACATCCTCAAAGGCAAGCCGACTTAGACCCCATCTGCACTGTATACTTAAAGCAGTATCATACCACTTTAAAAAGTCATGGCTCCAGCTGCCCCGCCCCCCCCCAAATGAGCTAAAATTCCAAAAGTTCCCTGGGAAGAGGAATTGGTTGTTAAATCACTCTGGGAATTGTAGCTTTGAGAGGGAAATGGGGTCCGCTAACTACTCTCAGCACCTTTAACCAGCAGCAAGGTTCTTTGGGGAAGCCATGACAGTTTAAAGCTGCATGATACTGCTTTAAGTGTGTAGTGCAGGTGAGCCCTTGGGGAGAGATGGGGATTTATAGCTAAGGCTGTAGGCAGAAATGTGTTTGTTGCAGGCACCCCACTGCTTCCGCATAGCGTTTCCTGTTTAAAAGGAGCCACCTAAGAGCACCTGCCTGGATATATATATATATATACACACACACACACACACACACACACACACACACGTGTAGCGTTTTGTGGAAGAGCTTTAGCGTCAGACCTGGGTGAAGCTAAATTGTGCTGGACAACAAAGGTGGCATTAAAATGGAACTGCAGATGAAAGAGTTCACCTCTGCCTATGCTGCTGTTCTTTGTTAAGAATATCCTGGCTGGAGAGGTAGAGCTACAGCGTGACCTGCCTGCTTTTCAGACTGGACATGTTGCCCCACTCCTCCTCACCCCAAAATGAAGCCCCTTTTCTCTGACAGCCCCTTTACGCCTACGATGGTCAGGGCTCCAGGAGAGATAAAAGCTCCAATGGGATACATCCCATCGGCGAGGGATGCACAACCTGCGGTCTTGCACATGTGAAACTCTAGCTCCCATCAACCCCAGACAGTATGGCCAATGGCCAGGGGTTAATATGCAGAAGGATATTAAGTTTGCAAATTGAGATAAAGAGAAATGAAACAGGAAAAAAGAATTGGCATGGCAGTGAATATCCATTCCAAATAGAAATATGATGCTTAGAAGCACCCCACTCCAGAAAAAAAAACCCACAGACTAAACACTTAAGACACACCTCAGAACAAAACACAGATAAAAGATCAGCATCCCTCCCCCAAACCCCTCTTTAAACATTGGGAGGGACAGGGGGCCTGAGCAGGCAACAAGAGAGGTGTCTGAGAGTGCTGTTAGGGCTGCCATATGTCCGGGTTTTCTCGGACACATATGGGAATCGGGCTGCAGAAATGGCGTCCGGGTGGATTTTTGCTGAATTGGTAAAATGTCTGGGAAAATCTGGACATATGGGGGGGGGGAGATGTTCCCCCCAAAAGCTCAACAGCTTTGACCCCCCCCCCCAAAATGGCAATCCTAGCCTATGGGTGTCATGATGGAGGACCTCAGATCTAAAGAATCATAGCATTATAGCTATCACGCCCATCTCTCTCGTAACAATCCTGTAAATGGGGCAGATTAGGGTTCAATCAATGAATGACTTGATGTTCAAAAGCTGCAGGAAGGAAAGCAAACCGCAATCTCATCCCTTTGGGACTGGGATCCAACTGCATACCTGAGTCTTCTAGTGCCAGTGGGTTGCTCTCCAGATGTTGGACTACAGCTCCCATCAGGCTTGACCATTGGCTGTGCTGACCAGAGCTGATTGGAGATGCAGTTAAACACGTTGGCAGCCCCTGTTCTAGTGTGCAGTAGCAGGAGAGGCAAGTCAGCCGAAAGGGGGGGGAAAGGTGCCTTCTTCTTTCTTAGGCAGAGGTTGGATGGCCATCTGTCATAGATGCTTAAGTTGAGATTCCTGCTTCGAAGGGGTTGGACTAGATGACCTTTGGGTCCCTTCCAGCTCTATGATTCTTGAACCCTTCTTCCATCCAATCCCAATAGATATAAACAGCACTCCAAGGCTCATGTTGCAGGCTGGCTGGAGCCCTGAACAAGAGCACTCCTGGTGGTTGGGGAATTGCTGCAACATTTTTTGGTTGGTGTTTCAGCTCCTTTATGTTTGAACTGGCCTGCTAAATTAAACCCATCATTCATTCATTCACACCTTTCATGCTGCCTGGAGGTCTGCTTTGTGATGATACTGGTTTTGTAACGCCAATTTGTTTTCATTTATTTTGTTTTATTATGCTTGTGAGCCACTTTGAGAGTCCTGTGCAAGACTGAGAGGCTACATATATGCTGCCACTCTGCCAGGAAGTACCTGAGACAGCATAAAGCCTTCAAAAAATGCAAGGCTGCCTCAAAAGCGCCGAAACTCACTAAAAGCTGGCATTAAATTCAAAGCAGCAGCATAAAAATACACCACAAAACTGTTTGTAGCGCCCCAGCGGTAAAAGCCACGGTCTATTTAATTACTCATCAGTACATAGCGACTAAAACAAAAAGGGTTTTTTAAAAAAATAAAAAATAAAAGCAATAAAATCAGTCACAACAAAACCTAAGCACACCACAAGAACAGTAAAATAATGAGTCCAAAGAACGTTTATGATTATAAGCATATTACTGTCTTGTGCTGACTGCCAGGAAAAGCTTTGTAAAACATCAAATGACATCAGTCGCCAGCAAAATGCTGTTGCTACGGGGGTGGCCAAATGGGTTTCCCTTGGGAAAGAGTTCTGCAGCTTGGGTGCCACAATAGAGACAGCCCCTATCTCTCTTTTTTGTTTATTTTCTGAGCCATCAGTGGGACTTCAAGCAGAGACTTTTCTCCCAGATCTTGGATAGCAAGACGGAATGTACGGGAGAAGACAAGTCAAATGAAGTATTTGTTTATTGTTACTTAATCCTACCTTTCCTTACAGTGGTTGTCAACCTGTGGGTCCCCAGATGTTGTTGGACTACAACTCCCATCATCCCTGAGCTCTGGGCTTCCAGGCTAGGGGTGATGGGAGCTGTAGTTCAACAACATCTGGGGACCCACAGGTTGAGAAAGGCTGTGAGGGTGATGAGCTTAGCTCTTTCTTTGCTGCTCTCCTTATTCTCACAACAGCCCTGCAAAAGGCTCGGCTGAGAATAGGATGCCCTCCAGATGTTGTTTCACTACAATGCCCATCAGCCCCAGCCAGGGTGGTCAATACTGGGGATGATGGGAGTTGGAGTTCAGCATCTGGAGCTCTGCTCTAACCGCTATGCCACATAGGTGTAGGTTCTCTTTAAAGACAGACTCCTATTGATACGATGGGCGATCTGTGGCTCTTCAGGTATTGTTGGACTCTGACTCCCATGAGGCCCAGCTAGCATAGTGAGGAGTGATCCAACAACACTTGGAGAGCCACAAAGTTCCCCATCTCTACTTTAAAGCTCAGCTCCGAAATCTTAGCAAGGACCCAGCAGAGCCGAGAATAGTGTTGTTTTGCTCCCAGCGCAAAAGCAATCTTAAGTGCAGAATTCTGTGCTATCCTGGATAATTTTCAAGGCTTGCTCCTTGTAGATCCTGTTGCCAAGGCAACAGATGACAGTGTTCAGATCCTTATTAGAGAGGAAGGGGTTCTCAAGCAATTGATGAAACAGAGCTCTCCCTCACCATGCAAAGTAGATTCAACAAGCACTCGCAACTGCAAGCTTGCGGTAGACAAAACAACCTAGGATTGCCGTGCCAGCAACACTCGCATCTAAGCATCTAGTGAACTTTGCTGCATTATCCCTCATCTGTGCCACAGCACCATCCACACATATTTTCAATGCCGTTTGAGTGACAGCTGGCCATCAGTTAAGATAACCAATACATGGGTTATAGAATTTGAGGGGACCCCAGGGGTCATCTAGTCCAACCCCCTGCAGTGCAGGAACAACCATCAATATAACTTAATACTTCTGAGGGTATGGGGTACCGTGCAGGGTTTCAGAGGCCCAAAAAGACAGTTCCCTGACGTCGGAAGAGATTACAACCCAAGGGAATAACTAACGTGGTGGGGTGAGCAAGAGTAACAAGGGGGAAATGCGAGCAAGGCCATGCAACTTAAATAGACTTAAAAGTGGCTCCGGTTTGGGACAAAGATTAAGAGGTTTAGCCAAAAGCAGACATAATTACAAAGGAAAAAGGAAACTGGGAGACCTGAAAGGAAAAACAAACAAATGTTGCCACGTGAAGTGCTTCTATTCAGAGTTCCAGTCCTTTTCTGTTCCCCACCCCCAGTTTTTTAAATTTCTCCCCCTCCCTGAAAGACAGTCAGCATTCTGCAGACACTGAGCAGCTGTTTTAGGATCTCCCTCCTCTTTTTTATTTCCTTTTCCCCTCTAAAGATTTGTGGACTTCCGGCAAACCTTTCAGAGTTTCCACAAACTGGTCGGTACCTTCCTCTTGTTTGCGTGGGTTGTGCAGTTTTGACTACAGAAGGATCAGCGCTTAGATAATGGGCTGGCTGTTGGTTTGTTTAGGGATGGTTTAGGTGAGAACTCAGAAGCCAGTTTCCATGGGTGTAGCCAAGGCGGGGGGCAGCTGCCCCCCATCAAGTAAAACAATAGAAATACTTAACTAACTGATCAATCATGTCGGTACTGCCCCCCCCCCCATAATCCTGGCTACACCCATGCCAGTTTCTTGTTCTTTCCCCTGTACTGTTTCACATCTGATCCTTGCTATCAGTGGGCATCCCCTTCCTTGGCCTTCTCATTGCCCTTCCCTCCTTCCCTCTTCTGTCTTGAATTTTGCATTTCCTCCCTCCTCACGGAGGAATGCACCTGTTCTGAGTCACCCACTCCACCAAAACAGCCCTGGGTGGGCAGGAGACAGACGCCCAGGAGCCCTGCAGCTTCTGCTATACCACCACCAAGTCTAGAGAGAACCCTCTCGGGACTTTTCTCTTCTTTTCCTTTGCTGCTGATAACATGCGTGGGAAAAGAAAAAAAATCCAGAAAGCAGCTTCTGGGTCTCCTCCTGGGAAGAGAGCCGGGAATATTTATTCTTGTATGAAATGCTAGCGTGGCAGAAGTGATTGTGAGCCAGAGTCCACTCAGTCAGGTCATAGAATCATGGAGTTGTAGAGTTGGAAAGGGACCCTGAGGGTCATCAAGTCCAAACCCCCCACAATGCAGGAATCTTTTGCCTATGGCAACCCTAAAAAAAAGCTTAACAACTTTGGGGTAAAATCCTTTTAAAAAGGTCAACAACTTCATCAAATCTGGCCCTCTTTGAAAAAGTTTGGATACCACTGGCCTATGGGGCTCAAACCCATGGACCTGAGATTAAGAGTCTCATGCTCTATCGACTGAGCTATTCCTCTCATATACCACTACAGATACCTTGGTTGTCAGATGCCTTGGTACTCAAACAACTTGGAACCCAAACACTGCAAACCCAGAAGTAAGTGTTCCGGTTTGCGAACTTTTTTTGGAAGTCGAATGTGCTCTGTTTTGAGTGTTACGCTTCTGATTTGAGTGCCACACTTCCGTTTGGAGTGTTACGCTGAGGTCTGCCTGTTTTTGCTATTTATTTTGCATTTTTGTTTTTGCGGCTGTTTTTTGTTTTGTTTTTGTGACTGTGTGGAACCCAGTTCAGCTACTGATTGATGGACTGTGTGACTTCAGTATATTGTTTATTGCTTTCATTTTATGGATCAGTGGTCTTGTTAAATAGTAAAATCAATGTTAAATTGCTGTTTTAGGGGTTGTTTTTAAGAAGTGTGGAATGGATTCATCCATTTTGCATTAATTTCCATGGGAAAGTGCGCCTTGGTTTTGGAACGCTTTGGTTTTGGAACAGACTTCTGGAACGGATTAAGTTTGGGAACCAAGGTACCATTGTATATTCTTATTGTGGTGCAGCAGCTAGTTAGATCCCTCAGCCATGAAATTCTGCTGGAAATTATTTTCGCAAATCACATATGTCTACGGGTAGCCCCAAATCAGACTGGCTGTGGTAAAAGTGGAAGGGAAATTAACCTTTCTCCCCACTCCCTAGTCCATTTTGGCCCTCACTGAGTAGCCTATGTAATCCCATCCCATCACGATTTTGAGATAAGGCGCAATGGCTGCTTTCTTTGTGTTGGTGGTGTGGAAAATGCACTCTGCACATGTTCTGTGGCATTCTAGTATTACTTTGTGTGCTGTAGTCTAGAGGCTGAAAATAGGTTTTGAGGTTAAGCCGCATATCATCATAGTTCTCAAAGGATAGCTTCTACATAACCAGAGGGCGGGGGGGACCAAATGAAATAGACTGATCTTCTGTGCTCTTATCATCAGCTTGGAAGCTTTCCAAGCAAGGATTAGCATGATCACCTGGTAATATTTGACAACATGTTGTTAAAAGCAAAGTGAAGCCAGTTTTTAAAAGGTGAGCTTTTGCGCCTACTGATACTCCCCCCCCCACTTTTGCTTAAAACCCTTCCCATGTTAAAAACAAAACAAAATCCAAGTACATCAAATTGCAAATATCAGAATACCATACCAGAATTCATGCCACCTCGTTCTGCTGCATTCTTCTGTGTGTGTTGAGTATCCAGCTGTTTTTGTACTACATTTCCAATCATCCCTGACCACTGGTTCTGCTAGCTAAGAACAATGGAAGTTGTAGTCCAAAAACAGCTGGAGACCCAAATTTGGGAAATCCTGGTGTAGACCAACACCCCACCCCCATTTCTGAAGGTGTGACTCTTCGTGGTCAGGCCCATAACTAGAACTGGCAAGTTTTTGTTTTTTAACTGCTTCCTGTGACTGGAACAGCAGCTTGAATTTATTCAGCAAGTGACAATGTTTGCCGCCGGACTGTGGAACTGTTTCCCCTTTTCCTTTCTGTTGTGAAGGCACAAGCCATTTCCAACATACCCTCTCCATGCCATTCGGCAAGGCTTTTCTCTTCCCTGTTCAGTCTACAAACAAATCTTCTCTGCCCTGGGTCATTAATAGACTTCAGTTAATTGAGATTAGCTTGGATTAATTCCCATGGGAACACTTGGGAAGGAGATCAAGGACCCCCTAGGTCGCTAAACATAGGGGGCCTGGGAAGGAGCACGTTGATGGCATCAGCGGCCTGAACCAACAATCTGGAAACTGGGTCCTTAAAACAGCAATGGGGGGGGGCTTCTAAGGGGTTCATCCCTGCCTGCCAGAACCAGCAGGACTTTATGACAAAATCAAAAACAAAGTCTGGGCTTCCGTGGTCCATTCTGAGCTCAGCTTTGTAAAGTTACAGTTAATCATTTACAGAGGACGTTTAAAGCTCTGTAAGTTAAGCACTTTACAATCCCTATCGTGTCCTTTCTCACACCATCCTTCTGAAGTACATGATTCCCCCTGCTTGTACAGCAAACAAATTGTGCAAGGCAGCGCCTTAGGTCATGACTTCCTGTGTTGCCTGAGATTCTATCTTTAGGTCACTCTGGGTCTTCCTTGTTCCAGGTAGCAGCAGCAATGAGGTCGTGTCATTCAGGGCTGCAGAACCATTGGCCCGCCAGATGTTGCTGGACTACAACTCCCATCACCCCTGACTGTTGGCTGTGCTGGCTGGGGCGGATGGGAATTGGTGTTCAGCAACATCTGGGGAGGGGCAGCTATCCCCCAGCCTTGATGTGCAGCGTTAATTTACGAAAATAAAAATGATGAATGAACTGTGACCACCTTTTTCCCGGTGACCTTATTTTCCCCTGCCATAGCTTTTTTTTTGCTTTGCTGCTATGTGGCTTATGGAAATTCCACAGGTGCGGAGTGTGATTGTTTTCCTGCTCTGCTAGCAGCCTTCCCAGAAGTGTGAGAAACAGGATGCTGGACTCGGTGCAAGGCACTTAGGTTTTTATAGCAAGGAAATTGATTAATAGAGCTAAACATAATCTGTTGAATTTTGGCCTCCGCAAGTTACTGAGTTTTAAGCCTGTCTAGAAGCCACATTTCCTGACCTTTGAAAGCCAGGTCTCTTGGCCCAGATGTCTCAGCGGAAGTCGAGAACCTTTCTTTCTTCAGACGTTCTCCGTATGTTTGCTAGATGCATGCAGGGATGAAGCACTGGGGTGGGGAAGGTTGGGGTTCTTGATCAATTCCATTTGTCCATTGCTGGGGGACATGAGACCCTCCAGATGTTGTGGGCTGAAACTCCGATCAACCTCAGCCAGCCTGGCCAGTGTGGTCAAAGAAGATGGGAGTTTTAGTTTACAAAATCTGGAGGACGCCCCCATGGGCTAGCCTTCTACAGTATTACAGGCAACCTGGGCAAATTGGGATAGCACCACTGTCTTTCTGTGCCAAATGTTTGGTAACGAGAGTAGCTGACTGAGATAACTGCCAACCTACCTATCAGGGAACTGCCATCAGTGCCGGAGGGAGAGAGCAAAATCCAGAGGGATTCCAGAGAGCGTCCCGGGATTGGGAGAGGCAGCCCATCTTCTGGGGAAGAGAATCAGCGTAGCACCAGTGGAGAAGGGGGGCAGATGGGGGAAGCGGCGAGGCGGTCCCATGACTCCTTGCCGGGGACCAGCAGGGAGAGTAAGGGTCCTCCGCTGCCTACGCCCTCCTTGCGCAGAAGGCTTCCGCGCAGGGAGAGTAGGAGGAGACTAGGCGTCAAAGAGCTTCTTTGCTGGAAGAAGTTTAAGAAATGCCCACTGACGGATTCTGCCAGCGATTGAGACAGCCACGGGTGAGTGGCTGTCCGGACAGAAAAGGTTCACTCGGGCAACTCAGCCAGGTGTTTGCACCGGCTTACGCACGAGCAACCCCTAGAACCACTACACTACCAATGGGTTGAAGGGAGATTAGGCAAATTCATGGAGGCTAAAGCGGGCAATGGCTTCTAGTCAAGATGGCTATATGCTACCTGCAGGATTAGAGGCGAGCCAAGAGTGCTTTTACACTCACATCCTCCTGGGGGGGGGGTTTCAGTAGGCATCTGGTTGGCCCCTTGGGAGGAACACACTGAATTGGATGTATCTATTTATTTTAAAATCTTTTAAGAGACTTTTTTGTCTATAAATCTCAGAGCAGCACCCAATAGCCACAAGACCGTGAAGACCGATAAATAACAGTTTAAACATTCAAATTGCCATAGACTTTCAGCAACTGCAGCTGCCGGATCCAAACAATATCAACAGCCAGGAAATGTCAGGGTAGGCAGAAAGGTCTGCGAAAACACCCCATGCTCAGTGCTCGCCTGGTCTCCATGGGGATCCTGCTCCTTTGGTCTGATCCAGCAAAGCTCTTCTTATGATCAACTGCTCCTCCTGAGGCCCAATGTCCACTACTGAGAGCCTGTCAGAATATATTGGGTCCTTACCGGCCCCCCGCAGGCAGCATATTCTATCTCCTCTTTCTGCATGCTATTTTGGACTGCCATGCTCTCAGCGCTCGCCAAGGTGACGGGTCTCAGAGGACGCCTGCCCTTGAGAATGGTTGCTTGACTCTCTTCCGCTGCAGGGGTGGGGGTGGGGCAGTTTAATCTCATTTCCTCCGAGGTTTATCTCCTGCTGCAGCTTCCACTCTATATTTTGCCATGGGGGTTGAGCATGTGTGTGCATAAGGGAGGGGACGACACATGCTGGCAGGCAGCAGCAGTGACTTACCTGGCAAGGAAGGCTAGGCAACCTCCTTTATTTTTATGATGCCCGAAGGAGTAGGAATGTGTTTTGGTTTTTCCCCCAGCAGAACCAACAAAGAACCTTGCAGCGCCCAAACGACTGGCAAGCTTATTGTGGCATAATCAGCTTGTTAGTTTTTATTTCATTCCACGTATTCGTACGCCATTTGGTATGCCAAATTCCTAGGCGGTGTGCATAAACATTAGGAATAGACAGAGAAAAGGGATGATTAAAATTCATCATAGAGACAGACCTTCAAATGCCTGCTGAAATAGGAAAGACTTTGGAAAGAGTTCCACAGAATTGGGCCCATAGCACAGAATGCAAGGCTTCTGTTTGTGACAAGCTGTACCTCTGAGCCATGGGGGATAGCCAACAGAGACTCCCCACAAATATCTCTTTTTTTAAAAAATAATTTTTATTAACAGGCCAATCACATCACATTGTCCAAATCACATTAGTTCCAAATTATACAGCCAAATTTTAAATTTTGTTGGGGGTACCCATACATCAAGCTCCGAACGAGTCCAAACATCACTTATATTGCTGCTTTAATTAAACAATTCTATCCAGTTCAATCCAGATAGTCCTTTATTACTTTCTTCACCTTCTTGTTGTTATCATATATTCCTTTCTTTGCGATCTCTGATAATCTTCACAAGCAGATTAGAGACAGGCACCCTCTGTGTGGGTTTTGTACTCTCCAAAGATCATATCGCTCAGGGACAACCGCTATTCCACGCTTCCATAAAAAATTAATCTTCGGTCTGTCCTTTAATTTTCTCAGGCTTGCTAAGTATATCAGGAGGGCTCTGTCAGGTTAAGATCACATTCCAACCATCCTTCTCATTCCAATGGTCCTGATTCTCCTCCCCCTGTCTTTCTTTCTCAGGCAAGCCTGTCTTAGCGAGACGCCATTTTAAACTGCATCATAAAATTTTCCTCCATTCTCATTGTTTACCAATCATCTCTTTAGCTATAATCCACCCCACACAGTTCTTGAATTCCTGCTTGTGATTAGTAAAACGCAACAATCTTATTTCTTTCTGGGGTGGAGGGTTATTAATATCACATAGTGCAGAGAAAAGAAAAGTTTTTTCCTCCACCCCCCTTCATTCCAAACATACAATCTCTTAATGGTGGTTCATCAGATGATTTACTTATCCACCCGTCACTCCGGTCACAGAGATCCATTAGTCAGCAGTCTTATCTCCCGAGCGTTGCTTGATGTATGTGCTTTAGCTTCATTCCAATCATATGTTTCCAATTAAAATTCCGAGCTAAAGCAAGCCAGCACGCGCTGATTGGAACCAGCGTCAGGAAGAGCTGACCTCATCGAGGGCTCGTGCCAAGTGTCCGGCACCCCCATCTCTCGAATCCGGGGGTGCATTGTGGACACCGCTGGCAAGGCAGCCCCCCCCCATCTCCTGGGGGGGGGTAGCAAGACTGCATACTTCCCATAGCAGCCTCTTAATTACCTCGTATGGGTCAGAGAGATGTTATTGTTGGCCATCTTCCAATGCGCCACCTGGTGGCCCCCCTCCCCACAAAGATCTCAGTGATATAAGGCAGGGTTCCCAAACTTGGGTCTCCAACTGTTTTGGGACTACAATTCCCATCATCCCTGACCACTGGTTCTGCTAACTAGGGATGATGGGAGTTGTAGTCCCAAAACAGCTGGAGAGACCCAAGTCTGGGAAACCCTGATATAAGGGATCAAGGGGTCCTTAAGGTTTCCTGGGCCTAAGCTGTTAAGGGCCTTGTAAATTAATACAAGACCCTTGAACACTGGCCTGGAAACATATGGGCAGCCAGTAAAAGCTTTTAAGCACTGGTGTTATGTGCTGACAGGAGTCTGCCCCCGCCAACAGTCTAGCCACAGCTAAGTTGCCACAAAACTCTTTGTTGTCTTTATTTTCAGGTCATCTCCTCACTCCCTGTCCCCGAAGCTTGTGCTTTCCTGTTTCTTCTTGCCTTTCCCACCTTTCAACCCACCATTCTGCCTCCCTGCTGCTGACCCGGGGTATATCTCTGTAACCAGGAGACATTTGCTCTACAAAACAAAACAAAACTCACAACGCAGCACAGTCCCCTGGGGTGCCGCTCGCAACTTGCAGGTGGTTTTTTCCTGATGGATGCTCCTGTCTGAAGGAAAGGGACCCACTGGTTTAACCTAGCACAGTGTGTATGCCAATACAGTGGTACCTCGGGTTAAGTACTTAATTCGTTCCGGAGGTCCGTTCTTAACCTGAAACACCACTTTAGCTAATGGGGCCTCCTGCTGCTGCCGCGCCACCGGAGCACGATTTCTGTTCTCATCCTGAAGCAAAGTTCTTAACCCGAGGTACTATTTCTGGGTTAGCGGAGTCTGTAACCTGAAGCGTATGTAACCCAAGGTACCACTGTATAGCATCCTCCAGCTGTTGTTCAACTCCTGTCGTTCCTGATGGGAGGAACGTGCTTGCTGGGACTGATGGAAGTTGGAGCCCAACATCTGGAGGACATGCTGTTGACTGCCCCCATCAAGGGAGAGGTTGGCTCCGTGGCTTGATCTTGCATGGCCAGAAAAGGAGGAGGAGATGACAGAGCAGAACACTGTGGAACTCGAGATCTAACCAGCTTTCTCCTTTTCCACACAGCTTAAGATTTCGTTCAGTGAGAACCAGCTGGAGAGGACCTTCCAGTATCCGTCAGAGGGCTCCTTGCTGGAAGAATATGGGCCTCCTGATGAGTCAGAGCCTCTGACCTGCACCAACCCCCATGGGGATGATGAAGATGAAGAGGAGGAGATGCTGCTGCTTCATCGGGGCCTCCCGGGCCTGCTGAGGACCAAACCCCTCATTGTAGGCGAGTACGGGCAATCTAGACGAACCTATGGCTGGTTTCGGTATAAGGCAGCTTCATGAGTTCCTGAGAGGCAGGTTGGCAGTCGGTTACGCAGTCTGGAAAAAGGGAAAGCCTTGCAGATCCAATGTTGGGTCTCACTGAGAGCTTAAATCACTTGGAGCTGCTACACGTCTGTTTTCAGACTGGACCGCTTGGCACACGGCAAGCAGCTGGGGAACTGAGTGCTTGAAGGCTCCCTCTTGTTAAATACTCCCTACAACCAGTGGTTCTCAAAGTGGCAGGAAGTGTGGAGGTAAGGTTCAAGGACAATCAAAGAAACGTTTAAACGTTTCATTTGTGTAGATGAAAAGACGAGAGTTTGTCTCAAATTAGATCTAATGTAAACAAGATTAGCTGGCAAAAGCAAGCTCACAGCTCTCACTGAGTTTGTAAACATACCGGTACTTAAGGTACATATGTAAGAGGCTCGCTTATGATCATATTTTGGGAATGATTCATGTTCCTGTGCAGCTGCATTCTTTTATACTTTCTGGGTGTCCTGTGATCATATTATAAAGTACAGTGGTACCTCGGTTTTTGAGCGTCTTGGAAGCCAAACATTTTGGTTTTTCAATGCCGAAAACCCGGAAGTAAATGCTTCCATTTTCAAACGTGCCTCAGAAGTTGAATGGCTTCTACTGCATTTTTTTTCCTTTCAATTTTCTCCATTGGCTTTGCAGACTGCCGTTTGTGCCTTGGTTGTCGAACGTTTCAGAAGTCAAATGTATTTCTGGAACAGATTTTGTTTGACAACCGAGGTACCACTGTAGTTGTGTTCTATGTTATAGCATTCCTAAGAGTGTCTCCCCCACACCCAAGTATTTATTATCAATTTTAAAAAATTGTGTGGTGCGAGCAAATTATTATTCTGAAAGTGTGTCCCAGAGAAAAAAGTTTGAGAACCACTGCCCTATGCGACGGATGGGGCTCCTAACTCCCATAACCCCCAACCACACAACCAATGGTCCAGGATGACGAGAATCCAGCAATTTAGTGAAAAGGGGTTCAACATTCATTACTCCTTAGGTCTTCATGCTTTCCTTTTTTGCTGACAATGCCTGTGTTCCTTCTCTCCCTCTTTGCAGACGAGTCTTGTCGGCGGTAACCCCGTTAAGCCTCCGTCGCAGAGAACAGCGGAATATGCACAAGGATTCCATGCCACATTCTGAATCCTCCAACTGGACCTTTTATCTCTTTCCGTCTTCCAGTGACTATGCACCCAGGAAAGAAGCTGGGGCCATTAAAGACTGAGAGGGGTGGGGAGGCGACCACTTTTATCCTGGGACTACAGGTGCATTTCTTCCTTCGGATGGAGACCCCTCCGAAAATACTCTCCCACTTTTGATACATATATTTTTCCCTATCTGACTGGCACTGAAATCATGTGAGAGACGCTGCCCAACCTAGCTGGGAGAGGGCGCTCTCAACTTTCTCTTATCCTTGCACTGCCAGCCAACAAGGAATCTGATGCAGCAGCGACTTAGATACTTCATTTAAAAACTGCCAGCAGGGGGAAGCACTGAACCTTGTATGCACACTTCTCTGGGGTTGCAGAGTTTCAAACAAGGGCTAATGATAATGGTCATATCTTTCTTCCTGCCGTCACTCAAAATACCGCTGAAAGCCTCACTGGCCAAGGGACTTTTCTGTAATTGGGTTTGTTTGTTTGTTTGTTTGTTTGTTTGTTTTGTAAAATATTGTCCAGTAGGACTTAATTGCTGCCATGTGAGTGAGATGAGATTTGGGGAGGGGGGGAGTAGGCTGGGGAGGGAATAACTAGCTTTGAGAAGGGACCATTATGTTGGCGCACAGCCTATCAGTATTTCGGGGGGGGGGGGCTTTCTACTTGCTTTTTCCCCCAAAGCCATTCTGGAGGAAGGCAATTCAAAATACCATGGCTCTAGTTATTCCACCAAGAGCCATGAGTAATAAGGCATGTTACTGGGCAAATGGGGAGGGGTCCTGGGTGTTTATTGAAGCAGGAGCGCTCAGTATTCAGGCATGGAAGTGGGTCAATGGGGAAGGGCAAACTGCATGTGGGCAGCGCTAGTTGCTCTTTGGGGCCGTTTGGGGGGTTCCCCCCCTCTTTTTGTTTCAGACAGGGGCAGTTCATGTTTGGAAGCAAAGCAAAATATGCAGGGGGTGCAGTGGGGATAGCCAGGCGAAAAATGCAGCTTCCTGTTGTGGTCATGACCATTTCCTGTTTGGGATTCAGCACTCACGTGGGATTGAATGACGGGCGATGAAGAGGCAGATTGAATGTTAGAAAATGAAGTGATATTTTGATAAACAGGGGTTTGGGTTCGTTTGTTTCTCCCCCCCAAAAAAATATTATTTTACAAACTGTCTTCTTAATTAGTATTTGCCATTTTTTGCCGTGTGGCATTTTGAAGTGGAAAGAAGTGGACCCAGAGATTAAAAACTGAGAACAGCTTTCAGAAATGATTGAATGCATAGCAGTTGCAGCTCAGAGTATAAACAGCTCTCCAGAGCTGGCTTCAGGCTTTGGGGAAAGCCTCAGATGAGAGATTACCAGGAGTCCCCTTCATCAGCAAGGGGGCCGCACAAACTGAAGGAGCACTCCACAATCCTTTCCCCAGATGACTGATGCAAGCAAACCCAGGCATTACTGTTCTGGATCTTTCTTTGCCAATTCAGCAGTCATTTAAGTCAGCTGATGACAATAAGAACCTCAATAATGGTGAAGAGGAAGTCAAAGAGCATGTTGTGCATTTGTTCAAAGGTGTCTTATCCAGTTTCTTGAGTGGGCCCTGCTGTTGGTCTCAGGTGAGAGCTTCAGGGATCAGCACCACTGCTGAGACCCATTTCTCAGTAGCGGAGCCATCGCCAACTGCTCGAGCCACAAAGCCAGGTGCTTGTCCTCTTTGGTACCACTGCTTGTTTACCTGCCCTCTCTGGATGAGTAATTATGGAGAAGGTGCAGTATCCCTCTGTATCCCTTTGGGTGAGAATGCACCTAGGGCTAGAGTGAGGATGGCGGAACCTGTTGGTCTGCCAGAAGTTAGCAAACTCCATCTCCCATCAGCCTCAGCCAGCAGGGATGATGGGAGTTGTTATCCACTAGAATCTGGAAGGCCACAAGTTCACCATATCTGAACTAGAGATAGAGAGCAAGCTAAATGTGGCAGTGACAAGAATACTGGCCCTCTCAGGGAAGCAGCAGCCTACCAAGGGCATATTGCCCAATGTCCACTGCCAAAAAATAATATACAAGTGGAGCAGCCTCAGGGCCTTGGCAAATGCCCCACCGTGACACCACAATGCATATATTTTTTAATCCTCTTAGATGAAAATGTGTAACTGAAGCATCCAGCTTAAATTGGGGGAGTTTTTTAAATTCGTGAACAGGAGCTCCCCACAATTGGAGCGAATAAAACCTGGGAAAACTGGTCGGTTAAATGCCTTGAGGAACAACGCAACTCATCTGCAGGAGAGGATGCATACACAGAGCAGAAGATTGGCCAACGTATGAGAGCAGAAAGTTGTTTCTTTAGAGTGCAGGTTGTAGACTGAGCAAACAGTATGAATGAGTGGAAGGAGGCATTGATGAGAGGGAATGAGGAACTTTACACTTGTTTTTTTCCTCTCTCTCTCCCTTCCTTCCTTGCTAATTTATCTTGTTATCTGTGCACAGTTGTTATTATCATTTCCCTCTCCCCCCCTTATTTTGCACTGCGGGAACAGCCATGTCTGGAGCCCATTAACAGGTGAATGAGTGAATGATTGAACACAGCAGACGTTTCTTTCTTTGCTGGGGGGAATGAGTTCTGCACAGATCAATGTGTGTGGGGCAAGGGCCGAAGCAGCTGTGTCCAGCCATTTCCATCAGTGTTGTTGTTGAAAAAAATGGTATTGTTGTTATTATTATTAACAATAAACCAGAATGATGTTGCACGTTGACCTATTGTTCTTCTGTTGTCTCTTAGCCATGATAGTTAAATGGACTCTTTGTTTACAGAAGCCATATTCCTCTGAATACTGGCGACAAATAAGACAGGCATCACCCTCGTGGACAAGCCACGATTGGACTACATGGACATGTCGTGTTCCAGCAAAGCAATCTGATGCTCTTCTACCTTTAAGGGTGTCTCTTCTGCACTCTGATGGAGGAGGAATCTGGGTTGGCTTGTAGAATCACAGGACAAAAAGAGTTTATTCTCTCCCACCTTAAAAACTATTCCCCCACCAGCTCCCTCTATCAAAACACACACACGCACGCACACACACACACACACACACACACACACATGTTGAAGTAATACGTACAGATTGTTAATATTCTTATTTATTAGACTTCTTAGTCACTTGTTAGTCGTGAGTTTGACCAAACTGCGGGAGGCAGTGGAAGACAGGAGTGCCTGACGTGCTCTGGTCCATGGGGTCAAGAAGAGTCAAACATGACTAAACGACTAAACAGCAGCAACAACAAAAGTTACTTGCTACCTGAAGTTCTCCAAGTGACTTAGAACACAATGAAAATACATTGGTCCATGTAGCTCAATATTGCCTACACTGACTTGACAGTGGCTTGCCAATAAAAAGAAAAAGGCTGTCCACGGGAATTAAGGAAAAACACATCCCCTGAGGTGTCACCAACACACCGCCACAGCTTGTGGTAGTCCCTGAAACATATAACAACAATCAACTGAAATTAACCTTATGTAAGAATAGCCTCATGAGAAGAGAAGACTGCCTGGAAAAGACCCTGATGTTGGGAAAGATTGAGGGCACAAGGAGAAGGGGACGACAGAGGACGAGATGGTTGGACAGTGTTCTCGAAGCTACCAGCATGAGTTTGACCAAAGTGCGGGAGGCAGTGGAAGACAGGGGTGCCTGGCATGCTCTGGTCCATGGGGTCACGAAGAGTCGGACATGACTAAACGACTAAACAACAACAACAACAACAAGAATAGCCTGCTGGATCAGGCCAGTGGCTTATGTAATCCAGCCTCCTGTTCTCCCAGTGGTTTAACTTGCGTGTGGGAAACCGGGGAGCAGAATATGAGCACAAGACCACACTCTCCCCTCCCATGATTTCCAGCAACTGGTATTCGGAAGTACTTCCAAATACGTTTCCCACACGTGAGTTAAACCACTGTTAATTTGTGTAATCCTCTTTTAAAGCCATCCAAGTTGGTGGCCATCACTGCCTCCTGTGGGAGCAAGATCCATAGTTTGTCTATGCGCTGCATGAAAAAGTGTACAGTATTACTAAGCCACTTACCCACTAAAAAACAAAAAACTCTTCAGATTGCAAGAAAAGTATTAAGGCTGGCTTAACAAAGTCAAAGAAAGGAACGGAAGGCGACCAGTTATTCAAACATCTGGTTTGTGCTGGATTCTTTATCAATGCTTTACACCAAACTAATAATAATAATAAATACAACTCCTCTCTCTCATACCGTCTCTATGATCCTCCCGTCTCTATGGTCAGCCACGGCGTAACAACAGCAACCGGAAAGCGCTTCTTCAACCAGAGCGTCCACCGGCTGGCGAGGGCGCATGTCCGGAAGCGCTCGAAGGTGACGGGAGCCGTTGGAGAACCGGCTTTCCGCTGCCATGGCGGGCGAACTGGAGCGCTGGGTGTCCGGGCAGCTTCACTCTCTGCTGGGGCTGAGCGAACGCCATGTGGTCGCCTTCATGGTGGGCCTGGCTCACCGGAGCCGAACCCCGGAGGACCTGCTCGCGCGCCTGGAGGAGACGGAGACGCTGCGCGCCGCGGACCCTTCGGCGCGAGCCTTCGCGCAGCAGCTGTGGGAGCGGGTGAGGCCCGGCGGCCGTTGGGCGCGAGGCCGGACTCGGGGGCGGGAAGGGGGGGGGGATAACGCGTCAGAAACAAAGCGACGCTGGAGTTCTCTGGGGGTGGCGCGCCTTGACTACGATACTTGGCATTTGGTGCTTGTGAGCGTCCAGGTAGAGTTACCACCTTTCTACTGGCAAAAGGCGGGGCCGGGCGGTTGGTGGACGATTTCTCTTTTTTCTTCTGGTGCTGAAGTGACTTCAAAGCCATCCATTACAACCTATGGCAGCCCAACAGGATGGCCCCTCTGGAATTTGTCACACATGCATGCGCTCACATGACTTTGTAAATCCGTCCGTGCTTGGCTACCCAGAGCTTAAATGCATGCCCTTCCACACACATGCATTTGGAGAGGATCCCTAACTTAGCAAAAAGGGGGGCGGGAGAGAGAGACCCGAAATACAGGACATAGCATTTCACATTGAAATATGGAACAATCCTGTGTTATGCAGAACAGGTGGCAACCCTCTGCCCATAGCGCTTCCAGGATGTGGGACTGGCCACCCTTGGAAGACAGCTCAGGAACTTTGCTTGGTCCAAAATGCGGCATACAGATGCAGTGTTTCTCAAACTTGGGTCCCCGTCTGTTGTTGGACTACAGCTCCCATCATCCCTGACCACTGGTCCTAGTTAAGAATGATGGGAGTTGTAGGCCAACAACAGCTGGGGACCCAAGTCTGAGAAAGATTTGGGTTTATGGCTGAGGGCTTCACCTCCATCGTCCAGCCCGGACCCTGAGGTCCAGCTCCAAGGACCTTCTGGTGGTTCCCTCATTGCGAAAAGTGAGGATACAGGGAACCAGGCAGAGAGCCTTTTCAGTAGTGGCGCCTGCCCTGTGGAACATCCTCCCATAACATGTCAAGGAGATAAACAACTATTTGACTTTTAGAAGACACCTGAAGGCGGCCTTTTCAGAGAAGTTTTATTGTGTTTTTAATATTTTCTTGGGAGCGTTTTAATATTTTGTTGGGAGTGGCTAGAGCAACCCAGTTAGATGGGCAGCATAGAAATAAAATTGTTTTTAAAAATTAAAAAATTATCCAGTAGCACCTTAGAGACCAGCTAAGTTTGTTCTGGGTATAAGCTTTCGTGTGCATGCACACTTCTTCAGATACCAACAATAAAATTGTTTTTGTTCAGATCTCATATGAACCCCTGTGTTGAAAAAGCTGCACTGGTTGCCAGCTTGTTCCCTGGGCCCAATTCACGATGCTTCCGTTGGTGCCTACAGCCTTAAATGACTTGGGAACCGAAATACCTGAAAGACTGCCTCCTCCCTACAAAACTACTGGTGCCAAGATCGGCACTTTTGATAGTTTCTCTGCTTTCAGAAGTTGGGGTGTGGGTGGCTCTGAAGAGGCCATTCTCTGTGGTGGTCGCTAGGTTGTGGAACTCCCTCTCCACAAAGGTATATCTGGTACTTTTCTTATACAGCTTACACTGATTGCTGAGGATGCATCTCTAACCTTGCTTTTGACACTTGTGGTGTATATTTTTAGGACCCACCTTATTTCTGTAATTTTGTTCTTAAACTGTTTTTAATATTCACCTTGGGGTAAAGGGTGGGTAATTGTAAAAACAATCGTCATCATCATCTTGTTATTTTTACAGTTGATCAGTATTATCCCCATTTTATAGATGTGGAGGGGAATGAGGCTAAGAGTTGTGCTGAAGGCCACTTAGTGAATCTCTGACAAAGATGCACTTGTCTTTCAGCCACTGTGCTAGCTCTCTACACTTTAAATGCATGTGGTTGTACATAAAGTGCAACTAATGTGAGGAGCAGGTGAGGGATGGGGAAATTTGTGGTTAGGAAGCACATCTGAAGCATCACCCTGAGAGGAGTTACCCTTTTTGAGGAATGGTAATAGGGACTCAAGGGATGCGGGTTTTGCGTGTGAGGATGGAAGTGGGTAAAACCTGAGCGCCTAGGACTTGCTGATCGTCAGGTCGGCGGTTCGAATCCCCATGGCGGGGTGCGCTCCCGTTGCTCAGTCCCAGCACCTGCCAACCTAGCAGTTCGAAAGCACCCCCGGGTGCAAGTAGATAAATAGGGATCGCTTACTAGTGGGAAGGTAAACGGCGTTTCTGTGTGCTGCGCTGGCTCGCCAGATGCAGCTTGTCACGCTGGCCACGTGACCCGGAAGTGTCTTCGGACAGCTCTGGCCCCCGGCCTCTTAAGCGAGATGGGCGCGCAACTCCAGAGTCGGACACGACTGGCCCGTACGGGCAGGGGTACCTTTACCTTTATGGAAGTCATAGTTTCCTTGTTTTCTGTGTCTGATTTGTTCCCTCACCAAATTTCCTGGTAGGTTCCGCACCAGGCCCCACGGGAACGTCCAGCTAGGTTGGCGGAACAGGAAGCCTTGGCCTTTCAGCAGAAGAACCGTTCATACACCCTGCTGGAGGACAGCGATGATGAAGAGACTGGCGAGGCAGCTCGGGGCTCCAAGCGTCAGCGCCCTCCGCGAGGCCCTGAGGGCAAGCAGCGGAAGCGGCATAAACACCTGAGGCAGCGCAAGGAGGAAGAGGAAGACGACAAGGACTCTGATGAGAAGGGCAGCCGAGATGATGGTGGAAAGTGAGTATCAGTCACTTGCAGAGAGCAAGATTGGGTGAGGAGCAAAGGAAGCGATAGTGATAATTCTTTTGTCATTCTTGGTGTAGGAAGTCAGCAGCATCCCCCACCATTAAGGAGGATTCAGAGGATGAGTGGGACCGGAGTGAGCGAGAGCGACTGCAGGACCTGGAGGAGCGGGATGCTTTTGCTGAACGTGTCAAACGCAAGGACAAGGAGAAGACACGCAACATTCTGGAGCGTTCAGACAAGAAGGTGTGGCCTCAGCCTGTGGCCCCTGCTTTTGGCAGCCCTTACTGATTGCTCTCCCGGGTTTGTGCCCCCCTCTGTCTAACCTGAATGTCTCACGCTGCCCATCTGTTTTTTATTGCTGCCAGGAATTATCCACTTGTGGTTGAAAAAATCTGGCTTAAAATCTGATCTTGGTACCTAATACCTTTAAAACACAATAGGATTGTGCATCTACTCAAGCTTTAAAAGCATCCACTGCAGAATTCAGTCTTTTACTAATCACAACTTTTCTGACCCTTATGGTAGCAAAAGAATGCCTCAAAGAGAGTTTGGGTAACATCTGGTAAAATGTCAGAAAAGGAGAGGTTCCTGAATTACGATTTCAATGTTCAGTAATAGGGCATAAGTACACTGTGTCCTCCTCATCACTAAGCTCCTTTCCCCAAACAACAAGAGGGAATGAGTTACACAAAACAGCAAGGTCATTCAGAGTTACTTAATTCTGAGCATTTGCTGATGTTGCACATCTCTGTGCAGGTTACCCTAGTGTAGAATTTTAGCTCTGTATTCATATATTCTAAAGCATGGAAGAACCTGTGTAAGATTGGCACCTAAACAATGCTGGCATATAGGACCCCGTCCTTTTTTACTCATTTTCCTCACTTCATTCTTTGCAAGGACTTCTTTTCCATTTTCTAGTACTAAACCTGCCCCAACTTTCCTTGCAATTTTGAAATGTCTGCCTTGCCTACTCCATGGTTCTTGCCTCAAGGCCATGTGCTCTAATAATTCTTGCTAGTATTTTCTTTGCCATTTATATACTTCATGCTGTGTATATTTAATTATGTAATTATTATATTTAATTCTCAGCTTTGATGCTGATTTATTTAAACAATTTATATCATACTTAACCACAGCTGTCTATAAATGGTTTACAAAGATGCAGTACAAAAAACAAAGATTAGTTAAAATTATAAAATCAAACTTCAATTAAAGTGCATTCTGGCTTCTGCAGTTAGAGAAGGATAAGAGAAGTCATGTGTAAATTATGGAATGGGGAAAAGTCAGGGAGGGTAATGGTTTTCTTGCTGAAAATGTTCCTAACAATTCTGTGGACTTGTGGAGGACCAGTCCATAGTCTTTAAAAATATTGCACCAAAAGTGTGGTGATAGGGACCCTGTTGACAATCTGCTTTGGTTGAACTATATGTTTGTGCCTTTTGTCTTCTGATCCTGCCAAGTCTAGGCCTATGAAGAGGCTCAGAAGCGTCTGAAGATTGCAGAAGAAGATAAGAAAGTTATGGTAGGAACTTTATTTTTACTGTTGGATGGTGTAGCTTCTGGCTCATTCAATTTGTAGCTGTATTCTACAATTTGTAGTTATATTCTACAATATTTTAATACATCTTATTTTTTAACCACTAATCTTTTTATTCTTAACTATCTTTGATCAGACTAATAGAATGATTTTACCTTTGTTCCCTGAATGCCACACAATGTGTGTACTGGGGTATAAGGGGTAACCGCAGCTTTTCAGAAAAGTACAAAATTAATGATTTGCAACCATTTTTCCTGTTTGCATACATTAGCTTTCATGGGGCAGTTTGGCTGGTGGGTTTAGCAAGCTACCAACCTAGCAGAAATACTTTCTCCTAGTGAGAGGCTGGTTTAGAAGCCTATTTATTTCACAAAAGCCCAGTTCATATTAGGGATCATGAATCAAACTCTCATAGTCCTTGCTATTTGACTTACTTGCCTGGCCCCATATTTTCCCTTTCTGCCTGACAGGTTCCAGAGCTGCGTAAGAAGTCCCGCCGAGAGTATTTGGCGAAACGCGAAAAGGACAAGATAGAAGACTTGGAGGCAGAGATAGCCGATGAGGAGTACCTCTTCTCTGAGCTCAACCTAACCGCCCAAGAGCGGCAGGAGCTGGAATACAAACGTGAAGTTCGCGACTTGGCAAAACGGTACAAGCAAGCTGGAGAACAGGAAAAGTTGGAGAAGAGCAATCGCTACTATATGCCTGAGGAGAGTCGCAGCAAGGTAACTATCATGCCGGTAGCAAAATTGGGAGCCTAGACCCCTATGAAGAATGGTTGGTAAAAGGAGCTCTGTGACAGAGTATGTGTATAATGCCATTAACTCAGGGGTAGGGAACTTTGGGCCCTCCAGATATTGTTGAACTGCAACTCCCATCAGCCTTGACCATTGCCCATACTCATAGATATCTCATAGAGAGTTGGAAGGAACCCTGAGGATTATATAATCCAACCCCTTGCAATGCAGCTGTCCTTTATGGGGATCGAACCTGCAACCTTGGCGGTTCTCAGCACATTTGGGGGATAAAATCGGTTTGCTGAGATTTCAGACTAAGGCTCAGCAATACATACACTTGTTTGCAAACAAGATCCCTTTATTTACTTATAGTATGTAGAATTGCATGGCCCGGTAGCAATAGAAGACACCATATTTTGCCTGGTCATATCTGCCTTCCCTTCTCTTCCTATAGTGCTGTGAACGTTGACTATAACAAATGGAGAGGAGGAGACAGAACACAGCAACATCTCTCCCCTACCCCAAGAGTATGCTGTTTGCATTAGCAGCTTGCAGCAGTTTCAGCTGGAATGTTTGGGACTCTTATGCAGGAGAGTCCTCTGATAAAATTGGTTACCATACAGAACTGCTCTGGGGGAATGTGCTTCTGTAATTGTGGCATGCCTAGGATGGTGCTGCACTTTGTTTTTCTCCTTAGAAATGAATGGCAGGCATTCCTTCATATGGGAGAAAGTAATGAGGATAAATCTCTTTGCCATTATTGATCTCAGCCATTGAGAATCAAGTCTGTTTTTGGCTGCATAGCCACACCCTAAGTTCTGTTTCTTGGTCACACAGTAGCCCAAGCGTAGGGAACCTCCAGTCCTAAACCTAATTTTATGTGGGTGGCAAGGTGGCACATAAGCCTTGCCCGCTGCTAGTATCTGGTCCCCAGTGGATTACCATGGCGAGAGAAAAGTTGCTCACCCTTGCACCGCAGAATGGTAGATAGTGAAAACTTGCTTCCATATACAAGAAGAGTGTCTGAGGGTTTGATGCTTGTTCAACATGGCTTATGTAAACTCAAATGCGGCATACTTTTGAATAAATGTGCAACAGTTTGGGCTGTGAATATACCTCCAATTCAGTGCTGCCTCACAAGGCTGAGATACAAGATGCACAAAGGAAATTTCCATACTGATCTGTTTTTGCCCTGCAGAAGATACCTGATCGCTATGAGGATCCCCAGACGGAGGATCACATGGCCCCGCGAGATGAGCAGCGGCGCTGGGAGGAGGACCACATTGGAGCAGCTTCCCTCCGTTTTGGGGCCCGGGATGCCAGTCAGCGCCATCCTCACAAAGACTATGAATACGTGCTTGAAGAGGATGAGATGATCCAGTTTGTGAACGCCGTGCAGATGCGGGGCACAAACCAGGGCAAGGTGAGAGTAGGTTGTTGGTTAGGGAATGGGACACAGGGCGGCTGGGACCAAAATAGTTAAATCATGCAGTGAAGTTGTCTTGAAGAGAAACTGCTGGGTGAAAAGAAAACAAGGCCATATTTGACGTGATTGAAAGGGAGCAAGCAAACTGTGTTACAGATAAGAAAACATTTGGGGACATCAGGAGATGGAGAATGCAACAAATTGCTCCGTAGAAGCTTGAAAGAGAATTGCAGATTAAGCACTTATGCATAGCTGATGGTGGGAAATAGGGTAGTACCATGAGATGGAGCAGAGCTTCTTCATATTGCTGAATGTGTGCAAACTAGACATGATAGGGGCATTCACGTGTTTGTTCACTTGTCTTCCCCATTTCCTATTCACCCACGAATCATCACTGAGACAGATGAACAACAAATGTGGCTGCCTCCAGTATACCTGTTGTTTTGACAGCTTTCCTGAGCATCTTTAGAAGCAGCTTGTTTGAGCCTTGCTTGTTTGAGCAGGGATTTGGTGTTAGATATGTCAGTATTTGGGGACGCGGGTGGCGCTGTGGGTTAAACCACAGAGCCTAGGACATGCCGATCAGAAGGTCGGCGGTTCGAATCCCCGCGACGGAGTGAGCTCCTGTTGCTCAGTCCCTGTTCCTGCCCACCTAGCAGTTCGAAAGCACATCAAAGTGCAAGTAGATAAATAGGTACTGCTCTGGCGGGAAGGTAAACAGCGTTTCTGTGTGCTGCTCTGGTTCGTCAGAAGCGGCTTAGTCATGCTGGCCACATGACTCGGAAGCTGTATGCCAGCTCCCTTGGCCAGTAAAGCGAGATAAGCATCGCAACCCCAGAGTCGGCCACGACTGGACCTGACGGTCAGGGGTCCCTATACCTATACCTATGTTAGTATTTAAGCTCAAGTATGCATAGACACCTGCATGCTCAAGTTCTGTTTACATAGGATAAGCTACTGGAAGATAGGAAAATGCCTTGTACTGTGGCAATCCAAATATCCATTTAGCCCAGAGTTATTTCTGGGATCTTCTGCATGTAAAGCGTGATACTCGGCAACTGAACTACCATGCCTCCTCAGTTCTGCATGTGGAGCTGGCTTTTCCCAGTGGCAGGATTTAAGTGTAGAACAACAGGGATTTCACTCTGTTGCTCTGGGGTAACTAAATCTCTGTGGTCACTCTGTTTCACTTAGTCCGTGGAGGAGAATCCAGAGTTGTCCGAAGCTGAGCGCAAGAAGCTTTCCATCCAGGAGGTGCGCCGCAGCCTGCCCATCTTCCCTTACCGTGCAGACCTGTTGGCCGCCATTGCCGAACATCAGACGCTTATCATAGAAGGAGAGACTGGCTCTGGCAAGACCACTCAGATCCCACAATACTTGTTTGAAGAGGTAACTTCGCACAGAAAGTGAGGGATTGTGAAGATCAAGTAAACCTGCACTTTGGCTAGCTAGAGGAAGTGCTCCCTTTGCACTTGCTGCCTCTTCCTAGTACTGTAGAAGCTTTTCAGCATCTGAATGAACAGCCCAGTACAAATGCAGCCTGTGAGCGTTAAGGGAGGTTTTCTCTCTTCCTACAGGGCTACACACAGAAAGGAATGAAGATTGGTTGCACCCAGCCCAGGCGAGTGGCAGCCATGAGTGTTGCTGCCCGTGTTTCCCAGGAAATGGGTGTCAAACTTGGAAATGAGGTATGTACTTGGAGGTGGGGGGCTGCAGAAGAAAAATGTATGTCCTGTTCCCAGTTGTTTCGGCTAGTCATTTCTGAATTGATTTTTACAGTGTCTAGTAGTCCTAACAGCAGCCTACTTAGTCTCAGATAAATATGCTTTGCTGGTGTGACAATGTTCGTGCGTTAATAGATGGGAAGGTCCCATCCTTCCCTTTTGGAATATATTTGGGTAACTGAGAAGATAGGTGTTAAATCAGCCTGGAGTAAACTAGGGTCTCCTTTTTATGCATCCTTTGTTTGTCCATGTCTGTCCTTGATCTCGTGGTAGTACAACCAGCAGGGCTGGCACTGCTGTCACCCAGAGGTCAGGTAAAGTGTTTCCTTCTTTCTTTCTGATGGGAATTTGTATACAGCTTACCCGTTTTTAGACTATTGAGCTAAATTGACTTCCTAGCCAAATACTGTTCTGTGGGTAATAAGGATGGTTTCATGGAAACCTGTATCTAAAATTCAACCTTTCCACAGGTGGGCTATAGCATTCGTTTTGAGGACTGCACCTCAGAGCGGACGGTGCTGAAGTACATGACAGATGGGATGCTGCTGAGAGAATTCCTCACTGAGCCTGACCTGAGCAGCTACAGGTGAGCAACAGCCTACCCCCTAGAAGTCTGTAGAGAGCTCAGTTGGGAGGTGGTGGAGGGCCAGTGTGGTGTAGTGGTTAGGAGCGGTAGTCTCGTAATCTGGGGAACCGGGTTCGCGTCTCCGCTCCTCCACATGCAGCTGCTGGGTGACCTTGGGCCAGTCACACTTCTCTGAAGTCTCTCAGCCTCACTCACCTCACAGAGTGTTTGTTGTGGGGGAGGAAGGGAAAGGAGAATGTTAGCCGCTTTGAGACTCCTTAAAGGGAGTGAAAGGCGGGATATCAAATCCAAACTCTTCTTCTTCTCTATTGTTTCTGAGGGATGGTTGAGCTAGATTAGGTAGAATGCTCAGGAGAAAACCTTGATTTGGGGTTATATAGAGTTACAAGATGGGCTAAATACTAGTATGTGTTGTATAGAACATGGAATGCAGCTTCAATACCAGAGCCCCAACTTTGCTTGTATACATACAATAAAAATGTAAGCATGTCATCACACTGCAGTTCACTTGGCCACACACAGGTGGTGCTCAAAACTACAGCATGTTGAGCGGCATCTGAGGAAAGCCACAGAGGGTCAGTCAGAACAGGCTGCTGCAGCGCCCCTTCCGGCAGCCACTCTTCTTCTCTAGCTTCTCTGCCTGCTATTCATGGAGCTCCTGCCTGCAGGATCTATATACCTTACTCCTCCACAGCCTTCTTGGAGGAATGCTGCTTCTGCCACCAATTAGGATAAAGAGTTGGGCCTGCAGGAGGAACAGCAAGGAAAGAAAAGGCATTCAGAAGTGGCAGTTAGCTGGCCTAGTAATCTTCTGATGTTGCTGATGAGGCACAGAGAAGTTGGCAGTGGTGGCGGCAGCAGATTCCTAGGCTGGCTGCTGCTTGTAGCATCCTTCCTGTTGCTCACCTGCCTGGCCAACTCTTTATCCTGGTTGGCTGCAGGGGCATGAGACGGAAAGGGGAAGGTCTAAGACGTTAGTGTAAGAGGGGGTGGGATAGGCAGAGTTGGTGCGGAATGGGGGGGGGGGTCGGCAGAGTTAACAATCAATGGGAGCAGGTGCACAGCCCCAGTTATATAAATAAAAACCCAAGAGCAGTTTCCTAGTCCTCAAGATTGTGGAGAGAAACATAGAAGCAGTTTCTACTAAGAAGGAAAGGAGTAACTGAGAAGGTCTTTTCAGTGGGGAGGCACTGCTTAGTACAGCTGCCATCCCACGCCGCTCATGTTCTTTGTAATAAATGGTCCATAGCTTTTAAATGACAACTGGTAGTTCAGCAGCACGGCCTCCCTAATTTCTTCCCTAGTGTCGTCATCATAGATGAGGCTCACGAGCGCACGCTGCACACAGACATCCTGTTTGGGCTGATCAAGGACATTGCTCGCTTCCGGCCTGAGCTGAAGGTGCTGATTGCCAGCGCCACCCTGGATACGGAGCGCTTTTCCACCTTCTTTGACGATGCTCCCATCTTCCGCATTCCTGGGCGCCGCTTCCCTGTTGACATCTTCTACACCAAGGTCAGCAAGCAGAAAGGACTGTTGTGGGTTGTGTGTGTGAACATCGCTAAGGAAACACAGCTGCACTGATGAGCAGAACCAGTGCTCATGACAATAGTATACCAAAGGAGCTAAACACAGTGCTATTACTTTTTAAAAAAGCAAGATTCCCAGAACTGAATCTGGGCCAGATTCAACCAATGGATCCTGCTAGCAGAAGTCCACAGAAGGATTTTCAATAGGGCTTTTGCCCCCTATCCCTTGCATTGGCGCTGAGTGGGGTCAGGAGAGCCCCCAGAAAAGCAGGGGGAGGGAAGATAGTGAGGACTTTGGTTAAAAGATAAACTGTGAATGACATTGCGTTTAATGGAGAGAGAGGAATATCAGCAAGTCTTGGTGTTAGAATAAGCGGAAGACAGGTGCTGGAAGCAGCAGTGAAATTAGGTTCCCCAAAAGAGAGATCGAGTGGTACAAGTTGTAACAGAAGCCACTGAGAGGCAGAGTTGGGCTTTGCTTATATGGGTCAGTAGGAGATAGTGATTTCTCTCTACCTTCCATCCTCTAGGCTCCAGAAGCTGATTACCTGGAAGCCTGTGTGGTATCAGTACTGCAGATCCATGTTACACAGCCTCGAGGGGACATCCTTGTATTCCTCACTGGCCAGGTATGTCTGTGTTTGTTTCAGTGCCCACTTGGTCCTTGGACGGAGAGGGGGGAGACATGCAACAGCATCCAACTCCCATTATTTGTTGACAGGAAGAAATCGAAGCATGCTGTGAGATGTTGCAAGATCGATGCCGTCGTCTGGGTTCCAAGATTGCAGAACTTCTGGTCCTCCCCATTTATGCTAACCTGCCCTCTGACATGCAGGCCAAGATCTTTGAGCCAACCCCACCAGGGGCCAGGAAGGTAGGAGCATGGAGTAGAGAAGGAAAGGGGAGCGAAGCTTTGGCTGTTTGCAGTGGAGCTTTATGTCTCTTTACCCACTCTGGAGGAAAGGAGCACTGGCAGGTTTGGGCTATAGAGCTAGTGGTGATTTTAGGAACTGGTTTTGTGTTTCAGGGGATGGAGTTTCAAGCTGTTTAGTGTCCTGGGGTTGTGGCTTTGAAGGGGATTGTGCAAGGACCAGTTTTGAGTTCACAGTCTGGAGTCAGACTGTTGGCTCAACTATCCTGCCATTGTTTACTCTGGCTGACACAGGTCCTTCCCAGCCCTTTTGCCTGAAATCCTTTTTAAATGAAGAAGCCAGGTCTAAACCTTCATCAAACATGGGCTCTTACCACTGAGTTATGTCCCTTCCTCTCATAGTGTGCTTTTAGGCTATGACAGAAGCAGGTGACCTGACCAGTTAGCTTATGTATCTCTTCCCTTCTCCAGGTTGTCGTAGCCACCAACATTGCGGAGACATCTCTGACCATAGACGGCATCATATATGTGATTGACCCTGGTTTTTGCAAGCAGAAGAGCTACAACGCTCGCACAGGCATGGAGTCGCTCATTGTCACTCCGTGCTCTCGGGTACCGGGCTTCTCTACTTCTATTCATCACACTCCTAAGCTTAGTCTTTGGGTTAACCTGCAATTTTTATTCAGTCCATTTCCTCTCTCAGGGAGAACAGTCTAGCTACCAAATAAAATACCAGGCAGAGGGTGTAAACTGTACGAATGGGTTATGCAGCATAAATTAGAGATGTACAAGAAGTGACTCTGTTAAGCCACAAGTTTGAATCTGTTTTTTCTGTCTCAAAATCCCTATACGGTAGCATCTACATAGCCACAAATGGCTTATGTGCTGGTTACCAGTACATTACAGGGAGTCTGGGACTGGTGGCTAGGAAGTGAGTATTGGGTACGGTGTAACTTTTAAGGGACAGAGAAGTGAAAGTTGATAAGGTGATAGCTAGATATCAAAGCAAAAATGGATTATTGTTGGTCACTCTCATCATAAAGATGTTGAGACCACTTTTGTAAAAGTAAATCAGAACATCTTGTGCAATGGTTTGCTAGGAAAATTTAGATTCCCAACTGTAAACACAAGTTTCCACTTCCCATGAAATTATTGAAACTTACATACGTTTGTGGGGTTTTTATGGTGTGCCTGCATCTGGTTTCTGAGGCTGCCTTGAGCACTGCATACATTTCAGGTGTGCCTTTTCCACAGTCATAAGGACTATAGATATGCCCATATACTCAGTGAAGCCAGGCATTCTGTATGTGCCGTGCTAGACAGCAACATGGAATTCTAGACCACCTTAATCAGGAACATGTTCATTTCACTGAGGTGCTGTTAGTCTTGTAATAACCCTAATAAGTTGTCCTTGGGATCTGGTGGGATCGGTTGCCAGTTGTCACCCCCCACATCCTCACAGACACAATGCTTCATCATCTCCTTCCCTCTTTCCCTCAGGCTTCTGCCAACCAGCGAGCAGGACGGGCTGGCCGTGTTGCTGCAGGGAAGTGCTTCCGTCTCTACACAGCCTGGGCCTACAAGAATGAGATGGAGGAGACAACAGTGCCAGAAATTCAAAGGACCAACCTGGGCAATGTGGTGCTGCTGCTCAAAAGCCTGGGTGCGTGGCTGGTCAGTCTAGGATGAGAATGATGTACAGGAGTTGCTCAACTTTCCCTAAAACACCTCCTTATTAAGGCTGGATGAGAACAAGAGTTTGAGTGTTTTTAAGCCCATCGTTTCCTAGGGTCCTATTTTCCTTTTTAGAAAGATGGGAGGGGTGCATTTCCTGGTGGCAGAAATACTTTGAAGTTTTGCAGGGTGTTTCTAAGTCTAGCTTTCCTCCATTTCTCCCTTTAGGCATCAACGACCTGATCCACTTTGACTTCATGGACCCACCGCCCCATGAAACTCTAGTATTAGCACTGGAGCAACTCTATGCCCTGGGAGCCCTCAACCATCTTGGCGAGCTCACCAAGGTAATTGTTTCATAGGCTCAAGGACGTGCTCTGCTTCCTGGGCTGAAAGTGAGCTGTATTTTCCAGCTGGCTTCATTTGAAAAAGAGCTGGAAGCAGGAAAGGAGGCCGGAGCTTCAAGCACACTGACATCTTCTGCTTGCTCCCCAGTTCAGGGCTTCGTGGGTACAGATGGTTTTCACAGCATTGTTATGGATGATGTAAAATACTTGCCATTTTTCACCTGAAAGATGGTGGGGTGTTGCCCTGTGGTAGAGCTCTGTTGAGCAACTACAATGCTAGATTTAGGAGCCTATGCTCAGGTTGCTCCTGAGACAGAAAGCTAGCTGGTGGCCTTGGGCCTTGCACTATTTCTCAGCCTAACCTAGGCTCACGCTATTATTATGATGAAAGAGGAGGGGGACATGAATGCTCCCCTAAGCTCATTAGAAGGATATAAAAAATGTAAGATATAATAAATGTCTTCCATGGGTTCAACATGTACCCTTCTACTATGATCTTGACGAAACTCAAAAGCTAGGCAGTGTTAGGAAAAGTGGTGAAACTGTTCTCAAGAAAAGGTTTCAAATGGTTCGGGTTAAACTGCACTTTTTATTTATCTGTGCAATAGCCCACTGCATCCCAGTGACTCCAGGTAGGCACCAATATGAAAACAGGAAACCCCCAGTTAGGACAGTTAACCTGAAAGGGTGTGTTTCTGGGACAGGATTTGGGATTTCCTCTGCAGGAGGAGTTTGCCTCCTTCCTTCCTTCCTTCCTTCCTGTCAGCATATGTGATCAGTTGCATCCATGCACAAACTAAGTGTCAGGATACAGCTGCACCCCCCCTCTGCTCTTAAAAGGAAGACTAATGCATTGTGGAGTTGAAGTCGACATTTGTGCATTTGTACAGCAAAGTTTGTCCTTCTTGTGTTCTGTATTTAGCTGGGCCGGAAGATGGCAGAGCTGCCTGTGGATCCCATGCTGTCCAAGATGATCCTGGCTTCAGAACAGTGAGTCCTTCTCTGCCTTCCTCTGTCTCTTTTCAGCCAATTAATTGCGTGCTTAGCATTCTGTTCCAGTAACCACAAGTGAAGCTTGTGATCCCTCTTATCTCTCTTAGTTCCTAGTTCCTCTTAGTTCCGCCTACTTATTGCTATTTCCCCAGCAAATTCCAAAGCTCTCAAAAACCTGAACGAGCTCTATTAGAATCAACTGTTTCTAGAGAGGGAGCCATGTTAGGCTGTTGAGCAAAAATAACCATCTTACGGAATCGTAAAAACAAAGACATTTATAGATCTGCTTTTGTGTGTGCCTGTTGCTGTCATCATTGGCAATCTATTCCTTTCTTCTTTGTTGTGACTTGTGATCGAGAGTTGATTTCTTTTTTCACAGAGAATATAAGTGACCCACTAAGTAATAAACCATTCTACTCAGGGTAGTAAAACATTTGTTTTGTTTTGCTTTTAAATGGCAGGTGGCTAAAAGTAGATTTTATCTTGGTTGCATTTTAAGTATTGTAGATTTTTTATTTTTTTTTATCTAGTTAAAATTAATCCAAGCACGTGGAACAAACACTTGGATAATATTAAATTCATTTGTAAATTAACCTGTTTTGAGTAGTTAGGTTTGTTTAGGAAACCTTGGAAGTACCAGATTTAAAATCAGTCCAGCTGCCCTTCAATTTTTCAGATTGAATTGCTTCTTGCTTCTGGTTGTCTTATTCCCCAACTTTCTGAAATTACCTTCTGGTTGGCTTTCTATCGTAAGGCTGTTGCTCTGGATTGAGGCTGGCTTTGTTTCTGCCATGCCGAGATCTAATGCTGTCGTGTTCCTCTGCTGGCATTCTCCAGGTACAAGTGCTCAGAGCAGATCCTTACCATCGCTGCTATGCTTTCAGTCAACAATGCCATTTTTTACCGGCCCAAGGACAAAGTGGTCCATGCTGATAATGCCCGCATGAACTTCTTCCTGCCTGGTGGGGACCACCTGGTTCTTCTCAATGTTTATAATCAGGTAAGGAAGAACTTCTAGGAACATAGGAAGCTGCCTTATACAGTCAAACTATTGGCCATCTAGCTAAGCACCATTTAGAGTGACTGACAGTGATCTTTCAGAGAGGGACGTTCCCATCCTTATCAGGAAATACCTGGACTGAACCTTAGACCTTCTTCATGGAAAGGAGGTGTTCTACCCAGAGCTATGAACCTTTGCTTATGCTGTGCATATGGAGTCAGGAAGGAGAGGGGCCTTTTGTTAATCTGTTTCAATTGAGTATCAGGCTAGCTCAGGAAGAGAGTTGGCACAGTGGATGTGGATGACTTTCACGTGCTTGATTTGAGCAGAATGCTGTTTATAGTAGTGGTCTGCACCATGTTGCTAAGGAGTGTGATTACGTCTCCACTGCTAAAGCTCCTTAGAGCAGATTAAATAGATATTTGGTTGGTGAATTTCAATCCTTCGGGTAGGAGGATTGATTAGATCGCCCCTTGAGAACCCTAAGAGACTGGCATCCAAGTACATCTAGTAGCAAGAGATTAAGTGCATAGCCTTTCTGATTAAGAGTGTATTTAGGCAGGAATCCTGTTTTAGGGGTTGAGGGTCTAGTCACCTCTGACTAGGAAAGGCTCATTGGCTGTTAGGGCGAGAACTTAGGTACAATATTCCCTTGAGAGGCACTAGTTCTGTGGTTGTAGTTGGGTCGGTGGGTGGATGGAAGCCCAAAAAGCGGCTTTATATCTCTCCTTTCCTCCTCAGTGGGTGGAGTGTGGTTACTCCATGCAGTGGTGCTATGAGAACTTCATCCAGTTCCGCTCCATGAGACGAGCCCGGGACGTGCGAGAACAGCTGGAAGGGTTGATGGAGCGCATTGAAGTGGACATCACTTCCAGCGAGGGAGACTACATCCCAGTCCGCAAGGTACAGGCTCTCCCCGGCTTCCATTACTTCCTCCAGGGCTGCTTGTAAATGTGGTGGTTGCCACAGACATGCCAGTGTTCTGCAGATCTAGAGATGGAGGGTGGGGGGAACCCACCATAGATTTGGGAGGCAAGGGAGAAGCTCTGTCGTACTTGGGAAAGTAGTTCCATGCATGCCGTAATTTAGTTGGATGCAACCCTGTGTGGGGAATAGCCCCGTGTTTCAACTTGACTTTGTTAAATTTCTATGCATGAAATTGTGTTGCTAAATGTGTATTACATAATGCAGAATGAAAGTGCACTGGAAACACAACCTACAACACGTTGTAGTAATTTTTCAGATCAAAGACTCTACCTACCAGTCCTAAATATATCATGCAACACTGAGCATTTTTGATCACTTGAAATGCCAGGGAGTGCAATAAGTAGATGGCTGTGTCAAGCGGAGCAAGCTGGGTCCCCCCCCCTTATGTTTTCAGGTCTTTTTCATTCTTCCTCTTGTTCTTCCGCAGGCCATCACCGCTGGCTTCTTTTATCACACGGCCCGCCTGACCCGCAGTGGCTACAAGAGTGTCAAGCACCAGCAAACAGTGTTTGTCCACCCCAACAGTTCCCTCTTTGAAGAACAACCACGCTGGCTCATCTATCATGAGCTGGTCTTCACTACTAAAGAATTCATGAGACAGGTAAAAAGACTGTAATCCATGCTGGGACTTCTGGGGAGAACTTTTGAGATTGTAACTCGAGCTAAGCCCTAAAAGAGACAGATGACCGGTAATTTTAGAAGAAATCAGTATAACGTGGGTAGCATTTGCAAATCCAGCCTTGGTAACTGATATAGGAAGAGCTTGATGGGGGTCTTGTGATGGAAGTAGTCTGTCTTTCCACTGTACTACCCTCCCAGTGAACATATATTTGGAATGGAAAAGGTCCCAGGTTCAGTCCGTGACACGTCTAATTAAAAGGACCACAGGTAGTAGTGATCTCTGCAGGAGAGCAGCTGCTAGTCAGAGTAAATAATTGTAAGTTAGACCAAAGGGCTTCATGGGTTTAGAAACATACTTGTATTTTATTGTGCTCACTCTAGCAGGGTCTATGGAACGCTTTGGTTTTCCCCAAAGAAGAAAATGATCAGTGTGCCAGTTGACAGTGAGTGGGGCCAACAATGAAATATTCTCTGTACCTTGCAGGTCATAGAGATTGACAGTACGTGGCTGTTGGAGGTGGCCCCACATTACTACAAAGCCAAAGAATTGGAGGATGCGTCCAACAAGAAGCTACCCAAGAAAGTGGGGAAGACCCGGGAGGAGCTGGGATAGGCTTCTTCTCAGTTATCAGCTTCTCCCCACCAACCCTGGGACACTTATTTGTACAGCTGTATAGTTTTGATGTCATTTCAAGGCACTGAATAAAATCTTTTTTCTACAAACACTCATGAGTAATTGCTTCCCTTCTCTTTCTTGGTAAGAGGAGGAAAGTCTCTTTGGAACTCATACAGCTGTCTTGGACTGCAGTGTAGCTATGGCTATTTAAGCTACTATAGTTTGTCACTTGTGTTGGCTATATTCATGCTATGCAAGCATTTGCACATTTTGCAGTGGAGTCAATTAATTCATCTAGGTCTAATACAGAATGCTATACAGTGGTGCCTCACAAGACGAAATTAATCCGTTCCGCGAGAGTCTTCGTCTAGCGGTTTTTTCGTCTTGCGAAGCAACCCTATTAGCGGCTTAACGGATTAGCACTATTAGCGGTTTAGCGGCTATTAAAGGCTTAAAGGCTTAGCGGATTAGCTGCTAAAAGGCTATTAAAGGCTATTAAAGGCTTAGCAGATTAGATAAAGGGGCGAAAAGCGAAAAAAATCTCGAGACTTGCAAGACATTTTTGTCTTGCGAAGCAAGCCCATAGGGAAATTCGTCCTGCGAAGCAACTCAAAAACGGAAAACCCTTTCGTCTAGCGGGTTTTCCGTCTTGCGAGGCATTCGTCTTGCGGGGCACCACTGTATAGGATTCACAGCAGTTCCCAGCCAATGCAGGCAGCTAACCTACACTCTGGGGCAGTTCATACATTATCTTGTGGTTGAACAGTTTGGTTAAGGATTTCCAGTATATAAAGCTGGCAGTTTGTGCTGCTAAAGTTAAAATTCTCTCAAGAATAAATGAATGCTGGAAATAATTCAGTGATAAGTAAATATGTTCTTATTCTCTAACTTACTCTGCTTCCCCCTGACAAGTTAAGCTCTGTACGACACTGACATTCTGCTTCCACACCTTGGAAAGCTTGACACACCTCTCATTTTAAGATTCAGGATGCCTTGGTGACATTTTTAAGCATCTTTGCAATCATTAAGATTAACATTTTCTCTTTAGCGAAAAGAAAGCTGACATTCTTAAGACTATTTCACAGTACCACTTTCTGTGCTTACACAATTATGACATTTGACACCATACCTCAACAAAGCTTCCAAAGATGGTACTAGCCGATGGGGAATTTACTAATGTAAAATCTGCTGTGCCTGTACTCAGTACAAAATCTACAATGTTGCTACAGGAAGCTGGAATGCCTGCCTTGTTTTTAGTTACATAGTAGAAAAAACCCTATTTATGATAGAGAAATGTGTTGTAGAGAAATCTGAAACAGGCTTTTATTTATAGCAGTGGTTTTCATCCAGTGTGCGGTGGCACCCTGGGGTGCCTTGAATGATGGACAGGCAACACTGGCCTGCCTCTGTCCCTCTTTCTTTCCCTTTGATGCCCGCTTGCATCTCTACCTCCCAAAGGTTGTCAAAGCTGTTTGTTGCAGCAGCCCTGGCTACAATCTCCCCAGACGAATGGTGCCTCTGGGGCTGGCCAGGAGCTGCTTCCCAGGCCCCTGTGGGGCAGTGTGAGGAGGCACCTCTCTTTTGGAGTGGGGACAGCTTAGAGACCAGGGACGGCAGCAGCGGCTGCCTGGAGGACTCCCAAGAAGAGGGGAGAGTTCGAAAAAGGGTGAGAGGCAGCCAGCTCTGCAGGTAAGAGGTGACATAACAGGGCTCCTGAGTCTCTCAGGGGTGCTGCAGAAAGAATGTAGTTGGTCAAGGGAGCCATGGACTCAAACAAGATTGAAAACCTCTGATTTATATTGTCAATTACTACTCTGTTTCTCTTAAGCCAAGGGTGACTGAGCTGTGGCCTGCCAGGTGCTGTTGGACTCTCTTCCCATCAGCTCTAGCCAGCATGGCCAACGGTCAGGTTTGATGGAAGTTGTGTCTAAGTATAAATATAAGCTGCCAATTACCTAATAACTTTCCTAGCCCAACAGAGATATTGTTTTGATTAATACAATCATCCTTATAATGATTTTTAAGATACAATATAAAATCAACCACAAGTCTAGATTGGCGCTGGACAAAATTTTCATGCAGCTCAATTTTCCGTGCAAAGAAGCTCTTGCCAAGACAAGCCACCCTTTATGAAACACTGTTTGCACATTATATGCCTTGATTCCGTCCCTTCTCAGCAAGCACTTTGATCCATAGAGGCATTCCTCATTTCATGGCGATCTTTATAAAGCGCTGCTAAGAGATGATGCACCCCCATCGCTGTGATTCGCCTCCTCCGCGGTGACCATTGGCATCTGAAAGCTGCCAGCCCTTTTTGGCCATCTGCATGTGCCCTGAAAGACTGCCAAAACAGGGACCGCCTTTTCATGCTGCTGAAAAGGGTGTTGTGAAACGGGGGCCTCTGCTCTGAATCAGTAGTTTAGATGCAAGTTGTGCTTCTACGATGGAGCCACTTCATTCGCCCAGACTTCTTTTCAACATAAACCTTTTATTATGTACAGATTAAATTACAACCATCTTTATACAGCGCTTGCTGGTGCAATTGACAGCCACATGGAAGGCAAAGCCCACGCTATTTATAGAGAGGCAACACCGATACACAATGAGCCACTAGAGGCATCCTGCCAGCCACACACAGATATTGTCAATGAGCTGAGAGACATGACTAGTGAGAGGGCTGGACTTCAGCTATCCCTACAACCTAGTGGTGTTTCCTGCTGCTTGCCAGCCAGAATTGATAACAGCAGGAGCAGCGACGGCTTCTGTTCTGACAGCCCCAGCCCCAACAACGAGGCTACGACAAGCTTTTTCAACTTGTTCAGGGGAGGCTGGGATGGCATGAGCTGCAAGGGGAAAATAAGCCAGGAATTAGGCTGGTGAGTATAAATTATCTTCGTCTCTAGAACCAAGCAAAGTGAAGGGGTGGTAGGCATGGGGAGGGGGAGAGTGTTTCTACTCTCCCCTGCAGGTGGTATTCATGCACCAACACTCACCTTGCTTACCCTGTGACACTTAATCAATCCTTGTGAATCTAAGTAGAAAGTAGAATAGGCATCATAGGTCCTGGAGAGGAATTAAAAAAAAAAATAGGCAAAAGATCAGTTGGGTGGCGTCTTCCAACAAATACAGCATGAAAGTACACGTGTTTTGAATATATTACTGCATCTGAAAGGCTCAGATCATGCTAACAGCCCTCAAACAGCACCCAAATAAGCAGAAGACACTATTTTTCTTAAGACGTTCCCATTGCTATTTAACCCTAGCCACAGCAAGCCAGTCTAAATACAGTGGTACCTTGGTTCTCGAATGGCTTGGCTACCAGACAAATCGGCTCCCAAACGCCGCAAACATGGAAGTAAGTGTTCCGGTTTGTGAATGTTTATCGGAAGCTGAACGTCCGACGCAGCTTCCACTTGAGTGCAGGAAGCTCCTGCAGCCAATCGGAAGCCACGCCTCGGTTTTCGAACAGTTTTCGGGAGTCGAACAGACTCCCGGAATGGATTAAGTTCGAGAACCAAGGTACCACTGTACAGTACAGTGCTTTCAGAAGACTAGCTCTGGTGTAAGAATTTCATTAACTCAGAGCAAGATGGTTACCTTTTCACTCCCTTCCTCACCCCCCCCCCCAAAAAAAAGAATGATAGAAGCATGTCAAAAGCCCTAGTTCTGATGCCAGGGGTTACACAAGACGATACATTTGTCTGGGGCTGCTCAGCTCTAAAGAGATTGCTACCCTAAAGGAGATGTCTCACCTGTACAGCTCACTCTTATCCTTCTTGTAGAAGCGCAAAAGGAATACATGGAAAGGCAGCCCTTTAATCCGCCACCGGGCTTGGATGCTCCAGTTCTCAGGGTGCTGTGTCACCTTCAGCACCTCCATGTGCAAACTGGCAAAGTAGTTCCAAGCCAAGAAACGGCAGAAGGTCAGCGCCAACTGGTACATGGTTCGGCCGCTGGTGATGGGAGGCAGAGAGGTGAAGAGAATGGAAAGGTCAGACTAGGATAGGAAATAAAGACACACTTTCCCCCATCCTCCCAGATAGGGAATGACCTAGTCCTCTCATGCCTACCGAGACAGATGATTCACACTGCCATCTCAAGTAGAATGGCGTATCTTGAACTTCCCTCTCTGTTCATCCCTGCAGGTTTAGACAGAAGCAGTACAGTTCTAGCCATAACACCTGGGAAGCTGATTAAGAAGGTTCCCCCAACCATTCTTCCTTCCCTAAATAGATCAAGAGTAGCCAGCCTTTTGGGGACCCATTTGCAAGCTGGAGAAACTGTCGTGAGCACTCCACACAAATCACCACCTTTTCAGCCAACTACAACATAGGGCTTTTTTCGAGCTTAATTTCAGGCATGGGAGAGGGCCCTATAGGAAAGTCTCTGTGAACACTGGCAACCCCCGATAAGCTCACTCACTCAGGGGCAAGTTGGCACATGCCTTTCAGCCCCCGAGGACTACAACAAAGACTCACACGTGAAACAGATCAAATGCCACAGATAACTCATGTAATCTCGCATTAAACAAAATGCTTGTTGGGGGTGGGGAAAAGAAGAGGAAACATACAAATTCTGCTGCAAGTTAGTAAGTAATTCACAAATATTTGGGAATTAGACCTTTAAGCATATGATCCCCTGACACAGAACAGCTAGATGCTGAAGGCAACCAAGGGATTTCAGAGGATAACTGAAGTAGCAGCAATTGTTGGGGATGTTTCAGTAAGCTGAAGCAAGATCATCCAACCAATATCAGAGCACAGGGATGAGGGTCCAAAGCTCTTTCATCATACTGTTGTTTCTTCCAACATGCTCTCAGGCAGAAGCAACACTTCACCGTACTACAAGGGGCCCATGCTAGAAGAGAGCCCTGTAAATCTTCGTTTCTCTACTTATGCTCAACTCAAATTCAATGGTAAGGTATTTGCCAAACGGCATAAGCACATGAGAGTCCATTTCAAAATATTCAGAGACTAAGGCATGACTCCGGGAAGCCCAGCCTGAGCTCTTTATTGCTCTTGCTGTGTCTCTGCAGTGTGACACCATTTGCCAAGTGTCACATCCAACGTGACAGGACAGGGTATGTAATTATAAGAAGACATTGACAAAGGAGATGCGATGGATGAGGAATTGTGAAAGAAACCTTGCCCTAAAGACAGGCTGATGAAAAGTGGGGTGGAGTTTAATAAATAAAATACAAAAGATGAGGTAGAGTGCCAGCTAGGGCATTGGGAATGGTGCCATTTTGGAAAGATTTGAGTAATGCCCACTGAATATAGCAAACCACTTCTGCCAGTGATTCAGGTTGTCTAGACACTGCCTGCTTTCTTGAGTCCTCAAGATGGTCCATTATCTTTGCGATGCTTCCCACAGAGAGCCAGATAACTTCTGCTATGCAACCATTAGATCTTTAACTTACACAATGGATAGAAGGGACTGTTTTCTTTCATCTACTTTAAACGTCTCACAGAACCTCTCCCCCGTCATCAGAGAGCAGGTCATTCAGCAGGCAGGCATCCCCCCCAATCCCTTCACTGTTCCTAGAACTGACCGTGTTCTCAGATGCAGAATCTCATTGATGAACTCTACTTCCTGGGAGTAGATCCCATAGTCGTGGGTCTTCAAAAAGAAGTATGGTAACTGGACGAGGGGGTGGGGGGGGGAGACAAAACAAAAACTATGAAGTATGAAACATTCCCAGCCCAGCTGCAGGCTTCCAGGGCTACCTTCAAAAAACTTCCCCCTGTCCTCAGCTTTCACATCTATAGTACGTGGCTAACAGCTCTCTCTTCCTCAATTCAGATTGTGGGCTCTTTGGCCTAGGTTTGACCCAGGGGAGTGGGAACATATTCTTGGTTAATTCCAATTCGAAACCTCAACTTCGTATGTGGAAATTTACATTTTAAAATCTGGTATTCTGACTCAGCCTTCCATGCACAAATATAAAATAGAATTGGTATATACACTTTAGTAAGAAAGTGGGCCAGGATTCTGAGACTCGTGCACATAACAAAACGTTTTCTGCATGGATGGGACTTGTTACGTGCTGGATATTAATGCACCAAAATCCCCTGGCTTTCATGAGTAGCTCCAGGAGGTGGTTGTAAGAGAAGGAGAACTCCAAGCTACTTCTTGGGTTTTTTGGATCCCTGCCTTGAACTCCCGCCTCATTGCAAAAGAGGCTTTTAGAAGTCAAATACTCAGGCCCTTAAAATATGAAATCCTATGCTTCAATTTCAAGTTTTCAGTTCTCAGTGGTATTTCTTTACTGCTATAATTTCTGGGCCCTCTAGGGTCTCAAGCAGGCAGAGGTTTTTCCCACTGCCTGTGACCTGTGATAGTGAGGCTTCCTCACTGAGGCTACTTCCACCCTACTCCTCACCCCTCCACCCCTGCCAATAACACAGATAAACATGATGGCTGGAAGTCATCCAAGGAGATATGGGAAGATTCATGTGTTATTTCTCAATGTGGCAGGCATTTCCATTAAGACTGCACACATACCATTCATTTAAAGCACATGACTCCCCCCTGCCCAATCCTGGAAACTGTAGTTGTTAAGGGTGCTGGGAATTGTAGGTCTGATGGGTGAACTATAGTTCCCAAGATTCTTGGGGGGGGGCAGGAAGGAATGTGCTTTAAATGTCTGTTGTGTAAGCAACCCAAGTCAATTTCGCGTGATAAAATTTTTTTTGTCTTCTCATGAAAGGAAGGCACTAGAACAAAGAAAACACTGCAGACAAAGGTTGTGGCATAGAAGATTTCAGATCTTAGTACATGAAACTAACTTACTTCATGATATTCACCATGTAAAAACCACCTCGGGGTGAATTTATCTCATAAATTATTATTATTTACTGAATTTATATACCGCCCAATACTCAGAGGTTGCAGGGCAGTTCACAGAATAAAATCAAGATACAAAACCACAAAATACCCAATAAAAATAAAAACAACAACCCAATAGCTCCCCCCCCCAAAAAATTTTTTTTTAAAGGGGCATAGGATGTTAATCAGATCAACCAAATGCCTGGTTAAAAAGGAGCATTTTTGCCTGGTGCCTAAAGGTGTGTAATGAAGGCCCCAGGAGAACGTCCCTGGGGACAGCATTCCACAAACGGGGAGCCACTGCAGAGAAGGCCCCGTCTCGTGTTGCCACCCTCCGGACCTCTTGAGTAGTAAAGCAGTAAACGCTGAACCTAACCTCCAAGTATGTCAAGATGAGGAATCCAAAGGACAGCATAACAAGAAGGGGCCCTTAACTCCTGCCCAAGCCACACAGAACAGAACCCAGCCTGCCATGCCACTCCTTATTCCAATATCGAGTTCAGAATATGCTAGCCTGCTTTCGGGAAGTCTTCCAGCCCTAGCAAAGCAAAAGCACTAAGCCCCATAACAGGACAAGATCCCCCATATATACCTCTTTCCGTAGTTTCTGATGCATGACTGCAAGATGCTCTTCCATGCTGGGGTCATTCCTTTCTGGAGAACTAACTGGGGAGGGAGTCCCGGTAGTAGCCCTGAAAGGTGCAAGGGGCCCCAGTGCTACCTCTGAAGCCTGGTAAGGCGATCGGTACTGCCAGCCGTGGAAAAGGCTGTGCAGGGAGTCTAAAGAGGCACCGTCCAGCCCTTCGCTCTCTTGCACTGCAATATCGTCCTCTTGCCTCCCGTTCACCAGCGTGATGGCACCCTCCATGCCCTCTGGTGGGGAAAGCACAGCGGGGTGGGGAAGGACCCTAGTCTCTAGATAGCGCATCGGCGGGCAAAGGCTGGTCTTCAGTTTTGTACTGTTGATAACGGCAAAGTTGTCCCCAGGAGGTGCAGGCAGGACAGTGGGAACTTCCGATGGGTTCTTGGTGAAGAGGGAGTGGAATGTCGGTCCTATGGAACCGGAAGAGACTAGCCTTGGAGGTAGTTTGTCCCATGAGCCATCCAGGTCCTAGAATAAAAGAAAGTATTTGAGGACAATTAAAGCTAGGTAGCCCAGCTGTGCCCCTGGAACTCCTGAGAAGTGAAAGAAGCTTGCAAAAGCACCTAAATCAGGCTTCCTCAAACTTGACCGTCCAGATGTTTTGAGACTACAAGTCCCATCATCCCTGACCACTGGTCCTGCTAGCTAGGGATCATGGGAGTTGTAGGCCAAAACATCTGGAGGGCCGAGTTTGAGGAAGCCTGACCTAAATTATCCTCCTCAAAAAAACAGAAGCATTTTTGCTCGGGTTGATGGGAGAAGAAATTGCAAAAGTATATCAAAGACTATTTATGTATGCTACCACTGCAGCAAGAACTTTGTTAGTCCAAAGGTGGACATCACAAGAATTACCAATGACTGAGGAGTGGCAGAAGAAAATGATGGACTATGCGGAATTGACTAAGCTGACTTTGAGGATCCGGAACCAAGACAACCAGAAATTCCAAAGAGATTGGAGTAAATTTATGGAATATATGAAAGTTCATTACAAAAATGTGAAGACACTAGCAGGACTGATATGAATCCTGTAACATAACATAAAAATAGTATCTGACCACTGATAATAAAAGGATTGGATATATGTTGAAGGACAGAAACTGGCAGCTAAATTGCACATACAATTTATTAGGAAATGGGAAAACAGTTGAATGGAGGGAGGGAAGTCACAAGCTCAGTGGAGCAAATGAAATTGATTTGTTATTGTAATGTTGTTATATTTTATGTTTTATGTTTTTTTATTAAAGAAAATAAGAAAAATTATATTCCAAAAAAAAGAAAGTCCTACAGCCTCAGCCACCATTCTTGGTTCTTTTTAAAAACCCACACACACCGATAAATGGGAAGCATGACAAGATTTGACATAAGATTGACAACTGCTAAGTTACTGGTTCTGGCACCAGGCCTATATAAGGATCTAAAGAGAACAGTCCCATATTCCTTTCCTCAATTCCTGCACCAGCCAGTTTACATCTCCCAGGCTACCTTGGTATTCAGTGAGAATGGAACTGTTTTAGATATTTCACATCCTCACACCAGATCACATCAGTTAAGTGGTCATTTTTGTGTTCAGCATTGCATAGAAACTGACACACAAGATAGTGCAAAGTAAAAATGCCTAGCAACAATATCAGAGGCAGAACCTGGTACAGTCATACCTCGGGTTAAAGTAGCTTTGGGTTGAGTGTTTTCAGGTTGTGCTCCGCGGCAACCCGGAAGTAACGGAACATGTTACTTCTGGGTTTCGCTGCTCGCACAGACACTCAAAATGACGTCACGCGCATGCGCAGACGCGGCGAATTGCGACCCGCGCAGACACGGGTTGTGTTTGCTTCAGGATGCAAATGGATCCCATTCACATCCAGAGGTACCACTGTATTTTGAAAATGTCAGTTTTCCAGTTGGCATAAATGCAGGGCAAAACCTGAAAACGGGTGGGCAGAGCTGAGTGAAGCTTCACAGACTAAGATGGTATCCAGTGATCAGTCAGTAAGCCCCACTTCAGCAATTTGCCCTTGCCTACAGATCCTATTCCCTGCTTCCCCACTGTTTGTTGTCTATCTCAGGGACAATGAAAGAGTGTGCCTTCAGGGATGAAGTCAAACTGTTGGAAAGTTACAGCACTTGCTGTGGCTGTAGAGCCTGATACAGGAGAGGCATGTTTTGTTGTAGGTGGGGCACAGGAAGGCGTCTGCTTTTGCTGCTCTGGGTGCACCAGGAAATTTCTTCTCTTTGCCCAGTGGTCACTCCTTCTCCAGTCACTGCTATATAGCTCATCTTAGCACAGCCCCAACCCAACCCCTTGTTGTGAAGATCTGAATTTTAGAAGGCCAATTAATTGTGGCGTATGCAGTGCTTTTTTTCTGGGGGGACGCTCCTCAACGTTTTGTGAATCTTTGTACTTTTGTCCATTTACTGTATTTATTTTTCCCAATCTGAACTATAAAATGGTGATTTTCTTGAATCAAAATGAGAGTACAGTGGTACCGCTGGTTGCGAATGGGATCCATTCCGGGGCCCCATTCGCAACCTGCAAGGAACGCAACCCGCGTCTGCATGGGTCGCGATTCGCCACTTCTGCACATGCGCGTGATGTCATTTTGCGCGTCTGCACATGCGGCGAAACCCAGAAGTAACCCTTTCCGGTACTTCCGGGTCGCTGCGGGACGCAACCTGAAAAGATGTAACCGGAACCCAGCGTAACAAGAGGTATGACTGTACCCCTAAACATTTTTTAAAGGAAAAAAAGCACTGGGCGTACATATGCAAATATATATAAGAGGGCATGTGTATTGTGGCACTTTAAGAACCATGAAGACTATGTTTCCAGGGTACTGGGTCCACTTCACCATGCACTCAAGCCCCCTCCCAAGCATGTACTGTGTGTGTGTGTGTGTGTGTGTGTGCGCGCGCGCATGCATACGCATACACACACACAACCAGATAGATAAATAAACATAAACACAAACACACAATCACACACACACACAGCTAGATAGATAAATAAACATAAACACATACACACAATCACACACACATATACACACACACACGGGCTCAGCCCACGAGGGAGGCACGAGCAACGATCCAGTTGCCAATCTCGCCACTCGCGATCCTACCCAACTCAGTGCTCAGCAAGTTGGTCCCACGGACCATGTGCCAACACGCCCCCCCCCCCAAAGCAGCCCTCCTTCCGGGACTCCCATCATCAGCCCTCAGAAAGGAGCAGGGTCGCCTGGCCACGCCCCCTCCGCGCCCGGCCACGCCCCTTTGCCCACCCCGCCCTCCCGTCTCCCGCTCTCTCCTCGCTCGCTCTCTCACCTTCGGCCGCGCCCGGTAACAACATCGCGCCGCGTCGCCGTGGCCCAGCCGGAGCCTGTCGCCGCCGCCGCCGCTTCCTCCCCACCTCCACGGGCACCGGGGCCCCAGGCGCCCGGCCACCGCCCGGCTCCGCTGGTACATAATGCGGACACAGGGCGGCTCCCCACCTCCAGCCCAACGCCTCTCGCCTCAGAAAGCGCCCGCTGCAGCCGGCGAAGCCACGGCGCCTGCGCCGGCAAGGGAGCCTCCAAATGCGCAGGCGCAGTGCCGTAGTCTCCTTGGGCTGAAGGAGGAAGGCGTGCGCAGGCGCCCTCTTGGCCGGGCCTCGACCCCGCTTTGAACTTTCCGCGAGCGAGCGAGAGCTCTTCGCCCACTGCGCTTGCGCAACGAGGCTGCTGCTGCTGCTGCTGCAAGGGGTTACGGTTCTGCTGCAGGGAGACTTCCGGTTCTCTATCGCAGCTGACAGCATCCTCCATGTGCGGGGGTCGAGAGTGCTAGAAATGCAGAAGGCCGACAGAAAAATGGCACTACGGAGTCTTTCGAGTCCTGTCCTTATTTTCCCCCTCCCAGGATATTCCTTCCCATCCTCTCACATCACACACACAGCACGCATTGAGCACAGCCAGGGCTCACTGGGCAGTTTCGGGGGGGGGGGGTCAGCACCCCCTCTCCTCATAAGAAGTTGAACATATTTTGTTCCCCAAAGCTGCAACTGTCTCCCTCTTGCGCTTATGAAATCAAAACCATCAACTCTAGAAGAACTTCGCTTTTAGTTATGTAGGATAATTAAATGTAAAAGCCCCAAAACACACGTGGTTAGAGGCTCCTTTGGGTGGAGGGGATTTGACATAACCATGCCCCTAACAACGAAGTGCCCCTGTGCATTTTTTTAACGCCTCATGACAAGTAGAAGGGCAACAGTTTCACAATGTATTGCATGAAGGTGTATCTTTCAGACTCTCTCATTACAGTGGTACCTTGGGTTACATACGCTTCAGGTTACAGACTCTGCTAACCCAGAAATAGTACTGTACCTCGGGTTAAGAACTTTGTTTCAGGATGAGAACAGAAATCGTGCTCCGGCGGCACGGTGGCAGCAGGAGGCCCCATTAGCTAAAGTGGTGCTTCAGGTTAAGAACAGTTTCAGGTTAAGAACGGACCTCTGGAACGAATTAAGTACTTAACCCGAGGTACCACTGTACAGTCCTTTGAAAAAGCCATGTCCTCTACCCAGGATAGTAAAAGAAACCTCATGCCCTTAATGATGATGTGAAAGGAAGATGATAATAATACAGCCTTCTAAAAGGCTTCATGACAGGTAAAGACATAGATCTCAAAAGCTGAGAGCCAATATTTATTGTAATAGGCTTCCGTATTACAGCAACCCCCTTGGTGAATCCTTACACCCTTAAGTTGCTCGGTTCCAGTCTTAAAGCCCAGTCTTTTAGCTCACTTTTCCTACTTGTTGCTGTTGGTGAATGTTAATCTGGTTTTACCAGTTAAGAGCTGGTCACACCAACACAGACCAGATTGCATCAATTACTCCTTTTGAATGGCTCTCGCTTTCACAGGAAAATGGAAATTGTGCATTGCTCTATCTTCCAGCCTCCCTTCATGATAACGTATTTTCCTCTGTATGCACACATAAAGTTAGGAACTATTTATGTGTCTTATGAGGGGGGTTCTCATCCACAAAACTTTACACCACAATATTTGAACCCTTTAAGGTGTCGTCGGACTCGTGCTACAACAGACACAACTCCACTTCTGTAATTTCCTCACAAAATGTTTGCTTCAGTTATGAGTGCAGCTATCAAACACGGCGTGCGTACATAGAATTATATAGACTATTATTTCAGTGAGTTTAGGTACACCCAGTACTTTTTTTCTGGGGGGACCCAGGGGTACACATACCCCTAAACATTTTGTGAATCTAGTTTGGCCTCATTGAGGGGCAGTATTTCAATATGAGTAGGAAAATGAGAGCACCCCTAAACATTATTTTAAGAAATAAAGCACTGGGTACACCTAACAGCAGCTCCCATTCCATTTTCTATCATGTATACATTTCCCCCCCTTCTCCTTTGAAGCATTACATTGTTTCTTTAGTTTAGGGAGTACAATATTGCTTTAAGTTTTGCCAGGTAGTTAGCATTACTTTGATTCAGAAGTGAGTTTCCTAAAAAATAGTTCCTTGTTAGATTTTGAAAAATAAAGTTACAATGAATATCAGAACTTTCACTGTTGCCTTATTCTTCCCCAAATAAACAAAAAAATTTATTTCCTACTTTATACCTTGTTTTATTCCAACAGCTAGAGATCAGGCTCAACTGAAAAACTGGATCCAAACTACAAGAAAGAAGATTCCACCTAAACATTAGAAAGAACTTCCTCACAGTAAGAGCTGTTCGACAGTGGAATTTGCTGCCAAGGAGAGTGGTGGAGTCTCCTTCTTTGGAGGTCTTTAAGCAGAGGCTTGACAACCGTATGTCAGGAGTGCTCTGATGGTGTTTCCTGCTTGGCAGGGGGTTGGACTCGATGGCCCTTGTGGTCTCTTCCAACTCTATAATTCTATGATTCTATGAAGCCAGAGAAGTACACTGATTTCAACACACTGGAACAAAAAGGTACTTCTCATGTACTTGCAGCTCTTTTGTCCTGCATATGGAAGCTTATAATCTGAACAGGAAATGATGGCTGCAAGGAACTCTGCTTTTTCTCTATCTTGAGCCTGCTCAAACTTAAGTGCTAGAAAACTTTTCTGCATGTATGGGACATGCAGCCCAAATTGCGCATGTTCAAATAGGGAAAGAAAGCTGGAAGATGCAATTGCATCTTTGCACCAGAACAATGACTGCAAAAGCTAATTCATGCATGTTTTTCAGGCGTCTGTGACTGCATCAAATGTGTAATTTATGCATGCTCTTCAATGCTGTGCTAACTTGGAAGAGATACTTGCATGATCAACCCTCAACAACAGCAACAGCTTGATTTGAAATAACCTGTTATACCTACATCTACATAAATTCTGCACAGGACACTCATAGCTTAGGGAAGACAACAACTTTTCTGTTCTGTTCAATTCAATATTTAATGGCACATTCTGTATGATGGTACATGTGCAAATGACTGACACGAGGAGTTGACACTATCAAGTCTCTTAAGCTCAACACCCGGTGTTTTCATTAGATCTTAAAAATTCTTCCTAATCTCCAAGCAGCCCAGTTAAGGTGATGCATACTGCTAATGGTTGTGCTTCTATTTAAAATGTTTTTGCCCCTTCATGTTCACCCTGCCCTGTTTGGACAAGGTGCTGACTTACCTTTGCATAAGTTAGCGCTCCTTTCCAGCCGGTGCAACGTGGAGGCAGAAGCAGATGCCAGAGTCTATAATGGTTTGCCTAAATGGTTTTAAATGATGTGGCCACTACCACCAGAAGAGAATACTATATGGAAAAAGATACTAACATTTGCTCTGTTATTCAAGCCTTCAGGAGCTTTGGCCTAGACACATTAATAAGTTAACAAATGAATGAGAGAACATTAATAAGAAAATGAACAGGAAAGTAAAAGGCATAGGAAGTGCACTTAGCCGATTTTGTAAGGCATTCATTCAATGAAATAAGTATGAACTCACTTTTAACTCCAGTGTTGGCTAATTTGAACTAAATGCTCTACTAAGACCATATTCATGTAGATTATATTTAGTCCAATTAGGAAGAGAAATATACCAAATTGGAAGGGGTAAGTTTAAATCTAGATTAAGCGGATCCAGAAGTGCTAAACCCCTTTTGATTAAATTGGACCAAGTTGATTTCCTGCACATGCTATTTATTCCTTCCTGTGTTTTCTTCCTACCGCTCTTCATATTCAGGGCAAAGGCAAAGGAAGTGAGCGGCCCTTCCCTTCTCAAAGTTTGTGGGAAGTTCCAACGTTGTACCGAAACAATTACCGAAAATTTGAATTCAGGCTTTCCTATTTTTCTTGGGATGGAGCAAAAACCCACATAAGATTTGCCAAGTAAAATTTGGCTGGCGCATTTCAGCACCCGTATCTGAATTCTGTAAAAATTCAGGCCCTTTTAAGTTTACAAATGCAGGATCACCTAATTGAACAGAGTTTCATTAAAACGCTAGTTTCAAAAGATGAAAAGAGGATTTCAAACTGAATGGAGCTAGCAGGAAATACAACAGAAAGGCACCACATCAAGGTGAGTGAGAGGGATATAGTGAATGGCATGCTGCTTCTGCTGGTCCGATCCAGGGCAGAAGGAAAAGGAGCAGGAAAATGCTGGCAATTTAATGCCAGAGGGAGGAGACATTCCAGTTAAGACGGGTTGATCCAAGTCAGTATGTCAGCAAGAGAGGAATCTAAGCTAATTCAGTCCTCTTCCTCATATTGGCAAGATTATCTGTTCTTGGCTGAAGACTACAGCCACAAGTGCAGGCCATTCCTCTCACCAGGGTCTGGTATTGCAATACAGATACTTGTGGTGGATCCATTTGGCTTCATAGGGACTCCCCGCTACTGTCCAAAGTGGTTTCATCTGCCAGGGACTCCTGGGCAGATTGTGCCACCCTCTGTTCTGCTGCGGGGAGAGTCTGGCCACGCGATGGCCGTTTTCGCAGGAGGGTTGGCTGTTTGTGACTGTCAAAGCGTAATGGTCCTTAATCCTTTCTGGAGGACTTGGAGTCATAAGAGTTCTGGAGTCCATCATCCTCTGATGTGTAGCTTCTGCAGAAGGATGAGCTGTCTCTCCCATCTGCCCGAGGTTGGCTGGTTCCGGGGGGCTGATGATGGTGCTGTCCAGCCTAGTGGAGAAAACAAATATCATCATCATGATCCCTTTTATCATATGTGGTGGTCTTGTAGTAAGGTTAAAGCTCACTGGGAAATGGCACACAATGAATTGGAAAGGATGTTCAAAATAACTTTTGGGGGGGAAAACCAGAAGCTTTTCTTTGGTGAATTATAGGGACAGAACTACCTAAATTGTATAGCAATTTATTTATGTATGCTACTACAGCGTCAAGAATGCTACTTGCCCCAAAGTGAAAAGAAGAAGAAATCCCAGCAAAGGAAGAATGGATACAAAAACTTATGGAATATGCAGAAATGGCAAAACTTACCGAAGAATAAGAAAGCAAGATAACAAACTTTTAATAAAAGAATAGAAATGGTTTGTTGAATATTTACAGATAAATTGCAAACAGATAAAAACATTGTCAGGGTTATTGTAATAACCTGCAGTTTCATAAGAGTATATATTTAAAGTAGATAATTAAAGGAGAAAATTAAATGAATTTGGATATGCGGAAAATATTGAAAAATAAATTTAAGGAACCAAAGAAAGAGGGGAACTAAGTTTGAAATGTTAAATTGATTGTAAAACTAATGAAATGTATAAACTTGAAAAGTATAAATAAAAACTTTAAAAAATAAATAAATCATATGACATGATCCAAAGGCTAATGGTGGTCATGTTCAGTTTTTACACAATCCTTTTAAAGCAACTCATCTAGACTGGAAGTACAAATTTGATATTGTCATCCTATTCAGAGCCTTCATTAGCCACTGTTGCGTTTAAGAAGCAGAAAAGTATTTGGGCAATATCTAACTAAATCACACTCAGAGTAGACCCACTGAAATAAAGGGATTTGGTTTATTTACATTCACAGCAAACAACTGGAAGATTCCTAGCAGCGAAGAAGGGAGAAAGACTGGCCACTGTGTTTGGAGGGAAAGAAAGAAAACAATTTCCCTACAGGGATTGAGATTGTTCTCTCCTGTGGGTGGGGAAGAGCTATAGCTCAGTGGTAGAGAATCCGCTTTGCACGCAGAAGATCTCTGGTTCAATCCCCGGCACCTGCAGGTACCACTGGGAGAAATCCCTGAACTACTGCTGGTCTATGTAAACAATACCAAGTAGGATTGTGCCAGCAGGAGGCACTGTAATATACTTGCAGCACTGCTGCAGGCTGAATTACATAGGCATGTTTGGTTAGATGGTCCTGCACGTAGTAAAATACCAAACCAGAATAGCTTTTGGTGCCTTCAGTTGTTTTATTGGAAGAAAAGTCATGGGGCAGGAAAGTAACAAGAAGTACCTCTCTGACTCCTGAAGCTTTCTGGGTGAACTGAGGTCCTCTAAGTCATCTAGATAGGAAGAAACCAGACAAATGCAGCATTTCAGTAGTACAGACATGACAATACCCCTCCCCCTCCCAATTCTTCATAATGGAAGGCAGACACACTGTATTAAAACTAGCCCTTAGGCAGAAATTCCTCAAACATTAGCAAGTAATAGCTAGAAAGAAACCAATCAGAGCTTCGTCAATTAATCTGTTCCACATGGTTGAGACTGCTTTTGCACAAGGCCAGAATTTGATATCGAGGGCGTAATTCAAAAATCATGAGAACCACAGCTTGGGTATTTCTTTTTTAAAGAAACATCTAGGGCAGTGTTGTTGTTTTTTGTCCAATAGGAACATAGGAATCTGCCTTACAAACAGGCCAGACGATTTGTCCAGGTAGCCTAGTACAGTTTACAGAATACATCCTTTGGGTGTAGAAAAGTTCCGGGGTCAGTCCTTGAAATCTCCAGTTAAAGAATCCAGGTTGGAGGGCTGGAAAAAGATCCCGCCAGAGACAGCATAGGGCTAGGTGGACCAAGAAGCTAACTCAGAATCAGACAGGTTCAATGCCTGCTTTCCTCTTCCCTCCCTAGGCCTTTTGTACTGTCTCTATTAAATTGTGAGCCTGCGGACAGGGACTGTTACCTGCTAATACCTGCACAGGGCTGAGAAAACTTGCAGAACTTTAGAGCAAATAATAATGAGGCAGAACATTAAATAAGCACTGTAGAGGTGCTATAGAAACATCCACCATGAACAGCGCAATCCTAACTGTGCCTATTCAGAAGTAGCTCCTACGGAATTCAGTGGGGTCGACTCCCAGGTAAATGCAGCAAAGATTGCAACCTGGGCGAGTCCTTTATGGGCTAGGATCCAAGTGCTGTAATGTAAGTGTGGGGAAACCTTTGGCCCTCCAGACACTGCTCAACTACAGCTCCCATCATCCTTGGCTATGCTTGCTGGGGCTGATGGGCACTCCAGTTCAGTAACATCCAGAGGGAGGCAAAGGTTCTCCAGATCTGCTGAAACGGTTAACCTGTACAGTGGTACCTCAGAAGTTGAATGGAATCCATTTCAGAAGTCCGTTCGACTTCCAAAAAGTTCGGAAACCAAGGCACGGCTTCCGATTGGCTGCCGGAAGCTCCCGCAGCCAATTGGAAGCTGCGACGGACGTTCGGATTCCAAAGAATGTTCGCAAACCGGAACACTCACTTCCGGGTTTGCGGCATTCGGGAGCCAAAACGTCCAAGTACCAAGGCGTTCGGAATCCAAGGTACGGCTGTATTTGCCCCACTACCCAGTCCCTTGAGAAAAAGCTGGCTATAGATCTGGAAATGTCTCCTATGCCTCCAGCGGTCACTCACTTGCTCTTTTATCGGAACGCTCCATGGCTGGGGCAGAGTTCTTGAAGCGGCTGTAAGAAGACTTCTGAGCCATGAGGCTGTCCTTTAGAGTGCCTGTCCTGGAGGGCGGGAGGGGGAAGACAAGCGGGAGGGTGGAGATGAAGCGGCGGCAGCAGAAAGCAGCAGGTAGGGCAGAAACACCAAGCAAGGATGCAATGGGACAAGGATGTCCCACAGGGAGAGGATGCACAGAATGAAATCCATCCAGTGGGGCACAGTCCGTCCCCCCCCTTCAAAAGGAATTATACTGCAGAAAGTTGTACCTGGAGGGGAGAAGTGAGCGACATTGCAATGTACCGTATTTTTTGCTCTATAAGACTCACTTTTTCCCTCCTAAAAAGTAAAGGGAAATGTGTGCGCGTCTTATGGAGCGAATGCAGGCTGCGCAGCTATCACAGAAGCCAGAACAGCAAGAGGGATTGCTGCTTTCACTGCGCAGCGATCCCTCTTGCTGTTCTGGCTTCTGAGATTCAGAATATTTTTTTTCTTGTTTTCCTCCTCCAAAAACTAGGTGCGTCTTGTGGTCTGGTGCATCTTATAGAGTGAAAAATACAGTACTTTCCCTTGTACTTGGACCACGTTACTTTATATCAACCCTCCGCCCCTACCTGGATTCATTACCCCAACCCTGTATAAGGTAGGTTAACTCAAGGAGGGCAAGCAATCCACACAAGGCAAAGGAAAGGTTTGAACCAAGGTTTCCAGGGTTCGACATCAGTGATCTATTTGCCTACTATATTACACCAATTCCTGGAAAGGAGAGGATTTGCAAGTTATTCCATAAGCCAGTGGACACAGAACAAAAGAGACAAGACCACGCATTGAATCTTTGAAAAAAAAAATCCAAACTTTATTGAAATGTAAACAAAAGGTTTTGTATTTTCCATGCCAGACACCAACAGCCAAAGGCAGTTCAGAGTCTCAGGTGCTTTGATAAGAAGAGAAAGGGGTTGGGAAAGGCAAGAAGCCTCAAGGAGCAGTGCTTCTCAAGCAGCCAAATCTGAATTTAAAGAGGAAAAGGGTGGGGGGCAACATTGGGAGTTCCCCACATCTGAGCAGCTTTTAAAGTCCGTTGTGTCCAGGGAAAAGGGACATTACTTGGGCTCATGAACGTCATTCTAGAGAAAAGCTTAAGACGCTAAGCAAACTTCTGCCTTGTCCACAGACGTCATCTCCAAGTGGCTGCTGTCTCACTCAGCTTCACTTTCCCCCCATTTAGCAATACTGAGCTGAGAAGGGTGGGGTCTAAAGATGGCAACTGGGGATGTGCTGTAAGACATAAAAACTGCTATGCTAGATCTGACCAAAGGTCCGTCACAGCTTTCAGCTGGATGCTCCCAGAGAAAAATGGCTTCCAACAGGCATGAGGAAGAGAGCCATTCCCCCATTTGGCCTCAGCATCTGGAGAACAGAGCAATACTGGGATGTATCCAGGGCTAGTCCTACTCAAGAGCTGGCCTACTGAAGTTAACAGACATGACTAACTTAGGTTCCTTAATTTCAATGAGTTTACTCTGTGTAGAACTTAGGTGGATACAACCTATTGTGTATGAACTTTAGAGGGCCCATTTTTTAAAGACCAGGCATAGGCAAACTTGGCCCTCCAGATGTTTTGGGACTACAACTCCCATGATCCCTAGCTAACAGGACCAGTGGTCAGGGGTGATGGGAATTGTAGTCCCAAAACATCTGGAGGACCGAGTTTGCCTATGTCTGTTTAAAACCATAAAGGCTGTCAGTGACAGACCTAGCCAAAGCTATTTTTCTAGAAAAAGAGGTGCCAGAACTCACCATGAACACCTCCCTTGTTCTCTTATAATGGCAATGGCAGCCACCTGAGAGATGCCGGAACTAAAAGCAAGCCCTGAGCCACTGTAAAATTATCAGGGCTGGCCCAATATAATAATAATAATTATTTATTATTTATACCCCGCCCATCTGGCTGGGCTTCCCCAGCAACTCTGGGCAGCGTCCAACAAAATATTAAAATACCGTAATACATCAAACATTAAAAGCTTCCCTAAACAGGGCTGCGGATACACTTTGCTGCCTCAAGCTCATCATAACCCCCACCTTTTTCTACATACGAATGAATCTTACTTAACACTGGTGACGGGACAGCATCCTCAGCAGAGATTAGCAGACCATTTGGCACATGCAGCTCTATTCTTCAGCACCTCCCTGCCACTCGTCACCTCTCAGCTTCTGCCACCTGAGGCAGCTGCTTCCCTTTGCCTAACGGTAGCACCGGCCAGCCCTGACATTTATAGCAACACTCGTTGGTGAAGCTCAGTATCATTCAGGGGCATGATCTAAATGCAAGTTGTTAAGAGTCAAATTTAAAAGCAGCACGAGTCAAATACTCCAAGAACTAGATAGCCACTAGGGCTGGGTTTTTTTTAAGAGAGAGAGAACAGATTAGATTCAGCCATGGAGGATAGGAGTATCGTAAGCTATCAGAAATGCTAAACTAAAACAGAACTCCAAGAATGACACCAAGTACCAGTTACGGAGGACAAAGAGGAGTAGGAAAACCATCTCCTGCATAATCTTCTTATAAACCTGGGAGCAACCAGCTGGCTGCTGTTAGAAACCAAATGCAAGATTAGGTGGAGCAACGCAGCAAGGCAGTTCCTACGTTCTTAAGCAAAGTGGTCTCCTGTTTTAGCTGAGCCCATGCTACTTGATGGCACAACCTATGCAAGGTGTAACCGAATACAAGGGCAGCCCACACTGCCACATGATACAATTGGCGGACCACACAGGGTGATGACCATTGGCACACTCAGCAGGCAGTGCTTCAACCTACCCCTGTCTCTGGCCTCTGCAGTCTCCTCTCTGTCGATCTGGTGTCACAGGAGCACAAAATAAACTGTGTATGCTGGAATGCGTGTAGCACTTTACAGTTCTGCAATTTCAGAGCACATAAGGAATGTAGCATTGGGCTCTGAAGTTAAGCATCCCAAGTCTCATGAATTTTCATTAAATCTGTGAGCCTGCATGTGATGACAGATTTGAAATCAGGCAATGCCATGATTTCAAAGCTCAGAAGCCAGAGGAGAGTCCAAAGGGAAAAGGCAGAGTTTCATTGCCCCTGAAGTTTCATGGCCACATTTTTATCCTGCCCTTTCCCCAAGTCGCTCAGGCAAGCACACATGACTTCTGTATCCCCACCCCCATTTTATCCTCACAACAACCCTGTGAGGTAGGTTAGGCACAGAGAGGGAAAGAGGGGGTAAGGTCACCCAGTAAGCATCAGGGCTGAGTGCGGATTTGAATCCAAGTCTTCCCCATCCTAGTCCAACACCCCATCCACCACACCACACAAGCTCTATATAGTTCCCTTGCTCCTTATATTATTACTACACCTACTGGTTAAGTAAACATCTAAATTACAATAGCCAAGCAACCTCGTTTGCAAGTTGCTAAAACAAGTTGCTGTTTTCCCTGGCACAAGAGTTTAGGCTACCTTGGCACTTTTATCCTCAATATATGTGCACTTGCTTCTCTGGCATAGTAATTCTCTGGCTGGCATGCCCGACACCTTTCAGTTTCTTGCTGGAGACCAATTTCCCCCTCCAAGGCACGCAAGACCCAACTCTCATTCTAGGGACTTCTAGTTTCCCGCTTCTCGTCCTCTAAACCTGTCCATCTCCACCTCCCAAGTCTGAAAATAAAGGCCAGAGCTTCTGCTTCTCCAGCTGAGGTATCCTATTTTACAGCCCTGTAAGAGTTTCTCTCCTGCTTTGTGAAGACAGGGGCAACCGCTGTAGGTTTTGTCACTGAAGCCAGGTCCTTCTGCACTACATCCCAAACACATCAGCAGCCTCAGGGGTGACATTCTGAAAGGAATTCAGGGCAGAACATGCTATAGACACAAGAATGTCTGAAGGCAACACAGAGTTGGCAAATTACAAAGTGGAGGAAGACAGGAGAATGCAGGAAGGTGGACAAGGTGGGCAAATCATCTTCTTTCTTCCTCTCTCTTAAAATTTGGCAGAGAGGGTGAAACTGCTATCAATGTTGTGTTCTATGGAAACTGGGTCACGTGGAAACACGATTGTGGTTCTTCTCACATTTCCACCATAACCACACTAAATGAAACCTCGATAAGTACCTTTGGCTACAGTCGCAACTTTATTAGGAGTTAATCTGGGGGGTGGCAGGGGGAGAGGAGGAGATACTGAAGGAGGACTAGGTGGATTTCACCAAGAGCAGCTGTGGCCTTTGCTGGGCTCAACTCTGCTTTAGAGGGATGCACCAGGGGAACTTTCCCAGGCCTACTTTGGAAAAGCAGAGCCCCAGCTTTGCAGGCAGACAGGTGGTCCCAGCCCCAGGCACAATCCTTCTGAATACTAGTTGCTGGAAACTACATGAGTGCTCAGGTCCTGCCTGTGGGTTTCCCCATCTGGTTGGCCACTGTGAGAACAGGATGCTTGACTAGATGGGGCATTGATATGATCCAGCAGGGTCTTCTTGTGCTCTTATGGTGGGGAAGCTGTGGCACCTCCAGATGTTGTCAGGCTCCCAGCACCCATAAGCAGATATGGCCAACGGTCAGGGATAATGGATTTAGGAGTCCAGCAACATCCCCACCTCTGACCTAGCATCTCTGGGTCAAGGGTGTCAGATAGCAGGAAAAACTCCTTTCTGCCAGTCAAATTAGACTGTGCTGGACCAGATGGACCAATGGTCTGGCTCGGTACAAGGCTGCTCCATTGGTTCCATCTATGCATACCCTAAAACAGAACACACTGTAGCCCGATTTAATGTCTCAGCCACTCCCTCCAAGGTAACAAGTATCTAGAAAGTGGCTGAGGTGCATAACGGCAAGGGCGAGGGAGAAATAGGACACTCCTTCAGAGTAAGGGACTATGCATGGCGGGGTCTGTGTGAGGGCAGATAAGGGAGTTTTTAGGGGTTTCATAGAGACCCCTAATACCTGACCACTAGTTCAGCCTTGCAAGAAAGTTTACAGCAGCTCATAGCCTGCCCATTTATCACTGTTAAAGTTAAATCATTCTTCCGGCCTGTCCATATATCAATCTCTGCCATTCATAACACATGGATACAAAACGCACCAAACGCGACAGGGAGCCTGACCGCTACTGAAAAAAAACTAAAACAAACACGCTATACCGTACGTTTTTCAGGGATCAGAGCACTTTGTCAAAATCCAGGATGAAAGTGGAAGGGATTCCTACTGACTAGCCAAACGTGCAAGAGAAATATCACGGGCCCCAATTTTAATAATATGAAGCCATCAGACAGCTTCTCTTGACTTGGGCTCTGCTAAAAGCAGTGGATCCCATGTAAAGGGAAACAGGCTTTTGAAGCCCTACAAGTAATAATAATAATAATAATAATAATAATAATAATAATGCAAACTCTGTTTACCAGAGATAACAGCAGGATGTGTCTGCACCCCAGGCTGATGCCTCTTTCAGAGGCTCTGGTTACAACTGTCTCTCTCCAATCTAAAACTCACAGACGGACGGCCAGGTAGCGCCTAACACTGTAAATCCAAAACCATACCTGCCTCATGGTGGTAAGACTATAATAACCATTTCAATAATTCGCTTGTTTTTAATAGTAAAGTAAAATCTGCCATCTGAAGTGGGTTCTTTCATCCCTTCTAATAATACACCCAGTCCTGACTGTGTTAGGTTTTGTCACCAGTCCGACGACTATTCATTTAATCTACGTGGACAGTTTTTCAAAAGTGAAATCTTACAGAACTAAGTGATAATTTACAGCAAACTTGCATTGTCTTCTTTGGATCCATGATTGGCAGGTCACAACAGACGACTGACAGGTCTGTATGGCGACAGGCAGCAGACCACAGTGTCAAAGAGTGTATACTTGGGACACCAGTACTTTCCTGGCTGTAAGCTCTCACCGCTTTGGAGCTGAAGCCCAACTTAATAAATAATTTGAATTTCGTCAAAGCCCAGCAGCCGGTGCTGCTCTTTAAAAAAAGCAGCCAGGTTCCTTTCCTTAAGGGCATTCCGGAATCTTGGCATTAAAAAATTGAAGACCAAAAACACACACACACGCACACGATATAAATAAACCCACATCCTTACAGGTTCTACCCATTAAGCTTATAAAAAGGAAGGGATGAGGAAATTGGATGTAAAACCAAATTTCACTGCTAGAAAGAACTCAAGGACGCAAGTGGAGGCCCAACGGCTGGGTAGACACAGCAGAGACCGGCGATCAATGGCTGTTTTCAGCACGATTCAGGGAGCTGGTGGTGGAGAGGGGGAGGAAGAGAAGAAAGGAAAGGGAGGGAAGAGGAGGGGATTGAAAACAGAAAAAAGAAAGAGAGGTTAGACCCCCAAACGGACCATTTGGGGAAAATCTATCAGGTTAAGATAACGAAGAAAACATCTCACTTCCGAGAAACACAGTGCTAATGGATAAATGGTACTCTGGAAATGGTGGGTATATTATACTTTTGATGCTGGATTAAGTGCAAGGATGAGGATGAGGATGGCAAGCACTAAGGAGGGGGAAGGAATGTGAGGATGCTGCCATGGCAAGAGCTGTGTAGGACAGCAAGACCTTTCTAGAACCTCTGATTTCTGAAACTTCCTGAGGCCCTGCCTATATTTCTCCAAACCTTTTATAGCATATCAGATACTATTAACTGCTGTGTGAAATGAATATGATCCAGGGCGCTCTTTATTCTGAGGAACCAAGGTGAAAGCGCATACAATTAGAATCGACGCATTAGAATTGAAAGTGCATACAATTAGAATTGAAGACCCACAAAAAGTTTTTTTTTAATAACTGCATTAGAAGCATGCATGGAAAATGTACAATACACTGTTAAAAATTGTATTTCATGCACAGCAACATCCACAACCTAAGATTAATATAGCCTAGTCATGCAAAACTGGCACATCTTTATGGCTTTATAGCTTTCGAGAGCCACAAACAAATCAAACATAATCTCATCTAGCACTCAGTGAGCCAAGTTCAAACCTAGCATCCTTTCGGCATGTCAGATGCAAAGCAAACTGACAAACTGCAAGCGCTCAGTCCCATTTCATGTGGTCTGCATGTGATAAAAGACCAATTCTGCCAACTAGCAGAATTGCATAGAGGAATTAGCCACCCAAGGCCACAAGGAATGACATGAAGGATTAAATCCTGAGAGGGAGTCTGTGGGTCACTGAAGTGCAAACCTCTCTATTCCTATGTCTAGGGCAGCTCAGCTTTGCCATCACTTTCTGTACTTTCCCACATCTCACTCAAGGTTAACCCTGTACCTAAATGAGCACGTCTCTGCTCCTCCCCTAGACGTGCAAGTCCCACATTTACTGCTGAAGCTCTGTTGCATTTGCAACCACGTGAACTCCACCCATCCATCTTGCCTTCATAACTTGGCTCGCTGTTGCCACTGCCCTCTCTGATTCCAAGCTGCCTCTGGCACTCAGTCTCTAGTCCCAACTTGGCCTTTTAACTCCTTTGTCCAGGAAAGGGTAAGCACAATGTAGCAACTAGGTACCTACGTAATACACTAGCAACCACTGCCAGGTGGAACTGGAGGTAGCTAGAAAGAGCATTGTAGCTGTTTAAGTAACTACAACGCGCTCGTCCTTCTTCCCTGTACTGTTCACACAGTCAGCATTTTCCAGGGTCTCAAGACATACACCTTTATATCAGGGATTTCAACACCCACCACCCAATTCCAGATGGTAGTTTCAAAATAGGGTACTGAGCACATAGTTAATATTCTCCAGAATCAGATTTAATTTTACAAAGCAAGATTCTAACCCTTAGGGTATGAAAATATGTTTGAAGGCAAGTGGGAAATGCCTGGTGAAGTCTCAGAAGCCAGAGGAACTGCTGAACGACATTTTTTTAATTGATTTACAGTGGGGGTATTCAGTACCTTGCACAGCTGTAGTCTCCCCATCTCACTTGTCTATTATTAATATTATTATTACTAATAATAAAAATAAAAATATATTATATTATATTATATTATATTATATTATATTATATTATATTATATTATATTATATTATATTATATTATATTATATTATATTATCATAATTATTTACAGCACGCCCATCCGGCTGGGCTTCCCCAGCCACTCTAGGTGGCTTACAGCATATATATAAAAAATTGAAAAACACCAGACATTAAAATTTTACTGATACAGGAAAGTAAAGTCAGAATGAAATCTGTAAAAGTAAGCCAAATTACACAAATCATTTCATTTTGTAATGTTTTTTTACGGGCAGCAGAATTCAGTTTTTCTCGTCAAGGACTTAGAATGCCTGGATGCATAGTTTGAACTAATTAAGTTCAGGAAACAGACTTTTCTGATAACAAGGCTCCAGTGTGACAAGACAAAAAAAACCAGAATCTGAAGTCATTTGGAAATGAAATGCCTGCTGGTGTTTTGATTCAGAGATCCTTAAGGACTGACTACTTCCCAAGCTCAACAGAAACAATATTCTATTCCACACATACACAGAGAGAGAGAGAGAGCATTCTTTCCCAGCTACTGCAAGATTTTCAGATACCCCACATCTCCAGCTGTACCTGGTTCTCCGCCTCTGTGAAGCTGGGTCTCCGGGCTCACCATTCATCAGATGGTGGGCAGTCGAGTGGGGAGGGCAGAGGCGCAAGTTCTTCAGCAGCTCCTGCTCGTTGAGGAAAGGCTTGAGGCAGCCTCGCACTGGGGAGTTCCCCAGACTGCTGGAGCGGGTCAGTGAGCGAGACTGGTTGAAGGGCCAGGGTGGTTCGACTTCTTCCTTCAGGACTATTTGTGGGGACATATAAAAAAAAGGTTCAGTCCTCCAGTTCCTAGAGAGGCCCAAGGTATGCTATTCAAAAAGGCAGCCACTCTGGGTCCCTTAAAAGCCACAACATCACCATCGCCTTCAACTTCTCACTTGCTGAAAGGCCAAAGACCCAGAGAATTACCTTGCTTTTTCTCCCACTTGCACTGCACTACGGGAAGCTCAAAAATAGCTGCATCCTTACTTATGGAAGGCCAGGTAGGACAAAGTTTGAGCATCTTCTTCTTTATGCAATGTTTCCCTGACAGCCTGTCAGGGGACCAGTTTGGAACTGGCACATTCTGAAAAGTGGTGGCTGAGCCCAGGGATCTTGTAGCTCACTTCCTAGACAAGGGAACCCTTCTTCTAAAAAAAAAAAATGCCCACTCATTTCCAAGCTTGGATGGAATGTAGACCAGGCTTCCTCAACCTCGGCCCTCCAGATGTTTTGAGACTACAATTCCCAACATCCCTGACCACTGGTCCTGCTAGCTAGGGATGATGGGAGTTGTAGGCCAAAAACATCTGGAGGGACAAGGCTGAGGAACCCATCTGTAGACTCTTCTACTGAAGTCTGTCTCGGATTTCAAAACTGACTTGCCGCTTCTCCTACTCTCCTAAATCAAACAGCTGCCGTATCCTAGATGGGGCCTAGTGACCTAACTGCAACAAGTATCACAGAACCACGAACACATAATATGCACATTCCTCTGCTTCATGAAGTCAGCTGGTCTCCATCCTACCCTGGGAAACAACACGAAATGGGTTCTCTTGTCCTGGTGTCATTCACAACTTGCCCCCTCAATCTGGAGGCTGATTTGCAACGCTCCCACCAAAAAGAGAACCGGTTAAACCCACTTCCCAGTCCAGAAGCAGCTTCAGTTATTAATCTCTTACACTCTCGGTCTGATGAAGAATATGGTTTTATCTCCCCCTCATGACGCTTTTGAGGCAACTTTCTCACTGGAGCTGCGAGGAGAGGGAGAGAGAAAGATGAGTAAGCTTTTAAGGAGGAAGGGAAAATCAGTTAATCACATAAAAACATTTTCTCTCATATAAAATAAATAAAATAAAATCTTATTCCAAACACAAGAAGCAATTGTGAGGAAGATCCCTTAATAATCAAAATAGTTCAATACTGGGAGGTATATAATAAAAAAGGGAAAAAATAGAAATAAGATGAAAATAGAAGAATAAGTCCAGCAAAGCCAGTGCAATTTATCAAAGTATGTTTTAATTCTTATATTCACAAAGAGGAGGTCAATAAACTCTAGTTCATCTCATCGGACCAATTGCCCTCATAGAAGTTGATTATTAGTAGGTTAAAAAAGAGTATCATTTAATTATTTCCCTCATAGATTTAAAAGAAGACATCCAGGGTGGACCTCCTTTTTACACCCCTAATGTTTGCCGAATTAATTTCAATTTAAATAAACAGTTTATTATCCTCTTGGTAGTTAATTAATTCTAGGCTTTAAAGTTTTGGAAAAGTTACTGCTTTGATGCATGGAGCTTGAGGCTTCTTGTTGTGGAGCTTGGTGCTTTCGGCTCCATCTCACCCCCACAGCTCCTTTCAGAATGGAGAGCGGGACAAGAATCAGAATCGTGCTGCTGGACCCCTTTGAACCAAAAAAACCCCCTTTTGGGCTTCCTCGGGGGTGCAAGGTGCCCACGTGCTTCCCCCAGAACTCTCACAATGAGCGAGCTGTTCATGGAGAACAGAGCTTGCCATCTGACACCATTCCACAGTAACCCGGAAATGGGAGTAGGGATTTTAAGAGCATTTTCTGAGCAACCAAATGAATGGCAGTTCTAAACTGTGTGGGTGATCATCTAAGAATTAACCTAGAAGGACATGATTTCATGAATGGTAGTTAAGGCATGCAATAGGAACAGTCCCTTAATTGTATTCAAAGATCTAGCCGACGAGCAAAAGCATGTGTAGGCAATCTATTCAGGAAATTCCAGGAACAACGCTGGAAATCTGTCATTAGACAGAGGGCCCTCACTTCCTTTTCTCTGTGTTTAATTAGCATAATTGCCATTCCATTTTCAGATTCTTGGCAGATGCTGAATCACAGCCAACCGGATGTGGTATACTTGTTCTACACTTAAGCTTAGCTTGAAATTATTACTCTCAAACCCCCATCAACGCCACTAATCCTGCGGTGGCGGAGGAAGCCGTTTGGGCGCCTGGGGTGGCGGGCCCAGGGGTGGAGCGGGGCGAACCGCGGGGCCTCCGGAGTCTGCCTGCCTCCTCCCACTCAGCCACCCTACAGCTGGGGGGGAAGGCAGCAGGCAGACCGTTTGGGCAAGAGACACGTGGCTCGGGCGCACTGCAGGCCTCACGGTGAGTGCCACCCGACACTATGTCATGCCCCTCAGTGGTGACAGCCGGCGCAAACCTGCACCCACTGCACCCCCCTTCGCCCGTGTATAAATCCATGGTGTAGGATTCTTATTAATGTAAAGAAAGACTTCAGTTTTTGGAGCTGCCAGCAGGCCCAGACAGAGTGGGGGCCATATGAGCCACTTGGCCCGGGGCCTCCGATTCCAAAGGGGGCCTCGGTCAGCATATTTTTTAAAAGCACTACAGTATTGTATATATATTTTCCATTTTGTCTTTATATGCAGATACGGTTCAAGCCTTGAAATAAAATTATTTGTCAGCATAACTTTTGTGATAATTATTTACAGTGGTGCCTCGCAAGACGAAATTAATTCGTTCCGCGAGTTTTGCCGTCTTGCGATTTTTTCCGTCTTGCGAAGCACGGTGTCGGGAAAGTTTTGGAAAAGCTTCAAAAATCACCAAAGTCTTTAAAAACCTCAAAAAAGGCTACCACACCGCGTTCTATGAGTTGCTCCTCGAAGTCAAGTCGCAACTGTATTAACGGTGTTAAGAAAAAGGAAACAAACTTGCAAGACGTTTCCGTCTTGCGAAGCAAGCCCATAGGGAAAATCGTCTTGCAAAGCAGCTCAAAAAACCCTTTCGTCTAGCGAGTTTTTTGTCTTGCGAGGCATTCGTCTTGCGAGGTACCACTGTATATACTTACTTATTTATAAGACTTCAGTTATCCCCAGGGTAAAAAAAAGGGAGGGGCACATTATCTACCTGGCCCGGGCCTCTGCCTGGCTCTGCAAGGCCCTGACTGCCAGTCTTGGGGAAAAGGATAACATTGTACATGGTGTAGACAAAATGGGGAGCTTTTATCCCTCTCTCATTATACTAGAATCTGGGGACATCCATCCCCAGGACAGAGAAAAGAAAGAACTTCATCACACCGTGGATGACTAACCGTGTATGGAATTCAATACACAAGATGCAGTAATGTCTGGCTTATACAAATTCATCAGGGAGGAAGGCTATCAGTGGCTAATAGCCATGATGATTATAGCTCTACTTTCACAGTAGAATGCAATATCCTTCCAAATATCAGCTGCTGGGAACCACAAGTCGGGGTTGCACTCAGGTCTTGCTTCTGAGCGTCCCTTGGGCATTTGGTTGACTACTGTGGGAAATAGGATGCTCAACTTGATAGGCCTTGCTTTTATTTTGGACCAAAACAGCATCCATACTTCTGAAGCCTTTCATGACTTGGACATTCTGGCTATTTGGACCCAGAATAACCATCTATTGCTTGAGGGTTCCATTTTAACTTCATTACAGGCACAGAATAAAGTCATTCCATTATTCAGCTCAAGTGTGGGAAACAGAATCCCATGGTCAGTCATGTGCTTGTGTAAACCATCAGGTCATTGTGCACAACGCAAACACTGAATTCTACCATAGATTTTGGAATCCTCAACATCACAAGCTGCAAACATTTAGTATCCATCAGGAGGTGGCAAAGGTAACTGACATGCAAAATGCTCAGAAGCCAGCCTGTGTTGAGAGAGATCTTTTTTTAAAAAAGTGAAGAAGCTTCTATACCGTTTGCCTCTTCTAACCCTTCTCATGAGCAGCCCCCCACTCTTAATCACATGCAGAATCAAAGCAAAAGGACATAGCAATATTTATGCCACTGACTCACCATGGTGGTGGCTGAAAAAGCCCTGGAAAATCACAAAGTTGTTCACCTGAAAGAAGAAAAATGAGATTTTAAAAAAATGAGCCAGCAAACCAAACCTACCCCACTGTTCCAAGCTTCTTGTGAAACACATTTGTAGGGCTCCCTACAGTTATCTCCCCGCTCACCCTCTTTTTTGCTGCTGGTCTGCATATTTGCTTCGGGGGGGGGAAATACAACTCTTAAGGGTAGGGGCTTAGTAGCAGAGCAAATGCTTTGAATCTTGGTTTGTGCAATTTATAAGCCTTTTACTACATGGTGACAGGTCATAAAAATAACATATAAAACTGCAATATGCACACGCAAAACATCAAACTATCATTCAATTAATCATTAGCAAAACACTTATTACAATATACTTGGAAACAGGCAATGAAACAAGATCGTACTGACGGCTACTTACTATTCCCTTTAAATACAATCAATCAAAGATTCCCAGTAGTTTTTGAGCACAAAGTCTTCAGGAGAACAGGGCAGAGCAGAGAGAAGGAACCTCTGGCCTTCCAGACACTGTCAGACTACAGCATCCATCACTCTTGGCCATTAACCATGCTTGCTGGGGTTGGTGGGAGTTGGAGTCCAACAATGCTGGAGTGCCGTACGTTCCCCACTACAAGGCTAGAGTGTCTGCTGTGTGGTATAAGGACCTGTGCAGCATCCTACATCCCTCCTCTGTGATGCTTAAGCTACTGACACCAGGACCAGCTCCCAGCCTGGTTCACGGCACATTTACCAGTGTGCAGTTCCACTAAAGTGTGGCATCTCAGAACCACCTCTGGGCGACCCAGAGAACAGTCAAGACGCAAGATACACTTTTGCTGCTATGGGGCTGTAAGCTGCCTAGACGGAAGATCGTTTGGGAGATCCAAGTGGCTCTGAGAGGATGTGCCAGGAGCATTCAAAATCCATTTTATTCTTTGCTTCCTGCACAACACACAGCTATTCCCAACTTCTCTGGAGCCATTCACTTCTTGCCCCACAGTCTGTGCAAGCTTAAAAATGAATACTTTCAGAGATGATGGACACGAACTCAAGTGAACAAAGTATTATTGCATTAGCTATCAAACTGCCTTCAGGGTGATTTTTTATTAAAAAAACCAACCACCACCACCAAGTGGTGTATAAATTTTATGAAACAAATAATAAAATAAGTCAAAAGGTGAAGGAATTGCTGTTGCTTTCTTCCATTCTGGCTTCCCATCACAAAGAGATCAGCTCACCTGGGGAATAGTGTCACAAAGATTATAGTGTTTCCGGAGAAAGCAGAGCAGCTTCTCTGAGGGGCGATCCACAGCCAGTTTGTGAGGCTCCATTCGCTCTTGCTGAGGGAGGGGAGACAGAGAGAAGTGAAGATAAAGGTTGGGGACTACAGCTTCCACCTCAAAAGAAGGGGTACAATTTAGGAGCTGGATCTAAAGCATCAGTCGCGGGGCCAGCAGCAAGTTTCTATGAACCCTGAAAGGTTCAGTAACAGGGAGGACGGGTGAAAAGAGATATCAACAAAACCAAAGCAACACTCCCAACAGCAGCTCCTGTTATTTACAGAAGAGAGGTGCAACCAGCTTGCTAAGGCTGTGAAGCAACCCACAGGGCAAGAATGTTAAACAGTGGATCCCAAGAGTTTATTCCAACCCCATCCAGGTCAGCCTGGCTACGTGAATTAATTAATGCCTATTGGGATAACCATCTGCACTGGTTCCATACAGCTAAAATTAAAATGAACTGAGAATAGCTCCAGGGCCATAGAAACCACAACGGCCACAAATAAGCATTGCACATTGGATGGTATGTGTTCTCAGACAGATAAAATATCCCCTGGAGAGGACTCTGCGGAGAAAGTGTATTTCATGTCTGTTGTCTAACTGATCACCTTATCTGTGGTCAGGAATGAAATCTCCACACAGATTGATTCACTGTGAAGGGGATTGAGCCTTTAAATGTAGGAAGTGGGCACACTGAATACAGGGATATGTGACCCAGCCAGGATATTACAGGGGTGGGGGAGAGACAGAGACAGAGACAGAAACAGAGAAAGAGAGAGAATATGCAGAGGCACACCTGTAGCATGTAATGGAAGAGCTCCTTGCCATAGCCATGCCTCTGGAGGGACTCGTGAATGTAAAAGTCCAATACACACAGTGGTTCCACTTCGTTGTGAGCTCCGTGGCGGTCCTGAAAAAAAGAAGGAAGACTTGCAAGACATGTATCTATATATAAAAACAGAGCAGAGTACACAGAATAAAAACAGACACTTCATACTCGCACCATAAGTAACAGAGCTAAAATATCTGAGCCACTTATACCAATACATGCTAGCTTACACTTACATTTCTGAAATTCAGGCCCCATGTTTTGACCTAGCATGCAACACGATATATTGCTAGCACTTTCATTTTAAAGATCTTCCTTCCTTCTACCTCCAACACATACAAATGTCAGCTAACTTCATGGATATTATAAAGAAGGGAGGCAGTTGTCCCCACCTAGTTCTGCTAGATCTCTCAGTGGCCTTTAATACCATCGACCATGATTCTTTAAGGAAGAGGATAGTCTTAGTCCTGTTTGGTACCAATGACCCTTTTGCACCAGGGACAACTGCTCTGCACATAAAGGCAACTTGCCATTGCAACTTACCAGTACAAAGAGTTTCTTGTATCCCACCTTGAGGAAGCCAATTATGACTCCTTTCCCGGCCCTGGTAGCAATGAAGAAAAGATACAAACCATTAGTTAGAGATGTATGAACAATGGGCCACTGAGGCAGAGGAGGGCTATCATTTATTACTGTAATGTATTTATTCCTGACGGGATCTACAGTTACTTAGAGCCAAAATATTGTTTGCAAAACACCTGCTTATTTACACTTTTAGGGCAAGTGATAAAACCTGCTGTATAAAATTGAGATAAGGGGCCCAAGGTAGACTATCAGTCTTCCCTAACCTGGTGCTTGCCAGATGTTTTTGACTACTGCTCCCATCAGCCCTGACCACTGGCCATAATTACTGAGGCTGACGGAAGTTAGAGGCCAACAAAAATCTAGAGGGCCAAAGTGTCCTCATCCTTGAACTAGAGGCTAGATGATTAGCAGTAGCAAGAGGAAAGTGTATAGCATTATTAAATAGAGACCTTTTTTTTTTTGCTTTTCAGATTCATAATAATTTATGCAAATCAGGAAAATGTATGCTATTCCAAGAGCAAAGGATTTTTGGTCAAGAATGTCACAGACAGAGTGAAAGAAGCACACAGACACAGGAATACATGGAACTAGCAACTGTGAGGGACAAGCAACTGTGCTGAAGGAAACAGGGCAAGATCTCCCCACCCACGCAATAAAAAAGGAGGGGGAACTCTGATATTTCAAGGATTCTGCAAATCCCTGAAATATATTTCTATGGTTGCTATGGCTAAGCAGATTGTGTAGAGTTCCTGTGTATGGTTCAGAACAAGAAAGTCTTTTCTTGCTGCATCCCAAGATGTTCCCACAGAAATGGCTTGGGCTGCAATCCTATGCACACTTACCTGTCCCACTGAACTCAGTGGGATTTACTACTGAGTAGGCATGCAAAGGACTGGACCCTTAAGACTCCAGGCCCTCAGTCGCAGCCACACTCACGTTTTTGCTTCACTGTCCTTCAGAATGTAGAGAACATGGCGGTTGGTTTGCATTCGTGAGGCGCTGGTGATTGGAGTTGGCAGATTCTGGGCCTGAAACCAAAAAGTTTCAAGTTTCACTAACTCAAGAAGACTTTAAAAAAAAAGACTTGGAAGGGCAACTGAACAAACTGATATCTGAACTAGAGCTTATATCCCTTGGGGAGAGAAAGATCCCCTCTCTCCTTTCTTGCACCCGTTAGCCGAACTACACTGTGCGACAGTGCATCTCCCAGGCCAGAGCAACTTAAGACCTACAAAGCCAAACACAGCTGCTTCACCTGTGCTTTTGTCCAGGCATTTAGTAGATGAGTCATTTTCAATGGAACGGTTTCTCCCACCCACCCACTTCTGCTCCACAGTTATATTTGTTTTAGTTACAGTTTTAAGTGAATTGGCTGAGGCTTACAAGAGATAGGCAACCTGGCTTCACACACATCCTCCTGTTTACCCAGAAACTATAATCTATTCTGTGGCCCTTTAAACCCTCCAGATGAAAACCCTGACCCACCTTGGCAGAGGCCCTGCCCATCTCATCTATGATCCTCATGAGCTGCTGCTGGTGATCCACCCTGGCCATGAAGAAAAAGAGAGAGAAAGAGAAGCAACTAGGTTGAGAGCCTGAATAATCTAATCAGAATAGAAACCTAGAACAGGAAATGGTCCAAATCCTTGAAGGAGGAGAGGAATGTTTGACATGTTGGAGGCAGCATAGTATCGGGCAGCTTCTGCAATGTCATACCCCGGGACAGAAAGACATAATAGGAGGTTGCTGGAATTGACCAAGCACATTAGGAAAAATAGCAACTCAGAACAGAGATAAATTTTGGAAATGGTTTAAGGCTGCCTAATAAAGATCCATCCAGGACGCTAAGCAGAAGAAGACTGCTGCTGGATCAGACCAGAGGTCCATCTAGTAAAGCATCCTTTTTCCCTCAGTAGCCAATTCGTGTTTCTGGGAATACCACAAGCAGCATATGAAGCTAACAGCCCTCTCCTGTTGTTGCTGACAAAAGCAAAAGGACAAGAGATTAGTCAACAAAAGGTACCCCATCCATGCAACCAGGTAATCCTAAAGCAATGGGGCATCTCACTGCTATACACTGTGGGTGGGTGGATGGATGGAAGGAATGATGCTAATGTAAACCGTCATTGCCCATATTGAATAATTTATTTTTAACGCTTCAAGACCACGGTTTTCAGACTCTGTTCTGAGAAATTCTAGGCTTCCTTGGAAACTTCTTAAGGGGTTCATCCAAGTAACAGCAGATAAGCTTCCATGAAAGGCAACTTGATCACCGTTACTTATTGGCCTTTGCAATGCTCCCCCTGTAAGATAGCTCAAAATACATACTAGATCACCACCTCCATTATGAAGGGGCAACTGTGGAACCTCAAACACCTAACAAGAACCCTACATCAGGGTAGGGTACCCTGGCCCTCAGGACTCTCACCAGGTCACAGCCCTCATCAGCCCCACTTCACATCTTCATGTGTTTTTGACAGGCTAGAATGCTTCATTGAACACTGATAATGTCTATTGGGTGCCTGGATGGAGGATGGGGAGGGGTGTGTCAGTGTGTAGAAGAAGCTAGCCTACTGTACAAAGATAGCACACAGAAGCTCCTGAGCAAACATGTCGATGCATAAAGGATTCCCTACAGATATAATGCCTGAGAGGCACTGCTGTAAGACAACAGGAATGCAGGGACAGTATCTGCCACAGGAAACTGTTACATCTTTTCTGTGCAGACTTATAGAGCAAAAATAAACCCCCTGCAAAGCACATACAGCAACAGGGATCATTGTTCTAAGACAATAGATTGAAGTAGATTAGCCACCATTCTCAGGATGGCAGCTCTAGCTAATTTTAAATATCCTATCCCAGGCTGTGCAGGTAAAACTGTTAGCTACTTCACTTTAAGACTGTTCATGGTCAAACAGAGAACTATAAATCATGCTCTGAAGTAGGCCGATACCATTTAAACCTATTAGCCATTTTAAATTATAATATTCTATACTATCATCTTCAAAACAGTTGTAGCATCTTATATGCGACAATCTTCAAAACACCCTTACAAGGTGAGCTCAGGCTACGACAGTGTTGAATATTGACATGTTGAATGTTACCCAACAAAGCTTAGGTTTATGTTAACTTTCTTCAATTTGTATAAATGTCTTAATGGTCATTAACAAAAAAACCAAAAAACAAAACAAAAACAAACAAACACCAGGCGTCTATGCTAACATGCAGCCATGGAGCAATGGACCTGTAAACCATTTATTATTTCTGTATCTACCCATCCACTTCAAGTGTCACAAACATGGGCTAACCCCCACTTTATTCCCAAAACACGTATGCGAACGTGAGGCTAGGATTCGAATCTCTTTTCGGCTAGGTGACCTTGGGCAAGTCGCTATCTTCAGCCTAACCTACCTCACGGGGTTGTTGTGGGAGGGGAGAAATGGAAATAACAGGTAGTGACGGGGGGAGGGAGCAGGGGGGAGAGAGAGAACCACGTCTGAACAGCCGGAATTCCTTGAATAAAAAGTTGGGCACAGATGTTTGCATGTAAACAAAGAGGGAAAGAGCAGGAACATTCATGCCTAAGGTCACATGTCTGGGAGTAAAGCCCCGCGGCATTGACTTCTGAGTCAGGAACCAGGGTGTCAAAATGTATACCTACATACGGTACATAAAGGTTGACACCCTCATTCCCAGGGGAAAGAGGTGAGAAGCAGCCAGGGCTATCAATTACCCAGCATGCCCCGCGCCTGAGACAATAGATGGGCGTGGGAACAGCCGCCAGGAGCGGCTCCTGAGGGCGTCACGGGCGCGCAAGGAGAGCGCCTCCCCGCGGTACTGAGGCGCAACTGAGGGGGGCGGACCGCCGCCCTACGCTGTTTTCGCGGGGCGAAACGAGCCCCATAGGCGAGGGGGGCGGGGGGGCATGGCAGGCCCACCCAAAGCCCGTGCCGCTGCCATGGTTACCTGTGGGTCGTGGCGAAGCCGGCCCCCCTCCGTCCCGACGGCCGCAAGTGTTGATCCACCGTCGTAATCCGCTCCGCGAAGAGCGCGTCCACGTCGAAGGGGAACTCCATAGCCCCGGCATCCGGGTCCTTTTCTCTCTGCCGCCCCGGTCGCGCCGACTCACGCCTCTGAGCGACGCGGCGCGCGTGCGGCCGGCCCCGCCCCTAGCGACCGGGCCTACTGGCGGCGCCTCCGTTGCCAGGCTCACCCTAGCAACCGGACGGCCCCTGGCAACCGCCGCCTTCCTCGCCCGTCGCCGGGCGTCTAGACTCGAAGGCCCGCCAGTGGGGGAACCTGCCTCCGTTGCCACGTTTACAGCGCACTTTTCCTTTAGATGTTCAGCCTCGCCCTTGATGTCCAGCAGCACGGATGTCTGCTGAGTTGTTGTCCCTGTTCGCCAGCTTTGTTCGGCTGCGTTGCTTAAGGATCTTTTTTTTTATTATTATTTTATTTTATTTTATTTTATTTTATTTTATTTTTAATTGAATGTGTTTTATTTTACACCATGATGTGAGAACGTGACACCTGTTTAATAAAAGTATACACATCTGTAACTTCACCCAGAATACACTTTTAATGCACATTTTTTTAAAAAAGCGCTCATCTTACAAATTGTTTTGCAGTCCAATCATAATAATAATTTATTACTTATTCCCCGCCCATCTGGCTGGGTTTCCTCAGCCACTCTGGGCAGCTCCCAACCGAATATTAAAAACATGATACAGCATTAAACATTAAAAGCTCCCCTAAACAGGGCTGCCTTCAGCTGTCTTCTAAATAATAATAATAATTTATTATATATACAATAATTATTTATACAATCCAAATATGCAATAGCTTGGAAAACAAATAGTTTAGAAAATGAGAGCCAATGTAAAAAGACTACTTAAACCTATAACAACAGTATAGTTTCTGCAGGGCTCATCTTTATAGTTTTCTTACTGCTTCATCAATGTAGTATCAGTAATCTGTTCCTTCGGCTGGCTCCACTGTTCCGGACTTAAAGAGATACCTTTTTCTGCCAAGTTTCATTTCACCTTCTTGATCCATCCAGCATTCTGTAGTATCAATTAGGACTTTACCTTTAAAATCATGAACACTGACATATCTTATTTTACCAATCTGAAACATATTCTCATCTCGGTTGCTACGTTGCTTGGAGCTTTCACCAGTCTTCTGTTTCTTTACAGGCTTTTCGGGCACTGCTTGTTTTTCCTTTTCACCTTTTTCTCAACTTCACTGTTTGAATCACTGGCAGACGAGCTTGAAGATACAAGTTCTTTTGATTTCAGCATTGTTCCACTCAGTGCCCGCTGCTCTCACTGCCTTCTTCTTGGCTTGCCTTCCCCCCACCCATCCACCCATAAGCATCTTTTATATAGTAAAGGTAAAGGGACACCTGACTGTTAGGTCCAGTTGCGGACGACTCTGGGGCTGCGGCGCTCATCTCGCTTTATTGGCCGAGGGAGCTTCTGGGTCATGTGGCCAGAATGACTAAGCCGCTTCTGGCGAACCAGAGCAGCGCACAGAAACACCGTTTACCTTCCCACCAGAGCGGTACCTATTTTTAAAAAATGTGAGCTGACAAGAGGCAGTCCAGTCTACCACTTCAATAGTCATCTACTTCATTATCCTGATTCCGCTACACAACCCACCCGCAAGTGTGTGGTCATTGCATTATGCCCTTTAAAAACAAGCTGTTTTTAAATTTCCCACAAAGTATCATAATGCATGACACGGATCCTTGAGTGTAAACCTGGTAACTGGGCAACAGTGTGATCCAAGCCGTGTCTACTCAGAACTAGGTCCTGTAGAATTCAATAGGGCTTACTTCTCAGGTGAGTGCAGCCTAAGAATTATATTTCATTTTAAAACCCATGGCTTTTCTATAAAAATGAAAAGCTGTATATATACTAATAAAGCCTAGCATAAGAACAATGTAGTAGAAGAAGAAGAAGAAGAAGAGTTTGGATTTGATATCCCACCTTTCACTCCCTTTAAGGAGTCTCAAAGCGGCTAACATTCTCCTTTCCCTTCTTCCCCCACAACAAACACTCTGTGAGATGAGTGAGGCTGAGACACTTCAGAGAAGTGTGACTGGCCCAAGGTCACCCAGCAGCTGCATGTGGAGGAGCGGAGACACGAACCCGGTTCACCAGGTTACGAGACTACCGCTCTTAACCACTACACCACGTTAGCAAGGCTAATGTTAGTTTCCTTCTGATCATTTCAACTCTGGAACAAGCCAGGAAGAGAATAAAAGCAAGGCAAGGGAAATTAACGATTAAGAATGATCCTTTCCCAACAGGGTGGCCATGGCACAGTGCATTCCTATATCAGTGTGTGTGTGCAGGATTGCAGGCTTACCTACAGTTGCAACAAACACAACAGCTTTCTGGCACCCTAAAGAGGTTGAAGTAGCTGCAGTAATACCATTCCCATCCTATCATGGGCAGTATTTCTGTAAGGTTATATTTCTCAAGGTTATTCCCACAACTGCAACAGCTAGAACTAAATGAACTAGTTTCAGACTTCCTGAGCAATAACTTCATTATGCTGTGTAGCTGCCAAAGACCGTTAAGTGACGTAAAAATCGCCTCTGGGCCTTGTTATAATTTTTAAACACAAGATTGGGCTTGCCAACAACAGAGGATGACTTCGGAAAGTAACAGGAGCTATAGGATGGAAGCTAATATTTTGATTTTCAATGCACATAATTAGTGTAACTAAAAAGCCTATCATTACCAGTGATGTGGGGGGAAACCCCACCTACTGTAAGGTCTGCTGCACAGCCCAAGCCCTTGCATGCATCTATAACTTTCTTTTACACATTTCTGTGTTCTCTCTTTGTCCCCCTCTCAAGCTTTCATTACAGCATGATTACAATAAGAATAAATGATCCTGATATATCAAAATGGTGTATCTTTGGTTCAAAATAACATTAAGTCTTAGCCTTGGCTTTAACACCAACATTGCTATGTAGGGCTGGGAGAGATACCCCTTTTTGAAACCTTGGAAAGCCTCTGCCAGTCACTCTAGATGGTATAAGGCTGTAGACCGTCTTCTTGTGTTCCAAGGGAGAAAACCCATTAAACTGAATTAAGTCTGAAAAGACCTCTCTCCGCCCATATTTAGACTGAAATTGACATAGTTTGCATGCAATACATTGAATACTTTTGAACATAATATGTGTTTCTTCTTGGGAATAACTGGCCTATAGAAGAGTTCGATCTAATTGAATGACTCACATCCTATGTGAGCATTGCTTGGTCCCAATAAAATTACTAATTTGCCTTTCCTATGACTTTCGTTCTAAAGTAGGGCTCCCATAGGTCTGGAATTTTCCAACATTACTGGGATTTCAAAGGCAGAAGTGACGTCCAGGGGGAATTTCAGGAAGGCGGCAGTTTGTCCTGGATCTTTGGCAAGTAAACCAAAAAATTGTGGGTTTTTTGGCTTTTTTGTAAAAAAAAAATGCTCAACAACTTTGGGGTTTGAAATATGGCAACCCTAGCAACCCTATCTAATGGACTAATATGGCTATGTGCTTTTGATAGTCATCCATTACTTTTATATTCTGCTTTTCTGCCACTGACAGTACAGTCTTCTGAAGAGAATGTGTACATTCTAATAGGCATAATATTAGAGGGAAAAGAGATTGAGTGAGACAAGGAAAATAATTAACTTCAGGTACCAACTCTGCTGTCCTAATGTTACATAATCATTATAATGATCAAGTGGAACAGCCACTGGGAGAGCAAGTTCTGGGAGAAGAGCCTTATGTAATGCGCATGCAATCTTCATGAGCAAATTGCTCTACAGTTGGCAAACATTTAAACCTGTATTATACTATTATTATCCTTTAAGTCAGGGCTGGCATCAGCTCCTTGCATCCACGGGCAACTGTAAGGCAACCCCAGTGGCCTCAAAAGGTTTGCCACTGATGCTTAATGCAAATGTTATCTATACGCCCTTGATCATAGCATTTTTCAAAACCTCTTAGCACTGGTGAGGGCTAAGAACTTCAAACAAGAGTTAAAGCATTTGCATGTTAGATTTTAACAAAACTGCATGTCCTCAAGGCTGCTTTTAAGAAAAGGGTGACAGTTGTTCTCCAACTTCATCCTGAAGTGTCGGGAACAGCATGGCTGTAGCTGAATATTATGCAGTCATAAGTTACAGGCAAGTACTGTTGGCTATCCCGGACCATTATTACATGATTATCACATGATGCCTTGTAATTAAGGCATTCAAAATTATTTGCGCCTTCTCTGACAGTTTCTTTAGAGTTAATTGCTGGCACGACAGGAAGTGTGATGCACTAATTTACCAGGCCATTTACAGCCATTCTCAAATACAGAACATCAGTAGATCATAAGCAGAAACAAAACACTGCTTTATGTATTTATTATTTGTTCTCTCACACAAAGTCACACATCTTAAGTTATTATGCACTATAAGGAATGGATACAGGGGGGAAAAGATTCTCAAAAGGCACAGCCTTCAAATGCTTGTAGGGACGTGCTAGTGGGCTGCAACAGGAGCACTACTATCATGCAAATATACGGTAAAATGTTAGGGACGCAGGTGGCGCTGTGGTCTAAACCACTGAGCCTCTTGGAGTTGCTGATCAGAAGGTCCGCGGTTCAAATCCCTGCAACAGGGTGAGTTCCCGTTGCTCTCTGTCCCAGCTCTTGCCAACCTAGCAGTTCAAAAGCATGCCAGTGCAAGTAGATAAATAGGTACTGCTGTGGTGGGAAGGTAAATGGCGTTTCCGTGCGCTCTGATTTCCGTCAAGGTATTCCGTTGCGCCAGAAGCTGGCCACATGACCCAGAAAGCTGTCTGTGGACAAACGCCAGCTCCCTCACCCTGAAGCGAGATAAGCGCCACAACCCATATTCACCTTTGACTGGATTTAACCACCCAGGGGTCCTTTAGCTATGGTAAAAGGTTAAGAAATGGGTCCCCCAGTTGCATGATTGGGTTAAAAGAAGGTCCTGGCTCTGACAAGGTTGAAGACAACTGGATTACAGGATACCGATTTGCAGCAGCAGAGCATTTTCATCTCCC